TTTTAAAACTTTTGAAATTCATTTTAAAATTTGAAAAACATGCTAGAACAGTGGGTCGGTGTAAAAACGTTCTTCGTGGTTATGTGCATTTACGTGCAAAATCTGAAGGAGATCGGTCCACAATGAGACTTTTGGTACACCTGAATGCATTTAAACTTTTGGAATTTTCTAACAGCCATAACTCGCGAACCGGATGTTGCGCGCGCAAACGGTTTTCAGGCCTGTGTATACAAATCATTTGACTACAGATTGTCATAAAACAAGAGAAAAAAGGGTTTGGGTGTGCGCGAAAGTGAAAGATTTCGTGCATGTACACGAATTTGGTACCATGTATCGGGCCACTTCCCTTAAGTCAATGGGCGACATACCTTCAAGTGGCCAGGCTTCGGTTATTTTGCCCAAGAACCGATTTTCATCCGGTTTTTTGGTATAACATGTTTAGGAGAACTTACTCTTTATAGAGTACTTTAAAATTTTAAAATCGGTTGAACCATTTTTTAGTTAATTACGTTGTAAAAAACCAGTGACGAAACGCTTAAGCCACGACACGCGAGCCACTGCACTAGACCAAACTTACTATTCTGACCACCGCGCATGTGCGGTTGCATCTGGTACTTCAATCATACGCGCTTCCATGTTATCCGCCCAGTTCTCAGCACAATTAAACGGACTCAGTAAATACAAAAATAACTTCGGACACAAACGAATTTGAGCGTTCGATGCAGCCGCACATGGTGTGGTGGTGACTGCAATAAGTTAGCCGTAGTGCAGTGGCTCGCGTGGCGGGGCTTAAGCGTTTCGTCACTGATTTTTACAACGTAAATAACTAAAAAACGGTATGTTGTAGTACTTAAAATAATGTTGTTAGCTCCTAAGAAAGTTCTAGATACATGGTTGTGGGAGTACATATAGATATTTTGTATCTAGCAACCCATATTTTTAAATGTAGGAGAATTGCTCCTGCACGTGTAGCGCAGTTTTACGTTCAAGGTACAACTTATATTTTATTACATCAAAACTTCTAATTTATTGCATTACTTACTAATTATAGTTTATTACTTATTTACTTAACTTACTTATAATTTTAGTACTTATAATTTATTTAGTAATTTATTACATCAAGCTTATAATTTTATTTGTTTAAATTCTTGAAACTTTATTATGTTTTTAAATCCGTTCGAATACCTCAACCATAAATTTTTCCAAAGTCGGCTCAAAAGTTTTACATTTCCAAAATTTTAAAATATTTCGAAATATTGCGGCTCGGCCCCGCTGCACTGGGCCGTTACCTCTAATCTTTTGAGTCTCCAGAGTTTCGAAATTATAAAAATATCTAGAAATCTGAGTATCTCAATATCTCACAATCTACAGCATCTGTTGTACTTATATCTAAATTTCTAAATATCTAAAAGCCGGCCCGCAGCCCGTTTACCGTATTCACTCACGTAGCGGCTTTGTGCTACTGGTGGTAGTTTGGGCATTCACTAACTTACGTTGCTCTGCAATACTGGTGGTAGCTTGGGTACATGTATTTGTTGACCTACGATTCTTTTTAATACTGCTGGTAGCTTGGGTATTCACTAACCCCTAAATCTAATAAATATGTACGTATTTTATTTTACGAAATGGCTGTGCGCCCCGACAAACCGGGCGCATAGAATTTGACTGTGCGCCCCGAGTGCTCGGGCGCACAGAATTTGGCTTTTCGCCCCGAATGTCCGGGCGTAGAAATAATGAAATATCGAAGTTTTTATGTTTTTCTGGCAACTGACTGTTTTTACTTAATTTTTTTTTACTCCATTAACCATTATTGTTGCAGAAGAGCAGAAGTTTAGAGGGAACTGCAGAATTTAAGTACCCTTAAATTCTTAATAGCTAAGTATTCGTTTCGATTATCCCCTTTTTATCGCATGGTTTATTGGAAAGGTTGCTCATGATCAAGACATCACGGAATCAGTCCGAGAGATCTTGATTTTCAGCAACTTTACAGGAAGCTAACAGCACTGGTTTATCGCGGACTGTGAGTATTACAGTAACTGTTTTAGGTCATCTGTGACGGCACAGAAGTCCACCCCATGCAGAAAACTGTAGCAAAATAGAATTAGCACAGCTAATTCCGGTTAACGCAGCGTACGTAGTTGCAAGGCTGGACGACGTGGTTGAATTAACAGTGTCCAGCCGAGAAAAGCCATTAGGGTGTGTCGTAGGGATGCACATCCCGATACTGGAGAAGTAATGCCAATCTGACTACGATGTCGCATAATGATTGCACATTTGTGTTTAGTACCTTTTAGTTTCTGTTGTGTCCACTGCAGTAATCAATTTCAGTACAGTAATGGTGATTTACATATATCAAGCAGTTCTTCCCCCACGCCCACCCTCTTTTGCGAGGAGACTGGGAGATGATTTAGAAAGGACGACGGAGTCGATTGCACCGGTGACCGGTGTTCCGGTGCTAGTGTTTTCGTCCAATGCTCAAATAAATCTTAATGATTACGCGTCTTCCTTGTTGTTGCCGTAGTCCTCGTTAAGGCAAATAAGTTTTCAGGTTGAGGTATAATAAGTAAGCTGTTCTGTTTTTGACAATACAATAGGAAAATTAAGTGGTTAAATAAATAAAAGAAACCAAATAAAACAGAAAACCATCGGAAAAACAGCAAATCAGCGATATTTCTGCTCCCGGAAATTCGGGGCGCAAAGCCAAATTCTGTGCGCCCGGACATCGGGGCGCACAGCAGTCGCCTTTATTTTATACTGAAAAGCTTGACTGAGTGGCTGAACATCTTACATTTAGTAGCTAAAGATGAATCCTGCGGGTCACCTTGACACTTGAGCAACTGTTAATTGTTTCCAACAAGTTTTCATTAATTCTGTTAAGTTTCCATTTACATCCGTCGTACCAAAAAATTGAAGTTTTGAGTTGGCTAGATCGGCAATATAAAGTTACATAAAAAACGTGAAAAAGACAAACAAAAAGAAAAATTACGAGGCCCTATTAAAAGTTTTTGTGTCAAAGATAGTTTTTTCAGCACTTTTCTTCGTACGTTTGGTGACACGTGATACGTGTTATTCACAATACCCCTTAAATCGTTACGTTTTTATCCTGTAAGACACAAATTTGTCCGCTGACCGCCGTTTTTATTCTTTCCAGGCATTTTTTGAGCTAGTACAAATATGTACTTTTTAACCGGGAAAATAGTGACCATAAAATTATTATTAATTTTTTTGTTTAATTAGACGAATGCCGTAAATTGCGTATGTTTCTCAAGTTGCTCAGGATGCAGCACTAGTATGTAATACCTAATAGCACCTAGGTGATGACAGTTTTTATAAAGCTGGTCGAATTCAACCGGTAAGCTTGAAAGCTGTCAGCATTTCTACATGTTAAAAATATTTTCTTAGCTGGCCTCGCTGAGGATTTACATTTAAAATATTTCTCAAAATCTGTTTTATTGCTGTGCGAAGTATGTACATTTTGTAATTTCTTTCTTTCTTCCATACCTCGAACACAACTGGTCGCGCGCTAGCGCGACCGATACTTGTATCTTTATATTCTTATCTTTATGTTCTTGTTTGTGCCAAGTCTGAGCTGCATCAATTATGATTAGATTTGTGCGGGGACATTTATGTCTTTATGGTGATATGTGCATTTACATTCATGGGCATTTCTAACCGATTGTCAAGCGGGAATTGCAGCACCTCGCGCTTCGCGCTCGATGCAGACGCATGCGATGCATTGGAAAGTCGCAAATGAAATAAATACGCTGATGCAGAAGTTTGATCCAATAAATTATGGAGGAGGTCGAGAAAGGTCAGGTAGTTTTGCAAAATAAAAGCAATAGTCAAATGAAATATTCGCCATGTCTTTCGATGAGCGAATTGTACGTATTAGGATGGGTTTTACATTCGAAGAGAATCCACTTACGAACAGCAACTCCACCTCGCGGGGTGGCTTCGCGTACCGTATCTGTAGGCTTGATCTTTGTGAGCAGCTATCTCGGGTGGTTGAACAATCATACCCATAGAACGATAAAAACCTGGAAATCTGACACACAGGCTCGTTGCGGATGCGCATTTGCAGTGACTTCATGCTGCAGGTCAGCCAGCTATTCTACTTCCGTGGCGATAATAGCTTTGACCATAATCAAAGAAGAAAATCCTGAACTGAGACTCCAATTGCGACTAGTTCAAGGAGAGGCCACGGCAACCGCTATCAGTCAATAATATTAGTCAGCGCATTATCTTATTGATTATCGCACATACATGCACGCGACAAAAGCCGATGGGCGGCAGTTACTGGTACCTCCAGGACAATGTCTGTGGGATCGGTAGCGCCAGTGCTGTGATGGGTCGCTGGAATCTGGATTGTACTGTGGGGGAGATGTTCAGCGGGAAGATTAAGCCGCAGTTCGAAGGATGTGTGATTCTTTTAGTTACTGCTATCGTTTTTAATTCCTTGCTAATGGTGACCTTTATATTGCGATAATTCGATAAATCTATATATGAGCTACTTTTGGCTTACTGTCAGTTAACTGGGTTTCCGGGCGGCGGGCAGCACAATGCACAACATAAATACTAATTGAAAGTGGAATCGGACAGCCTTACTGGTTCGAGCATGGTCTGCGTAACAACGCTGTTTAATGACTAGCCGGGAGAACGGATATGTGATCTTACATGTTAGTGTATAGGCCATAGGGAGCCCATATGTAAGATTCATCAAAGTTTGGTCACTGTTTCCAGTCGGACCTGATAAAGAGCTGGCGAAGCGATCGATGCTTTGCCCATCCATTTCACTGCTGTACCCTGTAGAAAGTGAGAACGTTTGATTGAAATTCTCACAATAAAAAACACGATGCGATGACTGCGGCGAAATTTACCTGCCAATTAGATTACCAATTGTTTTACTCGTGGAACCTGCCAATTGTTTTACTAATGCCCAGAAATAATAACAACTGCCATCACCACCTCATCAATTCCGAAAGTAGGCAACGTATTAACATGTGACATGAACAAATTAAAGAACATAAATATAGATTAAAATTGTCGTGCTTGGGCGAGTGGCTGTCCATATAGTACCGGAATGATAAACCGTAGAATTAAGCATAACACGAACGAACACCTAGACAAAAATGATAATTCGATAAAATGCTAATAAATATGTACAGTTTAACGCTAACTGTTTGGAACGTTGAACTGGCTTGGAGGTTAATGCTTCAGAGAATGGCCGTCGCACTGCATCAGAACGCCACGATTCCTCGTTGAACGAACCACGTTTCCTGCTCGGTGTCCGACCGCGCCCAACACTCGATTTGTCCGCCGCTGTGCGGCTTTGACCAAAAGACTGTGATTGTCTGGGCACAATGCGGTGGTTCATCGAGTTCCGACTGACAGTTCGACTCGGTGATTTGCACAAATGGACTGTAAAATAACTTGTCCAGCTTGTGCAGAAAATGACGACTCGGCGCCGCTATAAACGCTCCGTTGTACTTCCAGATAAAGTACGCGTCAGCATCCGGCGAACAGTCAAACTGCAGCGAGCACGTGGCGGAGAACTGCCGATGGGGATACAACAGCGAGATATCCAACGGCTTTGCAAAAATGTCACCGATGTCCCGCGGTCGGGGAAGCAGCGTAAAGGACCGCAGCGGACAGAGAAACGTCGCTGGGCAGCGTTGGTAGCAGGTGTACGTTCCCGTGCTGTTGTGCGTGACGTTGCTGATGTCCAGGCTGTTACCGTGGCTGATCACGCTGATGTCCGGCCCCACGTATCGCTGACTGTTGTGCAGATAATGCGCTAGTGCGAAGGGCTTTCTCTGGGTCCACACAATGTCACCCATCAGTGCCGCCAGAGGGTCGCCAACACGGCATGTCAGGGTCAGGCGCTGGCCAATCAGGGGTCGCTCGACGCTGGGCTCGGGGTCGGCGTTAAGCTGCATGGCGTCTGGATTCGGGAAGGTGACGACATTGTGTTGAGCTAGTCGCTCGGCATCCAGAACAGAAGCTAGCACTTCAAACAGCACAAGAAATACATAGACGAGACTTACTAATTCATCAAGATCATGAATAACACGTATAGAAGTACTGTTTCTAACGCTACGGAAATTGTCTGAAAGAGCGAGATTACCGAAGTCTTTACTGTTCTAACTTTCGCAATTTTGCTGTTAAGCAGTTGCGTCGATCTTTTATGTTTGCACACATACAGAGTAGTGGGCAAGATTAAAAAATCGAAGATTTTTTTGAATTAGTGACGTAAAATTGGTAACAGACAATACATGAACACGCATCACCCGCGCTGTTGCTCGAACAAAAACTTACACGACAGGTCTTCAGGAGAGGCACCTCGTGGATTAGCGTTGGCAGGGTCGGTGCTCACAGGTGGAGGTTTGTTTCTCATAAGAGAACGTCGTCTTGAGATCACTGCCATCAGTGCTACCACTGCTGTGTTCCCGCAACCTGATTCAAAATTCATCCCAAAAAGCAACCACACGAACAACAAACGGCGAAACCGACAAGTCGTTGCCATTTTTACTTTGCATACGCCAAGTTGCACAACTGGTACCGCTGACACCCCCAGAAAGACAAAGCGGTTGTATAAAATCTAGAGCTTGTAGAATAATTTTTCGATTTAATTTAATTTCTATGCAATTTTTCTATGATCTGCGGCCGTGAAAACAAAATCACCCCCGTGCCGCCGACCAGTAACAAAGTATCTCCGCCTATACGGGAATGTGTCACTGTAAAATTAAAATCAACACCAAGTCTTTGCACTGAGCACGTTAACTGAGATTTGCACTACGGTTACTGTCATTACCTCCTTGTTGATTGCCTGTGTCACGGCCATGGAGAGTGCCTAGCGATGAATGACTGCGTCTGCGTATATCTTTTATGTTCTTGTTTGTGCCGAGTCTGAGCTGTATCATTAAATTTTATGATCATATTTCTCCGTGGACATTGAAGTCTTTATGGTGTTATGGTATTTCTATCCGATGGTCAAGTGGGAATTGCAGCACTCGCGCTCGATGCAGGCTACACCTTGGGAAGTCACAAATGAAATGATTATGGTGCTAAAGAAGTTTAATAACAAATTATTGAGGAAGTCAAGAAAGTTCAGGTAGCTTCACAAAGTGAAAAAACCGTTAGGCAAATGAAATATTCTCCATGTCTGTTACTGTATTGTCGAGTAGTATTCGAATGAATGCTATAAGGGTGGGTTGCACATGCGAAGCGAATCCACTTAGGAACAGCATTTGCACCTCGCGGGGTGGCTTCGCCTACCGTTTCTGCAAGCATGGCGACTGTGAACAGCCATCTCGTGAGTACTTCTTTCTATTCTTTATCTGTGGTTTTCACTTTCTCATCGAGTTGCTCAGCAATAAATGAGTGCAGTTACGTGATTAGTCAGACCACGCTACACCCAACACATTTACTTGTTCTGCGCGATATTACTATCTTCTCTTGAATTACCTCTACACAACTCAACATTTACGGATCCGTTTAAAAATTTCAAACAAAGGTCATCAAAATTGAATTAAATGCAAAATGACAACAATTTTATAAAGTTTTACAATCAGCTTCAATTTTTTATCAAAACTGACCTTCTAATGCTTTAGGTACGTACTTGTCAATTTCAATAGCATTCGTCAAAAACATTATTTTGAGCTGACCTTTTTGGTCTGCAGCTTACCACAATTTGTAATAATAATCCTCAAACTGACCTTTCAAGATTACCTTGGACAATGAAAAATAGCACAGTCGGCACACATGGTGACCTTTTTACGGGTCTACATTGAACATGCAAATGCTGTTGCTTAGCCGCTTGGGTCACACAAGTTATGATGATCAACTTCACGCCACTTTGTTACCAGGGAAAACAGACTCTTGCTGTGAGTACTGCGATGGACTTTATTGGTGACTTCCGTGACTCGAAACTCTCTACTAAAAAGCCGCTCCCAAAACTCGCGACGCAGTCGCGCTTATATTGGCGGCAAATGCCAAACACAAAAGGCTTTAAGAGATAGCAAAACATAAACAACAGGTTATGCAATCAAAACTCGTGGGAAGAACACGCCTACGGGCGTGATGGCATTCCGGATGACATTATACAAATGACATCATAGCAGTAGCAAGTGGGAGGAGCTCGGATTAACCGGGTACCAGAAGGAATAGGAATACCGATTTGAAAACTGGTACTGTATTTACACCAGTTTAAGAGCCACAAAAAAGTCCGGGTGCGCGCAGAATATCCGACGGCTTTTTTGAACTTCAAAGAAGCCGCGCGATATTGTTTACGCTTCCGCCATTTTGGTGGCTCTTAAACTTGTGTAAATACAGTACTCCTCGATCGAAAAAGTTAATTAAGAAAAATTACTTTTTGTGGAATTTGTTTGACAGGTCAAGCAGGATACAACGATGCCAAAATGGCACGCATGGGAACAAAGCCAAAATATGCACGGTATAGTTCTACACAAATAGGGGTTCTGGATCAGCCGCAGGTACATATCTGCTATGTTGACGCTTCAGCATTTACAATTTTACACAGCAGACATAATAGAACTGAGGAAAACACCGGACCGTGACCGGGGCTACAAGGCGCCCGCTGTTAACCAGCCGGTCATGTTTGCGTCAAACGTCGGTATGGTATAACAAGACATCCATGAGCATTTTAATTTTTATCTCCTTGTTGTACATTTTCTGTACAACCAATTTGTGCTGTGGAGATGCATGAAGCAACTGTTAGTGCATCGTGCTAGCGTACATAGTATTTTAGTTTTTGCGCTACTGGTCAGTAAGGCCGTTTTTCTAATTTTTTGACCCAGAGTGACCAGTGGTTATTTCGAGGACCACTAAACCCTCATCATTAAAAAGAGCTAATTTATTACAATTTTTCGACTGGACATGCTGATTTTTGCCATGCTCGAGTACTTCTGTGCAGAATTTTAACATTTTGGGCACAAAATAGTATCGAACCCATGCGTGCCAAAATTGGCACAAAGTTTCTCAGGGACCGTATGCGAACGGTATCCAGTTACGCTTGTCTGACCTATTTATTTCTAGAATAAGTCCGATGCATACTTACAGTGTGTTGTTTTGCATAATTATCTGATGCGGGAGTCTCCTGGTCGGTAGCCAAGACCTCCGCGAGCCCCTTTAGCTCGCTTTTAGTCAACTTCACTCAACCACAGGACCCTACTAACATCTGTTTGTTAATTTTTTTTGTTTTTTACCTACTGTTTAGCATCCTTTGTTCACAAGAAAATCATTCAGACTTTTACGTTACCTACAGCTACAGAAAGCAAAGTTCCCCACTGTACCAATTGGCATGCATCGATGCATGGTGTCGACCGGGTTAATGCTTGTAAAGAATATTGTGGAATTCTTATATTGTAAATGGAAACAGCAAACAATGTGGCAAGAAATTAAAGCTCAACTTCAACTGCGATTTCCTTGGACGGCTGCCCTTGATTTCCGAGAACTGTGGATGCGCAAACTTGTGCAACTTGGTTACGGTATTTCAGAGCGCATGTTCCTCGTACTGATGAACGGTGAATTGAACGCTGGACCAGTGTTCAAAAACGGTAACACAACAAACCCACCCGGCTTTTCTGTTACTTAGCGGCAGACTATGAGCGGAAATGACTGCAATACCGTCCAGCTGCATTTTGCGTTCCTGGCCGGTTACTGCTATTGTCAGCATTTAAAATACTATCGTTTTATTAGGCCACAAAAACCGACCACTTTGCATTGGATATACGGGTCAAAATACCGATCCCTCACGTTTTGCGGTTATCAGAAACTCATGTAACGCGCCACTTGGTGGCTAATAATCGGTATTCAAAGCCGCAAGTCATGTAAATCAAAGTACAGTAAATTAAACTACGTAGCTGCGTACCTACATAGGTATACTGGAAGTATTCAAAGTTCAGTGTTCTTCTATCATATTCTTCATATTCGAAATATGTATCTGATTCCATGTAAGTAATGGTACGTACGAGTACCTGTTCATCCACTTATATAACCCAGCTTTGAAAGCACAGCAATCGACAACCTGAACTTGGTGATGCCCGGTGCCGACACAAAATGGCCATTCATCGGATCTTCGACTGAAAAACCGCTACACACAACATCATCATAGCGGTATCCAGTGCGAAACCGGTCGTTAACGGCCACGTAAAACACCGGCTAAAGAGTAAAGGCAGCCAGTTTTGCGCGGCCTCTGTTATGGCTTTTACTGCGTAAGCAATGATCCTGTGGTTTGTGTCCACTGTATTAAGAGTACTCGTACATCACCATTTCCAATTCTGAAATGCTAATCTAGTGCGAATATTAAATGCAAATTCGCGATCGAAAACGCAGTTTTTGTTCAAGTTGATTTTGTGCACAGCAGCACAGGCATGCATGTTCCTATGTGGGAAAATGATTGGAACAACAATAGGGGCTGCGCTCATACAAGTGTTCTCCAGGGAGTTCGAGGCGCTTGCTCTTGGGAATGTGAAAAGCGAATAAAGCAAGCATGTATATCGAGGGCAGGGTAGTGTACACAAAGCGTGAAGCGAGTGAAAGAGAGCGAAAGGTTGCAAACGGAAAGGTCACCATTAATTAAAATGTGTTTCAAGCGTGATATTTCAATCGCTGGTCGAAATTCCATATTCTGTCAGAGAACTTTCGAGATGACGAAAATCCCACGAAGTGGCTATGCGCAGGAGTTTCGTACTTGCGGTGTTATACTGCGTACTTACTGTACTGTACTTGCGGTTGTACTGCAGTGGTATACCTTTACTCAATGTACCGTAAGTTTCGTAGCAACCATAATAAAGTGCCGCTGTACGGTTAAATCTTTTTTTTTTACCTTCCCTGAAATTTGTTTGGCCCCTGGCGGCCGGGGGGTGCACATATTGGCGCAGTCACAGTCCGATAAACTGTGAATCATAATAACAAAATTTCATAACTGGTAATATTATACGATTTTGGCCAATAGTTCTGAAATTAATTAAACTTAAAGTGTACCGCAACAAACTGCATTCTGAAATTAATGGTATGTTTCTGGTGTAACAATAAACAGGTGCCATGATAAGTACTATATTTTGCTTCGATCTAGTAATTAAACGCTACTTCCGACACAGCTGCTGTTGTTTCCATGCAACTGAGAGCATACGCTTAACAGTTTCGTGTGCTAAATTGCTAGAATTAACTTTTATTTTTTATTTGTTTTGTAACCTATGCAATTTTTTTACAATGATGAAAGAAGGCGATATTTTTGAAAGCTATGATGATGCATTGAGTGCCTTAAAAGATTACGAAGCAGAAACGTATCAACTGTTTGTTGTTTCCAGCGGCCATTCTAAACTTTCTACCGATGACCCCTTGCACGGAACACTCAAATATGCTTCTATGAAGTTGGTGTGCAAGCATGCTGGGAGTTATCGTGGCCACAGAAAAGAATCCGCAGTGTCAATTAGAAAGACCCAGGCTACGTTCAAAACCGGGTGTACTGCTTACGTAAAATTTAAGTTGTTTGGTGATAAAGTGGTGGTTTTAAAACTACCTTCCCTGAATGACCACAACCATCCCGTGAAAAAGTCGCTCTACCAATTCTATCCAGAAAAGTTTACGCGAATCTGAATGGCAGTGTCGGGGGCGATGACGCTGCTGAAGCAAACGGAAGTGAAGTTATCGCAAAATGAAGTATTTAAAGTAAATTAACAAACATTGCTGAAATTCATTTCAAGTATGTTAACAGTTAGAATATTAATATTAGTTTCAGTAACCCAATAATGCCATTATTAATGCCAGGAACTCAAATGCTTGATAGCCAAATTAATGCTTTTACGCAGCGGAACCATCATCCATGAGTCTTCTGCTTCTTAGTTAGCTGTTGATACATATCTTCCTCCTCGCTCTCGGATTCTTCTTCGGTCTCCTTTTCTTCGTCAGGTTCCTCTTCTTGATCCAGTTTAAAAACTACCTTAAACTAGTGGTTTTAAAACTACCTTCCCTGAATGACCACAACCATCCCGTGAAAAAGTCGCTCTACCAATTCTATCCAGAAAAGTTTACGCGAATCTGAATGGCAGTGTCGGGGGCGATGACGCTGCTGAAGCAAACGGAAGTGAAGATATCGCAAAATGAAGTATTTAAAGTAAATTAACAAACATTGCTGAAATTCATTTCAAGTATGTTAACAGTTAGAATATTAATATTAGTTTCAGTAACCCAATAATGCCATTATTAATGCCAGGAACTCAAATGCTTGATAGCCAAATTAATGCTTTTACGCAGCGGAACCATCATCCATGAGTCTTCTGCTTCTTAGTTAGCTGTTGATACATATCTTCCTCTTCGCTCTCGGATTCTTCTTCGGTCTCCTTTTCTTCGTCAGGTTCCTCTTCTTGATCCAGTTCGCTCTCCTCTTCTTCTTAATTTTCTGCCTGCTGGCTGTGTTCGCTAGCAGCATCGTCCGGCATAGTGTTATCATAAGCGATATCTTCACTTCCGTTTGCTTCAGCAGCGTCATCGCCCCCGACACTGCCATTCAGATTCGCGTAAACTTTTCTGGATAGAATTGGTAGAGCGACTTTTTCACGGGATGGTTGTGGTCATTCAGGGAAGGTAGTTTTAAAACCACCACTTTATCACCAAACAACTTAAATTTTACGTAAGCAGTACACCCGGTTTTGAACGTAGCCTGGGTCTTTCTAATTGACACTGCGGATTCTTTTCTGTGGCCACGATAACTCCCAGCATGCTTGCACACCAACTTCATAGAAGCATATTTGAGTGTTCCGTGCAAGGGGTCATCGGTAGAAAGTTTAGAATGGCCGCTGGAAACAACAAACAGTTGATACGTTTCTGCTTCGTAATCTTTTAAGGCACTCAATGCATCATCATAGCTTTCAAAAATATCGCCTTCTTTCATCATTGTAAAAAAATTGCATAGGTTACAAAACAAATAAAAAATAAAAGTTAATTCTAGCAATTTAGCACACGAAACTGTTAAGCGTATGCTCTCAGTTGCATGGAAACAACAGCAGCTGTGTCGGAAGTAGCGTTTAATTACTAGATCGAAGCAAAATATAGTACTTATCATGGCACCTGTTTATTGTTACACCAGAAACATACCATTAATTTCAGAATGCAGTTTATTGCGGTACACTTTAAGTTTAATTAATTTCAGAACTATTGGCCAAAATCGTATAATATTACCAGTTATGAAATTTTGTTATTATGATTCACAGTTTATCGGACTGTGACTGCGCCAATATGTGCACCCCCCGGCCGCCAGGGGCCAAACAAATTTCAGGGAAGGTAAAAAAAACACGAAGTGGCTATGCGCAGGAGTTTCGTACTTGCGTAGTTTCGTACTTGCAGTAGTTTCGTACTTGCAGTAGTTTCGTACTTACGTAGTTTCGTACTTGCAGTAGTTTCCTATAATTAAAAACCTCCTGCGCATAGCTTTGACCTATAATATTATTATACTATTATTATGGTAATATACAAGTAAGGCAAGTACAGTACAGTAAGTAATTATTATGGCAAGTACAGTAATTATTATGGCAATTACAGTAATTATTATGGCAAGTACAGTACAGTAAGTACGCAGTATAACACCGCAAGTACGAAACGCCTGCGCATAGCCAATATTATTATATGACCTTAATATTATTATACTATTATTATGGTAATCTTATACGATTAATATTATACGATTTAACCGTACAGCGGCACTTTATTATGGTTGCTACGAAACTTACGGTACATTGAGTAAAGGTATACCGCTGCAGTACAACCGCAAGTACAGTACAGTAAGTACGCAGTATAACACCGCAAGTACGAAACGCCTGCGCATAGCCACTTCGGATAAAAATATTCCAATTTTGAATTTTCTAAATAAAATAATGCAGTAATTTCTTTTTGATAAACAGTGCTTTTGGTAAGAATCAGTATTTTTTTTATGCGGCATTTCTTATTTAAAGACCCTTATGTACCTGTATTTGCGTAAACTTGCTGGATTGCAAGAAATGGCAAACAGAAAAAAAAATATCCGAATACCCGACGGCGCGCTGCTACTGCCAACCATCTGTCGATTTATGTTTAAACGAATAATAATTTCAGATATTACTCGTATAACTTCGTATGAGAAAACATTCGCTAGAAACTGCCAGTATGGTTCGACGTAAGTTACTCACTTATCATTTTTGGAAAGAAAGCACTTATTATTCTTTTACATATACTCTGTTCGTCGTGTGCGACGACCTAACAACCAAATCGACCCATGGAGCATGTATGGGACAGCATTTTTATTGCTTCCAGATTTAGTAATTTTGTAAATAATTGAACTGATAAACAAGTAAGTAAACTAGCTCTACACCGACGAGCAAGTCACTCCGCTACGATGTTAGTATCGGGCGTGTCGAACGTAACGGGCACATCGGGCGAGTTATTTTGTCTGGTACAATATTAGCCAAGTGAGTAAGCAAGTGACCGAACTACAAACACTGTAAAGTCCATGTGTTGTTCAGTTTTAAATTTTTACTTAAGAGTTCCTACTTAAAAAAACCCAGCTTTACCATAATAACTTTATAGTATTTTACAGTACAACCCACTTTTAGAGGATTTACTGATGAATTAAAGGAAGTGACCCGATAGTGCCGATACTGTATACTGCTAAATACTACATAATGCTTAATTCGGTGCCTGCAAAAACACATTCATTTCTGCGCACTCCAAACTCTGGCTTATAACATTGTGCAGACAAGTGAATTTATGGAGTTCTGCCTGAAAGAAACTCGAAAAATTTGAACCCTATCAATATTATTAAAAGTTCTCCTTATAGACTAAAATAAATCGTTTTAAAATCTCAGAAAACATGATGAAAACTAACAAACTAATCTTCACAGCGAAATCATCAGATAGAGAAATTCATCCGCCACCAGCTAAATGAATGTTATGTGTTTAATCAGTATGGCGTATGGCGTAACGGAAAACCCCGTACGATCTGGTCAGAACAATCCAAAAAATTAATCGAAAACTTCTAACGCCATTCGATTTAGCGTGTCTGGAAACTGTGTCACATGCATTTTGTTTTAATAATTATCTGCTCCGGGTCCCGTGCACAGATGCCGGTGCCGGTACAGCCGGAACTCAAGGTGATCTTGTAAAAAATTTCAGAGTACGGTTGCATGGAGCAAAAAAATCAGAAATTTTAAACCGGTACCTAATAAGATCAGTAAATAAAAAGGTTTAAAGTTTAAACTTATCGGAGGGCTCGTTCACAGCCATTTGATTGGCAGCAATAAAAGAAATTATCGTAGTAATCATTCAAACGGGATGAATTTTCATTACAGTCCGAGCAAAACTCAAAACGAGCAAAAATTAAGACAGAACTAGAACTAGAATATGCGATATAATTTAGTTTTTTTTTAAAGCAGAAAATGCCAAACCGAAAAAATAAAATTAATATGAATGGTCACGACTCACAATCAATGCAAAAAGGGCCGTTCGCAATGAAACAACCATACACAGACAACACTTACTGATTACGCAATTATTATCGCTGCCACCTAAACCGACTCAAATAACAGTTTAAAATTTTAATTAAAAAAAACTGCTGCACACAACAACTACTCGTACCGTTCTTACCCTAAAGAATGGGTATTATTGTGCCAATAACAATAACACCGATAGTATTCCACCATTGCCAATAACACCACTGCCATTTACATAAAGTACTGACCTTTCACCCATTCACGGATTCACGGCATGCGGGAGGTATAAAGTATTGGCAGTACTTTACATAAAGTACTGACTTTATGTAAAGTACTGACCTTTCACCGATTCACGGATTCACGGCATGCGGGAGGTATAAAGTATTGGCAGTACTTTACATAAAGTACTGACTTTATGTAAAGTACTGACCTTTCACCGATTCACGGATTCACGGCATGCGGGAGGTATAAAGTATTGGCAGTACTTTACATAAAGTACTGACTTTATGTAAAGTACTGACCTTTCACCGATTCACGGATTCACGGCAAAATCCCAAGCAACCCATTCGTGGCACGATGAGAAAAACACGGTGCAGCAATACGCCACAAGCCGAGCTTCACAAATACTGACCGAACACATAAGACTTTTAAAACCGCCAGAACACAGATGATATATAATATATACACTGCACAGTAAGTAAGCACAGTGAACAGTCCATTTAACCTATTAACGAAAACGATGAACTACAGAATAATGAGGAAGATCGTTTGCATATTTTAGCGGCTGACTTGAGGCAATCCAAACTCATCTACTGGAAGACCCCGCCGGACACTAGGGGCATACATGTAAGTGATTGAACTATCCGCTGCGGGCTCTTGCTCGGCGCACCCGGCGCCTTGACAGCCTGATCCAGGTAATTGCATGGCGTCCTCATCCACTGCCAGCTCGTCGCCCAGCGCCGCCAATTCTAAAAAGAGCTGATCACTGACAACTAAATATCGACAGAAATCTACCACCAAAGTTACGTCTGCACGGTATTAAATCAGTGAAGTAGGCGATGACGTGACCAGCTCAGGTACCGTATCCTGTATGGAAAACACTAATAATTACACAAAAATATTAACGTTTCTACACAAAACGAAAGAATAAATTATCCGCGAATCTCGATTGTAAACGAAAAATTAAGAAAAGATTTTTTAAAAACCATTGCTCAGGAACAATTTCTGGCATGCCATACGACCGCGATATAGCCTCCTGCACATCACTTACTTCGTCCAGATACTCTGCCAACTCGTCCTGAACATCCTAAAACAGGGAACAGGGAACGAAACAGGCTGCAACACCACTGGATTTCGACAAATATAGGGTTTTTCGATTTGCTAGCTTGACCTTGCGAAAACGGGCTATTACGAGGAGCTGTAAACCGATAAAACCAAGTATCAACTACCAAGTATTGTTCGCAACACTTTGTCAGGCATGATACATAAAAAGCTGCAGAAATGCCAAATAATTTACGCCATACGTAGCTGCCCTAGTACCTAAAAACCACCAAAAAATCGCTCACTGTGCCTATCAATTTTTTAAAAAAAATAATACAGCGAAATCCGATGGCATCGACTGTGCTACGTTAAACAAAAACCCCCAGGAACATTTCACAAACAGTATATCGATGAAAATTTAATTTTATTCGGCAATGGCCACTGCATAGAATAAAAAGCCAGCGCTGTACACACTAATTAAAATGATAGACATTTAAACGATTTATATACAGCACCATCGGGTGCCCTGAAATGGCCCGTATTGGCGTTGGCGTATCCATCAGCATTCTGCTCTGGTTTAATTTAATTTGATGCTGCACGTTTACCTCGATCTTATTAATATCCACTTGTTTATAGGCCTTCTTCGTATCCTTGGAGTCCTGCTTTCATCGCGTCCAGAGTGCACTGGTTGTCTTTCAGCGTCTGTAGGGTGAAACTGACCCGTTCCTTAGCGTACTTTCGTTTCTGCTGCAGCACTCGCCGAGCCTTCTCCTTGATGGCATCCTAAAAATCAGCAAATGCTGCATAACAGTATAATTAATAAGAAAAGAAACATAATAATCGGGGAATTCAGACTCGGGGTAATCATTTATTAGCAGTTTTAAAGTTGCCTACCAAAATATACAATTTACCTTGGACGATCCTTCCTTTACTTTGTTCATCTGACCTTTATAATTCTTCAGATCGTCATCACATTTCGATACCTTCTGATCAATGCACTCCCCGCGACTCTCCACCTACAGTTGTATTTAAGCCATCATCGAAATTGGAATATCTCACCCAGGAACGCAGAAAACAGATATTCGCGTATACATTGTTAATAATCCATCCTTACACTGGCAATCACGTCCGCCAGAGTAGGCCGAGAGGCCTTTGGCTTTCCCGCTCCAAATAAACAATTCATTTTCTTAAAAATAGTTCGGTTCAAATTGATGGTAGGGTACTAATTCTTACACTGGCAGTTACGCTATCAACCATGCAAGAGTGAATATACGAGTACTGTATAGTATATACCGCGGATTTCCAAGATGTATTCTTCTGGCCCAATAATAACTTGCACAGTGAAAATCGAAAACCCCAATTAAAATACTAAGAAGATAGGCGAAAAATTGAAATTGACGAAGAAATGCTGATTCGAGACTCCACTTGCGAGCTGCGACCACAGCAACAGTTGTCAGTCGCACAAGCATCGCATTATATACACGACAGTCGCTGCGGGGTGTCAGTTACCTTCACGACAACGTCATCTGCCTGCTGGAGTGCTGGACAGTGGACACTGACCAGAGTGCGCTGACAAGCTGGCCGCCGTGCCCAAGTGAAGCTGCCTGGCGAAAATTCTTCGAGTGGTCAGGTTTTTGAATTTTTAGTTCATGAAACCGGACCAACTGAAGAATGTTCGCCAGGTAACTTCACTTCGGCACGGCCGGCAGCTTGCCGCGCACGCTGGTCATTATAAAAGGCTAATAAAAGCAACACCAGTGATGTGGACGTGGCCGTTGGACTATGTGGTGGTGCAGGATGACCACCGGGAAGAAGCCACGCCAATTCAGGGAATGTGAGAAATCTGTGAGTTACTATTGCTAATTCCTTGCTGGTGGTGACCTTTGTAGCTATAATGCTGGTTGGGACGCTACAACGTATTAATGTATCAAATCATATTGATATATTCAAGTGCATCGCCAGGGGTGGACGGCCAAAGGTCATAGGAAACTTAAGCGCGGATGTGCGCAGCCGTTCTTTGATCACTGCAGCCGATCAGACCCGATAAAGCGCTGGCGAAGCGATCAACAGTGGATGGCACTAGAGCCCTGCACCGGATTGGTAAATCCGAACCGCTCCGAATCCACTCCGATTTTCGTATCGGATTGGACGGATTCCACTCTCCAAAATTCGGACTCGGAGTGGTTTCGGAGTTTATGTGCATCTGACCGGATCGGATTCGGATGCAATCAAGACTCCGAATTATCCGTAATAAATATTATTAATTAATTTTTATTGAATTTCGCGCACCTTGCAAACAAAAAACTTCGACAGCGTCGCGCTTCGCGCGAGGCTTCATTTGCGTTAACGTACACAATGCCAAAGTAGTTCGTCAGCTTCGCGCGAGGCTTCATTTGAGTTAACGTACTCAATGCCAAAGTACAGTACTTCGTCAGCTTCGCACGAGGCTTCATTTGCGTTAACATACTGTGCCACAATGCCAAAGTATCTGTTTTTGTTTAGTTAATTAACTGTTTTTAATTCTCTTTCGCTTTCTCTTGCTAATTCCCTTGACACTTTTTAAAATTAGAGTGTTTTATGATTGCTGTGGTGGTATTAGTCGTTATGGTTTTACTAAATACTTTTTGTATGTTTACTTCAAAATTACGCTCTCCGACATTGGTTTCACGGCTCAGACAATTTAACTGGGCACCGGCTTTTCATTTCTTAAAGTTGTAGCACTAGTAATTCGATTAGTACCGGTGATAACGATAATAATAATATTATATTTATATGTTAAACTAACCCTAAAGAACAGGTTTGAATACATGAAACTACCGTTTTTTACAGTTGCGGACGATTAGAAGTATCCCTTCCTCGTTTTTACCTTGGCCTCTATGTAGGTGATCCGTGGGTAGAACCGTACACAATAAAAACATCTGATACAGATTTCTGACAGTGAGAACAGGTAGCTAACTTCCCAAAATCCTACCTTAGTAGGATTTTGGGAAGTTAGCTACCTGTTCTCACTGTCAGAACTACCTTCCCAGAATAGGTAGCTACCTTCCCAAAATCCTACTACACTGTAGTGTAAAGAAAAACTTCAAATTTGAAAAAAAAATTTTTTTTCTAGAACCTCTAAAGTAACATATTTTACGCCCAAGAAAAGACCAAACTGTGAAGTCTGTCTTTTTACTATCGTCAAAATGTCTAACAAATTTTTTGATATACTGTTAAGTTAAGATGTGTACGAGTACGATCGTACTGTATTAAATATTTCTGGGAAAAATTTTCGGAGCGGATCGGAGTGGGTTCGGAGTGGCCAAAAAATTTACGGATCGGATTGGTCGGAGTAAGATTTCTACAATTCGGAGTCGGACTGGGTTCGGATAAATTTTTTTAAGTTTGGACCGGACTGGACGAAGTTTTCTAGTCCGTTGCAGGGCACTAGTGGATGCATTTGTTTCGCTGCTATTGCACTGCGAGTGTTTGGACTTTGGTTACGATTCCGACAACTAAAAAATGGTGCGACGTCTGCGGCGAAATTTACCTGTCAGTCATATATAACCGATAATATTACCGCTATTTTGTTCTAGCTATTGGTATTTGAGTTTAAATGTAAATGGCAATTATGGCATTTGCTTGTACAAGTAACAATAAATTGTGAGGAATGAAAAAACGAGAAACTACCAAGCCGGCCAGACCGGTCGGTAGGTCGTACCAACATTATCCGGTTATGTGTTTAAGTGCATTCGGCGAGATGCAAAACCAGTGTTAACTAGTTAACTGAAAAAATCTTATTCAAACCGTTCGTCGTTCGGTTTCAGTGCTAAAAATTACAAAGCAAATTGCGCGTGTTACAGATTCGCTAGCCGCTAGGCACTAAACTAGGGTGCACTCATTCACCGACTAATTTCCACAATTTAACCATTTAATCAATTTTAATGGACAGTGTAGTGAAAATGAGCAAAACCTATCGAAAGACCTATCAAATTCTAACAAAATTCCCATCCAAAAAGACAAATAAAAACAGTCGCAAATAAAAAAAAACCTTTAAAAACCGGTTAAAAAGCGAATTAATGAGATTTATTAGTACAAAATGAGCAAAAGAAAACAGATCAAAAGTAACCAGAAGTAAGCGAAGGATTCCCATTCCATCACATGAACGGCGACCAGCCAACGTACCTGCAAAGTCCAAACATCATTCGTCCAATAACGCCCTGATCAGAAGAGAATTTTCTTACATTTGACAGAGGAGGCGCGGGCACGTGGCCTCGCGGATGAGGTAAGAGACCTGGCCCTTCACCGACAGCGCCGCCGACTGGCGCCCGGCGAAACTGCCGCTGCCGGTGCCGACATTGTCCAGATCCAGCTGCACAATGTGGCCGTGGATGCGCTGCTGGATCCGCTCCAGACACTCCACCGCGTCCTGATTCTGCGTCTCACCCGACTCATCTGTTAATGACATAATCACATGTAACTGCACGCACTAGACGTTTTATGTACTTGTGCTCAGTGTAAATTTTTTAATGCACAGAAAATTAGCGCAAATTCCTAACATTTTGATCAGGAATTAAATAACGCATTTATTATCGTAAAACTATTGAAATAATTAGTGTACAAAAATATTAATTTAAAAATTTTAAGAAACAAAATACTAACAACCCGAGCATCCATACACACGTAGTTAAATAAATGCGACTAATGAAACTAAATTAAAGAAATACGGCCACACATGAGCATTACGCGTCAGAGCGTGTACCCCAATATTTTGTATATGAACGTATTAAAAACTTAACCAAAAACTAACACATCCAATGATTAAACGTTCATTGTAATCAATGCACACTGTTAACCAGAGTTCAAATGGCTTAACAGACAAAGTAAATGCCATTGCACTACATTCCACACTACATAACGTGCACAGCACGATCTGTTTTCAATTTTAACCGCTGTTTTGAGCACATAGAATTTTAACCCGAGAGAGGATGTGGATGGTTGTTTTTTAAGGATTAAATTTTAACTAATACGTAGTGTACCAGTGTTTGCAATTATTGCTATTTGTTTCTATTCCCAATTAAAGTCATTTTAACTTTGAACGTACTGCGATTATTGCCGCCGGATCCACTGCTCTGCCACTCCACCAGCGGATCGTACAGAAAAGTCTTCAGAACACTAATCAGGGAGGCCTTCTGCTCGCGGATGACGCTGAGCGTCAGCTCGCACGCTTCCCGGAAGAAGCCCTCCACACCCAACGGACCCATGGCGTCCACCAGATTCTGCGTCAGTCTAAAGAAACAAAGTATCGGTCGAACACACACATTAATTTAATTTAATTCCGCCGCAATTTCCGCGCATCAGGGAAGAATTCAGTTATATTATTCTGACTTACAAAACAGAATGTGCTAAGCTTTCCAAAAAGCTCTTTAAAAAATTTAAAAGCTCTTAAAAAAAAAGCTCTTACAAAAAGCTCTTAAAAAAATTTATTACACTTTAGTATGCTTTGAAATTGAGTGCTCTGTGGCCCATATCGTCACTCAAGTAGTTAATTAATCAACAAAAATGTGCCGCATCGCAGCAAAAACAGAAATTCTATTAAAGTAAAATCAAATTTTATATTCAACTATTGTTAAAATTATGTTTGCCAACATCGAGAAGGCGCTGGCAAAGCAATGTACCGTAACCCACCGGAAGGGGACACGTTCGGGCCAGTCCAGCGCCTCGCCCTTGTTGAAGAGGCAGCTGAAGTCGCAGTGCATGGTGAGTGCCGTGGCCTGGTCCAGCATGATGTTCTCGCAGTGCCGGTCGCCCAATCCCATCATGTAGCCGACGATGCTCATGACGGCGCAGCTGCGCGCGTACATCAGCCGACTGGCGTAGTACACCGACGCCTCGGGGAACTGCCGCGACAGCCACAGATGCAGCACCGGCTTGTAGCGGGCGTTCATGGTGTCCAGCAGACGCAGTCGCTCCTCGATGGGTGCGTAACGATTGGCTGAAACCAGACAACATAAGCAGCTGAGAAATCCGCTTTGAATTCAGATAAATAAATTAAAAATCATAAAAATGAATAATAAAACAATTAAAAATAAACACATATAAAACACACAATGAAGTCATTAAATTAAAATAATACTGCCTTCCGTATCCGTTATCAGTTATTTTCTACGCGAATTACTGTAATGGGAGAAAATACTGTAATAATTAAGAATCAAATAAAACGGCTAAATTAATTATCAGAGTATTAATCGACCAATAAGTTGTTAAATTAATTAGAAAAAATTTAAGATATTAATCCCCCACCAAGCTGATTTATTTGATTTAAATTCGCATTGATTAAATAAGACAGGCTTGTTTACTTGAGTATCACTAAATGAAGCACCATAAAATCCATGTACTGATTCGTGTCTGTAAATGCCTAACTGCATACCGCTGAACGTCACAATATCGCTGTTGCGCAGGTCAATCTTGAGATGTTTCTTGTAGCCCTCCATGATAATCTGCCGCAACGGCCGGACATTGGGCACCCACTCGATGATGCCGTTCTCCTCGCTCAACGGGACCACGGCGTAGCCGCGCACGTGCAGCTGACGCCGGTGGCACTCGGCGTTCTGCCGCAGATACTTGTTCACCAACTCCACCAGTTCCATAAAACGTGAATCCTTCCGCAGATCATCTTTGGGTTTGAGCAGCAAATCGTGACTGCGACCTATAGGCATTAAATTCAGTCAAAAATTCCACTGTAATTCAGTAAAAAATATGAGTAAATCCACAATGAATAAGAAGAGAAAAAATCATTTCAGAATTAATTACCCGGCAAAACTTCAGGCATGTACGTCCGAAATCTGACAGGCAAATTAAATATTTCCAAGCGGCATATTTAAAGAAGATGAATTTACCGTGTCAGTATAAAAAGCAGAAATAAAAATACAATCTAAATCAAATATATTATTAGATATATACACAGATATATATACACAGATCGAGATATAATATTTTATTAATCATGAAAATCAATCATAAGCAAGAAAAACGCAAATAAAAACATGGGCAAAATAATATAAAATTTTATTTGCACAAATAACAGATACCGTACCGTCCGAATCGATTATGGTGATGCGTTTAGGACGCTGCAGCGAATTAAGCAGGGAGAAATCGTTCTCGATGCGGCAGATGGTGACGGGCTGCATGGGAAAGGCGTTGTGACTGGCCATCGCCTCCCGTCCACCCCCCACCCGACTGCTGAGCAGGGCCGGCGTCATGAAGGCGCGGAAGGGCAGCAGCGGATGCAGCCAGCTGGTGTCCTCTAACAGCCGCACCAGCCGCTTCGTCTCGGGAAACTCCGTCAGCAGCGCCGTGTCCGCGCGGCCCGGCACCTGCAGATTGCACAGCATCTCGCACTGCTCCAGAAATTCCTCCATCTTCGTGAAGAACCGGTTGACATCTGGCAAGTGTACAATATCGCAAATAAATCATCCATTTATTACTTAAATTCTTTAATTCACTGCACTTTTTTGATTTATTAATTCGAATTTATTCCCACTTATGGAGTCGGTATTTTTACTTATTTAATTTATCCCATAAAAAATGGCGTTTTTAATTTTAAATTCCAACAGAATTTATTCCAACAGAATTAATTTATTTGAATTTATTCTAACAGAAATAATTCATTCTTCTTCAATTTTTTTATTTAAATTATCCCATACATTTCGTCGGTATTTTTACTTATTTATTTTTATCCCTAATGACATTGTTACAGGACTTTAATGTATATTTCATTCAAAATTATTATTTATTCTTCAGTTATTTAATTTAACCCACTGATTGTCGAATATAAAGGAGCACCGCATACCGATGTTGTTCTTGTCCATTTTCATGTATTCCATGATACGCTTGTAGCGGCGATTGCGTGTCAGTTTCTTGGAGCGGCACACCGGCGCCAGATGCCACATGGCGATCTGCGGGAACTGCCGACTGACGGTCACGATCAGTTCCATCAGCAGTACGAACACCTGCAAAAAAACGGCCATTTTCCACACATTTCCTGCTTCCTGGTAGGCGGCGCCAAACTCCCATGCGTCAATAATTTAGCAGGTAACCATAATTTCAGCTTCAGCCACGTTTTCTTGAAACATTACCGAAAAATCGTAGAATACTGGCACAATATTACGAAGTCATTAATCTTGTTAAGTTACAATACCCGGTTCGGGTATGAACATAACTTAGATAATATAAGAATTTAAAAAATTTTCTTTTTGCTTTTAAACAAAGCGAAAGGTTGTTTATTTACCAGAGCCAAAAATACCCTCACTTTCTCGACGCTAATGCAGATTAACGGGACAACCCGGGCAAGTCTTACAAATTAAAACATTTTTCAGTTTATTCTGTAGTATGCTCCACTGCCTAGTAATCGGAATATATAATTAAATAATTCAAACCTCTTCGTTGATGTTGCAGATGCGGGAGATGAGCTGGGGGAAGGCCACCAGGAAGACGTACTTGGGGATCTCCTTGATGGCCCGCCGCATCTGCGCCTGAGCGTCCTCGAAGATCTGCTGCAGTTTCACCGTTGGCGACTGCAGTTTTCCGCGCTTCATCTGGCAGACCTTCTGGTAGGCGGCGCCAAAGTCCAGCCACAGGCCCAGCAGTCGCGGCAGGCACTGATGGATGAACCGGCATCCAAGCGACAACGCGCTGATATACTCCTTCATCACTTTCAACATCTGCCACAACAGCACAACCATTTCCGATTATTAAATGAATGATATGCAATACCAATCAAGTCAAACAAAAACCTATTTTCTCATACGTACTTGATGTAACGAAAAATCGTAGAATATTGCCACTTCATATTGCCACTTTATGCTATCCAAGCCCAAGGGCTTAAATTATTATTAAATAATTTCGGAAATTGTTATGAATTACTTCTACTTTTTCTCCTAAAATAAAGCGAAAACTTATCCATTTTTTATCGCCAACCAAACAGTTTCAATCAATTTTTGTTCATGGTTCAATTTTAATTTTAATCATTTTTTGGTCAATTTAATTTCTTTTTGCATTACTAACGTTTTCTAAACATTAATGGACATCGATATTAATAAACTTTCTCGGCATTTTAAATCAAGAAAAATTAGAAATCACGTACAAATTAAGAACCCATGCGATAGAATTAACAGTATTACCGATTACGGTTGCTGTGCCATTTTTTAAACAGCTGAAAACATGTATAATAAAACGGCAAAAAGTCAAGCCGCACCTGTTCGCCTTCGGTTTCCAATCGCACCCAGACCGGCCGCTCTTCCAATGGCGTGCGGCTGCCCCTCTCCTCCAGACTGGAGCCGGTTTTGCCGTTAGACACGCCGCCGGCGTTCTTCTCCATGGCCTCCAGCGCCCGGTCATGGTAGTGGCCCAGGTAGAAGTGGCTCTTCTCAATCTCCGGCGCCAACACCACCACATCGCTGTAGCGGTCCATCAGCTCTTTACCCGAGACGGTTTGGGATTCGTCCAGATAGCGTGCCGTCAACAGTTTCATTCGAGCCTGTAGAATCGCCGATTAACGATGGGTTAACACGATGATATCGTAGAGCAGTGTATCACAAAATTAGCGTTATAACTGGCTTACAATGTAATACAAAATGCCGGATAAAATTAAAACTGCAAAAACTTTACACAAAAATCTTTTTAATACCCCGGTCACGAAAGTTAGGATTGTGAAAACTTGCAAAAATAAAAAAGTCGTCCAAAAAGTGGGTCCAAAAAGTTGTATAAGCATTTTTACACGAGGAATATCTTTACTGGTACCACAAACAAGGATAAGAATTTTTTTACGAAGACATCCCCATTTTAATACGCCACAAAATTGTATTAATACGAAAAAACGTTTAAATAGATCATTTTTTCCCAACCGAATGTATATCCCCCTACCTGCATGCCTTTATCCAACGAGGCGAACGATTCCACCTGGACCACCCGTTTCAGGGAATCAATGGCCGCCTCGCGCTCCCCCTTGGCCCAGAGGAATTTGGCGTGCTCGCGGGCAGCGTCGATGGGCACCAGGGGCATGGCGCTGAGGACCAGACTGTAGGCCGTCTGCAGATGGTGGAATTTGCGGGCCATCTTGGCGTTCTGCACCAGACACATGCCCATCTCCATCCGCACATCTGCCCGCTCCGTCGCCTCCAGCAGCAGACGCCGCACCGTCAGGATGCGCTGCATGTTGCTGTAGGACGGCTGCACGTTGTCCATACTGCAACGGATTACAGAAAAAAACTGCTCTGACGGCCAACAATAATTACATCCTTCGCGCATACGCCAATAGTTTCACACGGCATTATTAATCGACATTTATCTGCAGTTTTCTTGTAAAGCCCAAAACATCGTAGTACATTGCCACTTTCGTCGTTAACGTCCCCATCAGGTGTCAACAGAAAACTTGAAAATTCTTATGAATCGAAAGACTGCAAATATTTTTTCTAAAATTTTTAGCAGAAAGTAAATACAAAGATAAATGATCTTATCTATTTAAATATGGTAATGTAGTGACATACCGGTAGCCCCATTCGACCAACAGCTGGCCCGAGGTCTTGGGAATGATTTGCAGTTGGGGATCGGGCGTGATGCCGAACCATGTAATTGCTGCTTCTTCGATTTCCTAGAATAAAATGTTTAAATGGCAACGGTCACAGATATCCCTAAATGACAGACACAGGACGAACACGTTACCGAAATAAGCAAATAATTCGATTTAATTTTTAATTTAATTTACAAATTTCATATTATTCAATTTCAGATAATGAACGAAACGCGCTGCCAAAGCGAACACCTTACTTTTACTTTGTTGTGACACAGCCACAAGGAAATTCGCACTGGTGTGTTCAGCTTAAAAGATTAAATAATTGAATTTCGATCAAAATTTACAGTATCGATCAAATTAAACTCTAATGGAGTTTAATTAGTATTTAATATTGCACTGAAATTGATTAAGGATTCAGACAAGCTAATTCTATAAAGAACTTCTTACGTATTTTTGCTCACGTATTGATTATTAGGTTGAAATCGGGATGAACCAGTCGCCTACCTGTAGAACATGTAGGAGAACGAGATGATCGTACGCCTTGTGATAGGCCTGCGTCTCAATGCCGGCTTGACAGATGGGCCCCATCAGACAGCCCTGCAGATCCTGCAGCACCTCCCAGAAGACGCTGTTACTCTGCTGTTTCACGGCCAACAGCAGTCGCCCGACACCGACGTTCCACTGGCTGCTGCTGGAGGCTACATAACGCTGATTTTCATCATCCAGATAGCGCTCCAGCGCGCCCCACTCCGCCAGCTTCCATGCGGCTTCAATGCGCAACGGGTTCAGTTCGCCCATCCAGTCGGCATTGTCGTCCAGTAACTAATAAGCACAGGTTACGCATCAATAGATTTATTTCGTATTTGTCCTAATTTCCGTTTAATATATTCCGAAATATAAAAGGAACGGCACGATTTATTCTGCATCGGAATTTAAAAACAACTCTGTATATTACTTACTATGTATATTATTCACAAGTATTGTACAAAATCGTAGAGTAGTGCCCAGGTCTCCTCTTACCTCTGGAAAAAACTGCAAATCGGCTACTAAGCAATGTACACTGTAATTAGACTATAATATAATGTTGGACATTGTTCTAAGCCAAATGGCTCATCTTAATTTTTGCGCCAACAAATTATCATTAATCGATAAAATTTTCTCGACATTGCTGGGAAGCAAAGTAAAAAATTGGGTAAATACTGCAAATAAAAGATAATGATTTTTATTGTGGAAAACACATAAAAAGTGCTTCAAGTATTTCTGGCAATCAACTGCTGAGAATGTTTAAATTATTTCCCAGCTCTTCGTTAAATACGCTTAGAATTATTTACTTATAAAAACCATTTTAAAAAAAAACCATTTTAAATACTGATTATTTAAAAACCATTTTAAATACTGATTTTATATATGCGTAAACATCAATAGGCAAATATTCCAAAACAACAAACCAAACCACAAACATCGGCCTCATTCACATACATCAAGAATATTTTCGTTGACGGTGTTTACTAAAATGATTCCAGACCTATTTCAATAAATATTAAATAATTAACATTTTCCTAGCTTAAATAGTTATTCAACATCAATCATAATAACTTGCTATATCAACTCCAAAAGAAATACTGACTGGAAATCTGCACTGACCCCGTCGCAGAAGGACATGGCCGCAGCCGGCTGGTCCAAATCCAGCAGACAGCGCGCCACTTCGGCGTTGTAGAAGGCCAAGTCCGCCGCGGCGCTGGGGCTGTCCTCGGTGAGTTTGGCCTGCACCAGCTGCTGGTAGCAGGTCAGGGCGTCCTGGATGGCGCCGCTGCTGCGATGGCGCACCACCAGATCCTCGATGGACGGGGCGCTCGTGCGGCAGTCGTTGACGCCGCGGATACCGTCCGCCTCGTTCAGTGACACGTAGATGGTCTGCAGGAAGTCCACCTGTTCCTGGTTACCGCGCCTACGTACCAAAACAACCGGAAATTTCACTAAATCGATTATTTTTTCGTTTGCGCTTTCTCGATCCGCTCCGTACACCAGTAAATTCTCATTTCTTGTACACCAATAAATTCTCACGCTTAGTACCATTGACCTTTTTTACTGTAAAGGTTAGCAGCAAAAATATCAAATACGCAAGTCTTAAGTAAAGTTTAACTTGTTTTTGCCAGCAAAAATTTTTTGAAAGTATTTCAAAAACTACAAAAAATATTCAAACCATTTAAACGTTTAATTAATTAGGATTGAGTTTAATTTCAATCAACTTTCAATCTCTTTGATATAAGACTCAAATAAAAAAATTGAAAGTAAATATGTAAGTAAATCTGTACTATCAATATTATTACAGGCGCAGCTTGCATTTTACACAATACAGAGAAATATTAAAATACAGATTTGTACCACAGCTACACGTATTTACCATTGCAGCATGGTGGAATCTTTTTGGCGGATGAAGTTCTCGTAGTGCTGCAGGGCCTTGGCGTAGGTGCCGCAGCTGAAGCAGGCCTTGGCCATGCTCTCCTCGGAGATGGACCCGAGGAAGTCGCGGATGCGCAGCGTCACCAGCTTCTTGCATTCCGTCGCACTGGCGGCCTCCGGTGCCAAGTGCATCCGTTCGCGGCGCACATACGTCACCGTGCCCTTGTCGTAGCTGAACTGATTCAAGAAATCCAGCAAATCCATCACCGCGTACGTCGCATACTGTTGCATGTTCAAATGCAGATCGCGCTCGTGCGACTCCAGGACTGTCACAATTTCCGTCCCTAAATAAGGCATCCATTTTATAAATAATAAAAAGAAATTAGTTTAAATAATTAGTAGTACGATTTACTGGTTAAATTCAATTGGTGTTATTCCCCGATAAACATTCGGTTACACTCCCATTTAATTTTTAACCAACGAGCATTTATTATGAATCAATTCCCGTACACTTCTACAGACTGTATAATCAGGCAAAAATTCGTGATATACCGAAAATGCAAAATGCGATTTACTGTCTCATTTTATTCACATTGATTAAACCAATTAAACTGCATTAAGCTGCATTAAACCAATTTCATATTTTATATGTCTATTATAATTTATTAATACCATATATTTTTAAGATCAGGCTAAAATTAAGTAATTCATTTATACTGAATTAACTAACAAAATAAAGTTAACCAAAGTCCGATTTGATCTTACAGTTTAATTTAATCTTCCCATAAGAATCCCAATTACCGATTTTCAAAATATTTACTTCACTGATTTTCACAAATAGGTGTCTGTGTTTAATTTTCTGCCTTAATTTTTATTCTAATTAATCCATCCATAATATTCTAAATCAAACTTAGAATGAACAATATCATATATCATAAGTGCAACATACTGATACTATCGGCCACAGGGGGACTCTCAAACAGCAGCAGATAGGCCACAATATGCGGCAGGAGGATGACGCAGCGGTTGAGATCGTCTAGCAGTAATTTGCCGCATTTGCGGAAGAAGTTGGCCGTCTCCGTCTGGCAGCTGATGCTATCGATGAGATTAACCGTCCACTGGCGCATCCACATACTGAACGACGCGGCGCCGCCCTGCGTCCCGAAGACCGGCCGCGGCACTCCGGCGGTGCTCCCGCTGGGGACCGCTAACTGCGTTTGGGTCAGCTCGTCATCGGCGTACGTGTACTTGGTCTTGCGGAAGGGTTCCAGCGTCTCGCGGTAGTCCTGCCCGCGTCCCAACAGCTCCCACAGTTCCGTGTCAAAATCCTGCGTGGAATAGTAGTCCTCGTTCAGATGGTAGAATTTCAGGGCTTCTTGGATGACAAAGCCGCAGTGGTCCTGGATGCTGTATGGAAAATCAAGCAACTGAATTAGCGAAATAATCATTCACAATAATTATCATCGACTATTAATTCTGTTGATATTATTTGGATAATTTGTGTTCAATATTATTGGTTCTTCTTTTTGTTGTTGGTTTATTTTTTAATCAATTTATTTTGCAGTGAGTCGTTAGGTTTAAATAAAAGCAATCCTTAGTAATTATTATATCAAAAATAATTATTTCACGACTATTTTGATTTCCGAATGTTTATTTGTAACCATTTTAACTTCGTAATTTTCACATTTTCTATTATTCGACAATGGTTAATCACGTGAAATTATTTTACGAGCATTTCTTGTAACTATCAATCAGTCAGTGCTTTCCATAGTTGACAAATAATCATTTGTGTTGACTAACATATCGAGTATCGACTAACATATTACTAAAAAATTTTTTATAATTAAGCCATCCTTGTGCTTACGAGGTCTTCTCGGCGGTGACGTAGCCCTTGGCCAGTTCTTTCAAGAAACTGCAGGCAAACTCCTTCTGGTGGATGTTGAACAGCAGTCGGCTGCCGGTATCACAATGCTCAGGAATCTCCACACTGTTACCAACAAAAGCGCAGATTATTTTATTCCTATTATCGATACACATTTCGAGCGAAAACTTTAAATGACAAACTGCGCGTCTTACAAATCGGGATCGAGGGCACCAATACATCCCAACACCTCGGCGAAACTCCTCCGCTCCGCCATCACATGTGCATCCCGACACCCGGCCACCAGGGCGTTCAACAGTTTGACGACGATCTCCTGCTGACCCTGTACGTCGCCCGAGGTGGCCTGTAAGTGTTGCTGGCGCTGATCGGAGTTGGACACCAACGTGTACAGATTCTCCTACAAAAAAAACCATTATTCTAATGCTCAATAAAAATATTTGCACTATAATGTTTGGGACATAATGAACTGTAGTGCACCTAGTAAAATATCTTTGCTAGTTTCGCTGTCGTGAGTTTTGCGATCTAATAAAGCGGAAAAAAATTTTCACTGAAATCTGTCAGTTGTGCCATTTTGTTCAGTGGATATTTGAACGATCACTGACAACTGTTAGAGAACTGAATAAAAAGCTTAGAATCCACTTTTTCTACGATGCCACCCAGTTAACATTGTCATAGTGTTGGAGACGGTTGTCAACCGGTGAAAACCGGCAGCTTAACCATAAGGTAAGCCACCGACCGACCTGGTTATTGCGGATGAGCAGTTTGAGCTTTTTGAGCGCGTACTGCTTGGCCTCGATATGGGGGATGCGCAGGAGATTGCTGGCGGTGGGCGGGAGGGTCAGGCTGTGCAGGGCCGTGATGCGGCCGGCGTTGCCTTCCGGATTGATGCTCTGGATCGCCTCGGCCAGCTGTTCGGCCAGGGAACCGTCCTGCTTGGGCGACCAGCCGCCATGTTGCGCCAGAATATCCCGCACGAACTTGAGCTCCGGAATGTCGGGGATCACGAAGAGATCCTGTCAAAAATTGCTTCATGCGTCGAGAGACAGTCATATAAGATGCAGACACTAACGTGCAATAAGGACGAAAACGTGCCAGCTAGGACGAAAATCGAGCTGTCAACATTCCAAACGTCAATCAAATGCCTTTCAGATTCAAAAGAGTAATAGGCGGTTGTGCGTTTAAAAATGCTTAGATACAGAACAAATTTTTTGTGAGAAAATATCACAGAATCATACGAAAGTTTTACATTATACAATTTCAGAAAGCACTAAAACAACGTAAAAAGGCATATATTTTACGAAATGGCTGTGCGCCCCGACAAACCGGGCGCACAGAATTTGGCTTTGCGCCCCGATGTCCGGGCGCACAGAATTTGGCTTTGCGCCCCGATATTCGGGCGCACCGAATTTTTGCATAAATGAAATAATGCGCTAGTAAAAGCACGTTTTCTTATTCTCTTCTTTGTTCGTAGCCAGCATCAGTTGCAGAAAACTGAAACAGAAGATGCGCGCGGCACTAGTTTAAAAAATGAATGGTAAATCAGCGGTCCTAATTAAAAGAAATGAATGGTAAACCAGCGGCATTCTCCTCTAATTCGGCCTTTATTGGACACTTCAAATCTATTCGGAGCTGTGTTGCTTCCTTCTGCGTTAGAACGATTGGCGCTTTCGGCGGCGATGTGACTTCATGGTTAAATACGCCGCGTTTCCTCGGAGTGTTTGTAATTTTTTCTTCTTCGATGATTTGCTTAAGCCAGGAACGGAACTCAGTTTCGCTTTAATAGTTCGAGTTCTGAGGGTTCACTTTACGGATAGTGTCGAGCGCGAATGCACAAGAGTATACTGCACAATTGTTTGAGCCGGCCGCCTGTTTTGGTACCGCGGGCATGGTAATTGTGATGTTTTTTTCTCGACCACATAGTGTCCATATTTGCAAAAGGATCCAGGGGCTCGGCTGCCAACCCAAAGAGTCAAAGAGGTAGATCACTTTGGAGACAGGGTCGGCTTTAAACGTTACAAAGTGATCCCGCATGTTGAACACGGGCTGGACATGTTGAACACGATCGCAAAATACAGCCGACAGTTCTGACGATTCGTTGTGTTTCCAAAAAGTGTGAAAAAAGCTACGCATAATGTCAGCAGTTTCGTTTGCCAAAAAGCCGATCGCTGCGCACTGTCCAAAACCATCCCTGTCCATTACCACAACTGACCACATGCAGTACCGTTCGAAATTTATGCGGTATGTTCCATCAACAAAGATGACTTCTGGGTACTTTCGCATCATATCATGCATGCCGCTGGTCTGAATGAAAAGCATGACCAGTCGGCCATCTTCGTCTACAACCGGTTCCACGATCGCTTTTTCGTCGCCTGCAAGAAGATCTTGAATGACCGTTTCAACCACCTCTTCCTCGTGCTTCCCTTTCCGCATTGTTTGCTTAGTTTTTGTGGCTATATTATGAATGGTTTTCGGAATTACTCTGCCAGGGACATTGGTAGAGGATCTGCCATCATTGACTGCTTTGGCAATGGTGGCAGCCGGGACTCCGGTCTTCAGCATTTCTTGAACGTTGGCATTCTCTTTTTCCGACAGGTTCCGGCGTTGCGGTTACAATTGGAACATTTCCTTGCTGATCTCGTGCGAGTGACCTTCGTGCAGCGGAGTGTACTTTTCGCCAGGAATATTGACAAACTTAAGCCAGGCAGCAGTGTCCGCGCGAACGATTTTTATTACGATGCAGACTGGGAAGCTTAGCTTCAGTGAAGTCTGGTTATGGCGCACTGTAGGGTTTGACTCTTTTCTGTGCGTACGAGGTTCCCCGTAGTGGATACACTCGTAAGTTATTTTTGAATAACGCAAGGTGACATAATATCGATCACTTGGCCGCAAAATGTCCACCCTTTTCCCCTTCACAAATATTTGATTCGTTCGGATCATATATTCTTCCATATATGACTCGAGGTCACGTAATGTAAAAAACTGCATATCCTCTGATGGATTGCGATTCGCAAGTGCCATTGCGGGAAGTGCGAGGCGAGAGATGTAGTACCACAAAAACGAAGTACCGTTTGAAATCTCACGTTGTATTAGAGTTTCAGTAAGAACGTTTGCCGCGCAGTGTATGTATTTTTGATTTGTTTATGCAGTTAAACATTGTTTCCATGACAAAAACAAGTCGACGTACATTCGACGTTGCTCCATTCTAGAGTATGCACTAGTAACAAATGACTATAGTACTGAACCTTCCTGTACTTTCGAAGATTTCATTCGGCGAAAATAAAAATCGGGGCGCAAAGCTAAATTCTGTGCGCCCGGACGTCGGGGCGCAAAGCCAAAATCTATGCGCCCGGTTTGTCGGGGCGCATAGCAGTCACCTATATTTTAAGTATACATGTACAAATGCGCAGAAGCAAAAAACTTCGAAAAAAAACTGTAAAAATGATTATTTCCCTGCGTCTGAAATTTTAAAATTTCATTTTGCTTAACAGTTAAGACCAATTTTAATTCCCATCCTTTTTAAAAACAGATCAAGACTGTTCGAATTCCAGCCCAAATTACAGCAGCGCGTACCGGCAGATGGTTGCGCAGTTTATCTTGTCGGACGAGATGCTCCAGCAAGGCCACCACCTGGGCGCAACACGTGTGAACAAACGGTGTAATGATGATGACGATCTCACAGAGAATGGGTTCTGCAAATCAATAACAGTCATACAAACACTTAGGTAATTTAATAATTTATTAATAATAATATTATTATTACTTAATTATTATTTTACTTAATTTAATTATTCATAACGTCAATCGTATCCAAATTTTAACTTACAATTTAAAAAATACATCAAAAATTAATAACATAAATTCAAAAATTTAAATTAAAAACGTACTGAGCGCCGCCACTTCCAGTGTCTCGACAAACGCGGTCCACGCGTCGAAGCAGGCCGGCTGCAACTTGACCGGGGCCGTTTGTAAGACGGTCTTGAGGGTGGCCAGCAATTTACTGCGCACCGCCGACGTGCGCTGCGGTCCCATGAACTTGATCAACTGGGCCAGACTGAGCAGCACTTTCCGTCGGGCCTTCAGACTGCTCTCCGGGTCCTTGAAGACGCGGTCCGCTTCGAAGAAAAAGCCCAGGAAACGCGGCTCAATGTAGGAGGCCAGCGCGTCCAGATCCACCTCTGACCGGGTGTCGAAGTGGTGGCCTTGCACGTTGGCCAGAAAAAGGATGGCCCGCATCACCTACAAGCAAATTAATTTCCATTACATCATAAGAAGAGTCGGTTAAGCCCAAAATGGAATTCTCAAAAGGATGAAACCCTTATACTACGCCAGCCCTCATGTAACCAGCAGTTTTGAGAACTTGTACACGACGAGTGCCATTGCGCTTAGACGGGTTAGCTTGCTGTTTCCATTTCAAATGAAAAAGCAAATTAAACGTGACAAAAATAATAATAAATACCAAATAAAGCAAGTAGATATAAAAAATATTAAAGAAATTAAAACGAAACACCTGAAACTTCAAAAAAACAGCAAAACAATTAAAATTAAAAAATGATATTAAGTATAAGAATTGACTGGTTGCTTCTCTCATACGATCCCATTAATAAAAGACACATTTAAAGATGAAGAAACTGAAAGTGCAAAGTTAAATAACAGCAGACACGACAGAAATCGCCGACGATTACAAAATAGAAAATAATAGTTGGCAGACTACACGCTTACATCATCCGGTTTTTCGCTGAGATTAAGGAAGATCTTATGGTACACCCAGTGATTCTCCGCCGCCAGCAGATCCAGCCGCGTGCGGTGCGTCTCCTCCTCCACAATACTCAATCCGCGTTCCAGCACCTCCGGAGTGGGCGCATCCACCAGCAGCTGCGGGAGAAACAGCTCCAGAAACTCCGACAGATGCTTCTCCAGCGAACTGCCATACACCCGCGCCAGATGCCGCATCTCCTCGCGGGCTTCTTCAGAGCCGTCCAGCAGCAGGGCTTTGAACAGAAAGGGCGTCAACAGCCGCAGACAGTCCTGTACCGTGCCGGATAAGCGGTACATGCGCAGACACGTCGTCACCATCGTCTTGATGTCCTGCTCACTTTCCCCCAGGAACATCACGGCTAAGACGGCGCCGTACAGCGGGGCGTTCTCGGCGAAGAGGCGGGGGAGGGGTTGTTTGTGCACTTCCCCCAGGAAGGTCAGACACTGGGTAGCCGATACCATCACCTGCAAATGAGCAACAAGGTGAATAAACGTCAGCCGATGAATTCGCATTAAGATACAGTACTCTGATCCGCATACTTCTCTCCAGTGAGAAAATTATTTAAAAAACGGCGCTCCTTGTAGTCTTTGATTTAACATTTCTCATTAAAATTATTGTGAACGATTTATTTTTGCTTTCGATACCGTACTGAAAACCTTCATTACCATCTTGTACAGTAGCAGTGGATTTTAATCGACCAGTTATGCAACTACACACTACACGCATGTGAGTTTCATTTCGACAATTTCTCTAATTATTTTCATTGGACGCTATAATTAAAATGTATAATTAAAATGTAATTAACCTTGCAAGCAAATTCAAAACTGTAAAAAGAATAACCGGAAAACACATCTATAATTTATACAGTAAAACTCACAGGTACTTATGTTATCAATAGATTCATATATCCTTACGTCCTTATTTTTTGGAAATTATCTTCTAAATCAAGATTGATTTTTTCAATAAGTTGATGATTTTATAAAATAGAGCATCGCACAAACGTTCCTACCTTTATATTTAAAAAAATCCTAAGTTTTCGAGAAGGTCTAAAAAAATTTTTAGAAGCGGTAGTACTTAAAGGTTGTTAGTACTTAAAGGTTGTTGGTTTTGGAAAATATCTCCTAATTCGAGATTCCGTTTGTGAAGCTTTTGATAGTTTTATAAAATCCAGCATCTCCCAAAGCTTCCTACCTGCTGCTTGGAAAAAAATTTTGGTTTCCGGAACGTTTTCAAAAACCCTTTTAAACTTTCAGTACTTAGCGTTTAAAGTTCATAGAAATTTCCAGTAAATTCTGGAAACATCTCGAATGAGCAAATACAGGTTTTGCAACTTAGCAACCTAAACAATAGTTATTTAAAATTGTAAATTACATCAAACTTTTAAATTTACTTTTTTAAATTCTTGAAGCCCTTAAGATGTTTTTAGATGCGTTTGATTACCTCAAAATAACTGTAAATTTAATAAAAATCGGCTCCAAAGCTTTTACATTTCCAGAATTTCTAAATATTTCTAAATATTTCGACTCGGCCCGCGCAGCGGGGCCGTTACCTCTAATTTTCTGAGCCTCCAGAGTTTCAAAATTTTAAAAATATCTGGAAATCTGAGTATCTCAATATCGCACGGCTTAAATTGTCCAATTTATATGTATTTTGAACTAATTTCTAAATATCTAAAAGCCGGCCCGCGGCCCGTTTACCGTCTTCACTCACGTAGCGGCTCTGTAATTCTGGTGGTAGCTTGGTCATTCACTAACCTACGTTGCTCTGTAATACAGAGTACTGGCGGTAGCTTGGGTATTCACTAAGCTCGAAATCTAATATAATATATGTATTTATTTTATTTTAATAATTACTGAAGAGCTTGACTGATTGGCTGAAAATCTTACAGTCTTACACGCAGCCTGCGAGGTCACCTTGGGCAACCGTTAATTGTTTCCCACAAGTTTCCATTAATTCTGCGCTGAAATATCGGCTGAACGGTTTTTTATGGGCATCGTGTAAATGATCCCATCCATCCATTTTATCACCGTTTAAATATTATTTGTCGTACCAAAAAATACAGGTTTTCAGTTCGTTAGAATTGCAATATAAAGTTACATTAAAAACGGGAAAAAGAACCGTGAAAAAGGCAAACAAAAAGAAAAATTACGGAGGCTTTCAGTTTTTATAAACTGGTCGAATTTAACCGGGAAGCTTGAAAACTGTCCGCATTTCCACATGTTTAAAATATTTTCGTAGCTGGCCTCACTGGGGTTTTATATTTGAAATATTTCTCAAGATATTTTTTATTGCTGTACCGCCTGTACGAAGTATAGTTTGTATTTTTTTCATTTTTCCATACCTCGAACACAACTGGTCGCGCGCTAGCGCGACCGATACTTGTAGTATATATGTTGTTAGTTACGTTTAAATTTTTAATTTGCATCACATGCACAATCACAAACAAGTACTTAATTTTATTTGTACTGGTTTTATTTGATTTACCATATTTACTAGTTTTCGTTTACGTACGAGTTCCTAACTTTTCTGTCAAAGCATTTCATCAAAACTATTTTTCTGATTTTTTCTCCATGTGTTCAGATTGTACAATTAAAAAATTAACGAAACGCATATAATTAGCACTGACCAGGGGATTTTCGGAGAAGTGTGCTTCCAGGAGGACTTCATACTGTCCCGTCATATTGTCATCGGGATGGGTGCAGGGCATAATGAATCTCAAGATATCTAAGAGATCGCGCTGTATCTCGTCGGTAATCTCCACTCGCGCCACTCCATCGGACATTTCAACGCTGTAGCGATGGTAAAAATCCGATAGAGCGTTCATCACACTGGCCCGGTCGGGTATGGAGGAGTCGGTGATGGGAGGGAGGAACGCGACCATCTGCTGAATCATTTTCACCATGCTTTCCCGGGTATTTGGCCGCTCCATTAATTTACGCAACTCCTGCGATCATTGGAATCTCATAACTCAAAAGCGATTTAAAACATCTTGATATAGTTTAACGCAACGAAAAATAAAAACTGTAATGTAAAAAATTAATAATACTGCGATTTTCCTCGAAAGATGTTATATTCAATCAGTTTCCGATTTTGTATGAGTACTTTTACTCAGCAGGCAAAAGAAAACAAGACAGGCATCAAAAATTGAAGTATTCCGAACAAATTTCATAAATGCAACAATTATTTCGATTTTCCCCCACTTTTTTGCAAGGAAAATGCGTACTCGATCTATTTCCACCTTCGTATTTTTTTCCTACAATGCTTCTATAAAAAACAAGAACGACATACAGCTAAAATATTTTCAAACTCTCCAAAAATTAAAGAAAAAATTTTAAACAGACGGCGAAAAATACTCAAACTACAGAAAAGCAGCAGAAAATAAATTATTAACGCAAAAGCCTCCAATTCAGGATAAATTAGAAAAATATTTTAAAATCACTAAAAATCGTGAAAAAAACTATCTCCATACCTTGTAGAGTTCCAGGACACTGGAGGAGGCCAGAACCCCATCGCGCATCCTGATGGCATCCCACGCGGAATCAATAAACGCCTTAACGGTCTTCCGCGATTCCGAGGGATGGTTGGGACTGACAGTTGCCAACGATGCGCGTTTTCCATCGCGCACTTTCTGCGGATGCTTGGTCTGGGGATTACTGGTTGCACCGGGACTCTTCTTACTTCCCGTTGGTGCCTGCTGAGCCACAGGTTCTTCCTCAGTCATCGGGGACCCGAAGGAACGATCCAGTTCATCAGGCCACACTAAACTGTCATTTTCGTCAGCGCCGTTCACAGCTGCATCAGCCACTGGTCCGTCGTAAACGGCCGCGGCGGGGACGACGTCCTCGGGATCAACAGGATGCTCGTACCAATCCATCCCGTTTGCAGCCATGATCGATACGGAAAGAAAACTCAAGCTTCCTGAAGGTGGCGTGGATCGCTGCTCGCAGTTGGCACTATGTCCGAGCGCTGACAATAAAACCAGGTTTTCAGGATGCCTCGAAGAGTGGATGCTGCCACAGTACCACACTGCATCAATACAGGTAGATTCTGATTACTGATTACTGCAGGTTTCAAAACGCTCGAATCAAAAATCTTGAATCAAGTCACATGACGATACATGATGAACTAACCAAAAACTCTGAAATACTGCTACTGAAGCGTGGGGAAAGGAAGGGAATTATTGCTATATATATAGTATTTTTGTAAAATTTCCATTCGAGGCTTGAGTTGGACGGACTAATGTGAAGTTGTAGGTACGGAAAATAAAAGAAAAATCATGCTTGTCAAGTTCGTGCGCTATTATTGTGGCGGAACCGGAAGTTTGGCGGAGCACGCATGAACATGATAGATATCCAATTCCATTGCAGCTGATTGCCATTTCCAGTATAGTTTGTGCGCGGTTCATTTGTCCTTACGAGTACCACAGCGTTGTATGAATCGGTTGTCTACGTCGTATTAGTTTGATTGGCGGTACAGAAGTCACAATTTTAATTTTTTTGTTGAAGTACAGTATATCTTAGATATACTGTACTTCATTATACAGCCTCATCGGCCAGCAGAAACAGACAGCAGTTCATTTAAACTAGCCCATGCCGGTACTAGCTGTTTCCATGATACACGCCGCATTCCCGCGTTGGATTTGATACTGAAACGCTGGCGCAGACGCTTGTCTCCCGTATCTCGCCTGTTTCCTGTCGTATTATCTTCCCGATTTCGGCTGTCGTGCAAGAGGCGTCTGGTCCCAAATGCCCAAGTGTTTCGGCGCCTACTGCCCGGAACATGTGGTCTGGTGGGATGTTACGATACTTCGCTACTTTATCGTGCCCTGCGCGTGCCGCGGTTGCCCCCGCGCTTATCAGTGTTATGATTGTTATCTATGGTACAGAGAATGTACACGAAAGTTGACGAAACTGATACGATCTACCGGGCCCCTTTCTTTAGTCTAACTTTAAATAACCTATTACAGCTTTTACACCTAAACTGGAAAGGATAGCTCACGTATGGTAGCGAGAATAGCGGCCCTCGTCCATATGTGGAAGTTTCCGAATCCGATATTCAACGGGCAATATTCAAGGTACTGTACATATGCATCAATAACAGCAGCATCATATAATTGTATAACCGCATAATTATGTGGTTCCGCTGCACCAAATACGGCTGGAAATCGGGCAACTTTCCAGCGCTCGTATTGACGCCCGACAGCGAGTCTCATTGGAGATACAGCGAGGCAATGCGGCGTCAATTATGGGCACAATTGGCGAAGCGGAAAAGCTACCTTGTAAATGAGCTCTGGATGTTAGAAAGTATAGCTTTTTCGCTTGCTTGTAATGGTTTTCTTTTCGTGATACATGTGTGCCTTGGTTTTTCAAATAAAAAATTTCGAACTACTGTAGGCAGACGACGCCGGGTACCATATGTTCTGACAAGGCCCTTATAAATGAAGATTCAATAAACAGGGCTGTCAACAGCCTTCTCGAACCGTTCTTCCTAGATACCGGGAAATTCGCCAAGTAAAAATGTGACACACTAACTGCTGATTACGGGGTGCAGCATATTCAACATATTCAGTTAAGCTGGGTTAAGCTCTGTTGTAAATGTTTCGTAAAATCCTGTAAATACTTTCGCAAAATACCCATTGTTTTATGTATATACGAAATCAATATCTGGGCATAAAATCCAAGAATTTATGCATATGCGACGGATGGCGTAACAGATGTGATCTGTAATGTACCTGGTTGTGATGTGTAGTAGGTGATTATGTCGGTGGATATGATTTGGGATTCTGATGCTCTCGGAGGAAGGAATTATGGGGACGCGGGTGCATGCCGTGAATACTGAATATCACAACTTAAAGCAGGACAATCTGGAGTTTGGGCATCGCGTAAATTCCGAGAGCAATTGAATTATTGCTCGTCAAGGAGTACAGTCAACTGCAAATTGCGCAGGTTATGCTTGAAAAGTTTTGAGGTTGCATGCTATGTAAACACTGCAAGTAAAGTGAATATTATGGCGGTAATGGTACGTATACGGTGTGTGTAGTGTAAAGTACGGGTTATTAAAAGCATTTTCACCGGAAACAAAGCAGGCATCTGTCTGCAAGATTGATCATCCCGAATTTCGGTTAAGGGTTGGAGTTTTTTCGCTATCATGATTCATGTTTGCGTTGCATACCGCTTGGCAGCGCCGGTACCTTCTCCACTGATCGAAGGATTATGCAAAGAATTACAGTAACTGTTTTGTTAAAATATTATTCTCTTCAAATTAAAGATCAACAAACTATGCCTTTGACCAAGCATGAGCTGAGAGGAGAATTAGACTCGTCAGTACAACTACACTAACCGCACAACTACCCGTACCTCTGCAGCGGACGCAAAATTCACGTGGTCAGCCTCGGCATACAATAAACCTGCTAGTTTTGTGTCGATGGATAATACATTACAAAATTTATTCAGGAAGCAAACGTTTAAAGAGAGAGAATATACAAACGCTACGGAAAATTTAAGTTATTGTTTACGCAAGAACTTTATCCCAATGCACATATTGTCCAGTTATAAAGTCGTTTGCTGACGAATATGCGCAAATCCAGAGCTCCACCACGGCCGATGTTGTAATAACGATTACTTAGGCGCCAGACAGTTATTATTACAAGTATCCCATAATCACCGCTTTTCTCCCGTTAACATTTTTCAGCGGTTTTCCGGCTTTCAAACGAGAGCAATTAGGTCATGTGGGCTGTGCATGTTGTTATTCACCCTAGTAAGCATAATAATTATGACATAAATATGTCGTTAAAGCCGGTACGGCGCGGCCATAATGACCCGTGCATTTCTCGAGAAACGGTATCCAGGTATAATATCTGTCTAGGCAAGCGTGCTTGATAAGAGCTGTCTCGCTTAACTCTGAACGGAAGCGTCGAATTTCAAGTGGCACTCACAAATTGGCATGTTTCTGCAACATGGACAAGAATGTGTTTGTATTACCGCAAAAATGGCAAAGGCACACGTTACGTCTGAACTGTGTTTTACACGTACAGTGATCGATGGATGACGTCAAATTGGTCACTGCCCAGTGTCCGCATGTACATCAAGAGTACTTCATATTACTTTTAAAGAGATAAAGAGTTTATCATGTTTATGTAATATTATTTTGTATATTTTAAGAAGTATTACATAATGTCATCTTAAAGCTGAAGGACCAGGACTATGCAGAACTATCGATAAGATGCGTAAGTACGACGTAGGCTGGAGAAGCTGTAAAATGACGATTCATTTCCAGGGCAGTCATAACTTAAGATTTCTCCAAACTGGCGAAAAATATTATGCGAATGCAGCAAATTTTGTGGGGCTCCCTGGCATTATTTCAGCGACAAACAAAACTCTTTACTGCCATAAAAAATAATCTGCATATAAAGACACCGTAGAGGAGCAGCACTGAAAGGAGTGGCGTGTGTGATAGCTTATGTTTTGATTTACAAGAATGACCTTTTTAAGCTATTTATTAATTTGGCTGCTGACTGAGGGTTTTTGTTACGGTAAAGTTGCATTGGTATTTGATATACGTATGTCGCTGCATATATGCATATTCTATCGGATAAATTTTGTTATCGTGAAAGTTTAATAGCACTTTACATTGATTTGGACAGGAACTGTTAACGTGGACACGCGTTTCTCACGATGGGACAAGAATCGTATTCCATATTGCCTCGATTCCATATTGAGTACACAAAAATTATTTTTCTTTCATTCGACATATCCGATAGCTGCTTACAGTCAAGTGACAAAAGATTTTGACTTTACAGCACAAGCGGAACAGATGGCTGTTACTAATGCGATAGCGTCGTTTACAAGCTCGCTACCTAATTGTGTCAACTTGGTGCAAGTGGACTGCTCCACCACGGAATATCATCTGAAGTTCACCGCTACAAGGTTTGCGTTGTGCTATGTGTTTAATTTATTATCATGCCAGATGTAACACTATCATGCTCATCATGATCCTAATTATTATTTTTAGCTGGCTCAGTAAAAATCAGCAAAATGTTTTATTACAAACTAGCTCGATCTTAATATTTTTGCTAATAGTTGTAACAAAAAGGCAGCTTTTTAAGAAAAATATTGGCAAAACTTGTTGTAAACGATGATAAAAATTGGAGGATCTGGTTTTAGTTTAGTCTGGTTTTAGTTTTAGTTTATTGGAGGATCTGGTGGCTTCAGAATGGACTGTTTACACTGACAGCACAATTTTGCGTAGTGCATGCATCAGTCCATGCATCAGTCCATAAAACAGAATTTTACAATACTTCTATACTTTTTCAAGTGCTGGCATTACATGGAGTATTATAACCGTATGATAGCTGGCTTCATATCGTGTATTGGTCGGCCGTTCTGGACTGTTGCATGTTGCAGTTCACAGTCGTAGTCCTCCAGTTTTCCTGGTCGTACTCCTCCAGTTTTTTTCTGTACACAAACTTATTGACCACCACCAATTTCAATGAGCAGCTCATCACTGTAGCTCGCGATGCCGCACAATGCAGCAGCAATCCAATGTGTGTCTTGAAATACCTGACCATCGCGATGGGCAAGCGCAATGAACATCAACGCGGAGATCGTGGAAACTATATTACTGTGGCAGCCGATAGTATGCTAACTAATACGGTACGCAGGCTGTGAAAATCTATTTTTTTTAAATCAGAAACACAATAACACCTGCAATTTCTTTTTTCAGAATGCCTATAGATTATACGCCGGAGCAGAAGCGTTCTGGGGCATGTTTCCTTATGACTACTGCAGTGTAACGGTATGCGCAATAATTTCGTAAGCAACGTTAAATAATGATTACCCGAAACACATTTTGACTGGTTCTAATTCTCGCAGCACAATCAACCAAGCGACTTTGCACTGACCAATGGACAACCCGCGTTTACTATTCAGTCACCGTTTACATGCATTCCCAGGCAGAACAGTATCAGCCAAACCGACTGTAAACTGCTGAACTTAATGTACCAGTGTACCGCCACATGTAACACTGGTACGGAAAATTCCAAAACCATAGCAATAAAATCTTATTTAATCCAAACCTAATTTGTATTCAAACGAAATGCTTCAGATAGAAATTTATTGTTATTAAAATACCTAAGCCAACATCAAACTAATTGTAAGTTATATATGCGACACTATTTAAGTTTAGCACGAGCAACCAAACTAAAAGCACTATGTACTGTAATATGAAAAATGAACATGCATAGATATCATTTTGTCTTGGTTTGTTGGGCATGATATATACTCACAATCTTTTCGTAGTTCCATGTACATCGTCGTTGTGCAGCGGCACAGGCACTGGAACAGGAACTGGAACGGGCACAGGAACCGGCAGCCAAACCTGTGCTGCGGCTACCAGCCCCACCTACACCGGCCCCACCACCTGCACGGCTAACCCCTCCGATCTGGGCTATCCCATCACCGCGTCGCAGGTGATGGCCGCCGACATTACCAACATCGTGGACTGGCACAATAATTATCGCCGCGGTGTGAATGCAAAAAATATGAGAAAGTTAACCTGGGATCCATGTTTGGCCAGTAGCGCCCAAGCATGGGCCAATCAGTGCACCAACCCCAGCGTAAATGCTCATGATGCTAATACGGCCCGAAAAGAATTAACCAGGTACATATTGTTTCCCTAAACCTAATTTTACGGCTTATGTGCATACGAGCATCCTTTTATTCGTGTAAAAATTGTCAGCTTAGTCGGTAACTGGCAAATGGTCACTGGTTCGTTCTGCGAAGGTTTTCCCGGCGGATGCGGTCAGAATAGATTCGATGGAAGCGGTACCTTCGACTCATGGAAATCAGCGGTGGATGGTTGGTATAATGAAGTTGCAGTTTTCACGTACTGCAGCACTACTAATGATGGTACCAAGGTTGGCCATTATACGCAGGTGAGCATTAAAATTTCATCAGGACAGGCATCTACGAGTACAAGTGTATAACAGCTACAGAAAACAAGTAATCGTATTTATTGGTGTTCTAGGGTGTATATAGTCGGATTAAGGGTACTTGAAATATGTATATCAGTATATGCATGATCGTTTATCTTACTGTATTAATCATTTGCAGCTAATATGGGCGGAAACCTCCCTAATTGGATGCGGCAAAGCTACCTGCAGCGGATCCGGTGTCTATGTTTGCAATTACTGCACACCGTAAGTTGTTACACTGACACATCAGCATTCGTTGCAATCACTATAGAATCCTCACTTATAATAGCGTATCCGCTGCTGGAAATTTCGAATTACGGTTCGGTGTTTTTTTCAGGGGAAATGTTCAGGGGCTGAACCTGTACTGCCCGTACAGCCTCGGCGCATCGGGAACCAAGTGTACAGAATGTTCAACAGGAAGCGGAGGCTGTCTTGCCGGAGACTGTTTATGTCCATAATGCTGTTCGTCGCGTGTGCTCGATTTTTGTGTTCAAATTATAAAAGATATCGCACCAAAGTTGCACCATATAACAACCTTAATCAGTCAGTGGATTCAGTCGAAACTATGCTACTGTTCATATTAGTTGTTTCCTCCCGCTAACTGTTCATGTACTTTGGTTCAAATGGAAAGGAAAATAAGAAAATTTAAAAAAAGGACACCGATAGACAGCGTTACGAAGGTTCCCTGGTTCCCCTTCATTGGCAAACCCCAGTCAACGACCGCCAAGAAAAATCCTTTCCGTTACGACTAACCAGTGCTTTGACATTGCAGGCACAGCGCAGCGTATACGAGGTGTGTTCTGGAACGTTGTGTAATCGCATTTTAGAAAAGACCAGTGTGTGTGTGTATGATTTGTAGTTAATTACTTACGATTAGTAGTAAAGTTATAGTGCACAAATACTCGTCTAGATCTACGGTCTAATGTTCACATGCTCTATTTTTTTATTAAGAAAAGGATACCGAATCCTTGCAAAGCTACGAGTTTGTACGAAGAGTCTGCTTTCTGATTGTTTTTCTTTCTTTGCCTTTGCATCTGAGCTCTCTAGAATATATTGATTCCTTTCGTGCTTGCTTGTCAATAACGATCCGCTAAAAAGTAAACCAAATCCCCATGCAATATGTGTTATGGGTACCATCCCCGAGCAGGATAGCATACGAAGCACGATATAGAGAAGTGCTTTTGTAAACAAACGAATCATGCATTAATTTCTGGAATATTACGCTGGAATCCTTATAATTCTGGTTTTTGGACAACAAAAGGTTTGGGCATGTGATTCTTTAGATAAGCAATTCTGAAAAACATGGGTGAAATCTATAAATTAAGAAGAAATCGGTTTGCGTTGCACATGCGTATTATTATCGCAAAAAGTAAGTAGCTGCGAACATGCATTTTTATGATTAAGTATACGGCTACGAAACATATGTACATGATGTAGCATGTACCAATGGCGAAATCTAACCACGGAGTATTTAAACATACATTCAAAATGCTCTTGGTCTTATCATGAGTTTGGAAACCAGTATAACTGTGGAAGTAAACTGCGAAACAACCGACGCCATATAATCGTATTAGCCACCATGCAACTGTAAAAAGGTCAACGTGACCAACAGCAACCATTAACCAAATCTAACCAAAAGGTCATTCTTCTTCCGGATCCCTACAAATTAAACGTCACATTAATTATTTGCCACCTTTTAGCGATCAGCCGCAAAATCGTGGTGCGTGACCTTTAATTCCGTGAGGCCCCGACTGGTCACCGTGATTTGAGAGGGATGCGGCAGTAGTGCCACCGTTTCGGCGGATGTCTGCACTTTGCAACCGGTACTGTGGGATGCCAGCCGGGAGGCTACATTCACCGTATCGCCAAACCTGCAACACATAACCTGTGTGATCATATACCTGCAGCACACCTAAATTAAATTTGTTAATAAAAAGGGACAAGATAATTACAAACAATAACGCGGGCGTTGTGTTCCCACTAATCCGGCCGCGCATTCTCCTGTTAAGCAATACACCGTCACGGTACTAACTGCAGGTTTATCAAGAAACGGGAGGATATATGTAGCCACCAGAATGGATGCCGATCATAATCTCCAAGCCGGTTTTCCCGAACGCCTTCATAAACACGCTGCGCAGCCTGAGTGCCAGCGTACACACTTCCGCAGCGTGATGGGTTCCATTAGGAACCGGAAGACCGCTTACCACCTACAAAATTGTATTGCATCCTACCTTTTTCGTAAATTACATAATATAAATTTGGCCAGTAATTTAACGTGTGTTTAACAGGCTTTCAGATAACCCTGTGCTTTTATACAAACAAACCATATAGCAGTCGCTGATGCTCTCCACCTTGTACACATCGAACGCCGCCGAATAATCATCAAAGAGCGAAAACGCTTCGCCTAGAAACTCCACCACCCGCCACGGGGTGTTCTTGGCGACGAATCCGACAAAACCTTCAAAGATGCTGAAGCCAACGGTTACCGAAGGATACAGTTCCGGATCCACGGACTGACCGCTCAGCAGACGCTGTATTATCGCGCTAAACCCAAACGCAAGCATTAGCCGACACCATTAAAATTAAGGACGTTATTCTCTCCGTCGGACCGCCAGGCCAATTGACCAGCCCCCCAAATTTTCAATGACGCAGTCGACGAGCACTGTTGTGACCCGCTAAAAGCGGCGGTTTCTCCCGTCTTTACTCGGAAAACCGGTTTATTAACCCCATGCATCACACTACTATGCTTATGAACAACAACTCACTAACTTGCGCTTTTAGCAATGCATATGTGGCGGAAAGAGACTGGAGATTATTGCCCCAAATAATTATCCGTTACAATTTTTCACTGGTTTGATTTATTAATAACGTAACGAACTTTGGCAGCATTTCTTGGAGTAAGCTCTCCGTCAGCTGCTGCTCCCGCTGCAGATGCACAGTCCGCTCCTTAACCACCTCTTCCAATTTGCGCGTATAACTATCGGCTTTACGGATCATCCGCTCTACCATACTTTCTCCGCTACCCATACGACGCTGAAAAAACTTCCATAACACCTCCGCATCGCGTTGTTCCGGCGCACTGCTCAGGCACTTCTCCACTATAATCAAGCAGTTCGTGTAGTCATCCGACAGCGGCCGATAGGATTTCAGCATCCAGTGAATAATGCTGGCAGCCGAATACACGTCGCCGGCCGCTGCGCCCAACGGCGACATTTGCATGAGGTCATCACAGAAAGACAACTTGTGACGGATTTCCGGGGCGAACCACCGCGCAAGGTCCTCCGCGGATTCCGGGAGTGATGAATGTTTCTCCTGGAGGCAATGGCGTCCGGCTATGGAGTGCAGTCCACAGTCGGAGATTTTGAGCGTTAGATTCTTGCTGATCATGCACGTGTACGGCGTTACGTAACCGTGGTACTTAAAAACAGACCGGTGTATTGTTCGCATTCCCTGCAGAATACATAAGAACGTTTACTGACACGTGTTTACTCAGAACATAAACGTCTAGAAATTATTTTTACGTTACTAGTTTACTAGAGTAGTCACAGGACAATCCTGACTTACCGCGATGAGGTCATAGGATAACATTATACACAGATCCCAATCTAGCTGGATGTGCTCGATCAGGTCTTTCAGGTGTCCTTTGGCCAGAAACTCCAATACACACCATAGCTCATCGGACTGGAAGGCCAGCCCATATAAACGCACCAAATTGGTATGGTCCAGCTGCCCCAGCTATGCAAATAATTATAATATAAGGGGAATTTACCTGCTGAGGCCAGCACTCCCTGTACTTGATGCCGTCACCCGCCTGGAGTGTGACGTTACGGCAATACATACGGTTAAATCAGGCGCGGTACATAAGCACCATGTTTAGCCACAACGTAAAACTCCAGCCGGGTGACGGCAGCAAGTACAGGGAGTGCTGGCCTCAGCAGGTAAATTCCCCTTATATATTGCTTATTTTGCTTATTTTAGTTATTTAAAAATACACAAGTTCTTGCGTGTCAAAGAAAAGTAAAGATTACGACAGTTTTATAACAAGTCAGAAATCGTAAAACTCATTTGCATAGTTGAGTTAATTACCCTCCTCAGCTGCTCCTCTTCACTTCGATTGACTCCCACAACTTTCTGTCGTAAGGGAAATTTTTTTATTACAACCGGGGAGTTTTTGTACATGTGGCATGGCGTGATCTCCATGTATAAGCTGCTACTGGGTTTGGTGGGGTATATGGACATCCTTCTCTGCGCCTGTGCACGAAACACATAGATCGTAAAAGGCGTTCATCTTTTCGAGTTATTTCTGACGCTCCATTAATAAATTTTTAATAAATCCATTCTCATACTATAAGGATCTTTACGCTTTAGTTGTACTAACGTTGGTCTTCACGACGGTGCTGGTCATGGAATAGCACACATCGCTGATTAAATGCACATCTAGCACCCACCACTGACCCGCCGCATGTATTCCTTTCCGCCGGAAATGCCTGACACATGGCAGCAAAGTCATTCATAATGTACTATAAATGATCATCTTTCAGAGGATTATGTAAGCTCACCATACATACACTGCAGCGACAATCCAGGCAAATATGCTCACTGTCAGGACCGGCGTCAAAACCATCCGCAGTAAATCCGTCGCGGGCGCTACAATAAAATGTGTGTGCAAAATTTCTATAATGCATAATCATTCTCACGTGCCGATTATAAACAGCACAAAGAACGCGCTTACAGCACGGTCCGTTGTCGCCGCGATACCCGCACCGGGGTACGTTCAACGGCGGCCGATTATCCGCGGTGGCCCAGTCTATCGAATAATTGCTGATAATTGTCACGGGGTGACTGGCATTCAAGCTCGCGTCGTAGATCACCGCGGTCTACAATGAAGTATCATAAAAAGCCGGTGTCACGTGATTATAAGCAGTGCGTGGTCACGGGGCAGCTGATTACTTGAAAAGTATCCAGGTCGGCATTGTAGTCCTCCAGATACAGCACAGGGACGCGTACCGCCGTAGCGTCCATACTAGCGGTGACACCGCGCGATGTGAAACGCCGGCTGCGGAAGGCGCTGGCTAATGTGGAGCCGTTGGGGATGGCACCTGTTTCGGGTAGTTCTGTCAGTACTTGGCCCAACGCCTTCACGGCGATGTAGGCCGCTAACGGTCCGGGATTGGGCTAAAGGTCGGGCAAAGATTCGGCTTAATCAACAGTATACGATCGTAGTAATTGAATTTCGTAGAAGATTGCATTTGTAATGTGTCGCTCAGTTACGAAGACAGTAGAAACGTACTCTGTACGCACCAGGAAGAAAAAATTGCCTAATCTAATGTTTTTACGAAGCAGGTATAAAAATATTATAAACTGGCTACGTACTTTTTCCTCGTCCGTATACCAGGCACCATACTTCTCTATGCCTTGTGCTTTGATTTGACGCGCCAAAGCATCTTTCTCACCGGTTGCGCCGCGTTGTTTGAAGGTTGTCGTAAATTTCATTACATATCGAAAAGCACGTCGGGCAATCTGTAAAAAAACCTAAAAATTAGTAGTGTGTCAAGAACAACTACACCGAGCAATAATTTTCGATTACTGTATTTGGTTTGACTGACCGCATCACCGGAATCGTTCTTAAACCACGAAAGCGCCCCGAACCGCCTTTCGTTCTCGAATGGTTCGCATGTTAAAAATATCTACAATTAGTCCGGTCAAAACAGAAAGCTCATGGTATAAAGAATTCCACAGGCTTACGTATTCGCCATTCAACATATTAAGGCGGTCGGCAGCAATCTAACAAATTAATACAGTATATAAATGCAGTACATAGAAAGATGCATAAAAACATATATCGTAACAGAACGGCCATACCAGAAAATTGCGCATTTCTTCTCCGCGAAACAGGACCATAATCACTGCCAAGAAAGGTCATTGCCAGCTAATCGAACCATGAGACATCATCACGATCACTCAATGGACTTACCACGACTGGTATTGATGGCCGGCCGCAAAAGCTGCTCGTAGGGAATAATCCCTGAACTGTTCCATCCCACTGAGATGAGGTTAAACTGTGCTCCTAGCGGAAACCGGGGATCCCGCACAATCCGCTCAATTGCCGACGGGAACCACGTGTAGTAGAGGTTCTTCAGCCAGGTGTCGTACACCATGTACACCGTCGTCCAGCCGAAGAACGACAAAATGGAGAGGATGCCCTGATTGGCCTTGGTGGTGTCGACGGTGGCGAAGGACACCAGGGTGGGGTAGGCCGTGGGATGGGGGCGCTGATCCGACGGCGTGGCGCTCCTATGGTACACAATTAGAGTAGGCACATTACGAGGACAATAAAAGGTGGCTTTCGCCAACGATGTAAGAGCGCAAAATAAAAGGACGCAGTATTATATAACATTGTAGTGCTATTGAAATTAAGTGAATGGCTTCATGTTTATGTTTTTAGAGCTCGCTTCTACGAGTAGATACGAGTATATACCGGCTTGAGAATGAAATGCAATGCGATAGCTATGCAAAGAAAATGGGTGTGTATCTGGAATGCTATAATATATCCTTAATTTTTTGCAACGCACGTTTTCAATTCAGTAGCCACACAATAAAAAGGTTAGTAATTAAAACGAAATCGATGTTACCACACACAAAATTTAATAGTATACAAGCGGTAGCGTTTGCTGCCTACTTAATGGCTCAACTCCGTAATTATTATGTACCATTGTCACTTGTAATATTCATAAATACAGTATCAGTTGCAAATGTATCAAAATCGATGGCACTACTACCAGTATAGTGGTACTCTATTTACTGCAAGTACAGAGGCGCAGGACAAGTGCTGTACAAAATTAATTTAATATAACGTACGTGGCAATTGTTAAGATGTCCCATTCTGCAACAACACCCATGAATTACAATGTTGTAAAATTGAGACAAAGCAGTATTCCTATAGTAAAGTATTAAAAGGACATTGGTGATGCAGAATATTAATGGTAGGCCATTTATGTAGACCGAATGCCGCACCTCGGGTAAATCTGGCCACTTCATTTCCTTCATCACACCCTGCCCAACAACGTAGTACTCATCAGATCAGAATATCAGATTACCTATGTATCTGGTATAAATGCGTCATACTAATGAAAAAGTTATCTCCACTGTTGTACCGTTAAGAAAGAAAACGGGAAGACTGGCCGGTGACCTCTGGGGTAGCCATTGCTGATAATAGTACTGCGGCACCACGTACGTGTTGCTCTGCAGATCATCACAAGATTTCAGGAACGGCGCGCTAATCACCGACACTGAAGCGCTAAGGTTATATTGCGCCGTGATCTCCGCGATGGCGATTTCATATGCCGGCAACATATACGACTGATCCGGCAGGAAATCGCGGTTGTTGGCGAAAAAGCATAAAAAATCCAGATGCCGGTGGGCTGCGACACAGTACACGGTTAACTGTAACCAATATGCGGCGAAGATCGTGCGCCGGACTTCAATTAGTAAATCCATGATAAAGCAGTCATGTACTCTGTAATTATCGAAATTCTCATGACAAATTGAGGCTTATGCGGACGATAAAAGTGCGCATCGCTCGAACATGGATGGATGTCGTGCTGATACAGAACATGGAAAAAATCACTGACACTAATACACTGACAATCACTGACATTCGCAACCCATCATGTGCCAGTATCGGTTAATTGTATTTCCGGCGAGGTGGCTTATGAGGAGGCGGTGAAGAGCAGAGTTTATAATCTGATTAACCAACATCCATTATCCGGGCTGAATGCACCGCCCATTATGCGACTGGTATCTTGTCAATTCCAGAGAAATCGCATGTGCGGATTTTGTGTACTACCAAGTAAGCTATTCAGTATTCATCCACCGGAACAAAATATCCGATGGAGCCGGGAAGACTACACCATGCCACATTGCCACCAAAGACTACTTGACAGTTCCGTAATGGTGTTATTTTCTGGACTCATTTTCGTTCAAGGTACTGTACTGGAAATTTCCCATTCACTACAGACATAGTGACGCCAATATGCGAGGACTTCGTTATGAATTAGTGTTCGAATGCTGTTTACAATCAATTTGTACGTCCGTAAGATGCGATGTTTAATCCCGCGATCAGTGCACTTGCACCTATATTAGCAATTATGTAAAACAAATAAAAAATGCAGTTACTTATTGATGGTTTATTATTTTCGAGATCGCTAGTGCGCGAAATCACCCGGTCACCGCATAGTACACAGGTGAGCTCCAGAAGGTTGTCGGCTGCCGGCGACGCCATGGTGGTATGGTCACCGTGGTATAGGCGTGTCGTCACAATGTACACGATGTACATGTAGGCGCCCAGAAGATTTACAATACCTGGAAATTAGAAGCAAGTCTCAAGACCAGAAATCGTAAGACTGACTGAGACTCGTATCGTATAACAGGGATTGTCAGTTTAGCAGCCACTGAGGTCGAGGAGGATTCACCGCTATCAAGATGAGAACAGAAGAATCGCAGACCAGAGTAAACCAAGAACCGCAGTGACGTAGGAGAAGACGTATAGTGATACAAAAAAAGGATATCCTGCACACACGTCAATAATGTAGCTCCAACCTTTCACTCCAAAAGTTGTGGCGATTGTTTGTGATGTAGTGGTCACTGGGAGTAAAACCAACTCGCGCGATGCAGGTCAACGAGAGCAACCACAATTGTTACCCAATCTAACCAAAAGGTCATTCGTCTTCCCGACCCCTGCAAAGTTTTTTGCCACATTAAATTATTGTTTGCCACATTTAATCGATCAGCCGCGAAAGTATAGTCAGTCGCGTTAAGGCCCCGACTGGTAACGGTGATTTGGGAGGAAACAACGGCCAGTTACAGGCTGGTATAATACTATGTAATTTGTTAAAAAGGTAGGATTTTTTTTACGGTTTACAGTATGCTTTTGTAGATGGTAAGCTGTATTCCGGTTCCCAATAGAACCGCTCACGCGGCCCTTGTAGGCACACACCGGGGAAAACTATGGTATAGCTTGGTAAAGGCCTTCCCTCCACGCGGCGGAAGTGTGCACACTGGCACCGAGCATGCGCACTGTCTTCAAGTCGACATTCGGGAGAACCGGCTTGGAGATCACGATCGGGCATAAGATTTAAGCGCATTAATAAAAATTCAACCATAAAATGCATAAAATCACAAGATCTTCCTGACTTATTTTTTTTTTCGGCAGATAAACCTGTACACAGAAAAAATATCCAGATACGTCCACAGTTAAAAAACAACTGTTTCCTGCAATGCATATGAAAGAACACAAAACACATCCACACAAAAAGCCCTCAATATTTATGCACGAATATGTCGTACTTCCACGCACATCACAGATAAACTTAGTACTTCGTAATACGCGTTCCGCACTACGACAGTTCTTCAATCAAATTCTTCACGCTCTTTCCTGGCTGACTGCGTTGTATTACTGCTTCCGCACGGGAGTGACTGATTGATTCCTGCGCATATTCGTCTGAAATAAAAAAAATAAAACCTTTTAACAACGATAATAAATCAGGCTAAATTAAAATTTCAATAGAAAATTTCAATACAAAAATCTGCAATAAAAAGTTTCACGAACAAAATTTACATTCAGCAAGTGTATCTGTATGTACGAGGATCTGTAAAATACTAGCTCAAATGGAATAACACCGCTAAACGCCATCGCTCTACAACATTACGGCGTGCAGTCGGTCTGTTACCGAAGTAATCGATCCAAACGAGCAAAAATTCAGTTACTTTGTAAAATGCAATTCAAATCTTCGACAATCAAGTGAATCGACCACGGACAACCCTTTTCCAGTAAAGAAGGTATAATTAGTTTTCACACACAAAAATTTAAAAAAAATAACAAGTGCATCCGAATCAATTTACAGAGCATCGATTTTTTGTGATGGCTAAAATTCAATATTACTGTTGTCTCACCATGCAGTAATTTCAATCCAGCTACACAATCCTCCAGTCCCTCTCCGTACTCCTCCATCCACGCCAGGAAGTACTCCGCCTTCTTGAACGCATCCGCCAGCTTCTTCTCCTTGCCGCGCTCCTTCCACGCCGTCCGACACACTCGACGGATATCCGCCAGCGCAGCCGCCACGAACACCTCGTCCGCGACAATCTGCACCACATCTCGCATTCCAAGACTCCGAAAGGTCCGCGCTGCTAACGATCCCTTCACGGACGACCGGTCAGCATCGTCCAGGACAGCGAGGACGGCTTCCGCGGGCGACTGCAGCACCCGGTCACCGCGTAGTCCACAGGAGAGTTCCAGGAGATTGTCGGCTGCCGGCGCCGCCATCGTGGCATGGTCGCCGTTGTATAAACGTGCTGTTAGAGCGTAGGCGTACAGGAGATTGATGAGGGCAAAGGGTACAGAGGGATGCGGGGGATGGCGTTGGAACAGGGCGGAGAGATCGGGGGCGGGGAAGAGTGCGGGAATGTCCGGGCGACTGGAGAGGATGGAGGCGGTGGCGGAGTCGCTGATCTCCGAGATTTTCGGTCGGATGAGCTGTAAGTAAGATAAAACAAAATATAATCCACCAATACTGAAGATATTCTAAAAGAAAATTTTGAAATAATACTCAACACATACATGCGTTCATACATATATGCGTAAATTAGTAATTATTATTTATACCAAATAAATTCGCATAATTATTGGAAAATCAGATTAGCGAGAAATTCCGCACTAATCAAAAGCCCGTCCGCTATAGATTCATCAATGGCGTTAAAAATAAACTTACCGTGATGCGCAATAAAAAAACAAAAATAAAAAACTATCTAGAGGAATCACTCACCCGTAAAATTGTCAAGACGTAAAAAACATAGATAACGTACAAAATCTAATACCGAGAAAATAAGAGAATTTAATCAATTTTAATGATTAATGTTTTGCCTGCGTTCATGTGAATTAAAGATGTACAACGACTTCAGCTAAATGTATACTGTGTTGTCGAGTCAACTTGGCACCTCTTTTTACAGTGAGTCATATCCGCTTAGCGTATAACTCACTGTACGAAAAGGTGCCAAGTTGACTCGACAACACAGTAATAAAACATCTTCTCAATAGCCAAAAACAGCAATTTACCTCCCGGGTCCACCATGGCGTCCACACATCGATCAGCAGCGACAAATCACTCTTCTCCGCGAACTCCTCAAATTCCCGCTTCTCCTCGGCGGTTAATCGCTCCCAGATCTTATCTCCATCTTCATCTGAATCACCGTCAACAACACTGATGTCAGAGAGGCCATCCCGAAATCGCGCAGTGCGAACAACAGTGATAAAGCACTAGATGCCAATGCAACTATGCATTACTATTTGCTAACCTAAATCCAATCCACGGAGACGTTCATCCAAACTGCGAACTTGGGCCGCTGCTGGTGCTTCATCGCTGGCGAACATATCCGGATTACTGTCGGGATTTTCCTCCAGTTTCTGGATGAGTTCGATTATCTTCCTCGCGCCTTTTCCACTACATCAAAGGAAAATCAGACGATACTAAACACTTGGTTCAGTTGGTTCATATCCGTTAGTTTTCATTTAATGTGAATCATAATTCCTTCGTTTACAGAAAAAAGTCACAACAAAGTAGAAAATTCAAGAATTAGACAATTAACAAAATAATTTTTAAATCAAATCTTTCAATAACGAAAAGAAACGCCAGCAGGAGCAACACTATTAATACAGAATACCATAATATTGCTGTCAAAATTTTAATTGTCCAAAGGGTTTTTTGTAGCAATGTAGAGTGTTTAACTTTCTGAACAGTACCAAAACTCAAGCCAGCGTCCTGCATCTGATTTCTTATGATAAAGCGATAGGTAACATCTTATTGCACTATTTGCCGTAATGAAGAAGATAACAGAGTCGTAGTTCTTATGCAGTATCCAGGTACCTGGAATTCTGTCTGGCCAGGTTCTCCATAACACAGTCACGGTAAAACATCTCGGAGCACGATGCGTGCACAGGCGACTTGTAGCACTCCACGGAGCAGTATGGCCAGCTGCAGCGCGGGCATGTATAATTGGCTTGTTTCTCCGTGCATCTGCGGAAAAGAAAGGGATATAACGCAGAACTGGAAGGATAAACACGAGGCATCTGTGAGAGCTTGCAGTATGTACATTTTGCACTTCCACACATTCTGCGTGTGGATAGGATCGCGCTTGATCATGCTCGGTGGATTTTTTATCAAGATGCATTTATCCATCTTTTCGTGCTCGGAATGGGTGAAGTTATCCTATCATATGAAAACTGAAATCATTGATCAAATACGGTCTTGAAAATACCGAACAAGAACATCCTAAAAAACCAAAGAAAAACAGAAAAATTGATGAGAGACTCACAAGTCAGTATCAGTAATGTGACTGAATAGTGAATAGCCGTAGAATGGCTGGCCGTAGCAAATATTATATGTGCATAAATAACTAACTGGCCGCCGAAGGCGGGAGGCCACCTTGTAGTTACAGGCTTGCTGGCTGCTGCACAGTGCACATTGTCATCGCTGGTACGGAGTACTCTGTACTCTTCACCGCTGGCTCCGTGAATTTTCATGTTTGTTTCGCATTTGCGAAATTCTTGCAAGAATCTGCCGAGGGCTGTTACAATTGGCAGCGTACTGTGATCAGACAGGGAACAGCAGGTAGGCATCTGCGAGGACTTTTCGCAAGAACTGAGACTTAAGGTATTAATCTTAAGTATTAGCCAGGAGCGTATCCCGGGATGCAGCCGTCTCTCTGTGATGGTGTTCACCCAGCCCCTTGGTTTGGTAGGTCAGTTGAAACGCGCTAAGAAATGGACGGCAAAGGGACGAAGAGGAAAGTTGATGCGGACGCGGTGGGGAATGGCTACCAGATCCGACATTCGACAGAGCACCCCATCAGCCTGGAACACTATGGTTCCCCGTGGACTGGATTGGTCTCTGCAGGCGGCAGCGCATCTGCGCAGCAGCCTGCCCGTCTTGCTGAACAGCGGCAGCTGGAAACGGGAGTTTTGAACTTACTTACCAATTATCAGCTGACCAACATGGACGCGACGGACAACGGATTCCTAGCGTGCCGCGCCACGTACACGTTTCAGATGGATCTCCAGAACTTAAAGTCCGCGGCGCTAAATGATTTCGGGCAGGGGAAATTGCAGCGAGTACGTGTGTCAGGGATTGGCAACGAAATTTCCCCCTTGCCAGCGTGGCTGGAGAACGGCGTTGGACTGCAAGTGTTCCGTAAGTGCTTCAACTTAATGTCGTTCTGTCTTAGAACTGTTACTTAGATTTCCTTTTGGATCTTGCTGCAAGAAACCTGTACATGCCGTTAAGTGCTGCTTTGCAATGCATGAAAAGGTTGCGACAAGCCGACAGCTCTTCTCCGATGACGAGCTCGAGCATGGTTTCGAGGTACCATGGCGGGCCAGCATCCAACTGGAGCAAGTTCCGGATAACTGCATATTGACGGAGGTGCAGCTGGCCTTCATTAATCCGTATGAATGCCCGACCGTTCATGTTGAAATGAAGGCGACCAACACTCAAAGCATAGGCTTCATCAACAACACACTGAAGAACATCGACGGTGAGGGCCAGATTAGAGTTGGAATCCATACGGTTTTTAGCCGTTTTTCGAATGGTTTGAAATTAAATTTTGATTTAAAAAAGTATCTGTTCGCAACGATTTTATAAATTTCCTTTTGGCAATGTACTTTGAATTTCCTGACTTTCTTCGCTTAAATTTTGTACATTTTTATACGTAAAATTTTTGAACTTTTTGATTAATTTTTAAAACATTTGTGTACGTAAAATTTTAAGTTTTTCTGAATTTTCCATGTCAGATCATTCCTAAAACGCGAAAGCCCTTTTGATTTTGAAGCCATTTAAACGTATCTTTGAAGTTTAATTGAACCGTAGGTCAGACCTACTCGAAGTGCTGTCAAGAACTGGGTATCTTCCGCGAAGCCTACTGTTTCATCACTATGCGTGTGCCGCTGCGGAGCTTTCTAAGGAAACTGCTTACCGCCTTCCGACGGACCATCCCGTTGTGTCCAGCACCAGACGAGGTTATCACGGTGACGGAAGGAGCGGATAATGTGGTGCTGACGCGGCAGGGCAAGATAGAGATTGATCGTCAGGCCCTGGCTGGCATCTCTTCCGCAGCGCGTGCCATGTTCGCAGTCGGAGCGGCGGGAAAAGCCAGTTCATACGATTTGGACTACAGTAAGGCGGCCGTCCTGGCAGTGCTGAGCGCGGCTTTGCTCAAACAGGAATCTCTGCCAGGCGATCCGCGCCGAGCGGCTCCGTTCTTCCTGTACGAAGTGATGAAGTTGGCGTTAAGTTGGGATATTCCGCAGCTGAAACTGTGGACGCAGGTAGCGTTTGTGGAGCGCTTATGTCATCCGGTCGCTAATCTGGAACAAATCCCCGTCCTGGACGCGGTCCGCATCATTCACGACCATGCCGATGGGAAGGAGGTGGGCGGTCGGATGGTTCTGTGTGGACTGATCTGTGTGCTGCGCATCCTGCATTCACCGACCGCGCATTGGACCCTTGATGAACTGCAGCAAATAATTGAACCGAAATCGGCGTTGTGGAAGAGCGTTATCCAGCCGACGCGGTGGGTACCCGATGCCAGTGTGTTCGTTAAAACCTTGACGGGTAAAACCCTTACTGTCCCGGTTAATCTGGCCTATTTTGTGTACCAGCTGAAATGCCGGATCCAGGACATGGAAGGACTTCCCATGGATCAACAGCGATTGATTTTTGCCAATAAACAACTGGTGAATGATGTTACTTTATCGGATTGTGGTATTACCACGCAGGCAACACTACTGCTTATCGTGAGAATGAGAGGATGCTGAAACTGTACGGCGGAAACTGGAATGGAACTTAAAAGTTTGCAGTAGCGGGTGGCACTTGTGACGTTGTTAAAGTTTTGTTGCTGAGGTTGGAATTGACACTTTCGGTTTCTTTTTGGTAGATTTGTTTTTCTAAATCTGTTGGAAGATTTTGTTTTCGAAAGAGGAAGTTTTTGTTAATGGTTGTGTAATATGTGATGAACGAGGTCATTATTAATTTTCACAAGAACATTACAGCTTAGGACGAAATGGTCGCATACCCAACATCTCCACATTCAGTACGAATGCAGCGCAGTGCACTGTACCACTGAGTTCAAAATATCCGTTTCGTACAAGTGCACTGCACCGCTTGCGTACAGAATGCTGGGTATGGGGCTATGCGACCATTAAATTTTAGTCCTACATTGGCATAGGTCAATTGCTCTGTGTAAGCATTACGCGACGCGCAAGCGGCAGTCGGGTAAAAAAACATGACGTCACGGCGCGTAAGCAGGTAAACGATTTGATTGGTAAACCAGAATTCTGGGATGGGTTTTCAGCTTACCCGTCCGCGTAACCGTTGCGCTTCGACGTCGAAGCGCAACCGTTACCCAAACTACGAGTAACTCGTAACTCTCCTGCCCAGATCAACAAAATTTTTGTTTTTTGAACCAAAAGTGCATCCAGCGACCCAGATTGACACTTCTAAACTCAGAATCAACTTTTTTGACGTTTTACCGCATTAAAGCATCAAAAACAGATTTTTCAGTTCCACTTCAGTTTTTCCGTTGTTCAATTTCTTTCTTGCACGGAAGCGTACTCGCCTTACGATTGGACGATATTTTTTTCGCTGAGTCATGGACAGATTTTTACCCGTTTCTCCGTTACCCGACGCGCATCGGTTACCCAAATGCAATTGACCTATACCATTGTATGCTTCGGATTTTGTACGATTAAAGGCACACAGTTGTTATTCCTCGATTAGCTCAGACGTCACGTCAGGCGGGCGATCTGACACCGAGCTTGAATTGAAGTTATTCAACTAAGTCGTGCGCAGATTTCAATAATTTATACAACCAACTGCAGACTTCTTATTTGTTTTTATTGGTTGCAGTTCGCCATTCAAATGCGTGATCTCTAATAGAGGGGTGAAGCGCAGACCACTTCTTAGCCAGTGGTCCACTTTTGAACTTCGCAACTCTCAAGTCAGAACTTCGGAGTTCACTTACAGATATTTTGGTTGATCACTGACTGCCATTTGAAATTTATGAATACCTACGGCATAATATTAATCTACAACTCTCTGTCATAATTCATTTCTTCAGTTTCTGAACATCACTAGACATACAACCGATCATGTCCACCAACGCGATTTTCTCGATCGTTTGCGATGGGCCCGATTCTGAATGGAAGTTAGGGGACTACATGAAGCAGATGATGTTGGCTGGGGAGCTGAATGATGTCCACTTCAAAGTGGGACGCCAGTTTGGCCCAACTCAGAACTTCTCCGCGCACAAGTAGGCCCACATTGAGAGAGTTCACGATAAACGAGTCGCGTTTTCTGCCTTAACGGAATGATGGTATGGGATTCTTCATTCTTGCAGGCTCGTCATGGCGGCTCGCAGTTCCGTATTCCGCACCATGTTCTACGGAAGCCTGCCTGAAAAAATTCATCTTGACATTCCCGATATTCATCCAGAAGCGTTCGCCAATCTCCTCAGGTACGTGGCTGAGAAATGACGAGCACAGTAATCAATGCTTTTTGCGCTCTTTCTTGCGTTTCATCTCAATCAGAAAACTCGTTAGCTTGTATTACGACTTGTTTTGCTTGTGTGTTACAGCTTCGTGTACACGGATACCGTAGATAACTTGGACGTGGGCAATGTTTTTGCGACGCTGTGTGCGGCTGGCAAGTACGATGTGCCCCGGCTGATGAAGATCTGCTCCGACTTCATCGCCAACCAGCTTGGTGTGAACAACTGCCTGACTATCCTGGAACAGGTGTGTTGTAATTGTGCGCCGCAATATTACGGGATTTTACGCAGCACATACTGCTTGATTGCTGACTGCAGGCCATCCAGTGGAAGGCTGACAGTGTCGTGCAGAAATGCCTGGATTTGGTGGATGCGAAGAGTGAGGCGGTGCTGCGATCTGATCCGTTCACGACCATCATCCCGGCAACACTGCGCATGATTTTGCAGCGCAACACACTCACGGCGAGGGAGAATGCGGTATATTTGGCGGTTGAACGGTACGAAATTCTGCAAACCATAAGGCAGTTAAAAGAATAATTGGTTTACGTAATCCATGTTCAGATACAATACTCTCAAAAAATTTTCTATAACCTGGTTTATTAATTATGTAAAGCATTTGGGTTCTTTGGCTGGATGGTAATTATGATGCTGGCCATTGCTGGGTACAAAGAATTTTGTGTGTTGTATGAAGATGGGCAGCGGCGGCCTGTGCGCGTAATGGTCTGGATTCGTCCGCCGCCAATCGGCGTCAGATGCTGGGTGACGCCTTGTTCCTGGTGCGGTTCCCACTGCTGTCTCCGCAGCAGCTGGCTGATGGTCCTGGCCAGGTGAGCAGACGGCATTCTGTCTCTTGCACGTATAGAAATACTAGTGTGATTGACGTGTGATGGTTGTGGAGTATTGCAAAGGCAGTTGTGCATTCACAGAGTGGCCTCCTCAGCGGGGCGGAAATCAGCAGCATTTTCATGCATCATAACGCCAGCCTCAAGCCGACGGCGGCACTGGTCTTTCCTACTGAGCGGCGCACTGGGTCATCGAGCGTTGCGGCGCGCGGCCACGTGTCCGGGTTTAAGCGTGATGAACTGGTATTTGCGCGAACCGACCGAGGACAATGGTGGTTGCCAGCCAAGGTTACCGTATCGGATGGAATGCAGCTGGAGTTGGAGTGGTCTCGCAGCGGCATGCGTCATATGGCAACGACAGACCAGGTGGTGCGTGCGGTCGATATCCTGCAGCCTGGCCAGGCCTTGCACTTTCTCCGTGCTGACGAATATCAGCCTGCGAGCTATGTAACGGCCGTGGTGGGTGATCTGCATACGGTCTCCTGGGATCGTGGTAGAGTTTCCATTGATTTCAGCCGTTTGGGTCTTCTACACCAGCAGGTGACGCATTGGAAAGCCAAGAATCGGCAATGAGGGTGGTGACTATGGGGCTGCGTGAACTTTATTGGCCGGTGGAGGTGTTTTTTCTAGTTTATACTCTTGATCTTTGTACGTGACTTTGCATCACACTGGGAATCGCAACAGTTTGTAATTTTTTGTGATTAATTTTGCCAGTTTTGGCCCGTTTTGGAGTTTTTTGTCTGTTTGCTTTAACTCCGGTGCAAGCGTACGACGGTTTTGTCATCACCGGTAACGGATGTATTTTATAAGGTGTTCTACAGTACGTACAAGTTTCTCTATTTAATCGTAAACTATAAAGAGTAGAAGTATATTGGGATTTTATACGATGGGGCGCAAAGCTGTTATATTCCTCGTTTAGTAATAAGGCCCACAGGGCGGACGGGTAATCCGACACCGAGCCAGAATCGAACTGAAGTTGTGCGCCGAATGTCAAAATTTCACTAGCTGCATTCAATCAATTGCGAAGTATTCTGATGTTTGATTGGTTACAGTTGGTTACAGCACTCTCACGGCCAAGGAGAATGCGGTGTATTTGGCGGTTGAACGGTACGCTGTTCTTATTAAACACGAGGGCTCAGTCGTCAACTCATCACCATGCAGCCCGTACTGATAGTGATGTGAAACTCCCGCTAGGCTAAAAGGACATACATAAGAAAACACCAACAGAAAATATCGGACATACTGAAGCCGAACATGATACGAAAAAAGGCAAAACCTCAGAAAATTAAAAGAAAAACTTGTTTAATTTATGTTAAAATATTCTCAAAAAGTTGTTTTAAAAAATCAGGTTATGGAAATTGACCTGATTTCCATAACCTGATTTTGCTAATCCTGGATAAGGATTTTGCTTCTCCAGGATTAGTGCGATGATGATCACGAAGATAGTAGATACTCAGCATGTTGGTGTGTTGTAGATGGGCGGTGGCGGCCTGTGCCCGTACTGGTGTGAATTCGTCCGCCGCCAATCGGCGTGAGATGCTGGGTGACGTCTTGTTCCTGGTGCGGTTTCCACTGCTGACTCCGCAGCAGCTGGCTGACGGTCCCGGCCAGGTGAGCAGATTTCATTCTGTCTCTTGCATGCGTAAACGTGCGATTCCCATGTGATGCTTGAGTGAAGTACTACAAAATATGCTGTTATTTGACAGAGTGGTCTCCTCAACGGGGCCGAAATTGGTAGCATCTTTATGCACCAGAACGCCAGCCTCAAGCCGACGGCGGCACTGGCCTTTCCCACGGAACGCCGCACTGGATCGTCGACCGTTGCGGCGCGTGGCCACGTTTCCGGGTTTAAGTCGGATGATCTGGTATTTGCGCGAACCGACAGAGGACAGTGGTGGTTGCCAGCCAAGGTTTCCGAACTGGGTTTGATGGACATAAAGGTGAAGTGGCGTCGCAGCGGCATGTATCATAACACAACGAGAGACCAGCTGGTGCGTGCAATTGATATCCTGCAGCCTGGCCAGGCCTTGCACTTTCTCTTTTCGCTTTCGGGGGATTATCAGCCGGCGAGCTATTTGAAGGCCGCGGCGGAGAATCGGCATGAGGTCTCCTCCGATTATGGTAGGGTTTCCATTAATTTCAGCCGCTTGGGTCTGCTGCACCAGCAGGTGACTCAGTGGAAAGCCCGCAACGGGAAGTGAGGATGATGACCACCGTGGTGCGTGGACTTTATTGGCGTGTACAGGTGGCTTTTTCTAGTTTATATTTTTGATCTTTTTACCTGACATTACATCACACTGGGAATCGCAGTAGTTCGGCATTTTTTGTAATTTAGTTTGCCAATAATTTAGTCCTTTGTGATGGAATTTTTTGTCTGAGTTTAGCTCCGGTGGAAGTGTACGAGGGTTTTGTCTGTCACCGGTAACGGATGTATTTTTAATTTTATAAGGTGTTTTGCCATATTAGAAGGCCACAAACAAGTGCGCGCCGTTTTTAAAAAGAATTGTATCGGAAATATTTGAAATGAAGAACTTGTGATTGAGCCTCAGTGATTCTATGCGCAAATTACCGGCATCAATAGACTAATCAGTCTTTTCCGCAAACTGATTTGCGAATTTCACCGAAACCATGAAACCAGACAGTTGTCATATGTGCATTCGTCAGATAATAATAACAACAGCGGCGAGCAAAAAGCTACTGCTTTAGGTTAAAATAGAAGGACAAACAACGGAATTCCTAAAGGCGTCTTGCAGCTTTAGCTTGTAATGATATTATTTTACAGATTGAATGGTTATTTATTAACATTTACTTATTCAGTTTTATTGTACAACAGATTCAATACTTCTTCGTCAGAAGCAATCTTTGTCCAGCATCCTGCATTGCTGAATGTAAATAATGTAAATGTCTACTCTTGTGTTAGTACATAATATATTGAATCTGCGTATCTATACTCGTATATTGGTTTTCGTCTAGTTTTTAATACACGCAGTAATTACATGTTTATTTATTAGGGTACGTTTTTTAGGATCATTGCAGTGATTGCACAAACAACTAAGTGCATTTTTCGACGAATTTTCATTATAACCAAAGATGCATCACAACTTCACAAGACTGACAAAATCGCGCGTTTGTAGTTTGTACAAAGGCATTAAGTGCTTAAGTCGATCTACTGTATTAATGATTATGATTTACGAGCAAGCAAAATTGGAGCAGGGAAACCATTTATACAAAAGATTATCGATGGTATTATCACCTTGCAACTGCAGAATGGCCAGGTTTAATTTAGAAAGGATATTTGAATCTGCAACAAAGAAAACGAGCTTCTTGGTAAAATGTTTTGTGCATGAAAGTAACCATTGCCAGTATCTATTAACAAAAAAACTGAACGTACTTTTCTGTACAGCAAATGACGCATAGGTCCGTTTGTACACTTTGGGATCCTTGGCGATCTGTCCGTAGGAATCACACACGGCCTGATCGATCAGCGGTGTCCGACCGAAGAGCGCCCAGCCGCCCATCTTCACCAGAGCGATGGCCTGTTTCATATGCGGACATTTCTTCGTTAATTGGCAGTCTTTATATTTTTCCGCAGTTATTTCAAACTGCATAATTAAGTGGCCGTACGTACCTCTTCGTACGTGTTGGGCAGGGATGTCGGTAGCCATTTCTGTATATTGGCCCAGATGGCCATTAGTGTGGGATCCTTGGAATTCTACAGATATAACCAAGAGGTCATCCCTGGAACACGGCATGTTTGTAGAACTAACCGCGTGAATTACCTCTAAAAGATCGCGTCCAGCTGTATTGCCTATCACCATGTAATACGAGTTGGCCAAGCCGGTGTAGGTGTTGTAGATAAACTGTACGTCCGAGCGGAAGATGGGCGCGGTGAAATCCACGGCGGTGTTGTAGCCGTATACGTAGTCCATTGCCGCAGCCAGGATGTCGAAGCCCTGTATTGCATTGCAATTATGTAGATTGCAAGTTATTAATTACTACAACAAACACACTAATTCTAATGATTTTAATCTGCTTGTCTGGAAGATTTGATGATTTACAAATTATTAAAATGGATGTTTTATGCAGTAACTGTACGTAGGCAGCATCCTGCATATACTGTAGCGGCTCGATCAAGTGGCACCACAGAGTTTGTGTACGGGGAAATCAGCACCTGCAATGTGTGCACTGATCGTGCATGTTAACGCATGGGCATGCACACGCTGCGTGTGTGCTGATTTCCCGTACACAAACTCTGTGGTGCCACTTGATCGAGCCGCTACAGTATATATTGCTTTGCGATTATTCCGACACCTTCAAATGTAAGAATTTTCATCTTTAAAAATCCACTCTGGTAAGAAAGCAACCCTACCAAACTTTAATACACAAATCGTTAACCATTTAGGTTTGAAAAATGTAATCGCAATTGCAATACCGGTCCGTACATCTAGTGCATGATGAAGTGATCAAACACGAGTGAACTCCTTTGGGTTGCGAAAAATTATAATTTGTCATTATTTTATGTATACAACGAATACGGCTGACTTACACCAGACTGGAGGGAGCCAATACCACCGCCAAAGCAGCCTCCGCTGCTGGCCTGTCCTGTGGTCCGACCAAAATCACTGGGATTGCCCAGGGATATAGTGAAAGTGAAGTTGGCTACCCGCGCCATGGCATACAGGAGATCTATGACAAATCCAGTGTAATACGTTCCCGTGGCATTTGTGTACACGTTGGTGAATCCGGGAAGCTAACAAAACGCCCACAATTCCTTTGCATATGAGTACAAATAATTTCAGTACAATATACAGTGCACTATAACATTACTGGGTCTACGAGTGCGCACCAGGTGCATTTCTCTAGTACTGGATTTACCGGTATTAAAATACTCGTTGTTTGTTAAATTTCTGTTTGTTAAATTCGTAATGTAATGTTTCTTTTGTGGATGTTAGATTACTTACTTTGTGGAGCATTTATGCTGGGTATGTTCAAAAGCATTATTTGTACAGTGTTGAACATTACCAATAAATTAAAAATACTCGTAACATTAAACTTACGTGCATTTCGGTTTTAAATGCATTTGCATCTTATAAGTGCAAACACATACTAAACGGAAACCGTAGAAGATCAGGCAATAAAATCAAGGACAACAGAGCTCAGGATCTGGATAGGATTTAAATCGGATCCTTTATTATACGTAGGATTTAAATTGGCTGCCCGCAACACTTGTATCTTACTTGATACTAATACTTGTTTATGACTGCACAGATTTAATTAAAATCCGTCAATTCTCTTTCTCATTTATCGCAGTTATGGATTACTATATCCAAATAAGGTACACACTATAGGTATACTAAAGCGAAATGTTGAAGTACACTAAAACGTTCCAGTTTTGTCGAAGGAAAGTAAATAATCGTACTGCTTACCGGAATGGCCATCACCCGGTAGTTCGGAATGGAACATTGTGTAGTTTGACCATCGACCAAACATCCACAGAGTATCACGCTGGACAATACCGCCACCACACCAACCCCGGTCATTCCCCACATTGCCACACACACACACTAGCCGTACACTCGGCACACACCCGATAATCCGCTCCTATGGCGCGTTATTCCGATCAGACCGTCCAAATTCAAATTCAAAAACCGCTCAGTCATATTTAGCATAACACGTACCACGACATAAGGTAGCAACACTGGACAATACCGATTAGCGCCAAAGCGGCCGCGGACAAAAGGATATTGTTATGTTTACCGGTCTATGTCAACAGCGGCCGAGTGTTATTAAACAGCTGCTGGTGTGTGAAGGCTGTGTGCATTGGACGTCCGATGGGGTGTTGTTTTAGAATACTTGAGTTATTGTTATTGTTTATCTGGTCGTTGTTGCAGCGTACACACACTACTATATGTCGACAGTTAGCGCCATTTAATCGCTGAGTCTGTTAGCCGTGACCATCACTTATGAGTTATGACAATCACTGTAATTACACACACCAAATGACAATGTAGATCCGCACGCGTTCCGTAGCCCCTGCGAATTATGACCAGTCGGAAGAGGCGCTTGAACACGGTGCCCAGCGTGACGAATGCCGGTTGGACACAATTAGAATGTCGCGCAGAAGTGGTGCTTGATAAGTATACTGCAGGTTTACGTGGATGGATGCGCATCTGGAGCAATGGCCACCGTCTCTGTTGCTCGGAGGTACCGGACAGTAGATAATCGTAATAATATTATTATAATTGAAGAGGGCTCAGTATCTTTCACTGTAAACACAGTATTTGAATACAGTACGAGTACGTGTATAATATGGTGATGCAGACGACGAACATTGGCGTGATACAGTGCAATGTGTGTACGGTTTAGCTGCTTTACTGCTATTGTGGGTGCACAATCATGCGGTAACGAATGTGGGCAGACTACAGAGTACAGACTGATTCGTAAGTTATGATACCCGGTCCGTTATCAAGAACCAGTTCATTGACATCCACGTCAGCGCAAACGCTCTATTTTCGGGATAAATTCCGGATACTGGGGCAGTAGCTCCTTATAGGCAGCGTTCAAAGACTCAAACGGAATAAAATGTGCCGACATAATTACGGTATGTCAATAAAAGAGATGACTAGCGAAAAACGTCACTTGCATAAATGATCGAGCACAGACGACAACTAGAGAAGGAACTACATTACTCCGAGGACACTTTAATCCGTGCTGAGTCTTTAAGACGATGATGATCCTGTCTTATTTGAGGTGCATTCTTAATGGTCATTCCTGAAGCGTTCACATTTCGCTGCCGTACCTCTTGATTTTTGCAGCAGTTCAGCTGGACTGGATGATATTACGACACATGGCGCTTCTTACTGGTGCGCTGCTAGCCTGCTGCACATACTGAACACTTTTATTCATTTTAATTTGCTGAATTTGGATAAATTTCAGTACAGTATTCCCACAGTACAAGTCCGACTTTGTTTGTAATACTTGTAGTTTGCTGTCAGTTTCAAACCCGTTGAACCTGGAAAGCATTCAAGTTAAAAGTAATTCAGTAAACGATTTGCAAAAGTCCACAGGATTTGCAAAAGATATACACAGGATATGCACAGGATTTGCAAAAGTCCTCACGCAACCAGTTGTCGTTTACTCTTGACGAGGCAGCCGCGCGCTATGTCTGCAAATACGCAACGAGATTGGACGCGCACCGTGCGCCACCAACTAGCGGAGCAGCAGTGACCTTTGCGAACTTTTCATTGGTGACCGCGGGACATTGAGATTCAAGGCTCGATTGTGTTAAACGGCTCGTTATACGTTGTCTATCGTCACTGCAGCGCAGACAGAGTTCCGGGATGGTGATTTTCAGTGCTCGGATTACTCGCTCGCATGACGCGTCTCAACGCTTCCTTCTTCTGCTACACCAAAATAGAAACGATGCAGCTTGAAGTTTCACCCATCATCGTGAGCCGATAAAGTCAATAAACAATAAATATAGCACGTTACGTAAACATATCGAAGATCGGTTTGGCTGTATGAAAGTCATAAACTAAAAAACCAGCGAGATGACAAGATCCATGTCTGCAGTATGTACCCTCACTGGAGTTCCCGTCGGTCCTTCGAGACCCAAAGCTGAAGCTCCTTGATGGCATTCAACCGTTCAGTAGCTTGGTTGGCTGGTCGGAAGGTCTCTTGAACGAAATGGGCGACAGTAGCGGTAATATCAGTGGACTCAGAGTGGATGCCGCCACGGGCTCGTCAAAAAACTAAAAGTCTTGACCTTTGCTATTGTCACCACCTTTCATCACGTTTTAGCTATTCGCACCACATTTTGTACATTATTTTTTACGCCACCTTTGGCTATCCTCGCTCTCTTACCATAGTTAATTACGACACTCCGTTTTACTCACCTCTTTATACATGCGCGTAATTTTAAATTTTAAGCTACTACGGAGTTCCGTTAAGGTGGTGTTAGAATTCGTTTCCAAAGCCTGAAGGTGACGAAAGGCGGTGGCACTGGCCGCACTCTAAACCAAATTCAAACAAAACTGCTTATGGCAGCATAAGTCTACTTATCCGGGTCAATTACTGGATGGGTCAGCTCATCAGGCAGTAAATATTGCCGCAGAATTTCATTACTGCGTCTAATTTGCGTCCTTCATTGTAGGCAGGCACATATCCATTAACCGGCAAAGTTACCCGGCGTTACCCGGCTTGTGAATAGTTGTGTAATGTCGAAATATTCCCGTAAGCGATATCAAGGTCGGATCGCAGTGATATGAAATTTTCAATAAAAAAATACGCCCTTCACCTTGCCGTAGCTTTCGAGACAACCTGAAATATAGTATGAAAATTAATATACCTAAATTCAGTGCGTTCAACTCAGACGGCGCCGATGATTTATGAACAAAATAAACCGCTTCCTCTGTTGTGGTCGGTTGGTGAAATTGCTAAATGACAGAAAACGTGGGCGTCTATATATTTGCGAGCGGTTGATTGATGCTAATAGATTCATTTTGCTGTATCGAGCAAGCGGAGCAAAAATGATGCGACCGGCATTATCGGAAGAGCACATCGTACGCCGACCAAATTGTCGTTTATTGCTCGTTTTATTTGAATTTGAGTCCATTCGTCGGCACTTATGGGTGTTCCGTTCTTTATAACTGTCAGAACATGTTTATGTTGATCTGTTCATGATGTCTCTTTACTCCGGCGAGCACAACACAAGCACATAATGCAAATCAGAAACGATAAGCTGCTAAAAGGATACATATACTCTGTAATTTAATACGGTACATTGGCTACACCAGACAGTTTTTGACCTTCTGCGCTTGATCGAAAAAAATTAACGGCGCACTGCGATGCTACAATTGGTATCCTTCGCCGCACGATTCACATTCTAACAGGTGCTGATTATCATTCTAGAACAGTATAATAATGTTTTCTCTTTAGTGTCATGCAACTCGTAAAACGCAGCTGACACCTCCATAGAAATTTTTTGACATGGAGTCACACGTAGACAGTACCGGGGCGTTGCCGGTGCCAACAATTTTAAAGATGCCCCACACAAAAATACGATAAATACGATATTAACGTAGCACTGAATCTGACCTAACCGGCGAACGCAGAAGCCGTAATTACTGACAGCCAACGACTGACGTTCTCATGACAGAGCAAGAATATAAATTGCCTCGAATACCGGAACAATAACACCGACAATAAAGCACAACGGACGCTGATGGGCATCGGTTGTACAGTAAATAGTAATATGCCCACAGAAGAACTGCTCATCTTCTCTTTATGATTTGAGCCAAGTTAGCTGTATTCATTATCATCGAAAATCAAATCATTACGCGCTTGGCTCTCGCATCGGATTAAATACTACGGAATAACATTAAGCACTGTTGCTTTGGTATCAAGAAAATATTCCGGTTTTTTTGCGTCTTATCTGGATTTTATGAAAAGTCAGTAATTGACGGTATTGTGGAATTTTTCTGATTTTTTGGATCCGTTCTTCTTTCGAGCTTTATTAATTGTTGATAATGTCACGGAGATTTTTTTATTTATTTGTTCTGGCAGTGGGAAGCTGTTTATTGTCTTGTGATGAGATCAATGCCCAGCAGACAGTATCACAGTGCGTGACGCCAGTTTATCGGGTCCTCGTAACGCCGGTATGGAAACCTTTCCGCTTCGCCGCGTCACCGCAGTGGTGCCGCTGGTGGTTCTTTTAGCCGATGCGCACACCGAAACATGGCTGACTTTTGCTACATGATTATTTATTTAGGAATTTTTCTAGCAGGTTTACTTTCACTAATAACTTTCAGTGCCCCTATTTGCTGTTAACATACCTTTCTAAAATCAACATAACACGTGGAATAATTATAATTAGCAAATACATAAATTCCAGTTATTTGAATCTGCTGCTTTTTGTTGTGAATTTATCACAGTGTTTTTACCATTGTACGGTGGTTCAATGTACAACGCATAAAAGCCGGGAACCTTACAAGAAATTAACAATAAGTGCGCAGCAACGCAAATACATCTTCCACAGGGCACACGGAATACATTTAAAAAAATTTCTGTGCACGCTAATTTACGAGTAATTATACTTTGTGCGTACACGCTAATTTAATTATATTCTGTGCGTGTTTTTGGTGGACTTAGCTGGCTTTTTCCTTGCAAATTGCGTACGTTACAAAACTTTTTTCTGTAGTTGAAAACCTTTACGGACGTCTTCACAAATTCCAGTGGGACATACTACACAGGATTCAATATCGATGTGCTGTTCGCCATAGCCAAGCGGGCTAATTTCTCGTTCACTATCGGAACGACGCCGAACAGCGCCTTCGGCTCATCCAGTGGACAAGTGTCGACTAGCGGGGAAACTTGCTTCGGCAGCAACTCCGGTGTGTCCATATTCCAGCAGCAGGTATGTCACAATGTAAAATTTTATAAACGGCTGCGAAAGAATAATAAGAGGACATTTTACACGCGCAGTATACAAGTGCATGGTTGACGTGTACGAGTTTGTCCCGTATAACGTTTCCTACACATTAACCAGCGACAAATACCGAATCGCGGGTTACGCCAAACTCTATACTACGCCGGGCCACGCCATTCCCCATTGTGTTCTCTCTCCTCCTTGCTTGCAATTGCCAAAGCTGATTCCTTAAAACTACCGAAGTAAATTAAAAATATCGATGTATAATTTTAAAATAATATCTTTTCTTCGTTTATGATTATACCTCAAATATTGAGAGGAGTAAATTTGTCTTTGTGATAGATGTAGTGTAGTGGCTGTCGCTCTTCGCGCTAAAGGAAAGTACGTACATCATACATGATATCTATAATTCTGTATCTTACATAAGGAAAGTTATTATTAATTAGGAAAGTTATTATTAATTAATGATTACAGAATCATTCTGTTAATTTTTATCAATACCTTATCAGTTCGACAGGTGAAAAGTTGTACGTTCCAATTCTGCAGATTTTCTGTCTGCGACTATGAGGTTTTTAATCAGCTCTGTGGTTTTTCGTTATTCATTCATGTTTCGTGCTCAGACGATATTTTCTGGAAGAACTCATTATTTTAGCGTCTGCTACGAATGAAATCAGTATAATTATTATGTATATAATTAAGGTTGGTACGACTGTGCTAGTACGAAGAAAGCGTAAGTATTGAATTCAAAATGTTTATTTGATGGCGGGCTGTTGCTAATCAGTAATCCGAGTGACCCAATCACTTGTTGTTGTTGCCAGAGAATGCCGGTTGCTGTCCTCTATCTCGTCAGCTTAGCCTCTTCTCGTGCTTTTCTAGGGTAGGCGGGGGCCTATCTCAATTTTGAGCAACACTAACAGCCACAATACGTGAGCTCTCTTTTTTATTTCCTGTGCAAAAGCATATAGCCTTCAGAATTTGAAATGTGTATTATCGTTAGCTCGAGATGGCTAGCCGTTTTTTTTTTAATTTCCTAAGACAGCCATATTTAAGTGGATTATCTTGTATAGTATTTTTTTACATTGCGGAATTACGTAGAGCGTAATTTCACGTTACGTAGAGTGAAGCAGTTACTGAATGTATTTACTTGGGTGGATATGGGAATACCTTTTTTGCAGCAATACGACATTTACGCCGTCGCCCTGGACCAGGTCTCCGAATACTTAACCGCAGTGGACTTCACCACGCCCATCTTCCGCTCCGATGTCCAGATTCTTTACAACGTCCAGGCCGGACTGAACAACAATACCAAGTATTCGGTCATCAGTCAAACGGCCGGAAAGGATGTTCTTATTGTACGATCGCAGTAGCATATAACGCAGATCGATAGGACTGTTAAAAAACTGGACTCTTATGTAAATTTGCAATAATTTACAAATGTTCATGTTCGATTTCTGAGCCCGAAGGAATCTTTTGTACGGCTGTTATGCCGTATTTGTGACTCTCCACCTGTATGATCGTACTGTGACTAGATGTTGTTAATTTGATGGGCAGATGACCAAGAATCCCCGTCTGATGGCCATCTGGGCCAACATCCAGGCCAATGCACCGACATCCCTACCGCAGACGTACGACGACGCCATAAATCTCATCAAAAACCAGGGTTATGCCTTTGTGGGACGGACGCCGTTGATTGATCAGGAAGTGTGCAATTCATACTACCAAATCGCCAAAGATCCCACTATTTTCAAACAGACATACGCATCCTTTGCCGTACAGAAAGGTCAGTGCTGTTCTGTTCTAATTTTATTTTTTATATGGCAGGCGTGGTGTGCACATTATAGTGTATGTATGTACAAAGTGGTATAAAAATTCACTGGCAGAGTGGCAGTTAATCGTGCAGGCAGATTCTCGCACTGCACATCTGATCTTCAGCAATCGTACCTTGAAGAAAATACTTGTATAGGTACAAAAAAGCTGTTTGCCGAATTCTCACCTTGATCTTAACTACCGTAAATGTACGCAAAAAAATGTAAACGTTAATGTGAACCGTAAATTCATAAGAACAAATTTCGTTTTTTAAATTTATATCCGCTACGGATAAATTTTGTTATTATTTGCCGGAAATTATAACTCATAATTGAATAAAACGCTTACTCAGCGTGAATGACGTAAGTATATATGTAATGTTAAAACTAGCGCCTTAATAATTATCATGTTGCCGTTCTCAATAGATAGCTAAATATTATATGTGGTTCTATTCGTACACCCGCGTTATTTTATACACACCAATAATACCGGCATTGATATACTGTATGTAAAAGTGCACCGAAAATACATGTGCTAGTACAGACACAAGGTATTCATGGACTGATGCGGCTATTTTGGCGTTTTAAATACTACATGTCAGCGGTAAACATTTTTCTTTTTTTCACAGGTAATAACGACCTTCTGGACAAGATAAACCGCGCCATTCTCTCACTACAGGAAGACAACACTATCCCCACTTTATTGACCAAATGGTTTCCCTGTTCTAACTTTCAGTGCAGTTGATACCGTGCCGCCGTGTTGTTGTGCTCGTAATCTTAGTAGTATTGTTGACATCTGTTTATACTGACATAATGATAAAATTGCTCTATTTTGTCCTTCCTACGCGCCGGCGCGATGATTGACAGGAATGCATTTTGTACGTTGTTTTTACCATCGATTAACTTTTCTCCTCATTCTCTTTACCCAGCGCAATGTGGACCGTCAAGTGTTATAAGTAATAAGAAAGCAGAGAAACGCTCGAGCATATTCTGATCGATGGAATACTGAAGCGCCAATAACAACGAATTACCGGTTCGAACTTCTCATGATCACACTTCCGTATGCGCATCTCGGCATAGAAAACGACAGAATCTTCTTCTGTACACGTGAATATATATATATTCGAACTATCTTGCAACGCCGGCGGGCGCGAAAAAACAACGACGCCGGTAAAATAATTACCGCACTGACCGTGATAAAAAGTACAATTGTTCACAGTGTGTCATCGTGATTTTGCCGGTATGTACGGTGCGGATGCATTATAACGACCTGCTCTAGTCATCGGCGGCATTATGACTGCCTGATCGTGATGATGATGATCAGCCACGACCGGATATGTGCTGCATCGGTCGCTTAACCAGCCGCATCGTCTTTCTTCTCAGTCAGTGATCTCGGTTGATGTTGTGGTACCTACCAAAAGATTATTATAATAGCCAAGCTACTAGCATGTACAGTTTCACCGTGTTGTTGATGTGCGGGACGGCGGCGGTGGCGGCGCCCGGCATGGGCATGCCCGGGTTCGGGTTCGGCGCGGGGATGGATCCGGGGATGCCGCGCGGATTCGGGGATCCGGCTAATCCGTTTGCCCGGTCCGGGGGAATGGATGCGGGCGGGATGGGTGGGAATCCGATGTTCGGCATGGGCGCTCAAGGTCAGTGTGTACACCGTTCAGGGCGCGAGCGGTAGAAGCTACAGTAGTTATAGTTCCCGCATTACATACTGGTGAATTGTAAAAGAAAATTATGGATAATAAGTCAAGCAAAATACGAGCCGTTGATATTAAAATCGATCGACCTTTACATATAGTTATTGCATATACACTGTTAAACACTATAAAACTTTTTTGTGTACGAAGTATAACAAAAATTTTTGATTAGAGGGAAATGATAAATTTATGGATTTGCAAGGATAGATACGCATTTTCGTTAGAAAGATTGTTATTATTTGATGTACGTTGAAAAATGAAATATTTATGATACTGAGGATAAATTAGAAGATGCGTAAATTTGATTGTCAGGTGTGGCGCCGGGAAATTCTAGGTCAAGGTCTTTAACTTAATGTAATGGTTGGTGGCTAAACTTGTGACCTAAATCGTACCTTCTTAGCTGATATAAATGAGCGAATGCTGCATCGCTCATTGCGATACAGCATATTGTAGCAGACATTCTTGTCCAAAGATTTTCATGCCGGAAATGGTTAAAAAATACCAGCGTGCACCGAAACTGCACGTATGAAAATGATTTTGATCTTATTTTTTTTTATAATAACTGCAAATGCTTATTTAAAAACGTAAAATACGAAGCTTATACGAGCTCATAAGTAAAAAAATCTCTCGTAACCAAAAAAAGCTCATCATACAGGATGACTAGTGAAGCATAATACACCTTCAGTGTTGACAAAAATGTACGTGGTATTCTTCTTTGCTGACTGCACTGAGCATCACACCTGCGCTGGATGACTCATAACGTAAACGCCATCGTCCGAAACGGAAATGCTTGGCATACTTTCGCTTCCGTGGTACAACCCTAGATCGGCCTATTTGTAGCCGAACGAAGCTTACTGTAGAATAAAAAAAAAGAAAAATCAGACTCAACTGGACAAACCCGAAATATCGTAGCACTCCATTAATTGTAGAAACTGTAGTTGTAATACGAGTACAGTACATATCAAACATACCTGGACCTTCACCTGGATTTACATAGTTTCCTTTCTTCCAGGTCCCGCAAATTATGGAGGCATGCCGCGCAGTGACGGCTTCAGTGGAGCCGGCATGATGCAGCCGTCGGCTCGCTATAATAGCGGCGGCTACATGGGCGGCGACCAGTTCCCAGGAGGAATGGGCGGTATGGGCGGCATGGGTGGAATGGGTGGTATGGGCGGAATGGGAGGAATGGGCGGGATGGGAGGAATGGGCGGCATGGAAGGGATGGGCGGGATGGATATGGGCGGCATGGGGGGTATGGGTGGCATGGATGGGGGCGCCGACGGCATGGACGATATGTACAAGATGCAGGCCGAGATGGAACAGCTGCAGCGCCAGCTCATGCAGGGCCCACCACCCAGCTTCCTCAAGGACAAAGAAAAAGCCAACAACACCGCCAACGCGGTGAAGATCGGCGATAACATCCTTGTCACGAACCAGGTAGCGCCTCCTATATTAACTTAAGCCTGATTCGAACTAGTAATGAATCATGGTCAGTTTGTACGAATTCGAAGCCAGATCCTTAGCTTGGAGAACACCGACACACTGAAATAGGCGTGACTTATCCGTACACTGAGCTGTGGGTTGTTGACATTGTACTCAAGAGTATTATGCCTCTTACAGACCCGCTTCACGGACAACAACGATGGTTTAACACAGGGATTCTTTCAGGAGTTTCATATCTTTCCCGGGCAGGAGACAACCACCGCCAACTCTGCCGCAGGGAATTCGGTGGGCGGAGAGGTGAGAATCGTAGCATACTTATGTACAGATGTGGGCAAAATTCGGTTTCCGCATATGGACTGCAGTCATGTGAATGCTGTGGGTGGGGACGCCGTTGCCAACATATCGCAATATTTTTCTTGTACATGTCTATCTGCGGAAACCTTTTTAAGCCGCGTATGGCCCTATAGTGTTCTGCAGCGGTGCAACCATTCATCCAATGTTACTGTATGTTCTCGGCAGCCGGGGACCACTTTTCAAGTTGGTGCGCGCATTCCTTTGGGCTTTGGTGATTTCTTTGACGCGTCAAAGTTGCACCATCCCAAAGTCAGATGACATAGTACAGTTAACAATACCTTGGCACTAGTACGTCTGCATCCGTTGTCCTCAGGCTGCCGTGTTTTCATATGCGTCAGAAATATTGAACGGTTCAGTAAACAACACCCGCCCGTCTACATTATATATCGTACGTCATAACGCATCTTCCTTCGGGAAACCATTCCCTCATTGTAATGACAAGGTATGCGCTATGAGTCGCCCCATGACATATAAATTTATTTTTTCCAATAAAATTTACGAAACAGCCGCGGAGAGCCCTTATTGAACAATCAACCAAAAAACTTTCGGAACGAAATCAAAGTTGTCAGTACTGCCCACGCCAATACTAGTGTTTTGTACAGATGCATAGATTAGCCTAAATATCTGTTGTTGCAAAAATGAATTGACCACTTGCTTTGCTTTCTAATATGTAGGTTTCGCCCAAGGCTAAAGAAATCGCAGAAAACACTGACTTGAAATCGAGGCGATAGCGAGCGAACCGAAGCCGGCTTTTAGCCTGTTTTTAGCAAGTTGTACATGTTTTTTTACGTTTTGTGACTTTCTGCTTGCATGAAACTCGTTTTTGTTATTATATTATTTTTTATTTGTTTGTTGCTTTAGTTGCTTAACGAGAAAATTGATGAATGTTTTACTTTGTTATAGTACTCGAGCAAGACTGACAACAGATTATACAGTACCGTATATGCGCCATAAGATTTGCATCAGAGAATGAGTATAATTGGTAAAACTAACGCGCATGTTTTTTTTGGATTAAAATAAATTATTATTAAAACATGCTTGGCACTCAGTGTTCGTTCAAGTCAACACACACTCATGACCTTTACGCATTTTCACCAAAGGCGGTAAAAAATAAACACTTTTAAACTACAGTACTACATATTTCAAACTACAGTATCAGCGGATATTTTTAAATTTTTTAAATTTAAGAGGCCCAAAGCAACAAAAAGTTCATTTTCCATCATTTTACCCCGATTATTGCAATTTCTACGTAAACGAGCTACCGAAACCATAACAACGACAGTTAAATGCATGATATGCATCCATGTTTTCTCATGTATCAGTTTTACTGGTACGAGTATATAGTAATTTGTACATAATACTCTGTGTAATGTATGTAATTATCTTGATAATAAAGTTACCCTTGCGTACAATCCTTTACGTGTGTGTAGGCCCGAGCCAATACCCAGTTATCCCGTGATGCTGCTGCCGCCGCGGCTGCTGCCGATGCCAGTAAACGAGCCATCAGCGTCGTCCCTCCCGAGGCGGCCTTCGGATTTGCCCCATCGGATAACATCTTTAATCCGCGAAAACTAGGCGACGTGCCGGCCGTGAAATTGCCGGAGCGCAACCTGGTGATGCGACCGCCCAGCAGCTACAAAGACGACAACATGGTCAAGGAGAAGTATCCTAAGAAGGCCTTCTCCCCGGAGAAATTCGACCGGCTGGGGGAGAATTTCCAGCGCACCTTCGATGCCTTGTAAAGAAGCGTATTGACCGGATATCGCGGCGGTGTCTGCCGGCGGAAACTGATCGCGATGCCGGTGCGCTCTTCACTGGGGCGGTGATCGCGTGCGCGTGTTCGACGGCAGTCTGGCACTGCATATCGTGTAAATACAGTAATGTGTTCTTAATTGAGCAATAAATAACTGCTGACATAGTTTAACTGCGCCATTATTAATGGTTTAATTTGCTGTATCGATGAAATGAACGACTCGAAGTGATGCCCTAATACAAAGTATCTCGAATTTCGAAATAAAGTTTGCTAAATTTCACTACGATCATCACAAGTGCTATCTATTGGCTTAATATGCACATATTTTCTTGCACGTGCACGTAGACTTACGGTTATCTCGATATCGTAACCAATAATCAGTAAATTACAGCATATTCGTATGTGAAAAGGTCGCGGAGGATACACCTAAAAGCAGTTAATAAATGGTTAACATGCCGCCCTCTGTACAAAACCATCCAAGTGTTAATGGGACCCGAAACTCGCTCACACAATTCCTTCCAAAAATTACTACGACGACAGATCACGCCTCGCTCAAGCCTTTCCAGAGCGGCTCGGACAGCCGCGTGAGGAAGTGCAAGGTAATTCGCGACAGCTTCCCCAACTCTAAACCTTCCAAACCGTCGAGGCACCACTTCTTCCCGCGGTAATGCGAGAACGGACGCAAATCATTGAACTGCGTAGCGTACAATACCTGCCAATGGAAAGCGCATAAAATAGAAAGGAAAAAAAAGCGTAAAATGAAAATTTGAAACAAATGCAAACCGAAAAATAAACCGGCTGCCGCTCTTACCTTACCGACGGCTACTTTGGTCCAGTGGTCGTGGCTTAGAGCAAACACGGCTGCAAACCACTGCCGAAGCGTGCGCAGTTGCGCCTCACACGGCATCGGTAGCGCCGCCTCGAATGCCGTCCACAGTGCGCAGCCGAAATTCCCGTTCAACGGCAGACGCGCCTTGGGTAATTTCACCGTCATAGCAGGGCCATGTCGCCAGGGAAAAAAATTAAACGGACAATGCCATTCCATCTCGCAATCGACCATACAGAGCACTCCACCCGGCAGGCCGCGGCCGATTTAAATGAAATCCTCCAGACGGCAGTATTCACGGACGGGAGTATATGGTGACCGAAGCGCAGCGTTACTTTCATGCAGTACGCACGTGATAGGCTTCCAGATGTTCGGTGTAGAGATGATAAAAAGGTTCAGTTGTGCGCCCACCAGATGCAGCGCGGTCAGCCGCATCTCGGTTCTCTGTTCAGCCACGTACTTTATCATGTCGATTATTTTCAAGAGGTCTTCGGTTTCCAACTTCATCTGCCGATCGGCCAGCACAACATGGCGAGTGCCTGGACGGAGATACTTGAACAGTGCCGCAGCCGGGAGAAACTGGTAAGGCGCATCTGGACACTGCTTGCACCGCGGATGGGGTTCAAGGACGATACTGGTCGTCAGTGTGGGCGAATCCATCATCAGGTTCCACGTAGCATTAACCATACGCAGCCGAGTCTGGTTCACCGTGTCCAAGTGTGAAAACACTTCCCTCCACACTTCCATCGAAAGTACGCTGGAATCATCCGATGTCGTGGTTACAGTCGCCTGCATCCCTTCTTCATGAAATCGTTTCAGGAATTGCTGAAAACGCGGACAACAATATGCAGTTTAAAAAAATAGCCAGATTTCGCGACAGCATATTTTACCGAAAGTGTTATGTTGGTTGCTTGGAGGGCGTGTTCAAGAGACCGAGTTCTGCAGACCCAGTCCAACCGGCCAGCGACGATCTCCACCAAACAAACATTCATCAAGGGGTACCCCGGCGGGGAGTTATTCCAGCGCTTGATTAGTGCAGTCGCTTCCTGTGCGGTCAGCGAGCTCTCCTCAGGGGGGCCAGCCGATGCCGACGGCGTGCTGTGAACGTCCCGGGAGCCATGCACGGGTGTAGCGCAGCATAGTTGACAGTGTTAACGGACTCCCGGCTTTTGAGTTCCTTCTCCACCATCATCTGAAGATTATCCCGCTCAGGCAGCTTACCGTTGTAACAGTCAAACAAGGGGCAGAGGATTCGCTCGATCGGGAGGATATCCGTGCAGGATATTCCTGTAATAGCATCCTGCCAACTGACAACGGCCGAATCGTAAGACTTATACCGCACTCCGCGTCCGTGACAAGGCATTTCACCAGGGACCCAAATCCACGGACCGGACGGCGTTTCCGGCACCAGGACCATCACAGGAGTTGTTGGCAATTGTGCAGCAAAAAGCTTGGCCAGGAAGGTTCCTGGCAGCGGAGGGCGCGGCAAGAAACAGTTGTCGTTTAAGTAGAATTCACGTCGACGGTTGAGACAGAGCAGATCGACGAGGATCCCACCCTCCACCACGTCCACCACGCGCCAGTAGCTCAACCGGCCGTCGCGGCCCAAAACGTGCACACTGTTCTGTCAATGGAATCCTCCACACATGATAGGCTGCGGTGGGATGCGGGAGCGACGAAAATTGTAGAATGCCGTTCAGTGGGTACGCAGAGTGCCTAAAGAATTTCTTTTGCAGTTGTACGGTAACAATGGTATGGTATTCTAATTTGGAGGAATTCTCACTTCCTTTTGCGCGGTGCAAGAATCTTGCGCTCGGAGCGCAACACAAAACAGGCAAGCCCAATAATCGATTAGAAAGACGGTCTGTAACCTCAGGTAATGTTTATTAGACCGCAGATGCCAGTCGCCAGATACCGAATGCCGCTGTCACCCAAGAGTTCAGTAACGACTAAGTAACCAAAAAAGTACGCTCACAAACTTATGTACTCGTACGGTCGTACCGCGTATCATAATCATATTGTGCTTACATCAGCGTGGTTTCGAATGGTATCAGCGCAGCAGACAGCAACAACCAATCAACGATCGCGTAAAAAACCTCTGGGACCTCGAAAGGATGCATTTACATGCGTTACGCTTTACAGTGGCTTAATTTTCTTTTGTTTAGACTGTACCGGACCGGCGCGGCGCGGTGTGTTACCGGACCGGCGCGTCATCGGCCAATTTATGCGAAAGCATTTGCGTTTATACAAATAGTTCCTATTCCTATTGGTTTCCCGTACATGATCGTTCCCAGACATCTATTAGGCAGTTAAGTCTGGTTTCTGTTCTAGGCGATCATATGGCAGTAAAGCTTGTCGTTGACTGTGCGTACCCCGTAGCGGCCAGAAAACTGCATTCGCACATGGCAGACACTGCATGGTCGAAGTGCAAAAAGGAAATGCAATTAGATTGCGACTGCGAAACAATTTTCGGATGTTATTCTGATAGCTACTTCAGCCTACTTGCATAATTAATTTACAAAGTATGAGCACTTGGTATATTTGGCGAGCGTTAATATCCAGCAAACGAAATACCAGTCCAAAACCTTCAAACGTATTAGCTCTTCAGGAAAGCAAGTCACCGCTTTAGGTACCAACGAGCGAAAACACGCTATTACCAATTTAAAGTTTCGGTTGAGTCATGAGTGCGTTGTAGCGAAGTTGAAGCGAAAAATTCGGTTAACATTTGGGTTCGTTGCGGGAGAATTCCTCTTGAGTCAGATTGACCGACGCTGCTGCCGTGGGAATTTCGACGGCGCAGTCGATGGGAAGAAAGAGTTCCCCACGGCGATATTGTTGATTTTGCCAGCTGCTTGGGAATATGTACACTCCCCCTTCAGGAACCTCGGTGTGGCGCAACGGTGCCGTGTTATTCTGCCACCATTCCCGATACCAGGCAAACTCGCAGCTGCAGTGCAGACGGAACAAGTAATCGCGGACTCGATGGTCCAATACATCCACCGGGGTGCCTGGCACGGGGGCTGACGAGGAGATTATATCCAATTCCAGCGCCACAACGCGTACGGCCGGCAAATCACTAAACACATTGACCTCCAGTGTGCGGATGGTGGCATTCCAAAATTCGATAACGCGCAGCTTTTTGGTACGCTGAAAGTCTTTACGCTTGACGTCTAAATCCCGGCAGTCCATCATAGCCACGTGTACCAGATTGAAGAGATTGAGTGTGTTTATGCGATTCGTGCAGCGGGCGGTGGTGCAGTTCAGAAGGTTAAAAGCGATAATCAGAGGTCGCACTGGCTGCAGATCGGCCATCTGGAGTGCGGTCACTTCTTTTTCGGCCATACTGAGCAAAATCGCCCAGGGGGACTGCTTAGCCATCACGGTGACTAATCGTTTGGTGTCCGTTAGTACCCTCTCGATGCTGCAGGATCGTGTGTCAAAAGTCGCGTTTGTACCATTGTAGAACTCGATAACATCCATTGCATAACTCGCATTATACGATTCCAATACGCTCGGTGCGCAGACAGTAACATCCCACATCAGCCTATCCATAGCGCACGGATAAGTCAACACTAGACGACACTCTTTGTCGGTTCTTGGCTCGGTGGAGAACAGTGGGTAACTATGCACATTACCAGTGCTCGTTGTGGTGGTATAGCATTCTGTATTTCTCTTTTCTTTATCTGCAACACTTAAACAGTTCAGTTATCCCCGCCTTAATCTACCTCTGAGAGATTCAGAGCGCTTGATGGTATTTCGGTATCTGGAAACTTTTGTAGGAATAGTATACAGAAATTACTGCGTACGTACAGCGTCTCCTCTGTTCTTTCTCTTCCCTCAATGTTTTAATGCGTTATGTAAACACTGGTACGCTTTCTAAATGCGTTCTTTTTCATTCGATTTCTGTCGGGCCGATTCCCTTCAACCACCAAACTTTCTTAGCACTTACACAATTCCTCATTCGCAGAGTACACTTGTTGTGTAAAGTCGATGGACGCGGATCCATTGGGAAGGCTGGAGCAGTCAACCGGCAAAACAACATCATTGCGGGTAACATTCCAGTTGCGCCACGAATCGTACGGGATGTTGTAGATCTCCCCTTCTAACGCTTCACGCAGTAATCCATTGGCTTGCCACCATCGTCGAAACCACTGGAATTCGCAACTGCAGTGCAGTCTGGCGATGTACACCTGCACATTATTATCGAAGACTTCCATCCCGCTCAAACCACTCTCTAACGATAGCAAGCGTAGCGCCGGCAGATCCGTGAAGGTGTCCGCTTCCAGAACGTCCACCGTGGTATTGACAAATTGTATCAATCGGAGTTTTCTAGACTGATAGAAATCGGCTCGTCGCACGTTCAAATCACGGCAGTTATGCAGTCCAAACTCCAGTAGATGCGGCATGCGCAACTGGGACAGCTTGTTTGTTACGCGGGACGACGTGCAGTTGTGCAAATGAAGCACGAGTGTCTGGTCGCGCACGGCTGACAAAGTACCGGAGTTGATGTGTTCTCCATCATGCAGGCTGACGGAAATTGCCTTTAATGGTGGCTTGGATAAGGAAAAGGCTAGCTGCTTGATCTCTGGTGCTTTTGCTGAAGAACTGCAAGCCAGCATTAGACCGTGCTGGGTCGCGCATCTGGAGCGAGCGAGATTGGGCGGGGCGCAGTTGGTGGTGAACTGCAGTAGGCACTGGTCGCGGGTCATGAGCTCCACGGAGAAACGTGGGAAAGGAATGAATATGCCAGGGTTATGCGGTTGCGATTCGTCCTCTACACATTCACAAGCGGTTAACAAAATACTGATAACTGTTACTCAGCTGGTGCAAATGCATTACGTAACTACGAAGTTGTACGGTAAATCGAATTCTCTGTACGTAGAGTCGTATACCAATATATAGATATCTATATACATGCTACCCTACTCGAGTAGTAATGGTACTTTACATGCCATGGCCAATGGCCATATCTTCGTCATGCGAGCAAGATGCAACATTACACTATCAGACATCGCCGAAACCATTAATTTCTATAAGGATTACCTCTGTTATTTCCTAAAGTAAAGTTGAACAGCAACATTAGGATGATGCCGTGAGCCTGCATATGCAAAGGAGGCATTGTTGGTATAATAGCCTTTCAAGGGGTTTCTAAACCAAGTGACGGTGGTGGTGGATGCGCCGATGCACGTTACGGCGCTCACGGTATATACTTCCTAATAAAACTTGAATAAGGCAGCGTATAATGAATTAATGTCTATGGTTGGAGAAAATGCAGACAATGTTCGCAAGATCATAGCGGATATTGTGCAACAAACCAGCGATGTGAGCGTGCTGATCATGCGACACCTCCGGCGACATGTCTTCCTCGAAGCGGCTGGTCGGAACCTATAAGGGTAGTGCGTAATGCGGAATAATGGTAATTACGAGGTACAACATCCGCTATGTCTCACTGCGTTACAAACCGGTGTTTGAGTGGCTGCCAAAAAAAAGCATGTTGCTCATTGCACCCCAGTGATCACTGTTGACCAACATGGCGCAGCAAAGATTATCGAATTTACATCATGCGAAAAAACCCCCTAAAAGGGGAAAACAGATGAAGGTTTTCAAATGTGACGCATTAGAATATTATTTTAACTTCCGGTTCTGCGCTCCGGATTTGTTAATAATTTCAGCCAAAACCAAACGAAGTCACCAGTAAATTTCGCAAGTAAATATTCCCGCGGCGACTAGCAGAGAAGCCGGTCTACAGAACAGTGGCCACGGCCTGTGTCACCAGTTTATCTTAAGTAGTGCTCTTCATTGGACGGTGGTGCAAGCTATTCACATGACAGATCTGCTTCTAATGTGTTCCAGAACGGTTCTATCGACTTTTTTCCTCCTCACTGACCTCGGGTTTTCGCGGTCAGTTATGCAGTGCGGTTAGGCTTGAATTTCAGCTCATTTAGTATCGTTGTTATCTGGCTTCAGAAATTGTTTGTACCCTGACCTGAGGAAAGCGGAACATTTGATATCGATAGAGGGAAAACCGTAAAGACGCTTCCGAGCAGCTGCGCTGAACCGGGTCCGAAAACTGCGTATTGATTTCGTGAAGACGCCGTCGGATTTCACTAATTAATTAGCTGCGTACTGCACACTAATTAATTAGCCTGCGCAATACTTGTGACCTCAAATGCATTGTAATCGCTAACGGTGCCGGTCAACCGGATGTCCAGGTAAAACTCCAGGATTTTTTCTTTGTTTTTACTGAGTTCTACGAGCGTCTCTGTTGATTAACTGCCAAGAAACAGGGAATTTTCAATCACCGGCAGTTTAAAGCAAAAAAAAAACCGTACGGCTGCTCGTACCGTGCATCGACCGTATGATACATATTAATTAATTATTTTCTCAATATTTTAGTGTTTTAAAATTAGTGAGTTAATGACTCTACATCGACCCACTATCCCTGTCGACTGGACATTGGCAACGCATGACGTACAATACATTATAAAGGTAATCATTCTCTGCAGTGGCCTTCCAGTTGTCATTCAGGCGCAACCAACGTACTCGCAACTGCCCATGCTTATGTAATTTTGTTTTCTTTGCTCCTCCTTAAATTTATAATAATTTGTTTTGTTTGCACGTTGTTGCTCTAACATTTTTTGTTAGTTACCTGCAATTGTTGGGATAGATTATGGCAATAATCTTAGTATTATTGTGCACAGGTGCTGACGTGTATTGCAGTGTGTCTTGTTGTTTGTGTGTCTGTATTAATGCTGTCTAGTATCTAGCGGTTAGCTCTCTCTCTGGTAGCAATACGACCTGATTCGTGGATGATGTAACTAGGATGCCCATCGGGCAGCCGACCGTATATAAGCAATGAATTGGCGAGTGGTCAGCGCATTTGGCGCTCAGTAGTTTGCGCATTTTGATTTTTCTTTTTTCTGTGTCTAGAGGTTGTTTTTCCCCTTGCGGTTGTGTTGAATAAGAAATAAATATGCCCCCTTTTCAGTTGTTGTGTCGCACCGGAAACAATAATCTTCCTGTTACTGCTCGTTCATATACAAGTATATAAGCTATGTATCCAGGCAAATAAAAACAAGAAAGAATATGCGGTGGCAGAAGTTTATAAAAACAGAAAAAATGGAATTATATGGGATTTAACAGAATAAACAGATACACAAAGTATCTGTACGGTAGTACTTGAACCAGTTTTGTATGTGCTGGAATTTATGAAGACCATAAATCTTCCCGCCGGTTTAATCTGTCCGGTAGTAGACGGCCTATGGCAGGATAAAATTTAATGATGTCAGTTCACATAATGCGTTTAATGGTATTTAAACCTTCCAGCTAGAAAATTAATTTTTCGAGATTTATGCCAACATAGTCATTATCAAATGTAAGTGGTCAACAAGAGCTTGCTGGGTTGGGTACTGATCGACTAAAGCTAATGATCCCAAAATCGGTGATAAATGGCCAGTTAAACTGCTGATTTTCTGTTGACCCGTTATTATACCTGTAAGTAGAAGATATAAGCACCTGGCGTAGGAGAATCTTCTCGTCTGTAATTCACTATTGTTGTCTTCATTACCTACTGTAAAATTACCCTACATTTTTACAGCAGCCAAGGTTTTGGAAACACAGTGTACTTCTTTAGAAATGAACGCCGACTGTGTGTCAACTTATGACTGCCTGTCAAAATGCTGGACTTTTTGGGTTCCGTTGCTAACTGGTTTAATAATTGGTCTTGTGTACAGTGAATTTCACGAGAAGCTGTCAATGCCCGATATATTTTCGTACTTTAAAAGGCGGAAAAGAATCCCACCTGGACCACTTGGTAATATTTATTTAACTATGACTCTAATGAGTATTAAAACCATATGAGAATTATTGAGAGAATTATTATGTATTTCATGAGTTTCTACTGCTTTAGGTTTGCCGGTAGTCGGTTATTCCCCGTTTCTCGGCCGCAAACCGGCAGAGAAAATCGTGGAGCTCAGCAAACAATATGGGAACATCATGAGCTTCTATCTGGGCAACCGGTTAACCGTGATCCTTAACGATTACGACGCCGTTAAGGCCGCATATATCGATAACGCCGAAGCCTTTACCGACCGTCAGCCAGGTTTCGCGCACCGGGTTATCAGCGGTAGTGAGAATGGACCGCTGAATGGCGGCACCGATGTACGTGTGCGAGGTACGATCCGATTTATGTATGCCTATCTATATCGAAAAATTAATTGAACGTTTTAAAGTTTTCTTAATAAGATCAGAGTATACAGATCTGTACAAATCAGTGATACATGATTCGGATGGCTGTATATATGTAACAGGCACACCTTACATGTTTAATACTTTATATTTGAGAATTGTGATATCCATTACTTCGACTTTTTCGCGTTTGAATGCCACGAATTTATGAGCTGATGTTTGGTCTCTTTATAGGAATGCATTCCAGTGCTAATGTTGACATCATTCATTTTTTTCTTTTTCGTGACTAAATGCTTTAATATTTATACGTCGGACTCCATACTCACTTTTTTCTGTAGAATCAAGAAAACGTTTTTCGTGTTAACAAATGTGGTGAAAGGCATAATTTTGGATTTAAAAATGCCGGGTAGATTAAAGCAGCTGATGAAAAGGCGGTATAAATCGCCTTATTCGTACAACGTGCGTTTCTGTCAATTTAGTGGATTAAAGACCATTTGATAAAATGAACGTACAGGTTTAACAATGGCCAACGGCGAGCAGTGGCGCCAGACCCGTCGTTTCGCCTTAACCACGCTGCGCAACCTGGGCATGGGCAAATCCCGGCTGGAATCGCGCATCCTGGAGGAAGTGGACTACATTTGCACCTCTATCCGCCGCACCCAGTCGCGTCCCCTCGAACCCAACGACCTCATGTACGCGGGTGTGGCCAACATCATGTTCGCCGTGTGCCTGGACAAGCGCTTTGACCACAATGATCCGCAGTTTAAGATGGCGCAGGACTTTGTTTTGATCGCCCTGCCCACCATCAGCAATACCGGCGCGCTGCAGTTGTTCCCGTGGTTGCGCCACGTACCCGGAAAGTTTAAGCGTTTCTGGTCTGTTTTTCAATTTGAGGTGCGACGTTTTCGAGGGATTCTGAAGGAGCACTTGAAGCTGCATGATAACGACAGGAAAGATGATGAGGAGGTGCAGGACTATGTTGATGCGTTTAGGGTACAGCAGAAGAAGGAAGTGGAACAAGGACACCAACCGAATTATTTTGATGGTACATAGGGGATTAATTGCATCAGTGGTTTAGTAAGCAACAGGTGGTGATGCGACAGACTACGTACACATACGATGCAATGTAGTTGAAGATGTACCGCATACCGAAAATGTATCGAATATCGCTTGTTTGCGAAATATGCGTTAAAACTAAGCATTCAGTATATATCAAATGTCCAGCTTTTGCACACGTTTGTGCGATTTTATCAAATCGTTACAGTTTTTATTGTTTTTACCGTTGATTAACAGATGACGAACTGCTGGTGCACATTAACAATTTCTTCGGTGCCGGCTCGGAAACCACCGCCTCCACGATCTGCTGGGCACTGTATTTCCTGGTACGCCACCCGGAAGTACGGCATAAAGTCCAGGAGGAGATTGACAGCACCGTAGGACACGATCGACCGGTGACGATGGAAGATAAAAGTATGTTTCTGTAGCACAACCGTAGCAATTTTTATTAAGTATAAGAGAGTGTACCTTGTACAGCAAATTTGAAGTATGTGGAAGCCTTCTGTGCGGAAGTAGCGCGCTGGGGCAGCGTCGTGCCTTTGAGTGTGGCACGCGGCGTCAGTCAAGATGTGACGATCGACGGGTATTTCATCCCCAAAGGGACGTATGTAATGCCGAATCTCTGGTACATTCATCGGGATCCAAAGTACTGGGGCAGTGATATCGGGGAGTTTAAGCCGGAACGCTTTCTGGATGAGCAAGGACGGGTGACCAATCCGCCGGCATTTATGCCGTTTTCCATCGGTCAGTATTTTCAAGTATTTATAATAATTCTGAAGTAAATTTCATGAATAATCATGTATTGAAACTTTTCTTTGCTTTTTGCATGCTCCCGCAAGAGTTACAAGTTTTTACAGTATTTTCATATAAAATTCATGAAATAATTATTTATTAAAAACATACTTTGCTTTTTATATACACCCGCAACAGTTACCTCTAGATCCTTCTAATAAAATATCCTAATAAAATTTCGGATCCGAAAAAGATTCCTTACCATGTTAACTTGACTGTAGACCACAAGAGCATTTGAGATGCAGCCAAAGATGACTCTTGTACATAGTATACTGCTTTGTTTTTATCGGCACCCGCAACGGTTACTAGATTACTAACTACATTTAAGCCGTTTTAATACAACTAAAAAATTTTTTATCATTTAATGAATCCGGAAATTTGTTCGATTTTTCTTAATTTACTTACTGAATCAGATTTAGCAGCATTATCCTACAGCATTATCCCCCTTTGTGCCAGCATTCTACAATAATCAGTCACACTGTAATGACCCGCGTTCTAATCACTCTACTGTGCTAGCCGACGCAACAGGTATAGTAGCGCGTTCTGCGCCTTTTACTTTTTCTACTGGCTTTAGGTACAATAATAATTATGAGATAAACGTTGCAGAAGCATTACAACTCGAGCTAAAAAATGCTTGTTATAGAAAACTCAGTGTAAAGTTAAATGGGCAAAAATCGTGATTTCGGTGATCAGAATTGTGGACCGGTACTCCATAGCTGATTATAATGCGGGGCAACCGACGTGCGAAAAATTAGACCATTTTTTTATTTTACGACATAGGAAAACGCAGCTGTTTGGGTGAATCACTGGCGAAAATGGAAATCTTCCTTTTCATCACCAACATCGTCCAGCAATTCACCGTCACACTGGAAGCCGGCTACACGCTGCCGCCGCCCGGGGAGTACGCCTGCGGTCTGACTACCCGGCCGCCAAAATTCCGTGTCATCTTTGAGTCACGACGCTAGACGAAGAGTCACGCTACCTTGAGTTTTTAACTGTCATTTCGGCGTATAAAATCTTATCCAGGCATAACGGTTTAATGGCACTCTGCAGCGATTTTATTAGCGCTGCGCCCAGCAAAAAATATTAAGTTGACGGTGTATTTGCATACAATGCCTGGTAATGGACGTGCCGTTTTCCTGTCATTTAATGTTACCGGCGTTCGGCTATCAAAAGCTCTTTATTATACCCGATAACTCCATCTGTCACCGGCACTTTATGGCTGGAGTGTCGGACATTGGGTAAACATAAAAATGGTGACTGTTTCCGGTATTGATGCTCACCGGTGCGCAAACGCTGTATTTGCTGATTGAATAAAAATTCCGCTCACTTGGAAGTGCTCTTCGGTTTTCCGTTCAGTCGTGATTTTGCACATTACTTAACACAGCTGATTGTATTTTGTGAGAATAAGTTAAGTACAGAAAACAGGATGGCGCTGAGGGACGGACAGAGTCTGACGGGAACCACTCCCGACGCGGTGATGAAGGCCATCACTCACAATGTGGCGGCCACCTTGGAGATCCGCAATTTCACCCGCTACAACCTGACCAATCCGCAGACGCAGATTAATGCCGGGTATGTGAAGATCCCGGCGGAGGATGTGGAAGCCGGCGTCCGAGAGATTATGGCCATGCACAAGACCGACCACACCGCCACTGGTACGTTTACTTGTACCAAATAATTGTGCATTACCGTGTTAAACACATATCCAACATGCATAAAATATCAATGTGTAAAAGTGTTTCTATATTACAAATCATATCATAACTAAATATTTCTGCCAAATAAAAATCTAACCGTTAACTTACGCGTTTCTTATGAACAGTTTTAACCAAGTTTATATTGTTTTGATTCGTTGTATGCGTTTTCACGATCTGTACTTCTTTATCTGAAATTCCGTATATTATACGAGTACGTATTCTAATCAAGTTTTATCTGGACATTTTTGCTCTCATTAAAACTATAGAGATGTAAGGGGCATGAAGCAGGTAACGTAACGTTTTGTGCACGCGATTATTATTATTATTATTACGGCACAAGAGCAGACAACCCAAAAGGGACTTCAAGTCTGGTCGAATTAATCACTTGAGTACTCTGTATACTACGTTGTTTCATTTTTGTGTGTTTTTATAAATTGTGTTTGTGCTGCAGGAACATCGGGAGTTGTCTCGTGGCTGATAAACGGATCCAATGAGCGTCTGGTCATTATGTGGTCGGCGCCGTACAGCTTCGACTTCCACAGTAACTGGATGGGGGTGGGTATCCAGTCAGCCGGTTTCCAGCTGGACGCCAAAACCTTCAACGAAATGTACAAGGGCGAAGAGTCGTGGTTTAGGCGAAAAGAGTTCTACAAGTATGAGGCTTATATGTTGCACATACGTATATACATACTGCAGTGTTGTAAAACGGTTTCACTTATTGCCAGAGTTAGCTAGCTTTACACGTTTACAATAACGAGTATTTATATGTAGTCGTACTGTTTCACAAAGTAGTTGCACAAAATAATTTTGGCATTAACTGGCTAATGCGATGCGCAAGAGCAAGGCAAAGCCGGTACGAATATTGATTAAATATAAATCGTACGCATATAGAAAACAAAATGCATTAAGAACCGCGATAAATTGCTGAAACGCCTGTCGGTTTTTTTAAGAAAATTAACCACCTTTCAATGCATATGCAAGTATGTAAGATTATACAGTGTCATATATACAAAGTTATTGTGGCACTGCAGAATGATAATATAGCAACTGGAAACACTTGTTACACAAACAAATAATTATATTTGCGCTAAGAAGTTTTAATTTTCGGTATCTAAATAATTAATTTCATAAAAAACGACTGAATGAAAGATCGATTCGGCACGTGTAGCGGTACTTTTATCATGACATTGCATTCGCGCTTGTTGTTTTTTCATAACGCACCGCACGTACACTGTTCGTGCCTCTCTACTACAATATCATAATAGTGTTTTGTCGTGTATTAACTATTTACCGAACAGCGTTGTTTTAGGGACACAAACCAGCTGGTACTGCAAGGGAGGAACATTATCGTCACCGCCACAATGGGCACAACCCACAAAGCCGATATCGTCGTGGAGGTCAAACCGGTCCAATAACAAGGACATTTTTACGAGTAGTACAGTGTATACTAATACGATGCCTTACCCCGTTTTAATTGTATGTCAAATGCCTGCTTGCATTTACATACCTTTATCTGTCTTCGTTGAATTTTTAATGAACGTTTTAATTTACGAAGAATGAGCTGAAGTTTTCTAAATGCGTACAGACGATTAAAAATACCAGAAAGCGGAACAGACAGCGATGCCAAATTAAATAGCAGAAAATCATTCAGCATAAATAGTATAAAATCCATCACCAGTCATTCACATTGACATGTCCCACTTTCTCCCCATCCTTTTGAGATCCATAGACCAGCTCCTGATCGCTGCAGAGCGGCACCACCTCCTCGCTAACCCCCACCGCCCGTTCGCGCTGTGACGGGGTCAACCGTTTCCCCGTCCTGATATTCAGTCCGCACACCGCCACATTCAGGACCACACACACCGCCGACGTCACCGTCAGCATAATAAATAGCATCTCCCAGGGGACATGGCGGGGATTATCCGTGTTCAGCAAGGAACTGGCAATGGCCGTCAATGCCCCGATCCCTGTGTAGTGGAAGAACTTGAGGATGCCCAGCGCCGAGCCCACTGTGTCGCTGGGGACGATCAGCGGGACACAGGCCCACAGGGTGGGCCCGAAGATGGTGTAGGCCAGTCCGATGAGGGTGGTTAATAGCCAAGCCGGGAAGGTGTGGATGAGGGTTTCCAAGAAGAAGGCCAGGAAGAGGAGCGTGGTGCTGGATAATAGCCAAAGGTCACGGTAGCCGAAACGGTCCGTGAGCCAGCCGACTAGGAGGCAGAGGATGGAGATGTCGTAGATGATGCCGACGATGTAGCTGGACTGCGATTCCGAGTAGCCATAGGCTTGCTATAAATACATTCAGCGGATTGGTAATGTTACCTATGTAACGGAGGTGTTAATTTTAGCAGTATAATCCGTCGTGCTCTGATTTCGGTCGTTTTAAGAGGACTGAATGATTAAATTAACAGGAACCGTATAATCGGTACAAGCCTATACAGTTCGTAATTTCTGTCTGTCAATACTGTGATTGTCTAGTTAGGTACACCACCATCACTGTCACAATCAGTTGGTCATCGTCAGGTTGATAATCCGAAAAATTATTTTTATTCAGCTTGACTACAATATTTATTTACAGTTGACAACGTCGTACAGCGGATAATTATTGTACCAGATTTCTGTCTTTAACCGGGCATGGAATATGCAGGACAGTAATTAATGTTTAATCAGGTGGATGCTGTGTAATGGGATACCCGTACATTCCCACTGCGACAGCGGTAGCATTCTCTTTTAGATAGTGCCGGTATGGCTAGACCAACGCGGTTCTCTAGGGGCTGCAAATGTTTACGGATTTTTTCAATATTAAAAATCGACGCGAAGTCTTAAATGCATTTTTGTAACCCAGTATGATAAATGCGACTGCGGTACTATGTTCAACATGATCGTGCCGCTTCACTACGAATTCTTCTACGAGCCTTAACCGATATGAAATTCGGTCCATTGGCGGTAAAAGTCAAGCTAACTATAATTGTTCAAGTGTGGTAGTGATAGAATCGTTCAGAATGGTAGTGGTTATAAAGTCGAAGCAGCGCTTCTTTGCCAAAAATACAATATTTTTTCTCACTACGTTAATCATGTTTTTCCACTCACCGATTCGGTCGACTGGCGGTAAACATGTACAGTAACTGATCAGTTGTCAGAACCTAACTTTGTATATAGTAGAAGTACTTACCTAATATGTAAATATAGAAGTAAGTATACAAAGCACTAACAAAGTATACCTAACAAAGTATACAAAGCATACTGTACCTAACTAAAATTACAATAAGTACTAGAGTATAATATTATAGTATATTTCAAGTATTCGAAAAAAATTAAAGACCAATATTTAAGAATACTCGTACATATGTACTCGTACTCGTACTCGTAGAATACTCGTACTCGTACATAAGAATACTCGTACATATTAAGTAGATATTACCTATTAATTATGTACATTATGTATTCGAGGAAGGCGGTTCTATTTCTTTTTTCAAAACTGTTTTACAAAAAGTTACCAAGAATGTATACCGTCCGACAATCAACTTTTACTGAGCACTCAGTACCACGTTTTTACGGTTTTCGTCTTTTGCATGATGACCCATACGTGCCACTTCCCTACCATACATCTTCCCTAACCGATATGAAATTCGGTCCATTGGCGGTGAACGTGGAAATCGATCCATAATACAGGAACGTCATCAAGACAAAACACCAGAATATCCCATCCAACCCGCGGAACAACTCCCGCAACCCGGTCGGTGTCCACCATCGGGTCCACCGCGGTTCAGCCCGCGGCACCCCCACCGTGACCTTTTCCTCGTGTCTTCCATGCAGGATGGATAACACCACCGCCGACAATCCGGCCAGTGCGATAACACCGAACAGGAACCATTGGCACGCCCGCAGCCCGGCGGCAACTACCAGCGCCCCGACCAGGTAGAAGACGACGGCACTGCCCAACCGCCCAGAGAGAGTGTAGAAGGAATAGGCCAGGCCCAGTTCCTTGTATAAAAACCAGCTGGCGATGATGGTGCTGAGGATGACGTCCAGGGCGCCATCACCCAGTCCGTAGATTAATTGCGAGGTCACCATCAAGGCGAAGGTGGCCCGTGTCGTTGTGCAGTACGTGGCCAAAGGGAATAATAGCCTGAAATTAATTTTATCGGTCAGTTGTATGGAATATCTGTGTTAAGTTGTATTTTTCAGCGAGATATTTTGTATTTATTTTCTGTTGTGAAAATGATAAGGAAAAAACTATCGTGGATAATCTAACCCAGCTGACACTTATTTGACTTACTAGGCGCAGTTGTTTTCGACAGGTATAACGCGTTCTGCAGTGCCTCTTCACTACACTATTCGATGCGTTGGCGGTGGCATGTACACATCGATTCACAGTGATAACTGATAAGTAAATAGTACTTAATGATATTATTCAAACTTTGAGGGCGTTGAAACCGTATTCCACAACCGATATTACTGAGGACAATGCGCGAAAGGCTAGCTAGGCACTTCCACAGCCGCCACTTAGGCCTCGCTTATTAACTTTTACATCAAATTTTAACGTAATACGTCTGTTACAAATATGGCTAGTGTAATAATTATTAGCACATGTCAAAAAACAATCCGATTCTGTAAATAAAATTTACAGAATCGGAGTTTGATGACATTCAACGTGCTTATGGCTGCTGAAGTACTGTAATACCGCATCATCAAAAATTATTACAGCGCTTATTCTTACAAGCAACGAACGTAGAAGAAGTGAAAACTAGGATATATATACAAATACAATAAATAAAATACAAATTATAAAAATTACATAAATAAAAAATAAATATGCAGCTTGAAAAAAACAGGAATAAATATCTACAGGTTGAATAAAATGCATTGTCCCCTTGTATCTTTAAGTAAGCCTATCTTTTTGATAAAACTTACGCTCCGGTGACCATGCAGCCCACACAGATCCACACCGCCACCCGGCATCCATACCGATCGATCCCGAATCCCACCGCCACCGACGTCACGGAGGACGCCCAGGCGCCGATGGAGAAGAGCAGATTGAACTGCTTAACGTCCAGCTGCACACAGTGCTGATCCGTCCCGTTGCTGCTGCAGGACGCTGAAGTGCCGGTTAGCCGCTGCACAAGAACACTCGGCGCGTCCACGTATAGATCGGCCAAAAAGTCCGTAATGCAGCAGCAGGCCAGCACCCACCACCGGGTGTGGCTTGACGCCATCAGTTCGCACTTAGATGAAAATCATATGAAATGTGTTTCTATACGAACAAGGCATTTTTTATCCAAAGAAGGCATTAATACGAATAATAATCATTAAATTTTGTCTTTGACTTTAACTTATACTTTGGCGCCGTGTAAATTAACAGGAAAGCACTGATAAAATTTTTCACTGGAGTGCAATGAATAGGGACTTAAAAAGTGAGCTGAACCTTTCGAAAGCGAAAGGAGAAAAGCAATACCGCTATGTCTTGCGGCAACCGTGGTTATTACCGATTCCACAATGCGCCGATTTCGCTGAAGGCATTTCATGTAATACTGAACTGTACAGTGTACACACTATACGGCACGCCGCGGCTTTTTCAAGAGGAGCCAATTTACCCGCATATGTCGCATATAGCGGCCACCCGCATATATATGCACGCATCCACCACCGCCGCTGCATGTACAGCGTTGCATAATTAAATACCGTTGATATTTTTAAAGGTTGCTCCCATCGTATTACCATACGTAATTCCCCCTATTCCCTCCCATCGCTTGACTTGCAAAACTGATGGCTAATCACACTGACCTATAATGTTTACTGTGTACTTAAATAATTCACGCATTGACTCCCATAATTTATTTTCCCATCGGCTAATGGTGTATTTCCATTACTACACCGCCGCGCTGCAGACCGGCATCGCGTTCCCGTTGGGACGGGGTCAACCGGTGCCCGGTCCGCGCGTTCATCACGGCCAGCGCCACCGTACTCAACAAACACACGCTACTGGTTGTTATTAACAGTTCAAATAACCGCCACCACGGGACGACGTCCGCGTCGCCGGTGTTTAAAATAACGCCGGCTACAGCGGTCATCGTGCCGGTGCCGGCAAAATGGAAGAATTTCAGGCAGCCGATGGCGGTGCCTAGGAACGCCGGCTGGACGATCAGCGGGACGCTGGACCAGAAGGTTGGGCTGAAGATGTTGAAGCCGACGCCGATGCCGACGGTCAGCAGCCAAGGCGGGAGGTGGGACACGGCCAGTTGCAGGGAAAAGAAGAGGACGAGACAGGAGGCGCTGGTTAGGAGCCAGTAGCCGCGGTGGCCGTAGCGGTCGGTGAGCGTGCCGAAAAGGAGTTGGAGTGGGGAGATGAGGTAGATCAGGCCGATGACGTAACTGGAGAGGGCCTCCGAGTAGCCACAAGTGTCCTGCAGCCAAATTCTCGATTTATTTGATTATTCATCCACGTTTACCCGAATAATTTTATCCGCAAATTAGGATCGCTCATACGTTAATGCCATGATTTATTTGCTGTAATTTCATGTACAGAGTAGGTAACCAAATATATTCAGACAAACAAATTGAAAAAGAAAACATCAGTTCCGTATATATCATCATTATAATTATGTAAATTTCGTAATAAATATAAATTTCATGCACGGTGTAACTGGTTGTTGTTTATGGCAACTTAAAACAGCAGCAGCATTCCTGTTTTTAGCTTGCACTACTTTGTACAGTGGAGAGATTGTATATATTGTATATGGAATACTTATAGAATATATGGAATACAGTTCAGCGATGTAGAGTCAGCCCATGCGAAAAAAAGCCTCTACAGTACCTTCAAGCGAAATACAGGGCGTGCAGTAATGCAAATACGGCAGTTTCGTAGTGCAATGGCGACATTTATTCATTGTCAATCATACTCGAAATTTTCGTGGCGTAGAGTGTCGTGATGCGTTCCATAGGTCAAGCTTTAAACTAATAAGTTTCGTTTTTAGGTTTTGTTAGTATATTTTAGTCTTCTTTACAAACTTTACAGCCTTCTTACATTTTTAAGACAAATGATATTACACTACAATCTACAGTCAATAAAGCATCACAATAATTTTTGCCGCGCAAACCCATGTACTGTTATGCTGTACTGACGGAAATAAAATTCGGTCCATTGCCAATAAATGCCGAAATGGTCCCATAGTACAAAAAAACTATGAAAACCAAGCACAGGAATACCCCGTCCAAGCTCCCAACAAACTGCACCGTAACATGCCGGATCTCCGCGTCCAGATCAACATTAACCGGCACCGGCATCGCCGCCGACTGTTCGTTCCAGAACGATAACACCACTGCCGCCCCGGCACACACCACCGTGAGACCGAAGCCCAACCACAGACAGGCCTGCATGCCGATAATATCCACCAGGGTGCCGATGACGAAGAACACCGTGGCATCCCCGAAGCGGCCGCACATAATGTGGATGGCGAAGGCCAGGGCTAATTCCTTATACAGGAACCACGAGGATTTGATGCGGTGTGTAATGACGTCGGTGGCGCCGTTGCCTAATCCGTAGAGAATACGGCCGAGAATCGCCAGGACGTAGGTGTAGTACGTGCTGGTTAAATATGTGCTGCAGACGAAAAACAACCTGCAAAAAAATTAAATACTTAGGAAAATTTATTTCCGATTACTGTATTTTTATTATGTTGTAAAATTGGGCCATTTTGTATTAGGAATATATTCGCTAGCGTTGCCTATATTTATACGAGTATTTATACGAGTCATATAATTAGTAAGTAAGTAATATAATTAGTAAGTAAGTAATACAATTAGTAAGTATTTATTTTAATCAGAGATCATGAATTTCAAAATTTGAATTACTTTTTTTACGTTTTATCGCATTCTGGATCCGAAGAGAACAACATTTACTGATTTCCAGGTAACTGATTTTTGATAAATCAGGGTCTGGATTAAAAATAAGCATAAATGTTTGTTCGGCCTCCTAAGTGCCCGCTTACGTTGTCGTACTAGAATAATTAATAAGATTGTAAGAAAATTAGAATCTCTTACGATCCAAGCACGAGACATCCGCCGGTAACCCACAGCGCCTCCTTGCAGCCGTACTTGTCGACCACGATGCCGACAACGACCGATGCGCCGGCGGACGCCCAAGAGGATGCCGAAAATAGCATATTGAACTGCTGTACATCCAAGTTGACGCAAGTATCGCTCCCGTCGTCACAAGCCTCCGCGGTGCCGGTTAATCGTTGGACCAGCACGCTCGGTTCGTCCCCATAGAAATCGTTGACATAGCTCATTATCCCGCAACAACACAGCACCCACCAACGTGCATCCATGATAGGCGGGAAAAAAGCCTTTTAGTGTGGCCTTCCAATCACGGCATTCTCTAAGATAGTAATTAACACCAGCTCCTTGCTATACTGAGCTGCAGATGTGTTTCTGAAATAATTTCCCGGCAATCAACTGCAAAGCATTTATGTACAGTAGAATATTCGAGCAGTAAACACAACGGCAAGGCTGCTATATCACAATACGGTCTGTGGAAATCTGTTGTAAAAGATTTATGTCGATACCAGTAAGTATACTTACTGAAGCGGTACGTACCGCTTCAGGCGCCAGAAGTTGTCTGTAGAAAAAATTAATTTTGTCTACCGTAATTTTTTCGAGATATATGCTGAACAGCTGATGACAAATTTCACTGTACATGTGGCGGCATTTCCGGCACAATGATTCACAGTAGATTTATCAGTTACAGATTGCAGATTTTCTTCCCGTTTATTATTCTGAACCAACATGCTAAAATAGATTACATTTTGCAAGTAAAATGGTGTCGGCAAAACTGCGAAAATTAATAATAAGCAGTTTATACGAGTAATAACAATGCGGAGACATGGGTATTATTGGGTACTGCTTTCCAGCGGACAGAAATTTTAAAATTCATCAGCTACCTATGTTATTATTATTGGTTTTTATGCCTTTCCCATCCCAGTCAACAAACAAATACAAACTTAACAACGTTCACCACAGCCATTTGCAAGCTATGCCACTTAATTGCAATGGAAATACGCAATTTTGGTGTAAAGAACCTGGAGATACATTCTCCCTAAAATAAATAACTAAACAAAAGCGATCTCGTTGTAGTATTTTTCAGATAACAATTGAGCATCAAGTTTGCCGGCAGATCTTGCTGTATAATGCATCCGGCTGCAGCATTTAACTGGAAGTGTTGAACATCCTATAGTTTCGTATCACTCTGCGTCGAATCCTGCGTTCCTCTCCTCCAACCATTCCGTAAACGTCCATTAAGTACGGAAATGGGTGGTAGCGGAAGTGGCCGTTTGGGCTGATCGTGTTTGCCCAAAAGCAGTAGCACACTATCCAGCGATATCTACGGCAAAGAGCATAGCCATTACTTTCTGTATCGTATGCATTTAAAAGACGATCGAAATTTTGCGTACATTGTACGCGCGGAATTTGGCACGCCCGCGATAGAGGAATTCCCCAATAGCCACTATTAAGGATATCAGCAGTCCACCGGCTAAGATTATAAATAAGCCGGTCAAATCCATCGGGCTCAGTGAACTCAGATCACTGGAATCCTACATACACGGATAACGCTGGAGTTACTTAACGTATTACACAGGAAGTACCTTTGGTTGAAATCATATTCATACCGCTTTACTGTCCTTCTCCCTTTGAGCGCGACATTCATCTGCAAGCAAAATAAATTTCCGTTAATTTTGCAATCATTTCAATAGTGCGTACCGGTGCTAGCTTAATGTTATACAAACTGGCTATCAAATAAAAGGTCACTTTTGGCGGGATTACGGTTGGCGCCCCAAAGCTGTAGTAATGTGGTTTTTGTTCCCTGTCTAAACAATTTCAAATCGTACCGTTCATTTCGCGGGAAAACCACCGGGTCTCCAGCATTTTGAGAATCCCATTCTCGTTTAAGCGCAGCAGCGATTCTGAGAAGATCTTGCGGTAAATGGAGTCTCGCGCCACGGCAATGGCGTAATTATCGTAGAATAACGGTAGTCCCAGTGTCATGGTATCGCAGGGTTTGCCGCTGTTGACAAAATCCACATAGCTGCGCGGCGCAATGTAAGCGTAGCCCCCCTGGCGCACCCGCTCCGTCCCGTTCTTCTGGTCCCCGGTGATCCAGTCGGGATGCGACAGCATGTTGCTATACATGGTCTGGTAGACTTTCTGTTTGGACACATTGAAGAAATGCGCCGAGGCCACGTTGAGGATATCGTAGCCATACTCCACTTTGGTGGGATCCTGATAGGCCAGGTCGTCGATGGTCTGGATGGGCGAGGTCATGCGATTGACCGTGAGGAAAGCCGCTGTATACCAACATTCGGTTAGGCTTTTAGATGAGCGGTATTAATGTACATACACAGGTATAGAATTCACCTAGATTGGCGGTGTAGGTCGCCACCACGATCATGGACCAGGCAAACCAGGCAGCAACCGCGATTTTCGTCGCAACGGCTCTAGACAGCAAACACAGCATTATAGAGACGGTTTCTTCCATGCAGGTGGTGTGCAGTACCTTGGCTCAATGTTGGGTCCTTGTTGCAGAAGCGTCGCAATTGTAAACCACTACAAATCGTTTCATCTGACATTTCAAATAACACAGCGTTTTTGTATCAAAGTCTCCCTAAACCGTAAAATTTTATCCAGTAGCAGAGAAATAGAAAATCAAGGCACTTCTTCTTTTATTTATCTGTACATTAGCTAATAGCGTACCGTGGAAGCTTTCACTGGCTCACAGAATTGTATTATTTTCAAAGTATAGGTTGTGTGTTTTATTACTTAATAAATTTGAGTATCTGCATTTACTGTACGTACCAGTGATTCTTCGGCTGTGTACTCGTTGACCAGGCCATTGGTCGCGCGGGGATCGCAGCGATTGGACAGATGCCATTCTGACGGCGCAATGCGCCCAACAATAAAGATGATCAGGAAGGTGATCATCAGGGCCAGTCCAATGGACAGCCACAGAGTCCAGGAGAACGGATCCAGAAAGCTGAACATGCGCACCTGCCGGCCGGTAACCGTCTTCATCATAACCACGTAGGCATCGTTCATAAAGGGAATGGTAAAGTCCACCACGGCTTCCCGCTCGGAGATTATGCTCAGATCGCCAATGGTCATATCGGCTGTCTGTGATACAAAGACACGGTTTAACGCTCACCAGTGGTACTTGACATTTTTACATACACCGTGTATTATTTCAGCAACACCACCGATCCATGTCCCATTATCCAGTTTCCTCCCGTACTCATTGTCCTTGGACATGTGGAAGACAAAGTTATAGTCGTAAAATTTCTTGAGATCCTTCTCTAAATAGTCCAGCAGATCCACACTATATCCTTCATAGCACAATCCGGTGACATTTCTTCCGATCACCGCCTGCACCGCGTCCGGGTCCTTGATGGGTCTTTGTGTAACGGTCGAGTGGTTGCAGGGAGCCACGTTGAGGAACTGATCCATCTGTGGTCAAGCAGCGGCTGTATTTAAACCTGTCTGTGTATGCTGGTCAGTTTGAACTGGATTACATAGAATCCGACAACACGTATGGTACTGTTCTTTTCATCTGCTTTCTTGTTTTTGGTTATGTGCAATCCGAAGGTGTCGTTCCACGTACCAATCTGGATAAATAAACTGTTATAATAAAGATCCACGAGAAAAAGATATTGCATTTATTACCTGGGACATTTCGCCGCCGTTCAGCATCTCGACAATATTCAGCTCGTATTCCTTGCGGTAGCCGCCCTCGTCGAACTCCGTCGGACCCGTTAATTTGTCCACCGACGTCTAAGAAATGTTCCGCAGTCAGATATGTACAAAGGCATTTAAGGGAAGTGGCCCGGTACATGGTACCAAATTTGTGTACATGCACGAAAACTTCCACTTTCGCGCACTCCCAAACACATTTTTGTTTCGGTTTATGCCGTTTTGTAGCCAGAAGATTTGTAAACACTGGCGTGAAAACCGTTTGTGCGCGCAACATCCGGTTCGGGAATTAAGGCTGCTAGAACATTCCAAAAAGCTTACATGCGTTCAGGTGTACCAAAAGTCTCATTATGGACCGATCTCCCTCAAATTTTGCACGTAAATGCACATAGCCATGAAGATCGTTTTTATACCGATCCAGACTTCCATGATTTTTTTCCAATTTTAAAATGAATTTTAAAATTTTTGAAATTCATTTTAAAATTGGAAAAACATGCTAGAACAGTGGATCGGTGTAAAAACGTTCTTCGTGGTTATGTGCATTTACGCGCAAAATTTGAGCTATAATGAGACTTTTGGTCACCAGAACGCATTTAAACTTTCTGGAATTTTCTAACAGCCATAACTCCCGAACCGGATGTTGCGCGCACAAACGGTTTTCACACCAGTGTATAAAAATCTTCTGGCTACAGAATGTCATAAACCGAAATAAAAAAGTGTTTGGAAGTGCGCGAAAGTAAAAGTTTTCGTGCATGTACACGAATATGGTAGCATGTACCGGGCCACTCCCCTTAACTACTGATAGCGATGGACGAAAATGTGATAATGCACAATTCTGGTGTATTTGTTCCTTCTAAGATTTGCGGATTGCCGTATATGATTTCTAGTGTCTTGCCGTGTATGATTTCTAGTATTTCTAGTGTCTTTCTAGTGTAAAACCTGTGGCTAATGCCTTCATTACTTCACAAGATAAGTCAGTGGCGTGCAAGTCGCAAGCACCCGACCAGCAACAGTAATTACCGTACCTGACGCAGTGTTTTGAGCATTTGCTCTCCATCGTACCAGGTGTTGTACGGCAGTGCTGTGCAGTCCAGTGACTGTACGGATGGCGGATCATTAGCGACCTGTTGGACTGCCGCATGTGCCAGATCGATGGAATCCATGGCCAATGCCAGGAGAGTCTGTTAAAATTGTCCACGTATTTCTCTTAACGTTATATATTCGTGCTGTAAAAGTCTCCAATATTTTGCAGCTGGAATGTAACTGGAAGCGTGCCACAGTACCGTCATTGTTTTTCCGTCACCTTGGCTGGTTTTGTTATACTGGATGTCTTTCTTGTCGATTAAGGTCAAACAGGTCAGACTGTTGGATGTGTACTGCAGGATGCCGAAGTTGCTGTTCTCAAAGTCCTTTATTGCAAAAAACAACAGAAAACTGGGTAATGCCGATAATCTGTTTGCGTAGCACGCCTAATTGTTTAATCGTCTACTTGGCACTGTTAGCGTTCTTTCTGGAAAGTTTTTTTATAAAAGTTTTTTTATAACTTGTAATTTTTATAAGATTTGTACAGTACAGTACATACTGTACATAGCTGTATACAGTACATAGTTGGACAAAAATGAGAGAAAAAGTTGAAAGTGATTCGTACCAGAGCAGCCAGGATAAAGTGGAATTTCCGTTGCCGGACCGTATCACTGCTTAGCAAGCTGCGCATGATCTCACTGGCCTGCGACGACGGAGTGTCAAGTATAATGCGCCATTCTTTTATACCTTCCAGCAGAATAGAATTGAGCAGATAATTAACGGTCCATTCGGAGGAGTGCGCTAGGTAAAAGGACAAATAAAAATTGTCCAGGGCACCGGTCTGGGTGTGCGCATAGTATAGACTCAACGCCTGATCCAGTTCTGCAGAAACAGCGTAAAACACGCTCAACGACCACAACCAGAATTTAAATATCTCTAGTAATTGTAACAGGGATTACTCTTATTGGAGTCGGTGACATAGAGCGCATATTCCCATTTGTACACCTTGGTAGCGAGATCGATGACGGCGCGCATCGTGGGCGGGCGCATATTGAGCTGGAAAGAAGGGGCCGGTGCCGGCTTGACTAGGTCGTCGGAATCCAGGAAGACGGGCCGGTAGAAGGACGACATCATGACCAGAGGGACATGCATGGCCTGGCTGTACCATTGCAGTTGCGCCGCCACGTCTGGGTTCGTGAGGGCCACCATGATCCACGTCCCGTTGCGCAGGGCGCTGCAGACTGTTCACAAACAAATAGTCAATACAGGAAAAAAATTATACAACGCATACACATTTTGTTGGTAAAATTGTGTTAATATTTTCATAAATAATTAAAAAAATTTTTATAAAAAAATATTACTAAAGGAAAATTGCACATGCGATGGTTTCGTTCAGGCAACGAACGCCGAACGGCATCCTGTTTTGTTTTCTTAATAGCTGCAACGACGCGGTTTACAATTAATATGGATGTTAGAATATTGTGGTATAGGGTCTTAAAAGACTATGTAAAATTTTGCTGAACTGAAAATTAATATGTTGACATACTTTGATTAGCATTGTAGAATTGGTCTTTCTCCGACAGGTTCACAAACGAAATATTCTCATCGACAAGTGTCCCGTTGTAAGCCAGCTGACTTAATACCACCGGCGCTTCAATGACATCATCCCCCACGAAGAGAGCTGCAGCAGCCAAATATTTTAAGCAGACAGATAGTACATATTGACACCCGAATTTCATACACGAAATGCAAAGGGTTCAACTAAATGTTCGAGAGAGTACGTACCAATACGGGGTACACTCAACGCGGAAGGAAAAATAATGATAGCGCACAGCCAAAGATAATTAATCCAGGGATTCGGCTTCATCGCAGCGAGCGCCAGATCCTTATAATATTATCCAAATTCGGCTGTGAATCTTGCGATTGCCGACCGTACAATCAGCTCCAGTAATTACCAGCATTTTTCGCAATATGCTTCAAGGGAAGAATATTTGTCAGTAAGCAAATTACAGCAGCCGCACATGTGTTGATTCAGCCGAAAGGTATTTCCGTCCTTCGCTAGTTTTTTTCTCTGCTGAACGTAATGAACACTGACAACAGTTTAGATTATTAACATCCAAAAGTAGTACCATCCGTTTATCCACATCCCTTTTTCCACCACAGATGAATAATGTCAGGAATCCGAATAAGCAGTAAAAATTTAAATGGCGGTTGATTGTATGAATATTCTGCAACGTAAATAACCCCGAACAGCAACTAATACCGTCTACTCTAGAGGAAAGCCTACTGGGTAGTCCACGATACAATGCGAGCAAGAAAGGAAGCTACGGGTTTAGGGTGTGCGTTCTAGCGAAGACAGCGAAAACCGGTTTGTACAGCTCGTACGCGCACAGACGGCCACACTCATACGTGTGTAAGTGAATGCGAGCGGATTAACCCACTCACACGCACATGTGCCGATCGATCGATACAGCGAGGCAGCATTCAGCTTGCGCTTTTAGCAGCACTGGAATCCGCTGTCTTCGGTCTATTTATAGTCACAGCAGAGAGGCTGCATTGATCAATCAGCCTCAGCGGGCAAAAAAGGCTGTTCGCAGGCTTTTTAACATAGACCGTAGCCTCCTCATTTAGTCAGATTGTACATGTACACACTACTTAACAGTGCGTTAATTCGTGCAAATCATTTATTTACGCGAACTAAAAGAAAAGCAGCATGAGCTAGATCGCCGCGAGGTTAAATACCTGGTGCTCGTGTCATCGCCTATCAGTACAGAATATTCTTTAAAATGTGATATAAAGAGTGGATATAATATTAATGCCGAATATAATACTGAGTTATTGTTTACTGTACTTGCTGCACTTTAAAGCCCGTAGGCCAGGTAAGAAAACAGTATGGACTCCCATATACAAGTATAGGACAAAATGATGCCGCTTGCAGCTTGAACAGTTTGCTTTGGAAGTGAGTATTGGTAGCGAAAAAATAATATAGACGATTAAGCAAATCCACTTTAGCAATGCTGTCGGTAATGGCTTTGCCGTTGTTTTCAAGTAATTACCTTTCGACAAAACTTATCGACAAACAGGGTGTACTAAACTGTATTTTGTTTGTTTCAGCCGGTTGAGTTATTCTGTACATTGCGATTTTATACAGAGCTTCATATGGATTGTGCATATTGTGTCTGTACAGTATAATATAAAGAAGTACTTGTCGTTACACTGCAAAGCTGCACACATGTAGTATACGTATAAAAAATAACCGCCACAGATTGACGTTCTGAATTATGACCCCAACCGGAAAATCTTTACGGTAATAGCCTGCCTCCTGCTTCGTAATTAGCCGTAAAAGCAGTATCAACATGTCAAACGTACTGTCAAACTGATTATTTATTAAATCAGTCTGCATAATTTAATAACCACAACTTAATCCATTGAAAGACACTTGGAAATGCATGACAGTTCAATGTCAACAGAAACGAAACATATATCTCCACGCTTCTATTGAATGATTTCTTGACCGCGTGAAGCCGGTGTGGCTTTGGCCGAATGTGTAGAAGTTGCAACATGGCTTTTGGGCCGGCGCTCGGTTAGGAGAAGTTGACCCATAGATACCTATATTATTAGGACTTTGTAATCACGTCATATTTACGTAGATGGTGTAGTTATACATAGTGTGATTACGTACACCATGATGACGAAACTCCTGACGTCCTTTGCACAGGTATTCACAAAAAGCCACAACCAGAGCAAGCCCTAAGCCGGCAGCCAGAACAATAAATAAACCGGTCATTTCGTGCGGATTCAGCTTGCTCAGCTCATCGGGATTCTAAAAAAACCAGCGTTAACATACAGATGAAGTTCCATTGCTTATACAATAAATACGGAAAATAGCAATCAATATTCATGAGGTTCTCGGACTACTGGAATAAATCTCTACGGTGTCCCCGATAATTTTGTCTCCAGTTTTACCGCTTGATGATCTTGGTCTTCATCCTCGTCTCGACATTCATCTGCAAAATACTTTGAATACGTAACCAGTAGGTTTTCACAGGGTATGTCATCGTACTCGTAGTCCGGCCAAACCACGTGCTTTCCAGCTGTTTCATCACGCCGTGTTCTTTTAGCCGTACAACGGCCTCGGAGAACTCTTTGCGCAACGGCGACCCCGTCGACATTGCCAGGGCGTAGCTGGAGGTGAACAACGGAAGTCCCAACAATCGGGTATCACATGGTCGTCCGTTGTTGATATATCCGACCATGGTCTTTGGTCCAATGATGGCGAAACTGCCCTGGCGCACCTTTGCCATCACAGAATCAAAATCTTCGAAAATCGTACCATATTCGACCATGGCGATCTGCATTCGCTGGTAAAGGTTCTCTTGTGTGTGTTGGAAAAAATTGCTGGCTGCGTAGTCCATCTTCATATATCCATACTGGACGGTGTCGCTGTTAGACAGGTCGTCCGCGGTTTGAATTGAGGATTTCATTCGGTCGATGGTCAGAAAAGCGGCTACAGTAAGGATAGCAGTTAAGCTTCGCAAATCACACACATATGTTTCAGGAATTGTTATTTCTCGGGTATCTGCGTGAAGATTTTTTGCGTGAACAATATCGTCAAAAGTAAAAAAGATTATTGTTTAGAAAAACTGTGGTAGCTAATGTGTTTTCAAGAGAATTTCAGTTTTTTACTCACTAACCCAGCTTTGCCGTGTAGGTTTGGCTGACGATGAGAACCCAGATAAACCATGATCCGACAGCAATCTTGGTGGCTACGGAGCGCGGTTCGATGTTGGGTCCTTGTTGCAACAAAGTAGCTATGGTGAACCACTACAACCAAGGCAAAACTGTTACAGTACTCAGAACTGCAGCACGTTGAATTTCGCAAGAAAATAGCAGGCAGCGACGTGCCCAAGCGTAAATATTATAATTCTGGTTTACCAGTGATTCCTCCACAGTGTAATCATTGAAAATCCCGTCATCGTTTTCGGGATCGCAAGGTTCTGTCAGGTGCCACTCGGACGGTCCAATGCGTCCCCCAAAAAAGATGACCACGAAAGTTCCCACAATAGCCAGCAGGATTGCTAGCCATAAGGTTAAAGAAAACGGTCGCAGGAAACTGAATATACCCAGGTCGATCGTTTCTTCTTTTCTAATCAGAATATAATAATCGTCGTTCATGAACGGAAGCGTAAAATCGACGACCTGCTCACGATCGGACGTCGTACTCAAATCAGCAACGATCATGTCAGCTTCCTGCAATAAAAAGGTCATTGTTGCAATAAAGTAGCTCAATATAATTGTTCAGCCTTAGATTTTCCGGGACTATGAGCTTGAGAATCGCAATATTACATCAGCAGCTGCTATATCTTGTTGATAAAATGCACACCTTACGCAAAACTTCTCCAATTGCTCCGGTCCACCTGCCGTCCACCTTGTTCCCGTACGGTAGCTTGCCCGAATTATGGTGTAAAGTGAAGGTGTAGTTTGTCAACGCTGTCAGCTGCAGGATTAAATCCACCACGAAACCGGCGTAACACTCGCTGTCATCTGTGGTAACTTCTTTCCGCACAACATGGCGATATGTTGTGGTGTCGCATGGTACAACCATTAGAAACCTCTCCGCCTAATGGAAACATCATAAATCGCACATGCTGTTTAATTATCAAAGATTCTTCTACTATTTCACGTAAGATGCTTACAAGTATCCCGACAATTCGTAAAGTTCGCTTGAGCGTTGTGTTTGGTAGCGGTAAAAAGTGTAATCTGTCTATATCGCTCCATGTTCCCCTCTAAAATGGCTTGAAGCAGGTAAACACTTTTTTGTGTCGCATATCCCTATGGGTTTCAAACAGTTAAGCAATCTTTTATGTACATTTATGAAAGGCGCTCCAAATCGCATCTGCAGTATATTCAGTTTGTAGTTTCTTCTGTTGCCAAGTTTGTCAAATTCCAGCTTCCCAGTCAGTCCAGTGTAGTGTGTCTGCACGAGTATTCGGTGAATTGAAATTGGTTAAAAGGAAAACGCTAAAGTACCCACATTCAGTAGTAGCTGATGAACACGGCTTCCTTCCGCCCAAACGTTGTACGGCATAGCGCGGCAATCCAGTGATTTTGTGTTAATGGAACTGTTTCTCAACGCTGACATGACGAAACCAATGGCGTCGTAGGCTAGCGCGTCGGCAGTCTAGAAAATACCACGCTAACTTATTGCGACGATGGCATTACGGCAAACTTCCACTTACCGTAACTACATGTCTGTGTGCGCTGGAAGTTTGATCTTTTTCCATCATCGACAGTACCGTTAGACTGCTGACAGAAGAGTGAATAATTCGAAAATCTGCCCCTTCAGTATCCTGACAATGAAAGGTAAAAATGTATACAGTACAAAAAAACTGGTTAGGCGATGTGATCCTCTTACCAGTGCTGTTAAGACGAAATGGAAATGCCGTTCTCGAACGGCTCCGTTACGTAGTATAGCAGTAATCAAAGCTATTGACATATTAGTCGGTAGATCAAGAATCATCCGCCATTCCTTGATCGGTCTCCGAAGGATCGTGGTGGTAATGTATTCTGTCGCACTGACCAGTGACCCGCCTTGGAAGAACATTCCGTATAGTTTGTTGGGGATGCTGCGCAGTTGGGCTTGACGGTTGTACGCTTCCCAGGCTTGAACGCTCTCTTATGACAGAAAACATGTCTTCTGTATTTAGGTTTTGATTCTACTTATTAGGACTGAAAAGCCTTCTACGTGCTTTAGCATTCGGTTTGCGCAGAAGTACAGAATTCAGGCGGAAATGAGTGAGTCACTAACTGGTATTGGAATCCGTAATGTAAAATGCCTCTGTCCAACTGTAGCCTTGCGTAATGACATCCAAGACAGCGTGAATCGTTGATGGTCGGACATTGAAATGGTACGGCCCAATCGGTTCATCGGAGAAGCCCAGCGGATCGTACGACGAGCGAATCACCACGGGAATGTGCAGCGCACGACTGTACCAGCCCAGCTGATTGGAGCTCTCCGTGTCCGCCAAACCAATCAGCGCCAACGTCCCGTTTCTTAAGGCTCTACACACTGATCAGCACTCGCATTGAGACCATTCCATCTTTTCGATTCTTCTACGACGAGGAAGTTAGGATATTTTACGCACCCGTGTTTGCATTATAGAAAGCGTCCTTAGCCGAGAAGAGACTAGTATCCACAGGTAAACCGCTTTGTAGAACTTTACTGATTTCCTGCACGTCGGCCGCTACACCAGCCAGATCATTCTTTTCGGCGAAAACGTCTGCAAATGATTATTATGAGAATCAAGACACAATTTTTACGTATCCATCGGATTACGTACTGATGCGCTGTCCGTAACCGTGATGCCGAAATAAGGACCACCAGAGAGCGCAGATGGTAAACGACCAGGAAAGCATGACTAGCAGCTTTTCTAGCAGTGTTACCAGGAATGCATTTGTGCTGTTTTGAGTCTTTTGACAGCTAGTGCCGTATAAAGTATTCCTTACACACGTGTACAAAACTACTACTTGAATGAAAATCCTAACAATACGTTGGTGTAGCGTAATCATTAATGCCAAATTTTTAGGCTTTTGATAATTCTGCTCTGTGCCTAAGGGCGACCGCCATGCAGTACTGTACTTTCAGTATGCGAAATCTTACCACCTTAAAAGTTACACATAGGCTGGTACATTAAGTAAGACTACTTTGAGAAATTTACGATGGCTTTACTGATTTATTTGCTCTGTAATCGGTTGGATCGCCCTCAGCTACTGTTGTCCACGATAATCGATTCTGTGGTCTGTGCACATCCATCGTTATAATTAATGGTAAAAGGATTCTCAATACATTCGACTGCGGTATAAGCGAGTTCGACAACCGACGGATTTATTTGATTTCTTAGTTGCATAACCACTGAATTTTGCATGCTTCCAGAGCGTAGCATTTTCAGCACTGCTGAATGAAAAGAAAGCAGCGGAATTACAGGCGAATTTGTTCAATAACACGTTTATCACAGTAATGAGCTATGTATGTTGGGGCGTTAATCTGGTCTAAGAACCGGCATCTCCATGGAAGTAGCGTCAGACGGTCGTTGGCGAGTCGTTCGGCGCAAAATAGTTTTACGTAGTTCTTCACTCGTTCCGGTTCTTCTTTCCGTGAGCAATACAGTCTGCATGGATATCTGCAAACCGGCAAATTACTAAACGTTAGGGAGTACCCAACGCTATCATTATTGTACGCACTTTGTAGGCTCTGAATTTCTTGTGGCAGCAGAGGTTTTGACAAATCGCAAAAACTAACGCGATAGCCAATCCGCCGGCTAGGATGATAAATAATCCCGTTAGCTGGCGCGGTGTTAAACGGTTCAACTCTTTGGCCTCCTAAACATTTGTGCAAAACGTACAGGAATTGCTAACAACAACTGAGGCTCCAGATAAACATTACGAAAAAAAACTGTATTGATCTATCATGAGTAGTTATGTCTCCTTACTTTTTCCTCTTCCCTGTTTATGGCTTTACAGTCTTCTGCTAAAAGAAAGCAATCAATATTGTTCGAGCATAGTAAGAGGATGGATCCATAGCACGAATTCTAATTACTAACGCTGGCTAAACCATGTAGCCTCAATTTCTCTCAATATGCCATTTTCATTCAGCTTAAGAATAGCCTCCGAGAACTTTTTCCGAAGCGGGGACCCCGAGCGCACCGCAATAGCGTAGTCGGTGGCGAACAGCGGCAGTCCCACAATACGCGTATCGCAGGGCGGTCCACTGTTCGCGTAGTCGATCACCGTCTTTTGTGAGATGAACGCAAAATTTCCCTCTCGCACTTTGGTCACACCTTCCTGGACGTTTTTCACCGCGGTGTTGTACTGGATCATGAAGATCCGCATGCGTATGTAGGTATCTACATCGCTGTTGGCAAAGAAATTAGCGGCCGCATGGTCACCGGTCAGTGTTCCATAGCGGATGTCGGTCTGGATGGCCAGATCGCGGATCGACTGGATGGGAGAGGTTAGACGATTGATGGTTAGAAACGCGGCTGCAACGATATGGTTTTTTTTGACTTCTATGTGGCGCTGTTTTCTCGATAGCAACACGGCATCCGTTAATATTCCACAAGGTTCGGTTTCGTAAAATCAATATTAACGAATAGCTTAAATGCGTAATCGCTCACCATAAGTCCCGTTAATATCCTGGTCTCCTTGAAACTTTTTTTTAAAAGGCATGGTTTTTCAGTAAAACCGATTATGGAAACGAATCTTCACGAAAATTAGTATTCACGTTTTCAATTTTAAAACACATTTACAACACGAGTCGCACACATTTTAAAACTCTTTTTTAACTTCAGTAAAAGGCTGTGCAAAATGGTCCTAGTATTATGGTAATAGGCAATTGATACCGATGCTATGTACCGGACCATTTCACTTAACAAATCCAAATGCGTTGTACATGTATACGGTAATTATCGTCAACCTACCCAGGTTAGCGGTGTATGTTTGGCTGATAATCAGTACCCAAACAAACCACGCGGCAACGGCAATTTTCGTCGCCATCGACCGGGGTCCGATGTTGGGGCCTTGTTGCAGCAACGTAGCAAGAGTAAACCACTACAAAAATAAACATATACGGCGGACGATCATAAAGCAGCTGTTGCACCTATTTTGTACCAAAGACTCCTCGGACGTAAACTCATTGGTGACACCCTCCGCCTCATCGGGATCGGGATGCTCGGCATGATGCCACTCCGAGGGCCCGATGCGGCCGACGAAGAAAATGACCACATACGTGCCCAGGATCGCCAAGATAATGGCCAGCCACAAATTCCTCGAGAAAGGCAATAAAAAGCTGAAAATATCCTGCGGCTCCTGTTGTTCTTTCTTCATTAGCACTAAGTAGTCATCGTGTAAGAAAGGGATGGTGAAATCCACAACGGCCGCCCGATCCGACGTGACACTCAAATCCCCAATGGCCAAATCCGCTTCCTGTGTTACACACTGTCTTTAAGAAAACTCCATTTATGCTATTGTAAGGTGCTACAAAATGTGACCTTTCGCAATATTTCCCCAATCGCCCCGGTCCAGGACCCGTTGATCTTGGATCCGTAGTAACTTTTCGTCTTGCCAGTATGGAGTTTGAGGGACAGATTCGTTACGGCTCCTAATTCGCGCACAAAATCGGCAATGTATCCCACAAAGCACTCAGCGGGATGGGAAGGTGTTGGGGTTTTGTTCTCGTACTCGGTCGAGTTACAGGGGACCGTCATAAGAAATCGGGGAGCCTAGTAAAGAAAAAGGCGTTTACTGAATGTCGCTGCATCTTCAGCAGCGCGAAAAGCATATTAACCGTTATTCCAATAACTCGTAACGGGAGGTTGTCACTTTCGTCTTTGGAGTTTTGAAATTGCGTTCCACTAACATCGCTCCAGATTCCTTTCTGTACAGTATAAATTCGATACTTACCCGGTAGTAGTAAAATAATACTAGTGCAGTTCATATAACACTTTATCAGCTTAACCGTGGGATTTGCGACGATTAAACGTACCTTCACAAATCTCCCGCCCTTGTTCATCTCCATAATGTCGAGTTTGTAATTTTTCCGATTGCCAAATTTATCGAATTCCAGCTTTCCAGTTAAGCCAGTATACTGATACTGCAATAAACATAAGAACGGAAATTTCGCGAAGTTGTTGACCCATTAGAATTGCCGGTGTTACATTTTGTAGCAGCTGACGAGTAGCATCTCCATTTTCCCAGACGTCAAACGGTGTGGCAGTGCAGTTGATGGATCGACTCGGCAGAAGGCTGGCATTGGCTGACAATGCCGTAGCGACAAAGCTGATAGCGTCAAACGCCAGTGCATCTTCTGTCTGCAGAAAGATCCTGTAATTGATCAGGAAACGACGCGGCCAAAACCGTAAACTTCTACAACACTTCGCTAGAATTATTTTTTTATAACTTTATTATAAAGGCGTTTACCGTGGCGATATTGCTTCCACGGATGGTTTTCTGCGTCTCCGCGTCTTGTATCATCGACAGTGCTGTCAGATTGTTGTAGGTCGAGTAGAGTGTTTGAAAATTGGCCACTTCGAAGTCCTGATAAACAAAATTAAAATTGACAGCATCCTTTGCTTTTTATGGTCATTGGCCCGTGCACTCTTACCAGCGATACAAGAATAAAATGGAAATAGCGTTCGCGCACGGCGATGCTGTTGAGGAACTCGTTAATTAACCGCACCGACATCTGTGCCGGTAAGTCCAGGATCATATGCCATGGCTGAATGGGCACCCGCAGTACCGTTGATGTTATATAATCCACAGCGTGTGCCACGGAATGTATTTGGTAAAATGTGGCATACAACCGACTAGGGTTGCTGTTTGCTTTGGCGTGCTTCACGTATACTTCCCAGGCTTGATCGCTTTCTGTTGGAAATGCAACGCATCACACCACAGTTGATTACCACCGCTCCTCCTCAAGCTCTGTTTGGCTAAATCTCGAATGAAATTGAGACAGTTTTAACTGTAATTGCACTCGTGTTCTGGCTACGCGACAAGTCGTCGCGAGACATTTGGTTTTACGGACATTTCGTTTAAGGACAACTCGTTTTCATGGCAAATAGCCATATGACTATTTGTTGCCATAAACCAGTCGATTATTTTTCCACTCCCCAAAAGTCGCGCTATCAAATGCCGCACAACAAAACGAGTGCAAAACGAGTTGTCTCAAAACAAATTAGCGGCTGCGACGAAAAACGTGTGGTTAAATGTCTCACGACGAAATGTCCCGCGACCACTTGGGCTGTCACGCCTGTTCTACTGCGTAATGAGGGTGCACATGTGAATCCGGAAAAACCGTCCACCGGTTAATAAAAAAAACGTCCGGCGAAAATTTCGCCTTATCTAATGATTTGCACTTCTCGATCTTATGAACAGAGCGGAAGTCGATTTCGACCCGGACGGTTTTTCACGAGTTATATTTGTATGGAGACGGTTTTACCGGGCTACATACTGTGCACACAAATATAAATCCGGCAAAACCGTCCCGGTCGAAATCGACGTTCGTTCAGTTCACAAGATCGTGAAGTGCACAAAATTCAACTGGCAAAATTTACACTTGAACGCTTCTTTTTAACTGCCAGACGATTTTTCCCGCATGTAAGCAAAAGCGTCCCAGTGGTTTTGCCGGTTACGTTAAATTACGAACTTGTATTGGTGTCAGTAATGTAGAACGCTTCCGTCCAGTTGTATCCGTGCGAGATAATATCCAGAACAGCAAAGATTGTCTGCGGGTGAATGTCGAAATGATACGATCCGTGGGGGGGATCGGCGAGGGTGTCGGCATAACTGATCTGCGTATGCGACGAGCGAATGACAGAGGGGATGTGCAGAGCTCGACTGTACCAGCGCAGCTGATTGGAGCTCTCCGCATCAGCCAATCCAATTAGCGCCAATGTCCCGTTTCGAAAGGCTTTACAAACTACGACAGATTCTGTTAAGCTGACTGTCAACCGCGATGTGTAACGGTATTTCTCGTGAAATAGCAGAACTTGATATCTAGCTGTAAAACCGTGCAGTCTCACCAGCGTGGGCATTATAAAAGAGATCACTGTCCGAAAATGGACTGACATCAATTTGTAAGTCGCTCTTTAGGGTTTTCTGGTGAATCTTTGCCGAGACAGATGCGATTTTCGATACCTGATTTTTTTCGGTGAAAATACCTACAGGAGAGTTTACAATGGTTTTTACAAATATTATTGCAAAGTCAGTTATCATAGTTCGCTTACTGATGCGCTCTCCATGTCCGTGATTCCAGCACCAGATTAAGCACAAGCTGAGCGTGATAATACACCGGATGAGCATAACGAACCATCACTATACCGTTTAAATGGCTCAAGTGTTCTCCAGAATATGTACTATGATGGCCCAACGCACCGCCAGCGCAAACAACAATGTGCGCATGATTTTTGCTACAATATGTGAACCGACGACTTTAGAAGTGTTTTTCTAGCTCGAGGGCGAAACGTGCCATTTGCTTCCGTGAACATCAAATACCACGTTATTGTCCATAAATCATATAATCCGTATAACCGCCACATTCATTCTTTTCACTGAGAGTCTTTAATTTCCAACCCAAAACCATATGATGAAAGTGCACAATTACAGGAATAATAGCGTTTAGATACAATACAACTCCAGTAATTAATTTTGTAAAATTTGGACTATGCGCAATGAATCACAGATTTTGCCGGTTCGATGCCGGTACGATGCTACCGCTAGTGCTGCCTCTCGTTGTTTATTCTTCTTCCCTGTGGGGACGATTGTTGGCGGAACCATTTCGCACTTTGGTTGCGGCTCTCCGTGGACCTTTATAAGTTCCAAATATCCTGGGTCGCTTTCGCGTGAGTAGGACACGATCCATCGAAATCTGCAAAAAAGGAAGTCATAATCTCATAATAATCATAATATGCATCCCAGTTAGATTTAAGGAACTTATCATACTCTGTGTTTTCGAAATTTTTCTCGACCCCGGTACAAGAATTCAGCAATGGCCACAATCATGGCAATAGTTAGTCCTGCGGAAAGTATGATGAACAGGCCGAACATTTGGTTGGGACTAATTTTGCTTAATTCATTGGGATCCTAACAGCAACACATCGTCAATAAAAGCGCTCAGTCGAAGTAAATATTTTATTAAAACACAACTACTCGTAAAATTTAAGTACAAGGATGTGGCAACGTCAAATTAAATTTGACCTTACCGCTTGTTCTTTTTGTTCAATGCGACACTGTTCTGCAGCAAAAAATAAGCATGGTAAAATTTTGCAAACTGCGAGCGTTAGTAAAACTGAAAAGTGAAAAAATTGACTGACTTTGATTAAACCACATTGCTTCCAGTTCCTTCAGTATGCCGTTGTCATTCAGAGTGAGAATTGCTTCGGTTAAGGTTTTTCTTAGCGGTGCTCCCGAACGCACGGCAATACCGTACAAGGAATTAAACAACGGCAGTCCGATGATGCGTGTATCGCAGGGATAACCGTTATTGGCATACTCCAGTACGGTCCGCGGGCCGATGAAAGCGTAACCACCCTGGCGCACCCGCTGCAAACCCTCCGCAACGGACTTCACCTTACTGTTGTGCTCCTTCATATTGAGGCTCATCCGCTGGAAGACATCCTGTTTGGCGTGTTTGAAGAAGTATTCGGACGCCTGATCGGCTTCCAGCACGCCGTAGTCAATGTCGATCTGGTTCGCCAGTTCTTCGATGGCCTGGATGGGCGTCTGCATGCGGTCAATGGTGAAGTATGCAGCTACAATGTAAAAATGGCGTAGCAATACTGAACTGTACAGAGTATAGTTTTGCTAACAAATTTAAAAGTCCACAACGTTCATCAGATCCACAAACATTTAGTTATGATTTTGCTGCTTATTACTCTTGTACGCTATACGGTGTCACAGTTTATGTACTTTGTACAGTACTTCTTTTCCGTCCAATAGCAACACTTCACAATTTAAGAATATTCCGTATTCGGCGTTATTCGCCACTTATTATTGCTAAATGAGCAACCAAGTAATTCGGCGTTTAAGCGAGGCGCACGCATGTGCAGCTTTAGCGCAACAACCGCTTTCCTGAGAAGTTCGAGGAAAACGTTTTATCGTGTGATCGAAATCTTTTACGATACAAGTTTTGGGCACGCGGTCCGGGTCTGGCGGTGCGACGAAATTACGGGTCATAATGCCCTTATTACGGGTCACGTTGAAGCGTTTGTTAAATCACAGGCCCTTATTACGGGTCACGTTGAAGCGTTTGTTAAACCACAGTTAACGCTTTATCGCAGGTAACGCTCTAGTTTTCCTCATTTTTTTACTGGCGGATACAGGTTTTAAAACGCGGGTGATTTCCTTCAACAATATACCTACCTAATGCAGCAGTGTAGCTTTGGCTGACGATAAGCGCCCAAATAAACCATGATCCAACGGCAATTTTCGTGGCTATGGAACCGGGCTTGATATTGGGTCCTTGTTGTAACAGCGTGGATAGAGCCAGCCACTACAAAGTGTGGAAGGTAACGATTGCAGTGCTACCGACTGCGTAATTGGCATATGATGGATGAAGCACGTAAAGCTTACCAATGCTTCTTCCACAGTAAAATCATTCCTTAGCACTTGCGACTGGTCAGGATCGCAGGCATTGATATGATACCACTCCGACGAGGTGATACGGCCCACAAACACAATGACCACGAATGTCCCCATCAGCGCCAACAGAATCGATAGCCACAACGTTAAAGAAAAGGCCTCCAAAAAACCGAACATTCCCTTCTTTTTCTCGCCTTCCTGTTTCATAAGGATGACGTAGTCATCGCTGATAAAGGGAATCGTGAAGTCTACAACTTCAGCACGCTCGGAGAGGATGCTTAGGTCGCCCAGCGCGAAATCAGCTTCCTAATAACCAACAAGATTACAACTTGTGACAATGCATGTACATTCGAGATTGTTATGAAGGTCGCTGGAACTAATTTTCCTTGGCTATGAACTGCATAAAAACTAAGAAGGAGTAGTGCTCCGAAAAATACGGTTGCAGGTTATGCAGTGCTGCGCTGACCTTTCGCAGCACTTCGCCCACAGCCCCAGTCCAAGTGCCGTCAATTTTATTCCCATAGAAATATTTGTCTGTACTGTGGTGCAGCACCATCGAACGGTTGGTTAGGGTTTTCAGATACTGCAGGAAATCCACAGTGTAGCCGACGTAACATTCATCGGAGCGGTTTGATACCGAACTTAGCCGTTCTTGGTTCCGATACCGCGTCGAATTGCAGGGGACGATCATTAGAAATCTGTCCGTCTTGTAAACAAACAGCGTACGTAAATAAAATACAACAATATTTTTTGCATTAAGTTTTTCAAAGGGGGTTTCCCGCACTGGGTTGATCCTTGCCTAGGTGCAATCTTCGCTACGTACATATAGATGCAGTAAACTAACCCAGTGTTGCCATTTTTAAATAATCTTATTACATAAATAACATAATCACTTACAAGCATGCCAACGACCCGTAGTGACCGGCTGTCACTAGTATCTGAACGGTTGAAGAACTGCAAACCATGCGTATCGTTCCACGTCCCTCTCTGTAAGCAGGAATACTATGCGTAGGCTTCATAGTACCATATTATTCATAGGCTTTATGATGGCAGAGCCAACACAAATAAAAGTTCAGTTACGCTAAATAAAAGTAACGTAAAGTAGCAACTGGTGACTATTTAAATAATAAGCAGCTATTTCATATAATAAAATGAAATGAATTTCATACATCTATAAGGCTAAAAAGAAATCGTTTCACGAGATACTCATCAGCCACATCTGCAATACCTGTGTTAGATTTCCTTGTCCATTTCTCATCTCCATAATGGTGAACTCGTAGTTTCTTCGATTTCCAGACCGGTCAAACTCGACATTTCCCGTCAGTCCAGAGTATTTAGTCTGTAATGTTGAATATTTTATGCTGAAAATAATGTAGGAACAAACGCCATCAAAATCTCGTTACCGTACAAGACAAATCGGCATTAACGTGCTTACGCTTTGCAGCCATTGACGAACTAGCTTCCCGTCCGCCCAAGCGTCGTACGGTCTAGCCCGGCAATCCACGGATTTGGTTGGCATCACAGTGGACTTTTCGGACAGCGCCGCTGTAACAAAGTTAATGGCGTCGGACGCCAGTGCATCCGCCGTCTGAAATAAGAAAGGCCAGTCCGCCATAAATACTTTCACTCCATCGGCGCAACTTCCGCTCCCGACGTACCGTTTTAATATGGTTATCCGACATCTTGTTGTCAAACAACTTCGGGACCATCGACAGTGCCGTGACACTGCTGTACGTTGTGCGTAGAACGAGCAAATCGATGGCTTCGAAATCCTTGCAAAGACGAAATCCGGTATTTATGAGACGATATATGTATGTACTGTATACGAAGCTTCGAAAGCAGTTATAGTTACCAGTGCTGCGAAAACAAAATGAAAATGTCGCTCTCGGACGGCGGCATTATTGAGCAGGGACTTTAGTAAATTCATGGCGGATGCCGCCGGCATATCGAAGATAATATGCCAGTCTTTACTGGCCTCCTTCTTCAGCGTCCGCAAAATCGTCGATGTCATGTACTTCACGGCTTCCGGTATGGACTTCATTTCGAAAAACGTAGGGGAAAAATTGGCCACCAGTTTGCGTTGTTTCGCGTGTTCCTGGTAGACTTCCCAGGCTTGATCACTTTCTTTGTATAATTATGAAAAAAAACAATTATAAAACGAACAAAAATGTACACGAGTTTATCATTCTTTATACCATAATAAGCGAGCCGGCGACTAACTAAACTATACAGTAGCCGCTATTATGCCGAATATTCTGGACGGTTCATACTTCATTAAGTCATGGTACTGTGTGTTTTATGCCAGTCAACCAGCACACTTCTTAAATTCGATATAATAATTATAAATTTGTTTTATATATAAAAACTATATATAAGTTCGTCGTCAGCTGTAATATTGTTGGTGCAAAAAATTATACATCAGTTGCTAAATTTTTCCCACTAACTGGAGTTGGAATCGGTGATAAAAAAGACTTCGGTCCAGTTGTGGCCCTGCGTTATAATATCCATCACCGCGCGGATGGTCGAAGGTTGGACGTTGAAGTGGTAGGCTCCGTCGGGTGTTTGGGCCATCGCGTAGGAATAATTCAGCTGGTCGTACGAAGAGCGCATCATCACCGGCACGTGCAGCGCCCGACTGAACCATCGCAGCTGGGTGGAGCTCTCCGTGTCGGCTAGACCAATCAGGGCTAATCTCCCGCTTTTCACAGCCCTACAAACTGTCCTCGGACGGTTATTCAATTGCAGCTGTCACTCGCGCAAGTACACTGTTTTTATGAACTTTCTCACAGCTGATTCTTTATTTCCCACTTGAAGAACTATACAGGAAAAAATCCGTTTGTGGTAAAAAAAAGGATTTGTCAAAAATTTTCGCGGGATTTAGGTAAAAGGCAAAGCAGATCACACTGCCCTACACCGGCTTCATGCGCCTGAAATCCTTTAAATTTATTATCTTCGTAAGATTTGCAAGTAAGCAGATCGATTAGACAGCTTTTTTCTCGGGAATACCAGGGCACCCTGGAGAAAGTCATTCATTGTCAGTACGATTAAGCGATACGCGTGTTAAAAACGACGTTTTGCGCCTCCCAGGCAGGGGAAATTGTGATACAGTGTTAATGCGGGTATGTCAAATTGATTAATATATTCAGAAAGTTACGACTACTGCCGTTAGTTGGTAGGCATTTCCGGAAGCATAGTTTGTATGCTTTTGAATTTCATAAAAAGCAAATTACAGGTATATAATAAATTTATGAAAATTAGCTTTCACATGTGTACTTAAATTAACTTATAAGATTCAAAATTAGCATTTATGTAATTATTGTTAATTCTGCTTTCGAGGGCAAGCCTTTGGTTTCACAGCTTTCGACGGAAATTGTGCGTAGAAAAACACCGTATTAACATACCAGCATTGGCATTGTAAAAGAGATCATTAGGTGAGAAAGGATTTACATCCACAATTAATGTACTCGTCGACGCATTCTTCGGCGTCGTCATATTCTCCGGCAAGTATCTTCGAACTGCAGCCAGTTTATCCCTCTCAGCAAAAATACCTGTAATTCACACAAGAATACCGTCATATGAATCTGACAGCCAGTTTCCGGGTAAAACAGTCCATTGATCATAAATTTGGATGTATAAACATGTACGTAACTGATTTGCGCTGCCTGTCCATAACTCCAGAAACAGATTATCCCCAGCGTATAAAAAGTATAAAATGGGATGTACATAACGTACGATAGCGCCTACGTAACATGTCAAATTGGAAGAAGACCTACGGAGCAACTGCGTAACTGCTCACATGCCTACATTATTCCGGAAGTTCTAATTACGAGCCCAAATTGTTGTATGGTATGTGCATATGTACATAACGCACAAGCCATTGATTTCTCCTCATATATGCTCAGTTTTTTTGCGCCCCGAAGCAACATGTGCAGCTTGAGACAACAAGCCACAATAGTGTAGTTAACGTTAAATTGCCATACAGCCTGTACAATCGTACATCATCTTGGCAAGTCAAATGAAAGTAATTCCATGTATAACGAACGGTACCGGCTGTGTTAGGTACTCCGCAGAGTAAAATTAGCTGTCCTTGTGTCAATGTTTTTTTCTGAGTTTTGGATTATCAAGTATTTTTTATTCCAGGTATCATTTCACAAAGGCTCACACGTACGCGATACGTCAGGCAGTTTTTGCTTAAATCAGAAAACATACGATCGGCGTCTTTTATATACCCACATAAATAAAAATAATATCAAGCACATTCAAGTTCATATGTGATATAAATCTTTGAGTAATTGAGTATATGGATTACATATTTAGTATTTATTAGGCGACGTAAATCGCTACAGAACGAGGGAAAAATAGGTTTCGGATAGCAGCAAAGCTGCTTTTAGATTCTGCGGGAAAAGCCCTGGTTTTTGCCTTAATCTTTAAGTTTTCATCTTGTAAGCAGATTAGCGATCATTATATTATAAAAAATTACAAAGCGGAAAGCGTGATACGCGTTTCCATTCAACGGTACGTCTGCACTGCGTAAAAAAATATAAGCACTGCTGTCACAAAAAAACCGACTTCACAGAAGCCACGCTGGGAAAACCGGTACACGGACTTTTAGCTAGCGCGTCTGGATGAGGGTAAGCTCGACACTCCACTGTGCGATTCCGACGGGCTGCGGTAGTTTGTGGGTATATTCATGGGGCGTCGTTTCCGGTGTTGATCCGTAAGAAAAATGGTTTGCGTCAGAACCTATCCAACAGACGAATGAAAATTAACAACTGACGTTTTATTCAGAAAACCCTAAGCGACAAAATTACATTATAAGTCCAAAAAATGGAGGGTGTTTTATTATTAAAAACTGTTAAAACCTTAAAACCGGTTTTCGCAATATCACTCATCTCATATAGTAATAATTTATTTTGTTTAAGTTTTCTATTTTAAGAGTCTTAGAAGTTTTAGTAGTTTTAAAGGTTTTAAGAGTTTTAATGGTGTTAATGGTTTTAAAGATTTTAAAGGTTTTGTACCTTTGTACCACTTTGTACCTACAGTTACAGTGAACGTCGCATATTTATCCTATTCATGGAAGCTCAGTAAGGTTTTTTACATAAGTAGACATTGGTGAAAGTGAAACAGAAAATGACGCAGTTCATGTAGTACTTATTAACTTATTAGTACAAGAAACCGCCAATTCATATGAGAACAACCTACTGAACTATGTAGTTTAAACCACGGCCTTGGTAGAAACTAGTCAAAATAATTCAATACTTCGGGCTATACTCGTACAGGTATTAATAATTATCATTATTGTTATTATATGAATTGCGTGTTTACTGTCGTTACTAGGGTAGTGTATGCAATACAATATCGTATATTTTATTTATGTCGTTTCGAATGTTGACAAAAGTGTATGTAGCCAGACGATATATTCTCTGGGCCAACTGCGTACCCCACGAGCGCGGAACTTCCGGTGCCCTTTGTACAGATATTCCGCGATGGCCAGCACCATCGCAATTCCCAGACCGGCCGCCAGAATGATGAACAGACCGGTCAGTTCCAATGGCGTCAGCTTATCCAAATCCTTTTTTCCCTGTACATAACAGTTTGACACCATTTAAAAATTTTGTGACAGCTACGAATGGCGAAAGTGGAGAGAAGAAGCGTATGAAATCTGTTAAGGTTTGTAAATTGTACCTGCGAGTCGCCTTCGTCCACAGCCTGGCATGCATCTGAAAATTAATTCTTTAGTATATTAAAAAGTTTCGCTTTTTTTTGATACTGTATCTTTTGATTTTTTTTTAAACAAGAATGCAGTTGCTGAATTTGCAGTTGCAGTTGCTGAAGGTCTAAAGCGCAAAATAATATCTTACAACAACAGTACAGTACTGTATACATAATTTTTGAATTAGAAGCCTTTAGTTTGTAAGGATTGACTGCAGAACGTTAGAAATGTAAACACTGTAAATAAACCGAGCCGAATAGCAAAACTGAATTAACTGATTATAATTCTTCTATTTAATCACAATTTCTAGTGGCGACAATGGCGACAAGTTTTACCGTTTTGACTACCTCTTGTAAACCACTTTTTCTCCATGGCATCCAGCGCTCCGTTCTCGTGCAGTCGCGAAATCGCCGCCGACAGTTCCCGGCGCAGCGGTGACCCTCGCCGCACCGCCAGCGCGTAGTTGGCAAAAAACAACGGCACCCCCACGACCCGCGTATCACAGGGCCTGCCCTGGTTGGCGTAGTCCACCACCGATTTCGGCCCGATGAAGGCAAAGCCGCCGTTCCGCACTCGCTCCACCCCCTCCGCCACGTCCTCCACGCCGGTGTGATGGTGTTTCATGGCGTTCCACATGCGCTGGTAAATCTCCTGGGTGGAGTGGGCGAAAAAGGACGCCGACGCCTGATTGGCTTCCAGGACGCCGTAGCGGACGTTGTCCTGGTTGGCCAGATCGCGGACGCTGGTGATGGAGGAGTCCATCCGGTTCAGGGTCAGGAATGCCGCTGTAAAAATTATTTAAGTATATAATATGATCATTCTTCAAATCATAAAATTATTCGACAAAAAAATAATTGAACATGGTTCGAAATTCCATTCAGTACAGTATTTTTAAGGCCCGAAACCTTCGCCGGGCAAAATTTTTATCTGTATGCATATACAGAGTGTACATGTAAAACAAAAACTGCATAGGTGTACAACATCAAACGATAAAAGTTTTGTTATATTTCCTACATCAAATGCTTGTATATTTAAGCAGAAAAGGAGAAGCACATAGTGGAACGATGTTGTACTGATACGGGTATCTTACTTTCGATACAGAAATTAATTTTTGTCTCGGCAACCTCGAATTTTTGGTGAGCAACAAAAAAGTTACTCAAAATACCAGTTGACTACTGTCACGAGTTCTCGAAACGTTTGGTTAACAAGTGTGCATGTACCACTTCCTACTTGTGGCAATCGGAGTGGCAGCCACAACACTACAGTCTTATGTGGTAGCATATGCAGATTAATATGTCCATTAGGTAGGTTACGCGTGACACCTCACCCAGTACGATTCGATTCGGCAACTGGTCATGATAAATTTATTAACTATCAACTATTCGGTAATCCATCGGGATCGCGCCACACACCCCCGTATACCGTACCCCGGGACTATGTCATTTGGATCACCAATTGTAGGTAATAATTTTCAATAAAACGTACCGAGGTTGGCCGTGTAGGTCTGGCTGATAATCAACGCCCAGATGAACCACACCCCCACGGCAATTTTGGTAGCTACCGACCGGGGCTCAATATTGGGACCTTGCTGGAGCAGTGTCGCCACCGTCAACCACTAAAAATATTGGAACGTTTGATCCACTAATTACACATTAGAGGACACCTCTGACGTGACCCTTACCAGGCTTTCTTCCATCGTGTAGTCGTTGGTGATGCCCTCCACCTCATCCGGATCACAGTGCTCCGGACGATGCCATTCCGACGGCCCGACCCTCCCCACAAAGAAGATGACGACAAAGGTCCCCAGAATGGCCAGCACAATGGACAGCCACAGGTTGTTGGAGAAGGGCCGGAGGAACCCGAAGACGTCCACGGCGGTCTCGTTGTCCTTCTTCATCAGGATGATGAACCCGTCGTTCATAAACGGTATCGTGAAGTCCACCACGGCTTCCCGCTCGGCAATTACCGTCAGATCACCAAAGACCACATCCGCATCCTACGAACAACTCATGCCATTAGCAATCATTGCTGTACATATTACTGGGTATCGTAGTGAAGTGGCTATGAGTGAGCTCGACCATATACATGCCGATATAATCAATACATTTGAGAAACAAACTTGTACATCGTAATAACGAATGTGGTTGTTTTGATTGCTTTTTTAGGTTTTCATCGAGTAATATCAACCATCGTGACGAGACTGTTGACTGCCATGTCCGCAGTAAACGGTCATCATCAGCAATCAAGGTACGTTCATCATTACTATAATCCGCTTATCCCATAAGACCTTGCGTAAAATCTCCCCCACGGCGCCAGTCCACGTCCCGTCCACCTGATTCCCGTAATAAAACTTCCCCGAACTGTTGTATAATGTGAAGGTGTAGTTCGTTATATTGCTCAGCGCGTCGATAAAATCCACACTGTAGCCGATGTAGCATTCCTCGGTGCCGTTGGCGTTGGGACCTTTGGGCATGGTCTTAGCGGACCCCGTCATATTGCATGGCACGATCATCAAAAACCGGTCCGTCTACGCACGACAGGCAGTTCGAGAAGCGCAATTGCTACCAAAACTAATGCAGTTTCGTACCATTATTCCAACTGCCCGCAAAGTGTTGTTGGATTGTATTTCTGGTTCGCTGAACAATTGTAGTGATTCGCTATCACTCCAGATGCCTTTCTGTAAAGATTGCAATTATTACTGTTACAGATTCAAATGGGCTCGTGTGTTGCAGTAACCTTCCAGAAAGGTCCACCGTCATTTCTCTCCCATATGGTTAATTCAAAATTCTTGCGGTTGCCGAGATCGTTAAACTCCAGCATCCCGGTCAGACCCGAATAAACCGTCTAACAGCCACAGTACATCATTACATAGAACTGATCGTACGGTTGTTAAAAGGTCAAATCCAACGCACAGTTTTCAGCAGCTGTCGAGCAGCAGATCCATCGCTCCATACATCGTACGGCACGGCGGTACAGTTCAAGGATCTACTGGGTACGGCGCTGTTATTGCTCCGCTGCAATGCCGCTAGGACAAAGTTGACCGCATCGAAAGCCAGCGCATCCGACGTCTACTAAAAGGTCACATTGTTCCACTGCTCTCAGATGAAGAGGTTACAGGCGGAATGTGCAGTGGCATATTACGTAATGTACGTAATAATGCGTATAATCAAATCGACAAAAACTTAGTATATATACTAAGTTTGCAAATATATGTTCAAAGTAAATATATGTTCAAATAATGTCCATAGTGCAAATATATATTCAAATAGTGCAAATATATAGTGCAAATATACGTTCATAGTAAATATATATATATATATATATAATATATTTACTATGAACTTATATTTTAGCAAGCTTATTTAGATTTTATTAGAAAAACCCTACACAAAACACGAACAAGTAGCATTAACAACGATAATACATGTAGTTACCGTCAAATTTTTGCTGGGTTGAGTGACTGAAATATTCTGTATCATGGACAGTATGGTCAGTCGACTGGTCGTCAGTTGTGGCAGCTCGAAATCAACTCCCTCCGCGTCCTGAAACATTATCTGTACATAACGACTGCTGGACACTCGCTTCGCAGTTATACGTGTAATCAGCGAAAAAAGCATTATAAGAACCGCAGCACGGCTTCCTTACCAGCGAGGCTATAATAAAGTGGAAATGCCGCTCGCGCACCGTCAGATTACTCAGCAGCATCATCATTAAACTGCGGGCTAAATCCGCGGGAATATCCAGGATCATCCGCCAGTCTTTAATCCCGGAGCGTAGGACGGTGGCGGTGACGTAATTGACGGCTTCCAGGAGCGAATCCATCTGGAAGAAGAGGGCACGCAGGCGGTGTGGTAAGTATCCACCGCCCGGGTTGTCGTCGAACACCAGATGGGCGCCATCGTTTTCTACATTGGGAAAATGCAACAGTTTGACGTTGTAGGGTATAGCGTCGGTGATTTTAATCACCCACTGGAGTTGGAATTGGTGATGTAGAAGGCCTCCGTCCAGTTGTAGACGGCCGTGGCAATATCCAGCACCGCATTGATGATCGCCGGTTGTACATCAAAGTGGTAGACGGCATCCGACTGTTTCGGAAAGTCCGCTTGCTTATAGGCTGAGCGAAGGACCACCGGGACATGCAGCGCGCTACTGTACCAGCGTAGTTGATTGGCGCTCTCCGTATCAGCCAGGCCAATCAAAACCCAAGAGCCGTTCTTTAGAGATCTGCAAACTAGCCGACATTCTTAATCTTCTGCTGAATACCGTACGTAGTCTAGCGTAGATATTGATTGTGTACAAATATTATTTGAACAATGCACTGTTGTACTACGTACGTACATTCAAAAGAATATTGTTAGTTTAATATTCAAAAGAATATTGTTAGCTCAATAATATTATTTTTGAATGTACGTTATGATTATTATTTATTCCGTATATGTATGTATCCACTTCCAGTCAAGCAAACGTTAGAAGGAAAGGTATCAAAACATTAAATGCGTAACTCAAAGCACCGTTGTACGAGTAGCATGAAACTACCGATTAATCTAAAAGGATAGGTGATGCAGTCGCCAAATATCCCCGTGCACTGTATTGATCAATTTTTTAACAGTACATACTGAGCGACGAGTACTTGTTTTACAGTAAGTTGCGTTATGATAGTGAACATAGCGGTTTGAATTCTGGCTAGTGCGAGGGAAATTCGTATTAATGTCAAGCTTGCCCGCTAATTCGACTTTTATCAGAATAAGCGCACCGTAATTACAGTAAAAGCAACTGGCTTTTTGTATTACTTATAATAATTACAATTTAAAAAATTAAAATAATTTAATAACTAAAGTTTAAAATTAATGCTACTTTAAATCTAAAGGCTTACTGGCATTGGCATTATAGAAGAGATCATTAGCTGCGAACGGACTGGCAGTGATTGTCAGACCATTCCTCCACGTCGCATTATCCGTTCCGGATAACAACGACACTACACGGCTCAGGTGATGCTTCTCGTCAAAAATACCTGCAAAGTACGTCGTTCATAAAATACGGTATTACTTATAAACCAAACGAAGTTGTAGATATGCATGTTATGCACCTTGTATACAATTTTACTTTTTATGGTCCACCGATTTTTTTATACTCACTGATAGCCTGTCCATGGCATCCCCTGTACCATAAGTGAACCGTCCATATAAGACAGACGAAATTAAGCGGTGCCAGGATCATGTTCGACCATTATAAAGCCATTTTCTGATGATGAAGATCGTTCAGGAGTTATGGAATAAAAAAAGCAGTCGGCACTAGAAATGTGGAGATTACCATTAATAATCGCTCACTCATAAATCGGCGGCTTCCGGCTGCAGCTTTGCTGAAGAATTATACAGTAGGTAGAAGGCAAACACAGTAGCGACTAGAAACGTTGCCTGCAGGTCGTATGTTCTTAATGCAAGCGGCCTATAATTATGTATTTTGCTGCCAGCAGCATTGTCCGGTTTCCATAAAGATTATTGCAAAACAATTAACGTTAAGCGGTCCATTCAATCAGCTTCGGTTTATTCCCATACTTTACAGTTGCAAACAACCAACATGCAAAATAACATCTCATCTCATTTGCTCGTATACATAATGACAATGCACTGAATAAACGCATTTGCCATTTTACCACGGCTTTTTTTCTATCTCGAAGTATTCGGACGGAAATAAATATAAACCAATTTCCAGCTCATATTCCTTTCCTCCAGAATGCAATTATTTATTTAATGCTCCAAAATATTTGACTTAATTTGAGTTTTTACTGATTACTGTTTTTATTTTTATTGCATACAATCTAATTTTTATTATTACTGGCGTAAATTTTATTGTTCATTTTACTGTGTTAATTTTTATTAAATTAATTTAATATAATTCTAATTTTTAATATTATTACAGTATTCTTGAATTTGTTAATTAGAGTTTACAAGGAAATACCAATAGCGAATAAAAACCACCGCGTTACCCATAAGTCGAATAACATTCGATTTCAAGTGTTTACCAGCCCCCTTCCACTCACCTTAAAACCACAACGATGGGACTCTCGCATCGGTGTATTAAACAAGAATAAACGCAACTGGAACTAGTGCAATCTTCGTCGAAAACTAGTATTCATATGAACTAAAACACAACAGCACAATTTAAACAGCCCGTCTAGAAGCAAGCGGCATATTCACTTCCTTTTTTTATTTAACACTTTCTAACAGCAAAATGAAAACCAATAACATTTATAATGTCGAACTAACATCGACACACCGATAAAGATTTAACGCACCTGAAAATAGCGCAATGTATGAACTATAACCCAACAACACATTTAGAATAACACAATCTTCAACAACCACCCGACTATTTCCTCCCGCGGCCCTTGGCCCCGACCTTCTTCTTAGCCTTCTCCGCCCGCTTCATCCCGCGAATGTCCTTCTTCATCCGCCGGTCCACCACCTTAATGCGACTGCCTTTCTCCCGCTTTTCCGGCCGCGAGGCCCCGCCGCCCTTTTTCGACACGACCAACGTGGGGGCCTTGCGTTTGACCTTGCCGGCGGCCTTCTTGTAGATGCTCTTCAGCTGCTGGATCTTCTCCTGACTGGACTGGCCCTCCTCGCTCAGCACCTTGCCGGCCTTCTTCCGCGCCTTCTCCAGCCGTTTCACAGCGCGGCGTTTCTTGCGGGCCTGTGCTTCGGCGATCTTCTTGATGGGGCGGGCGTCGATGGCTTTCAGTTGGTCTTTGTAGGTGGCCACTTGTTCTTTGGTGATCAGGCCGTGGTCGACGGCGGATTTGCGGCAGTGCTTTTTCTCATCGTCCACGAACCACGAGGGCAGCGCCGAGTCGGGCTCGTTGAAGGCTTCGCTAAAAAAAACAAAACGACAAAATTACCATACACCCCCATCCAAAACAACCAAATAATAATTTTCTTAAATATTAATTCAATAATTATTATTTCAATAACTATAAAAAATAATAATAACAATGCAAAGAGCGAATAGTAATTCAATAAAACAGCTACAGTAGAAACAACCTGACAGCTAGAAAAAACCATACTGTACACAATCAGCGATAATATTTCATTATTCGCATCTTGACTGCCTATTATTTTATACCCTTTTTAAAAGACGTTTTACGAATATTAAATGCCACTCAAGCACATATTAAAAAAATCAGATTTTGAACAACGCTCTATAGCATGAAATCAGACAAGATAGCAAACGCAAACGGCCACAAACCCCATACACTACGATTCTATGACGCAACCTTCACTGCGGGATGCGCGGCGTCTGGACCGCAACTTAAAAACCTCTCCTTCATCACCATAAATTGTACTTCGAAGCGGATCAAATCTTTGTCCTATTATCGAACTATTAAACTGATATTCTTATCAGATTGAAATATTAATTTATCATATCAAATTCTAAACTTAAAACAATCAAGAGTAACAATTATCGAGTTTTGTTATTTCTAAGACCAAAGTACGGTTACGATTTCCGTCAACGTGATTTACCGATGAAACCCGGCCTCGATAATCTCCCGCTTCCTCTTCCGGGACTTGATCAGCTCCTCGGCCAGGGCAAACCCCTCGGGATCCAGCTTGACCACCGGTTTCTCCTCCACTTCCTCGTCCTTCTCCTGAATCACCTCAAACTCCATCTCCTCCTCACTGTCACTCTCCTCCTCCATCCTCTCCGCCTTCTCTTCCTTGGACGCCGTCCGGCCTTCCCAATCCACACCCCGGAAGATCTCCTTATCAAACCACTCCTCCATCATGCGCTCCTTCCGGGAGGCCCGTGTCTCCCGCTCCACCAACAGCGGATTCTCCTCACCATCGCTGTTATCGTCGGAGACATCATCGGCGAGTTCCTCCGCTTCCGGAACGACCTTCTCCAAACCCTTCTTGGAGTGGATGGTGTCCAGGGCGAAGAGGGACTGTTCCGTGCCGTCCTCCGGCAGGAGACTGTCACCCGGGATGACCATTTTGAGGTTCATGCGTTCCTGCAGCTGGCGGCGGAGTTTGTTGATCTTCTTGCGTTTACGCCGGGCTTCCAGGCGTTCCTCCTCGGCCAGCGCGTCAATCTGCTTCTGGATGGCGGTCTCTTCGTCGTCTTCGGGCGGCTGGATGGTTATCGCGGCGGTTTCGGCGGGGGCTGACTTGGCGGCCGCTGTACAAGAGGCACAATTCGTCAAGCAATTTCGGCTGAGTTACTCACCAATATTCTGCCATTAAAAAAATTCGTAATACCCAGTAATTACCAAAATATTCAATCAGTAAAAAATGCCCGCATATACTCTGTACCAATAATTAACACGAAAGAGCACGTGCGCTTAATCAAAAATCTTTAGACTAAAGTTAGAATATTGCTGTTACTGAATAAACCAAATACGCACAACCATACTATAACCTGCTGATAATATAATATGTAAAAAATTTTGGGAAAGTCTGTAATACAATATATATAACCCTCTGTACTGCTAATTTACGCCCGCGTACAGAATTCAAATTGTAAAAAAATAGCAAAAAAAATAACAAAACAGAAGAGTTTCAATAAGTTCATAGCTGTTTATAGCTTTTCCTTTTTGATACTCACAGAAAAGAAAGGACTTAAACAGTATTCTCAAAATATTCATGCATAAAAAATTACCGACACATCACTCGTACCTTCTTTAGCCGCTTTCTCTTTCTGTCGTCGGAGTTTATTCCGCCAGGCCATGATAATCTTCAGCTCGCGTCGACCGAGCACTTTGATATCCTGGCAGCCGAGAATGACTTCTTCCGTCGTCGCCGGATTTTTCTTCAGCTCATCGTCGATGACGATCTCGTGGCAGGCTGACAGCAGCTCCTTGCTGCGATCGTCATCGGCATCGATGTAATCCTGCGCGCGTAAGCGCTCCAATAGCAGCATCTTCCCGTCGCCGTAGCCTTCCGCGGACTTCTTCTTCCTCTCCGGATGCATCAGCAGACTGAGTTTGGCCGCACCGGTCATACGTTTCCCGCTGACCGGGTCGACTTCTCCCTCCTGAAAAAGCAAGAGATCACCGGAAATAAAAACATGCACACAAAAAAGTAGGCGGAATAACAGCAAACCATAATATTAACGTCCAAAGGTTCGAAAGTCGACAACAATCTTAAATTAAGCCCATAAAAAAACAATCCTCGCACGAGTACGGGAAACTGTATTCCTTCGTGTGATATTTATCAGCGAAAACGTCATCGCGAATTACTAGATTAAGCTTTTGTGCCGCTGTACTACAATTCACTATAACATCAGCCTTCATGATGCGTAAACTATTTTGTCAGCACAAAAATCAAAGAAATTAAAAGAAACAAAATTATTTAACTGATCCAATACTACATAAAAAAATATGCACAGCCGTTAACTATGACGTTCAGACATTGCAGAATTCGCAAAGAAAAACTGTGACATACAGAAAAGCAACAAAATCGCAAAAATATTTACAAGCAAAAATAAAGTAATAAATTAAAATAATATATGTATTTGTATAAGACTAAAAGTACACTCAGAGAATTTATTAGAAAATATTACGAACTGAAAGCCAAAAGCAAAATCTGTAGCGAAAGACATAGTGCGTACGTAAACAGAAATACAAAATACTGGAATAAATTTGAAATAAACTATGAGCAGAAATATAAATTATTGTATTTTATACCAGAAATAAACTGTCCTTCCATTATAAAGTCATTTTCAAAACCAAAGTGTAAAAATAAAATAAAGATACTCATTCGCTACAATGGATGAGAATCCACGCATACCTCCAGCTGGCCGTCGACATCCTGGAAGACGGATTTGGGATCCAGCAGGCGGGGATCAATCTTATCCGGAGCCAGATAGCCGCTGCACACCACAAAGATCTCAGCGGATTCGTTGCGGGAGGCCGGCGGTTTGGTGGCGACCACTTTGCGGAAGAACTGCTTGAAGACCCACAGCAGGGCGTGGTAGTCCTTGGAGCGGAAGACCTTGGTGATGAACCAGCCGCCCTTGGCCAGACAGTCGCTGGCCAGTTTGAAGGCCGACAGCGTCAGGCGGGCCTGCGCGAAGGCGTCGTGCAGCCAGTTCTTGCCCACGTTGGGGGCGCCGTCGTGCAGCACCACGTCGGCCTTCCACGTCTTCAGCTCGTGGCGAATTTTCTGCAAAAAAATTACGGCAAAAAATTGATACGCAGTCTATGTGGTGTATTCCATGGTTTATATGAATAGAAAATGGCGAGATCATATAGTTCAGATTTTAGAAGAAAAGCTGACGTGTGATTTGCTACTTATGTTCATACAGATTATAGGATATACAGTACCAACATAAAAAGTTTCTTGAAATTATTACCTATACTATTAAAATTAATGCTGATAAAAATGTAATAAAAAACAACAACAGTAAACAATATTTTTGGGAAGCAATGGTTCATACACATTTAAATCGTTGAGAAAAATTTATTAACATCTAGCTCCAGATAAAACGATACTTGTAAGTTGTAACAAACGAACGCGTTCCGCAACGATTACTAACATGTTCTACAGGTACCTATCATCAATGTTAGTTGACACTTTTTACATTTATTTTTAATCATTTTCATTTTTTTCATTTTCATTGATACTTTTTTCATATCTTTGGCTAAATCGGATTAGGAAACAGAAAACTGAAGAAAAACACTCATCTAAAACAGCTCAAAAAGACAAACAACACATACCAGACTCCAAAATATCGTTCATTTACAAAAAAATATAAAATTCAAACAAATGAAAGTAGGGCACATTTCCTATGTGTCTCCTGATCTAAAAATATTCAAATTCTTTAAAAACGGAAGGAAAAACTCTTACTTCAGGGAAATTGGGAAACACAATAAAAAGTTATAAAAATCTCTCAAACTGACGCTACACGATCCACCTAGCTCACTACAAAACTCCCAGCGTGCGCCCTACCTGTTTGCAGTGCTCTGTCGTGATATCATCCGTGAAGGTGATGACATTGGGCAGTGGTTTGATGGGGACCAAGTCGACACCTGCAACACAGCACCGGGGACCTCAGACAGGGTTCTCCGCACTACAGCGCCACGGCGTCGCTGCGCCGTTCGCCGCCACTGAGCATAAACGCAAGATTACCGACGATTATACTGGACACGGGCATAAACTGGCGGGCCACTTGCAGCCAGCCACCGGGAGCCGCGCACAGGTCGATGAGAACACGGGATTTCTGCAGGAATTCATAGCTGCGATTCAGCTGGATCAGTTTGAAGGCCGCACGCGACCGATAGCCTGTCTCCTTGGCCAGATGGTAGAATTTATCCTTACGGGCTTTTCCCACTTTCGTTTTCTTACCCATTTTCGAACGAAATTTAGACGTATACTTTTTATACAATACTTTTTCAACAGAAAACGTAAAACTAAATTGCAGGGAAACTGAAATTCCAAAATGAACACTGATGTTAGGCAATCAGCGATGAGCGGAAATAGGCATTTCCAGACGACCACTAAACTGCCGCCTGTGAGAGGTCGACTTTGCGGCATACGTACAAGCACTCTGCCCATTGACAGCTGGTTTCCACCGGACGTAAAATTAATATTCTCAGATTTCGGTAACAAAATGGCAGAAATTACTGGATTTACATTTTTATTGATAAAGAAAATAGTCTTCTGAATATAAATATATGTGGTCGGAATAGATGTATAATCTTCTGCAAACTGCTGTACGACTTGTACAACCTTCAGTTTTGTTCTGTCTCTGCTTCTACATACGTACTATATGCTGTTGATAGTTAAAAATAATATTAAACAATCAAAACAAACGCATGTATTTTATTGTGTATTTGGTTTCGTGTATTTTACAGTATATAATGTACGTTGTAAGAAAAGTGCCGTTTCGAATTTTGACCGGCAGAATGCAATTTGCGCAGATTATTATAAAAAAATGTAAGCCTTATCAAAAGATATATTGTACATAGATTGTTAACTGGGCGTTGTATTGTAGTATATGTACAGTCAGTACAGATACGTGGAAGATGGTTCAAAGTGACGTGCTGTGATTACTACCCGTAGGACTGGAAAACAGGAAATTACGAGAAACCTCGGTGCGTCTTGCATGCATATTACAATAATTGTTTTGGTAATTCCACGGCTTCTTTTCATTGTAACTTGTGACAGTTGTCACACTACTACCGTACTTAAAACGTTTTTGGCACTGGAGCTACGATAAGTATTATTCAGACGTTTTTTTGATATAAAGTACTGTATTTTTATCGTTAGTGAAATTATGAAAGTAAGTAAGTATTGTAGAACTGCTGTACAGCAGTTCTACAATACAAAAAAATACAATACGTATTGTATAAAAATACAATACGTGTTGTATTTTTATATGCTTTTTACTTCGGTCGGAGGCGCACGACAGGAAGCAGTAACGTACAATTACAGAAATCGCAAAATACGCAGTAATACTGCCACATTTTCTTTCAAGCTCTTCCGCCAGGCATAAAATTTATTAGTAGCCATAGGATATTAAGCCACGCGTGCCTGTTTTCGTCGTCGACTTCATGCAATTAAATACCGCATATTCCTCTCAGCATAATAACTATACTTGCGCCAAAAGTTGTATTCTACTGCAGAAGTAAAAATTTCGTGGAAATCGCAACTCAGATTAAGTTGGCTGTACAACTGTTTAACTGAGTATATGGTGTTTACATATTTTGAATAGCAAGTGATTTGATTTGTAAATCGCTATAGTTAGCTATAGAGGATTTATAAATCACTATAGTCAGTTAATTTGATTTTCTGAATATTGTCAGCAGCGCTTAAAAATTGAATTGTGAATACCATGGGTCAAATTTATCATACAAATTGAAAATCTATTGATCACGTCTCAATTTGGGTTGCGAATGTCGTCGCTACTTTCGTCCATCACAAAATGTGTTAAATTTATTTATGCACCTCGATCGTGCATGAAATATTTCTCCGGTTTTTCCCGCGCATCCGTTTCCCTTTTATCAGCCGGCTGCTGTTCGGATCGATACATCCGACTGCATAAGTATTTATAATTTTATACCCATTTCGTAATTGTAAGCCATTGACGGCGCCGGCAGTTATTGCAGCTAATATTGCACTTAATCCCGCTTTAAGCGCCTGTGCCATGCCGCAGATATAATAATTGTGTAGTAATCCATTACCTTAGTCGATCAGGGATAATGTATTTCGACAATCGTAGTCATTCCCACTTTGATCGTTTAGTAGTTGTAGCAGGTGTGCTAGTAAACATTCCGCATATTTACAACATAACATGCGCGCAATAACGCCTTTGCAACCATGGTGCGTACATTTCAGCACCGCTCGTTTATGTGTATTTCTACGCTTATCCAGAGCAGCAGCATGATTTCGCCAAAAGGCAGAAATCACTTATTCTGCATCACATGTAATGGGAACTTTTTAACGGTGACTTGCATAATTTATGCGGTTCTCCCGGATATTCTGCCCGTTTGCCGCTTAATCGGTACTTTTCAGGGTCTGTTAAACTACAACAAACACAGCATGCAAGCGTCATTCCGTAAGTGCCGCTGGGTCTGTTTATTTTGCGTGTACCGTGGATATAAAGCGGGTATTAAACGGGAGTATTTCCTGGAAGAGGAGTGCAGTGTCATTTGATTAATATTATGCTCGGCCTGTGCGGCCTCTCTCCTGGTCGGATTAACAGGATAAAAGTGCACTCGGCGCGTTACAATCGGTCCCCCTTGGCCCGGCCACTTCATTCTCGTTTTGCCGTACATGTACACCGGTACACGTCGCATGTTGACTCACGCGCAACAGGATCTTACGGCGCACTTAGCCCGCGCCAACAATGCTTGATTATTTGTGTACCGAAAAAATTTCCTCCCATTCCCCCGGACACGTTCAGGGCCGCGCGACCGTGGGATCGTATTACCGCGCTGCAGCGCCGGGGAGAGTGTTAAACGCGATGTGCCGCCTACGGATCAGCGGCCGCGAGCATTCTCACTTGTGCGGCCGATTTATTGTTGATCATTTAGAATAGGAAAAATGCTCCTGCTCCCGGTGTTCTTCTTAAGCCAGGTGGGCAGTATGGTGCAGGGCATCCATCTGGAGATGATCAGCCTGCTGCCGCGGTCCATCCCTGTCGGGCCGGCACTGCCCTGGACGGAGCCGGCACTGCGCCTGGCCGCTGAGATGGTCAATCGCACCTATGCGCCGCATATCACCATGTCACTGAAACTGATTTACAATATGTCGCATAAGATCTGCGAGGATGCCGATGCCGATAATCCCGGATTACTTGGACAGTATTATTACAGTCAGGCAGAGGCGCTGGAGCAACGCGCTGATGTGTGTTTGGCCGTGGTGGGATCCAGTAAGTCATAATGCGCTTAATAATCCATCACGGTAGAGGAGTATGTGTCAGTTATGTCCTGGATTCGTGACGTCATAAATCAGTTTAGCAGCGATTATAAAGCAGGTGTTAGCAGGTGTTCAAGCGGATGTACTACGTAAACATATTGGTGGTTGGCACTTATCTTTTTTGTATTTGAACAGATTTACACTGCGCACACTATAATATTATTTTTTCTATGCTGACTTACGCAGGTGCGTTTAAGTGTGCTAAGTATAACATACTGTTTAATACAGGCAACTTGTAAAAGCTGACCGATTGTTTTTTGCAGCGTAAGATAATCGGTTAAAAGTATAATATTTTTTGCAGTTTGCGGTGGGCTTAACGAAGCGGCCAATTTAGCCCGAGGTACATACTTAAGATGCACTCGAAATATTTTATTGCTGTAGTATTCAAAATGTCTCTGTTGTAGAATGGAACATACTGGCCTTTTCCGAGTAAGGATCAAACCGGAAGATTTTGAAACTCGATTACCCATGCGGATAATGCGAGTAGTAATAGGTGTTTTTGCGCATAAAATTTCGTCATAACGCGCTGAAGGGTCCTAACCGTTCGAGACACGTTTGTAATTACATATTTGACCGCCCCCGTAAAGACAGTCCAAGTATCTAATATGATCCGATCAGTTATATAACCTTTTGTCGCGTTACACAGTGGTCTGGTCCGCCGCGATGCCTTCAACAATCAGCGCCTGCCCACGGCAGTATCGTTGGGCGGGGCGGTCGACAGCTTCGCCATGGTGCTGATGAATATCCTGGAGCAGAACGGCTGGCTGCACGTGTCCATCCTGACGGACATCGGTCCCGGACCGGGATTCTTCTACGGTCTGCTCAGCAACGCCATGATGAAGATGTCCGTGGCGTCCTCCACCATGTACGCCTTTGAGCCGACCAATTTCAATGGGTCTAATCTGGATACGGTTCTGCCCATGCTCTTACATGCCAAAAGCCGCAGTCGGGGTGTGTACTGTGTACAGGATGTTGCAGAGGTCATTGCGCGGAGTTTAATTTGTGTGTTCGGATGTTTGTTTGTAGTGATATTTCTCCTGACATTCACCTACAGAGCACAGAAGATACTGGTGAGTCTATTTTTATACTATGTCAACTGGGCGTCTGAAACTTTTGATTGACATTTCCCTTCATGATAGCTTGGCTATCATGAAGGGAAATGCCGCAGCAGTTTTGGGCACTTTGCCAGGAAGGAATAAGATTGTTAATGGAGAGTTCGGTTGTTTTTTTCAATCTTAATACTACAGTGTGTACGTAGTGTTGTTGACCTACTGTGAATGTATGACGCTGTAAAACAAAATAAAATCACTAAATTTGATTGACATGACGGAAAGCGTTTTCTTGTCGCGGTATTAAAGGAAAGCGCAAATGTAAGCGGTGGTTCCGCGAATATAAGTTCTCTTATTTCCAGGAAATCGCCCGTAGTGAAAATATGACCAATGCGGAATATGTAAGAAACCCGATCAAATTTCTCGTTGTTTTGGGGAAAGAACGCTGTTTTTTACAGGTGTATTTTATCGTTCAACCATTGGAACAAGATTTGTACGGGCGAGTTTCGTTGTTCACTAACGCGTCGGACGAGGTCAGTGATACTAACTGGGTATGCATGGCCAATAAAGCGTTTCACGGCATTGTGGATATGGTTATCACAGATGACTGGCGCGTATTCCCGGGTTGTTTACGTCACGGTTCACAAAACTGGCGACGATGTGGCGGTACTGAATCGTCAACTGGCGGCACGCACCCCGCCGGATCGTCGAACTGGAAAACCGCTTTATGATAACGATACTCAGGTAATTTTCGGATCTACGTGAATGTATATGGTACATTCTGGAAAGTCTTACTTTATTCAGTGTTAAATTTACATAGGCAAGTCCCGTAAAGTGTACAGGTATCGACTGAAAACTTTGTTTTGTGCAGCCCTTAGATAACTTCAGCGTACGGGCAACATATGACAGCATCGAGCTCTTCGCCAAACTGATGAATGAAACCCAGCATGCAGATCCGCAGGCCAATCGTTGTAACGGTAGCTTGCTGGCCATGAGGATGTCGAATCGCAGTTTTAATCTGCAGACCGGCGAATCCTACATTACGACCGATGGTACACGCAATTTGGATTTGGATATCTATGGATACGATTTGATAGCGAGCGTTATGAAGGTGAGCCTGGAGTTTGTCATTTTGCCGTTTACATGTTCTTGACCGGAGAAATTTATACAGCCGCTGATGTGGTACGACTCCGTGGCCAATACGCTGGTCAGAAAGCCGATTTTTCGAAAGGACAACGGTGGGCATTTTCAGTCGCCGCTGATCTATCCTCCGCGGGATGAACCAGTTTGTGGGTACAATGGTCATCTGGGACCATGCGCTGGAGGTAAGCGTAATTCAGTAGGAGAATGTGTTTTTAAATTTACGAACTTAATACAAGCTTTTACGAACATAATATTTGCGAGATAATTTTAACACACATAAAATATGAGGCGAGAAGGGCAAAGCTTCGATTATTTTGTACTTTATGCTTAAGCTGTATGGGACTCTCGAATGAAGGTTAAATTATAAGCAAGATATGTCTATCGGCAAAGCAAGTACAGTATCTACAGATTAAAGAAACACTACAGCAATAAAAATCTTGTTATTCGTTTACAGGTATTCCCATTCTCGTCATTATTCTCCCGGTTGTTGGAGCCGTTGTGCTTTTCGGCTTCTTAAGCATGTTCATTGCACGGTAAATATCGAGATGAAACAGTATGACAAGAAACGCAAAGAATTCTGGGTGCGCCCGTACAAGAGAAAATTTACAGACGCTTAAAACGCGCCGGCAGCCGTAACGACAAATGGTGGCTGATTTCTTCTGACGATCTCCACATCCAAATCAAACACCCATCCAAACAATCAGCCAAAGCGGAATTGAAAGACAAAACCGTATGGATCAAGCCCGTCAGCATCCCGCTCAACTTCAATATTGACTCAATGTTGGGCTTTCCGGTGCTGCAGCAGGTACGTGACTGCGGCCGCACGCTGTGTGTTTGTTTTTAACACCGACTTTTCTCTAAACCTCTTCCAGTTACGCGGAATCCATCACCCCAACATCAACACTTTCCTGGGCATCTGCTTCCATCCACAGAAAGCCACAGCGTATCTGGTCAGTGAGCACTGCCCACGTGGCAGTCTCCTGGAGCTACAGAAACACATGACCCTCGACTGGGATTTCTCTTTCTCCCTCATGCGCAACCTGATCGAGGTATTTGACAACATCCGTGCTCAGCACTTTCTCTGTTGATCCATCGTCAACACACAAGCACGACATTTTGAACGAGAAACACGAGAAACGGTAACCGTTCTTTTCCAGGGATTACTGTACATCCACCATTCTACCGTTCGGTATCACGGGAATCTGGACATCCATAAATGCCTAATCGATGGCCGATTCAGCCTAAAGATTGGCGCTTTGCGATACGATGCCATCGGTAATTCTCTCAACAAGGATCCCAAAGGCAATTCGCTGAAGGAGCGCCAGGCACACACCACGGGCATGAAGAGGAAATCCGTGGTGGAGAGCGGACAGCGTGACGATATCCACGTGTTCGGTACGATCGCCCTGGAACTGTTAGGGTCAGTGGCGACTGAGGTCATTCGAAAGAACCCGAAGTACAGCAAACTGGATGTCTTCCTAAAAGAGTGTGTGGGTGATACCGGCAAACAGAAGCCAACCATGCGGATGGTGGATAAAGCGTTTAATGAGTATTCGCGGTCCAGCGCTCAGGATGTGGTGCAGCTAGTTATGCGCCGGGTGGAGAAATACACGGAGGTGCTGGAAGAAGCCGTGGCCGAGAAAACCAAGGAGCTTATAAACGAGCAGCATAAAGCGGATTTACTGCTGCGCGAAATGCTTCCTCCGTAAGTCTTTATTTAGACTTTAAGGGTGGTACTGATACTGTAAATAAGAATACTTTTGATATTTCTCCACAACCGGCCACATGGCTTCGATATTTCTTTTTGAATATTTGGTCACCTAGCTCCCGTTCGGTTGCGCAACAGTGGAGTGCTGTAAAACTGGTTTAGACTAAAGGTATTTCACCACCTGGGAGCCGGTGACCAGTTGTTCAAATTGTAGCATTTACAGTAAATGTATCTAAAAGTGACCGGTTGTTGAGAAATGCCGCAGTTAGAGTGACAGTATGTAGTAGACAGCTTTATCGATTCAAATAGATGCAGACGGTTTTATCGATTATGGATAAAAGAAACAAACAATGAAGCTGTACTTGGTAACGCATCGCAATGCTGATTTCTTTAATATTTTTTTCAAACATTAACATGAAACCTGTATCGATTATAAAGCGTCTTTAAAGTTATGCACAATAAACTGGATTATGAATTTCAGCGGAGTGCTGGTATTTGTTCGCATCCATTAAGAAAGCTAAAGGTGGTCTTCTTTCACTCGGTTAACGAATATCGTCTTTTACTTTTATTGCAAATTCCTCTTGGAATTAACCTGGTAATTAACTTATAAGAACAGAGGGCTGCAGATTTGCAATTAAAAGCATACAATATACCATCCCATTGTAAGGCATTACTAGCAGTGGTGTCCACTGCATTGTGTAGCCTAGCTGCATACGATATTTCAGTTCGTATATTCCCGTATTTAATTTGTTCACATATATCCAAAAGGTTTACAATGCAATAACTATTAAGTTTTGCATGGTTAAATAACCTGATTACTTGCTGCCCCTAGGGCTTTTGGGCTTTCTTAATTTTTTGTACATACTATGGAAAACCATTTGTTCTGTAACATACTGGCACTAATCTGGGGGTGTTTGTGAATTGCAGGTCCGTGGTAGACAAGCTTCGGAACAAAATTGTCATCGAACCGGAGTACTTCGAAGCGGTCACCATCTCCTTTAGCGATCTTCCAGGCTTCGTGGCCTGGGTGGCCACCGCCACGCCCTACGACGTCATTGAACTGCTCAACACTATTTACAGCATTTTCGATGAAGAGATCAGCAGTCATCACATGGTGCAGAAGATCGAGACCATTGGCGACTGCTACATGGTAATAATCACTGATTAAGGGACACTGTAATCGTTACGAGACTCGTAAAGGGTCGCGCTTGAAACTTAGTTAATAATAAAAGGTCAACCGCATTTGACAACAGTACGACCTCGTAAAGGCGGTGCTAATACGCACAATGTACATATTTTTTCTTTACAGGTAGCCAGCGGTGTACCCATTCGAATTGGCAACCAACACGCCGCAGCAGTTTGCCGTTTGGCGAAATCTTTGCACAAAGCCTTTAACAGCAGTAAACTGGCAGACAAGGGACTAATGCTGCGAGTCGGAGTCCACTCAGGTAAAGCGGTAGTCATATAATTTAATTAATCGCAATATTTTGTTGTTAATCTGTTCTATTTGGTTGTTTACAGATCACTGCGCCGCTAGCGTGATCGGCAGTAAAGTTCCACGATACTGTTTGTAAGCAAACCCTCTTCATGTTGCTTTCACGTGTTTCCAGTAAAAAATCCTTTATCGTTTTTTATAGATTTGGTGACGCAGTTAATACTGCCTCGCGAATGGAAAGTCACGGTGAAGGCGGCAAAGTGCACTTAAGCTACAAAACGCGGGCGTTTCTTACTGAGGGTGATGATCTGGTCTGTGAGAGGCGGGGCTTGATAACGGTCAAGGTGCGCGTGTTCTGTATTCAATTCATTCATATCGGAAGTCTTTATATTGATCGGGTTATAGGGCAAGGGAGAAATGGAAACTTTCTGGCTGGAGCTGTAGTTTCTAGAATGGATGGCTGGGTCGATGTTAATTTTGGTAGTGCCTCTTCCGTTATGTCAAGAGCAGTATTTTTGAACAAATCCTACGAAACAGATCTTTACGTCATTACTGGCTGATAAAGTCCGCACAGTAAAATGACATGTTTTTCTTGTAATTTTGAAGGTAACGCGAAAATGTGTATCCTATCAAGAATTTTGTAAAGGTAGTCTGGTGGTTATTTCAATAATTGTGTGATACATATACCCATATGCGTGGTAAAATTTAGCTGGGAAAGAGAACAAATGTTTCGCAACAGTATCTCATGGATGCGTTGCCGGCCAAGAATAACGTACGGTGCAAAAACTTGACAATTTAAGTCGATATCGACATGATACATTGTTGATGAATTGACGATTGTTTGGTGTGCGTAAATGTACAAGTGACGGCAAACACCAGACACAATAAAATCGATTTCACCTCTTATACCAGTATATACAGTACATCGTACAAATGCCTTTAATTTAATTGGGAAATGTGTTGTAGATGCATGTTATGCGGCTATTGGCGAGCAGGTGTTCAAACCCGTAAGAAATTAGGTAATGTTGCGAAACAAACATGTGCCTAGGCAGAAAAATGGGTGCACAGCAATTATTCTTACGTGATTCTTAGGCAGGTTTGGTTATTCGGGCTTATTATAAACAGTTCTGCGCTGCACAATTTGTTAAAAACTACCGCAGACGTATTTTCGCTTCGCTTGATCTGTATACTGTACGTATCTGTCAAATCATTAACAGCCAGCTTCCAGCAAGAGGTATTTCCGCAGTGAGTTTCGTAATGGAATCATCAATCATCGCACCATGTTGATTGAATTTTTACGGATGACTTTTTATCGACGTACCACCGTTGCAACAGTCATCTGTGCTTGATCTACCGCTAGTTGCAAAAATGCCGGTGATAATTTTGGTGTTCTTAAATTTCCTGGACACCGCGACCGGTATCCATCTGGAGATGATTAGCCTGCTACCGCGTTCCATCCCCGTTGGGCCGGCACTGCCCTGGACGGAACCGGCCTTGTTCTTGGCCGCCGAGATGGTCAATCGCACCTATGCACCACATATCACCATGTCAGTCAAACTTATCTTCAACATGTCCCATAAAATATGCGAGGATGCTGATGCCGATAATCCCGGATTACTCGGACAGTATTATTACACTCAAGACCATAAGCAGTACAAGAGAGACGGGTGCTTGGCTGTGATGGGTTTGAGTAAGTTGCCAAATGCGCTGTTTGTCCAAAAATTATGAGACCGCTTTGTATTGTATTTGCGGCGTATTGCATATCGGCGCTATTCAGCGCATTGTGCGTGGGCATGCTATAAAGCTGCTTTAATAAGTTTCCTACGTTGGCAATTTAAAGTAAGACATTGTTCTTATTTTACCGGTATATTAAGGCTGTAAAATGTCTACAAGCTCAAAATATCGCGAACCCTTTACAGAATCCTGGCGATGTCATATGAATTGATCATGAATATGTACGAGTACTTCAACTTCAAAATTTAATGGATGTCTTTGTAGCGTGTATAGATAGCATCATGTTATATACAATTATCATAATATTAAAATTTAAGAAGGATATGATTCATCTGTAGGCGATGGTTAACGTTGGCTTTTGGTCAGTTTAATTGATTTGTGGTCACTTTAATTGATTTGAATTGATCTGCAGCTTGCGGAGGTCTTAATGAAGCAGCCAACTTAGCACGAGGTAAATGTCTAATAAGCGACCTAGTCTTAAAGTATAATATGTGCAATCAGTCTAATCTGTTCGTGCTTCAGAATGGAATATCTTGGCGTTTTCCAAGTAAGTTCCACGCCTAAAGGGAAAGGTTTCGAGACTTTATAAGTCCAAATTGCATTTTCGAATTGATCTTGAGAAAGACATGCGCAGGTGATAACAAATATGGGTTATTCAGGGATGAAATCGTTGTTGGTGGCCAGTTTAATTGAACCGCCAAACCAGAAATATCCATTTTTATGTAATTATTGCACCTGCGTTAATATTTTACTTTTTATGAACGAATCATTGATAATAGAACGAATCATTGATATTATTAATAATAGTGGACTGGTGCGCCGCGACGCCTTCAACAATCAACGGCAACCAACAGCCGTCTCACTGGGTGGGGTATCGACAGCTACGCCTTGGTACTGATGAACATTCTGGAGCAATACGGCTGGCTGCACGCCTCCATACTGGCGGATATCGGACCCGGCCCAGCGTTCTTTTATGGACTTCTTAGCGATGCTCTGACGAAAATGTCCAAGGCTTTCCGTAAAAAAATGTATGCAATTGAGCCGACGAACTTTGACGGTTCGGATGTACAGTCTGTCGGTGCATTGCTCATTCGTGCCAAATCTCGCAGTCGTGGTAAGTTAGCGTGCTGTAGAATATAGATATGTAGTATACAATTTACAGTATACTGTACCTTGATGTAGAATAAGATATTGTATTGCAGTTATATTTCTTCTGACCTTTACGGCAAAAGCGCAAAAAATCTTAGTGAGTGATGTGCTTATCAGTTTTAATTTGTGACGTACTTGCCAAATAGTTTTTCGCAGGAAATCGCCCACAAGGAGAACATGACGACCTCCGACTACGTAAGAGTAATCGCCCACGACCAGGTTTTAAAAACCAAGGTGGAAAAATCATTAATACTTCTTTAATTAATCAACAGGTGTACTTCATTGTCCAGCCACTGGAGCAAGACCAATATGGACGTGTTACGCTGTTCTCTTCAGCTTCAGAAGAGGTGCCGTCTTTCAAGCTTCTCTATCAGCCATCGGGGTAAAAATGGATTATTTTTGGACTGGGCTATGTGAACTGTTTATTTCAGATGTCCGAAACTTATTCTCGGGTTATTTACGTAACGGCACATAAATCTGGGGAGGCTGTCGCTGCATTAAATTGGCAACTCGCCGCACGAACACCTCCAGACCGTCGAACCGGAAAGCCTCTTTATAATGCCGAAAGCCAGGTTGGTTTATAAACAAACAATTGTTGATGCAAATATACAACGAGTCTTGTGTCGAACAGCCACTGGATAACTTCAGCGTGCGAGCAGCTTACGACAGTATCGAGCTCTTCGCCAAACTCGTCAACGAAATCCAGCATGTGCATCCGCACTCTGACCTCTGTAGTGGAAGCGTTTTAGCCAGGAGGATGTCGAATCGCAGTTTTCTTTTGCAAACCGGAGAAATGTTTATTACCAGTGATGGCACCCGCAATTTGGATTTGGATATTTATGGATATAATTTAACCGCTAAATCTATGAAGGTGACTAGCGTATTCTGCGGCAAGGGTTTATCCTTTCTTATGACCTCTGCCTTTGTTAGCCTTTAATGTGGTACAACTCAGTAAAGAATACCCTGGAAACGTACTCGGCTTTCGACAAGAGCGATGGAGGATTGTCTAGCTCCCCGCTCCTTCAACCACCGCGAGATGAACCGGAGTGTGGTTATAACGGAAAACTTGGGCCTTGTGCTAGAGGTACTTTACGGTAAAATTAATTTAATTAATTAATCGGCGGTATGACGAGAATTAATTGTGCAATAAATTCTGATCTGTGAAATCTACATAATCAACTTACCATAATGCCGATTACCAGAGGAGCAGCAACAAAGTTTTATAGCGTTGATTACAAATTCTTTTGTTAAGCCGGCTCCATCGTTAATAAAATGAGCGTATTGGCTTGGAATGTACAGGTTCATCGCTACCGACTATCATTGCGCCAGTAATAGGAGCAATCGTACTTTTTGCCGCTGCCAGCATTCTCGTCGTATTGTGAGTCATGATCTTTCTACTAACTGCAATATCTTGTGCAGAAATACAGTACTCGTAGTTATGCTTTCTTCATCATTGTACTTGTAGAGAGATAAAGATCCCCTAAAAATTATTACACAAATTACTGACATACTTGTACTAGCCTCGTATCTGCTGCATGAGGCTTAAACAAGTGATGAACGCGAGCGATAAATGGTGGCTCATTCCAGCAGGCGATTTGAGCATTCCAAAACAATCATGTTCGGTGTCGTCGTGCAAAGCAGAAGTCAAAGAAAAATCCGTTTGGATCATAAAGGTCGGTGTTAGTGCCGATTTCGCTGTTGATTCCTTGTTGGAGCTGGATGTGTTACGCCAAGTAAGCAAGATTCGGTACCCCAAAATCAGCGGGCGCGGTGATATTTCGGGCGGTTTGCAGCCAGCAAGGCGATAATCAAAGTTGATGGTGACCGGTACAAAAAAATAAAATTTATAGAAAGCATAGAATAGAATAACGAAAATGGCAGAGTAATCAGTTATTCTCACTACTCAGTTATCCCCTGCACTATCATGCACAGACACCCTTTGCATGCAAGTCATGCAAAGACAAACTTCCAGTCGGTCTCTGGCTGGCCGTACACCAAACAAAAATGTATCGGTAAAGCGGCAAACATTTATCAATAATGATCTGATCAAATTATTGTAGTTACGTGGAGTTCATCATCCTCATATCAACACTTTCGTCGGTATCTGCTGGCAGCAGCGGACCAGTAGCGTTTATTTGGCCAGCGAGCACTGTGCTCGAGGTTCTCTGCCAGACTTACAAAAACACACGACTTTGGATGGCGATTTCGTGCTTTCCCTTCTGCGAAACTTAACGGAGGTGAGCCTACTAGCCTTCAGGATGCCATTAAAGGATGCCATTAAATTTTAAAGGATGTTATTCTGAATTGCGATTTCTTGCCATTGAAAGTGGGCAGTTCTGCGTGCTAACCTGCTGCTAAAAATCAAAATAATGCCAATTAATACAGAGGTACTGTTACGAAATAGATGATAGCATAAAATTAATCTATTTTTATCAGGGTCTCCTGTATATCCATAATTCGACCTTTCGCTATCACGGTAACCTGGACATCCACAAATGTCTAATCGACGGCCGTTTCAGTCTAAAGATTGGTTCGCTGCGGTACGACGCACTTATCAGCTTCATAAAAAGAGACCACAAAGGAAGTCCGCTAAAGCACCGACCAGCATCGAATTCGAAACTCACAACTGAAATTGGTCAAAAAGATGATGTTAGTGCTTGGGGCGCTATAGCACTCAATTTATCATCACAAGGGCTAACGGAAATAAATGGCTCCGAATTTTCCCGCTTCCATGAATTTCTAAAGCGATGCTTCGATGAAAGCGTCACACGGCAACCTACCATGCGAAGTATTAACAAAGCGCTTTATGAGTATTGGCCAGCCAGTGCGCGGGATGTGATGGAGCTGGTAATGCAGCGTGTTGAGAAGTATACGGCCGTACTGGAAGACGCTGTAGCCGAAAAGACCAAGGAGCTGCTGACTGAGCAGCGGAGAGCCGATACACTGCTACGGGAAATGCTTCCGTCGTAAGTTTCATTATGTTTTTATCGCAATTAACTGATAACGGTATAAACACTACTAGAACGCGTTAAGGGACGTGACCCTGATACTTCACACCGACCGCGTTTATGTACATGCACGCGAACTTTCATTATGCGCATCCCCAAACAGCTTTTTGCACCGTTTTATTGCATTCTGTAGCCAAATGGCTTGTATACACTGGCATGAAAATTGTTTGGGCGCGCAGCATCCGCTTGGGCAGTTATGAACGAAATGAAATCCCAAAAAGTTTGAACTGTGAAGGTGTATCAAAAGTCTCGTTATATCTGTATATAGGCCGATCTGCCTAAAATTTAGCATGTACATAAATGCACATTAGCATGAAAGACCGTTCCTGCACGGAACCACGAATCTAGCAGTTTTTTCTAATTTTAAAATAAATTTCAAAAATTATAAAATTTAATTTAAGTTTTGAAGAAAATAGAGAGAGACAGCAATTGTTTTCGCCCATGAACCGGTATTTGGTGCTATGCTAGTGTGCACCTATTCTGGTCACTTCCCTTAACCGTAAGAGAGTATCTACAAACTAACGAAACTGCAATTTATATAGATCTATAGTGGACAAGCTTCGAAACAAGGTTATTATCGAGCCGGAATACTTTGAAGCTGTGACCATTTCGTTCAGCGACCTTCCGGGTTTTGTGACCTGGGTTGTCACAGGAACGCCTTATGATGTCATTGCGCTTCTAAACAGCATTTACAGCATCTTTGACGAAGAGATCAGTAGTCATACCTTGGTCCAGAAAATCGAGACCATCGGTGACTGCTATATGGTACGGGCATTTTGTATGCGTAAAAAACGCTGGACCTAGTCAACTATTTCGGTGTATGAAATTGGCATTCCCACTCCTTTTTTTAATTCCAAGAAAAAAAATTAAATTGTTATTTTACTTATTGGATAGTCGTTGGCAACAGCGTAGTTGTCTTACAGAAATATCTGGAATCAGTTTTAGCCCTGGGAATTATTATTTAATTCCATTATGCGAATTGTTGCGTTAATTAGGTGGCTAGCGGCGTACCCGTCCCAGTTGGAACCGAACATGCCGCGGCCGTATGCCGCCTGGCCAAAGCTTTACAGTCAGCGTTCAGTAGAAGCAAATTACCGGAGAAGGGACTTAGTTTGCGAGTGGGCATTCATTCCGGTAGGATGGCTCCTTTTCACACTGCCTATATTTTATGTATTCTGAGACAAATGAGAAAGTTATCCATTTTTGTAGATCATTGTGCAGCCAGTGTGATTGGGAGCAAAGTTCCAAGATACTGTTTGTAAGATAAAGTAATGCAGCTTTTCTGTTTGGGTGTCCGATAACCGTTCCTCGGCAGATTCGGTGATGCGGTAAACACGGCTTCCCGCATGGAAAGTCATGGTGAAGGTGGTAAAGTGCATCTGAGCTACAAAACGCGGGCTTTCTTAGACGGCACTGATTTGTCTTGTGAAAGGCGGGGCATGGTGGCGGTAAAGGTAAGCAATTTATTTAGGGCGAATTACCGGCCAAAAGATGACAAACAGGCATACCGTGATCTATTTTGTCGGTCGTGTCCTGGACAACACAGGCGTTACAGGAACGAATTAATGTTTGCACTGTGTGTGTTGCAGGGAAAGGGCGACATGGAGACATTTTGGTTGACGCTTTAGCAAAGGACTGTAAGTTCAGCTTAACCATCTGTATAAGCATTTTCTATAACTGATTGTAAGAAAAGAAAGTTCAGTTTTAAAAAATGTTGGTTACAGTATGGGAATAAGTAGCAGATGCTTCCTTTCATTCCAACCGACAAACACCGAAGCTGTGAGCAGTGAAATTGAAAGAAAAAATTCTTATATTCCAACTTCAATAATGGACCGTCGGCCGCTGCCACAGGGGAAAAAACAAGAAAAAAGTACAGAAAACGTACGCTCGACTGCACGTCTTGGTTAGCAGTTGTCAGTTTGTGACGGGAGTTCTTCAATCAGGAAATTCTGTAAGGCGTTATTGCATATTTTTAATCACTGAAGGTTTATGCTGAATCAGTAGGAAGCCTTACGACTAGTAACGTAATATATTTAAGTTTGATCTTTCGTCATGGCGTCTTACGGCTTTAGTCGGTGCAAATGTGCAGTACTATGGCCTAATGATTACTGTGACTGTTACCTGGATTTATGTATCAGTATTCTATCCAGTCTTATTAGTTTTCTTTCCGGGAAACTTTGCACACCTGTCATCCATTTTTACGCGAGCGGGTTTTGAAGATTTGCGTAAGATATTATATGAAAGCTGTCTGACCTATAAACTACACACTTTACGTTGCACATGTCTACGAGCCGCCATGGATCAAGAAAATAAAAAATATGATCCTAAAATTTGCATCGCCTCGATTTGATTTTATTCATCTGCACTTCGTTAACCAATCTCTTATCAACATAGCAGACGTTTGATGTAGAGATTATTGTAATTTATAAAATACTGCGCTGCATTTGCCATATATATTTGTATTTTTCTTTACTGCGGAATAAAAATCATTCGAATATTGAAGAGACACAAAAAACGCGAAATAGCATTGTCAAATGCAACCACACGCTGCAGCTCTAAGCGCCAGGGAGACACCGACACTGAAAGACACCTGTCCGTTAAGACAACGGAAGTGCAGCAGTTAGTCTGTGTCAGTTCTGCGTTGAAATGTTTGCTAACCAGTCAACAGTGCCAACAGTAGCCGGTAATAATCCTCGAATCGGTGGCAAAAACTATTTGTTGCATCAGAGTGCAGAGTGATTTGCCTAATCCTATACGAGTTGAATTTAAATTCGGCCAGTTTAAACAAACCAAAAAAAACGGGTTATGCCAGGTGCCGTTTCCCACGGACTATACCTTCGTATCCTGATTTGGACCCAACAATAAAAGGATTGACCAAATACGTTATGTGCAATTGCAGTTATGTCAGTGAATCTTTGCAATGTCGGTACGTAAAATATTTTTTGTCAGTCTGGTCAGTGTCACGGTGGGCATCCATCTGGAGATGATCAGCCTGTTGCCGCGTTCCATCCCCGTCGGCCCGGCACTACCCTGGACGGAGCCGGCTTTGCTTTTAGCCGCCGAGATGGTTAACCGCACCTATGCCCCGCATATCACCATGTCAGTCAAACTGATCTATAATATGACCCATAAAACGTGTGAAGACGCCGATGCCGACAATCCTGGATTACTTGGGGAGTATTACTACAGCCAGGATGATACAGATGCGCGGCATTCGCACAGTGGTACATGTTGGGCTGTAATCGGGTCAAGTAAGTTTATCCGAATCGCAAGATGCAAATGTAATCATAGACAGTAGATGCAAGCGAAAAAGATTATCCAGCGTCCATATCGCAGTTTTAGAGTGCAAATGGCATTACTATCGTATGAATCGCATCAAATATCGTCAAGCGTATTGTATTTAGTGTGCGGTTTTACTAATATCTGCAAACTTTGGAAAGCTGACTCTTTCTTACTGACTCGTTGACAGCTGCTCATTTTTATCTGTAGAATAATTTGCGCATACCATTTATATCGTAATTAACGTGGACTTTTAATTACCGTTAATCAGAACGTGGTTTGTTTACAACTTTTATCAAACGCTTGGCAGGCGAAATCTCTTTTTTTGGCGAACTTCCTTTGAATTCGTAATGACTGAAGTTTCGTAAACATCTGCAAAAATGTGCAATGTGTCGCGTTTTTCTGATATTTGTGGTCTGTACGGTACATGTAACAGTATATAAAATAACAAATTCTGCGTACGTTTTAGTGTGCGGCGGGTTTCTCGAAGCAGCAAATTTAGCAAGAGGTACAGTTATGTACTGGCTTTATCTATATACTATGTACAGTGCACGTAAGAGAAAGTTTTGACTTGCATGTAAAAACTTGGATATTTATGCATTCTGCAGAGTGGAATATTGTTGCCTTCTCCAAGTAAGTGGATATTGGATAATATGTATTAAAGCACAGCCATAGCGGCCATCTGTTGTTCTGTCAATACTAGTATGCGTTACATACCTGTACCGTCAATTTGGCAGCTAGTTTCCGGTGCGTCACAGGTCTGTGCAACCTGTAGACTGACAACATAACATCAAATCCATATTTATTAAACTATTCACACGGCATCTGACCTTCAACAACTGTTTATGGAACAGCGGGCTGCTCCGTGATGACGCCTTCAGTAATGAACACCAACCGACGGCAGTTTCACTGGGCGGGAATATCGACAGCTACGCCATGGTACTGATGAAAATTCTGGACCAGAACGGATGGCGGCACGTGTCGTTGTTAACCGATGCAAATACCGGTAACGGAGCTGGGTTCTACGGGCTGCTTAGCAATGCATTGATGAGAATGGCTATGGCTTCGTCTACTATGCACGCCTTCGAATCAACGAACTTCGATGGAAAGGATATGCAGTCCGTGCTACCTCTACTTGCACGTGCAAAGAGCCGTAGCCGAGGTACCGCGTACATAAAACTTAAATACAATAAAATATATACAGATATAAACAGATAGCCGCATAATTTTGTAGTTGGGCGGTCGGCAAAAGCTTGTTACGATCAAAAGTTAAAGATGTAGACATAATTTTTTTCCTTTACAGTGATTTTTCTTTTGACATTGACCGGGAGAGCGCTTAATGTCCTGGTAAGTTCCGGTTTGTACGCACACAAAAATTTTACGATGTAATAGCAAGCACATCATCGAATTACGGAAACAAAATTAATGAAGTGCATACATTTGTAATGGTCACCATCGTCCGTATGCACGTTGTACTCTGTACATTTGTTATTGCAGGATATTGCTCGAAATGAAAACATGACAAGCTCGGAATATGTGAGTTAACTTCCCTGTAAAACATTCAAACAATTCAATAGAAATGATAGTGTTGTGCTCCTTCTAGGTGTACTTCATTGTACAACCACTCGAGCAAGAGCAGTATGGAAGGGTGTCCCTTTTTTCCAACAGTCCCCAAAATGTACGACGGTCTATACTTTTACAGTAAATAACAACATTTTAGTAATTACGCGGTAACTGTTTTCATTGGAACGCGCTGTAACTATACAGTACACTATAGTTATGCGAAACATATACAGTGATATACGAATACAATACATGTAATTTCAAAGGAGAGAACAAGCGGCGTAGTTTGCTTTTCTACAGTAAACCCTAGATCAGATAGAATATCTGATCTAACGTAATAATCCAGCTGAAAATATCCATAGTAAGTCCTACTGGAAATGTAGCCCTTCCGTATTCTAGTATTATGAACTGCCGCTTTGACCCAAAACGTGCTTGTTCTTGAGAATTCTCCCGGAAAACATTTTTCTTAGCAGTATTAAGTAAGTAACATATTACGATACTATGGCTTAAATATTACAAGGACTTAATTTACAAGCAATTAAAATTGATGGTATTTATAAAATGCAAGGTTTGTTTATATAACCACCCATGCTTTTGGATCAGTTGGTCCAAAGCGAAGCCACGGGGCGATCATTGTACGTATCTGTATTTCTTCTGTTATGCAAAACCCGATCGAGGTGTGAATGTAAAAAGTACTTCGAATGAATGTGCCGCTAATTCGTTTTGTTAACAGTTTATCTAGATGTTTATCGTGGTAGGAGCATTTTGCTCAAAAGTATCTGCACTGCGGGAATTTATTGTCTGCAGATGAATAGCACCTATGCTCGCGTTACATACGTTACGACGCATAAAACTGATGACCTCGTGGCCAACCTGAATTACCAGCTGGCAACTCGAACCGACGCGGATCCGAAAACCGGGAAGCCATTATACGACAATGAATCTCAGGCGGGTACCATGATGCCTAAATATTGCTGTCCAGGGTTTGTCACTTTACCGTTTTTCTACCAAACAGCCACTGGAAAACTTCAGCGTGCGGGCTACATACGATAGCATCGAACTTTTCGCCAAGATTGTCAATGAAACCGTACAAGTTTCCCGCAGCATTAATTTCTGCAACGGGAGTCTTCTGGTCAAGATGATGTCCAATCGTAACTTCGATTTACAAACGGGAGAAACATTTATAAAGATGGACAGCACTCGCAACCTGGATTTAGATATTTATGGATACGATCAAATTGATGGCATTATGAGGGTATTTCGTTTTTTTCACCTACAATATCTTCGCAACGGCCTTTAAATTGTAATATACTGACAGCCGCTAATGTGGTACGATTCTGTGGACGGGATGCTAAAAAATTATTCAAGTTTTCGCAAAGACAATGAAGGTCGTTTCACGTCACCGTTGATATTCCCTCCGCCAGATGAACCGGAATGTGGATATAGCGGGCTTTCGGGACCGTGTGCTGAAGAAAAACGTTAGTATGCACAACGTATATCGCACAACGTTAGTATAACGTATATTTAATAATTTTATAACAACTACTGCAATATTAGCGGCGTTTTACTTATACATCCGTAAATCTTTAAAAAGACGTTTATGTTCTGCATGATGGACTAATCATGAAATTTGATATTCATAAAATTAAAATTTGCGTTTTACTAGCATTACTCGTCGCAGAAATATAATTGGTGGACCTTGTACGCCGCGTCCAATACAGTGTAACAGAATAAAAACAACAATAATTTATCGTGAATATATTTTGCAGATACACCAATACTCATGATAGTTCTGCCGTTGGCGCTAGCAACGATCATTCTGTTCGGAACTAGTATAATTATCGTACGGTATGTAACGCAATTCATCCCCAAAGTTTTGCAAAGTAATGCTTTCTAGCTTTTTTGCGCAAACGTAAAATAGAACGCACGTATAATAACTCTAAATAAGATACCGTCATAAAACAGGGTGAAGGGAAAAGGTGTTTAAAAGTGAAACAGCAAGTTTCAACAAGTGTGCTAAATTATACTGCGTAGGTGAATTCTGTACCATGCACAAGATCATACCCTCTTGGATAGAAGTATACATGTACAGTAGTAGGCATAACACTTATGTGTTATCTGATACCGTTATACAGTACTTATCTTCAAAAAATTTATGTTTACCGCGATTTTCATTGTATAGGAGACTGAAGAAATCTGCCATGAATAACGACAAGTGGTGGCTGATTCCAGCGGAAGCTCTGCACATCCCCACAAAGCAGCCGATAAAGCGAGGCTGCAAGGCCGAGATAAAGGAGAAGACCGTCTGGATCAAGCCGGTGGATACCCCGCCCGGCTTTGATGTCAACGCTTTGTTAGGTCTTCCCGTATTGCAGCAGGTTTGCGCAGATACAAATAATCTCATTTTTATTTGCTATGAATTATATTTGCGCTGTTGAGCACAGTTACGTGGAATCCATCATCCCAATGTTAACCCCTTTGTCGGGATCTGCTATGATCCGCAAAACGCGACGGGATATTTAGTTAGCGACCATTGTCCACGCGGTTGTTTGAGCGGGTTGCATAAGCGCGCAAAGCTAGACTGGGAGTTTGTATTCTCTTTAATGCGTAATTTTATCCAGGTGAGAAAATTCCATTATACGGAAACTTACAGATTTTGTTCGAATAATGCATGGTTAAGCCTTTTTTTGCCTTATGGTTAATGTGGCAAAAAGCCCATAACTAATTTGAACATGCTTTCAGAAGTTTCAATTTCAAGTACGAATACAACTTTTACTTTGGTTTTTAATCTTCAAATGATATTACAAATAATTGGTAATACAGAACTTACCGAAAAACAGAAATTATTCAGATAGCAGACGTTATATCTTAATCGCTATACTAACTTACTTGTTTCACTGGGGAGCAAATATGTTACAAAAAAAACTTCACTTGTAGGGCCTTCGGTAAATTGGTCAAAAAATATTCTGTGCATAATACTGTACCTGCAGATTGTATTAGTGAAAACATTAGTCGCAACCACAGCATGTTCCTGTAACGTACAAAATCTTCTTTACAGGGATTGTCGTATATTCACCATTCAGCCATTCGCTTTCATGGCAGTTTATCCATCGATAAATGCTTGATCGACGGCAGATTCAGCCTAAAGATTGGCGAACTGCGCTACGATGTTATTTCCGGTCTCTTAAATCAAAACCACCGACCAAGTGCCATCTCCCGTCACTCGGTATCCAAAACACTCGCGTCATTCAAGAATAAATCTACAGTGGAGAATGGTCAGAGTAACGATATCCATATGTTTGCAACCATCGCTTTGGGACTGTTTTTACACGCGGGAACTGATACAATAAAGAAAGACTCAAAGTTTCGAAAACTGGAGCGGTTTCTAAAGGACTGCATCGAGGAAGCCAACAAACAACAACCGACAATACGAATGATTGAAAGAACGTTAAGCGAGCATTCCTGGACGACTTCTCATGATATTGTGCAATTAATAATGCAACGCGTGGAGGAATATACCATCGTTCTGGAAGATGCCGTAGCGGATAAAACAAAAGAGCTTCTCAATGAACAACATAAAGCCGACGTACTTTTGCGGGAAATGTTGCCTTCGTAAGTATCATCGATCAATAATTTATAGGGTGCATTTTGGCGTCCTAATGCTTGAAAAGTAAAGCAGGAACAACGCAGCATTTTAGTGTGCCATACTTCGGTATCGTGTTGTGCTCTCGAACTGCGTAATAAAGCACAGTACTGCAAATTTTGCTTATTATTGTAAAATACATTACAAAGTTGAAGCTATTTCTTAAAGCTAGTGAAAGCTACGCAATTCCTTCTTCTGACAGCAATATCGTAACCTTGCATTTCAGATCCATTGTGGAGAAATTGAGAAATAAAGTCACCATCGAACCGGAATACTTCGAAGCAGTGACCATTTCATTCAGCGATCTTCCGGGCTTTGTAACCTGGGTAGCCACCGCCACGCCTTACGATGTTATTGAACTGCTTAACGCTATTTACAGCATCTTTGATGTGGAGATCAATAGTCACCATTTGGTGCAAAAAATTGAGACCATCGGCGATTGCTACATGGTACGTTTCGCTTGTGGTGTTAATCGTAGTATCCATCGGCCTTCGCCATTCATACGCATATCGAAAACATGTACTGTAGAGCCGAGCGTAATGTAAAATTTATTATTTCTAAATGTGCCACACACAGATACTGTACTATACTGTACATTATCATGTATGTATCTGTACGTGCTAATAACCACATTTATGGAGTTTAAGTGCAGTGTTTGAGGTCAAGTCAAACGCCACTATGTGGTAGTATACTCAGTTTTGTGGATTATAAGAGTATCATACTCGCGCCTGTATAGCATTCCATGGCTGTTTAAAATGTCGCAAAATGCGCACAATGTAGATGAAAGACTTAGCGTGGTTCACACCGCGAATTGTTTGCGCATTATTCTACTAATTTTCTGCATTGAAAGGTCGCCAGTGGTGTTCCAGTTCGTGTCGGGAAGGAGCATGCGGCGGCGGTGTGCCGAATGGCTAAAGCACTGCACAAAGCGTTCGGTGGAAGTCATCTGGCTGAGAAAGGTCTCATGCTGCGAGTAGGCGTCCATTCCGGTGAGTACGATGTCCCAAATATCGTCGAAATGCGTATTTGTATATGTAATGCAGTAGCTGTTTTTCGTAGACCATTGTGCAGCAAGCGTCATTGGAAGTAAAGTCCCGCGATACTGCTTGTAAGAAAAAATACCAGTGCTATTATTACGCCATATTCACATTGCCGGAACTGACACAGATATAAATATCTTTATCGAACTGACCTTTTTTTGAGAAACCAGATATGACGCATTTAATTGTTCACAATGGTAGGCTTTTATTTAGGAACTGCGCATGTACTGACTCGTTAACGCTCGTTACATGTACCATAAGCAATTATTGTTATCAAGGTTAACATAATATCCATGACAGATTTGGAGATGCTGTCAACACGGCATCGAGAATGGAAAGCCATGGCGAAAGCGGTAAAATTCATCTTAGTTACAAAACGCGGGCGTTCATTGTGGAGAATAGTGAACTAGTCTGTGAAAGCAGAGGCTTAATAGCCGTTAAGGTATTTTTTTACCGTCGTCATCCTTTTTACGTAACGGTAAATTTATTGTTTACATGCTTTTCTTCTTTTCAGGGAAAAGGGGAAATGGAAACATTTTGGCTGGCTGTTTAATGTTCCACATATATTTCCGATCACCGTTAAACCCCAGATGTTTTATGTTTTGTGGAGATTTAACAAAAGCGTGCGAAAAACCTTTTACAACGTATGAACATATTTTGTTCCCAACAGACATGCATCCTATTCTGCTCATAATATTCTGTAAATATTTCATATTTTGTTATAACTGAGTCCATACCGAGAATTGTTTTTACTGTTAGTAAACGCAATAAATTTACAGTCAAGCAAGATATTATTCATGAAGATTCTTGTATTTAAACTTCGCCTTAACTCTAATTCCATTAGCTGGAAAAAAAAGGACGCTATTTAGAATTTCTGGAAATCTAGAGTTTCTATAAAACGTAGCGTTATTGCAAGGGCTTCAAAGAAGCTTCACGTAACTTTCGCTATCCATTCGGGAAAATTAAGCTCAGAGATTATCAGGCCGACTGCACTTTACTTGAAAGAAAGAATAATATTTATCAGATACGCAAAATCCTTGGCCATCGGGGAAACGTTTAAGAGAGATATACATACTTGGTAAAGGGATGGCTTAGAAAATAATTTTGTGTACTGGTATTGTGTAGCGTGGCAAGCATGTTGGCTCGTCGTTTCAATTTGGAAAGACACTGGTCTACAATGCAATAAAACCGGGGGAAATTTAATCCGTCCAGGTGCGCGTTTAATCAGCGGACAACGATGCAGATTAAAAGGTCGTTGCTGTATGGGTTTGATTGAATAAACCCAGATGACGAATCCGGCGCAGCAATCGTGCATCTTCGCGAAGTCACATGACCATGGCACGGCGGGCAGATAAAATATGCACAGGCAGTATTCCGATTCAGCATTGATACAGTATGCTACTTAATTATCCTAGGGCGGCTGTTGCAAACCGCGCGCTTTGGCATTTAACTTTGCTCAAAACATCTACAGCTTATTTACTTGGAAGCTGCTACCTCCTGACCGATTTTTATTTCCGCTAAGCGTAAGACTTCCAGGTAAAGTATCCAGTCCATGCGAAAGCATTGTGTGATTTAAAAACATCCGCTAAATTATTGGCACAAATGTGGTATGCTTCGCGTGCCCATTTTAATATTTTATCAGCCGACTCGCCCTTTAGAGCATGTCTCCTACGCAAATAATTCACGTATAACATCAATATTTACGAATGTCGCCGGTATTTGTAATACGCAGTTTCAGATATTATGTATTATAAAATAACCACCATTCCGCAGTTCCAGATACACCGCAGTGCTATGCAATTTTAATTGATTATGTTTCTAACTTTAGTTGTTTTCGTGATACCAGTTTGCACGGTTTCTGAATTATGGCTGAATTAAGTTAATTACATACGGTACCGTGGTGTTTCGCAAGAGTTAACAAAACATGCAGATAACAGCCTGAATTTGCATAAAATTTTATTTCACTTTTGGATGAAATTAGTCATAACACCTAAAAACCGTACAAGCAAATATGCGATCGCGATGGTAGAAACAAATACGAATCCTATGGAGATAGCCCACAAAAAAAAATTATGCAACTGCGATGGACAAACACAAGAAACACTAAACCATTGGTTTTGTGCCAACAAATGCGCATAGCGCACAAGAATCACAATTTGGAGAAAACGTTTTAGCATCCATTCAAAACCGTAAACCCGTTCCATACCATGCAGGCGGTAACAGTTTCCTCTTGCCAATCTTCAAATGAACATAATCCGTATTCAATTTCATAATCCGCTGCATTTCCTCCTTATCAATCTGCTTAAGCCGCATCCGGGGTTTTTTCGGCGACATGGTCGTAGTGGTCGTCGACGTGGACGACGGCCATTCGCGCTCCTTGGTCTGCAGCAGCAGCTTGAGCAATGCACTGCTCTCCCCGAAGACCTCCCGCACGGGCGGCGGTGTGAATCCAATAAACCGCGACGGGTCAATCATGCGCTGCTGGTTGCCCCGTAAAGTGGCCGTGGCGGTGGCCGGAAATCGTCCCAGCACACAGACAAACATCACCGTACCCAGCCAGAAGGTCATCATTACGGAATATACCAGTACCGGCATTTTTACGTCGGTACTTTATTGGAAGAAAATGCAGCGCTTGGGTTATCGGCACTCCGTGTAATGAAATCACTGGTCTAGCGGCAACGCGGTCCTCGCAGCAGTGGCGGTAAAAATGGAACAATATCCGGCAGGGAACGTGCCCGGATGAACAGCGATCTACACCCAGAACAGCAGGGAATCTGACGTTAACGTGGCAGGGTTTAAAATGAGTGCCGTTTTCCGTCAGTCCGTTGCAATCCGAGTATGACAGAAAAGGTTATAAATGTGTGTGGTGTACTGTCTGCCGGGGCTTTAAGACCTGGCGGATTGTGCACTGTGTATCCGTACCACACGTGTGCTACACGAGGCGGGATGTGGGGGCGCCTTCCATCCGAGAGGAGCTTTTGTTGCATCGGATACCGGTGTTTACAGATTCATTAGGGTCAGGATGGCCTTTTCACTCCGCGTAGACTTTTGTGTTGCAATCATCGTTATATGAGTCAAAGCGTGTGAGACCGCTTCCCCTGGGAATAGTTAGCTGAGTCTCACAATATGCTGCAGCTTTGCGGTCTTGATATTCAGTCGACTACTTTGGACGCGTAATCGACTCTTATGTGAAATAGGAAATAATAATTTGACAGTGTTTACTGTTTAGCAACATATTTACGCAAAAGCAATTTGCTCAAAAGAGTGTAGTATCTTCACAATTAGGTCTTATGCGTTAATGCGAAGCATCGACTACCCTTCTGAGTTTTTGGTGTAGTTCTATGATAAACTTAATTTGTACTGTACGTATGTTGTACCATTCAGAAAAAACGTTTTGCAGTTAATTATGACTTTGCAGTTAAAGTTTTGTAGAAAGCTCACTTTTGCGAAACGAAAGCAAAAACTGAAGAATCACTAAAATATTTCAGCATTACAGACAAATTACACTGTTACCTCGGCGGCGGCTTAAAATGCGCCGCCCACCGGAAGTCTCTAAAGGTTGTCCGCTTAAAGTGAGTAACAAGATATCTTCGCAGAAATTCATTGTATTTGCTTCATGGCGTTATTCTCCGAGCAGACAAACCCTCAAGACTCGAGGCGCTTTCTAGTCTAATCAGTACACTAGTCCGCAGTCGTGCAGTAGCCCGGTTACAAAGAAAGACCGCTAAATATCTTTTGATTCGTGCAACTACAGTAAATTGAATCAGAGGAACAGCTAAACAATTTGCTTCCTCTTTCCAGTAGTTCCTACACCAAATCTTTCGGCGCCATTGTCCGACTTGCCTTACCTGTTCGTAATTTTGCCGCGGGCACTCTTTCCGGTGGAAGTCGTACGTTGTTCTGATGTCTTTGGATGGATGAAGATCACACACGTGTGCCGGGCACATCAAAACTGTCTCGGATGCGGATCTTATACAAGCCATACGGCGTCCTTCGGACGCAACTGCCTGACTGCTATAAACACAGATAAATACCCAACTGCTTAAAAAGCTGCGGTGCTACCCGAATCAAAAGGTCGGTAGGGCGGCGTTGCGTCGCTTAGTTCAGCGCAACAGCCTGACAAAAATCACATATCGTAGGTACACGTGCTAAAACGGCTCTGTATTTGTTTCCCAGGCAGCGAATATTGATCGTGAGGTAGGCACTTAATTAGGGCAATAATGAAATTCAAGTTTGATAAGAAATTTTGAAACCATAGGTTGGTACTGACCTTTACAAATGATGAAAGGCGTCACATCTTCAAAGCAGTAGCTCCACCGTGCGCAGTTTGAAGTAGTTGTACCATTTTGATGTTGTTGTACCATACCATACCATAGATCAGAAAGTCGGTTGAATTTTTTGCCGGCAGAATTTTCTATGGTCAAAACGCCGACAGAATTTTCGTTGTTTAGAGCAACAAGAAAACAAATAGCCCCGCGTCATGTATATTCCACGAAAACAACGTTCTCCCATGGTCAGATAAATTTCGGCGCGAAACCTAACGACTGCAGTGACCTCTGCTGAATTTGACGGCGTAATCGAAGGAATTTGCAAACTGAGTGGTAAATTGCAGACGACGCCTTTCGATGAAACATATCCTGCGCATATTTAGGCACAAATACTGCATGTATATTTAAACTGTTATGACTGCGTAGCGCTTGGAGAAGTGTTAAAACGCGGTCATACAGATACGTTCCATGTAATTTACTAACTAAACTGAAATGGCGAACCTGCTTTGAATTGTTTCAATCTTGAGTTTTGTATATATGGAACCACCTATCACAGCTCACAGGTCCTCAAGAAAACGTAATATAACATGAATTTTCTAATGGTGTTCTGCTTCTGGAAACACGTCATGCTTTGGTACACCTCTTTGGTACATTAGGCCTTTGTAACCTCAAATTGCCGCGTTATTTGTTTCAAAATTCTCGAAATGTTGGATTTTAGCATTTCAGTATCCTGGAGAAATGTATTTCAAAATGAGAAAAGGTGGTCAGTTTCATAGCACGTACGGCTTGCTGTTCTAAACGTCTCCGAAGAATAATATCCATTCAAGGCAACTGTAATTTTAAAAGGTCGATCGTCAGCTGAGCATTGCAAACAAAATGGCGGCAACCTGGTTCAGTGTAAAACGAACTGTGTGCATGTGCAACCATTAAATTTCGACGAAAGCCGATCCACAATGAGACGTATGGTACAGATTAGCACTTCATCTTTCCAGGGCTTTTCTGTTGCGTGCTTTGCTTCACCCGGATGTTGCGCCCACAATCCCGTCATCATGAAATACCGGGACACACCTTTATTGCCATTATCTGTGGTGACAGGTTGGGCAAGGGAGCTCTCGGCTCGCAATCCTGATTTTTCAGCCAACAATTCAAACAGTCACTCGTCACCGGGATAAATTTACGGACAATGTACTTGGGATAATGATTATGTGGGCGTAATATCGCAAAACGATTATTCACGCGACTGTATTGTAAAGAAAAATGGAGTATGGTACAGTACTTAATCTATACTTCTACAGTACAGTACTACACTACTTTGCGGTTTTAAACCTTTTACGGTATGTGGTGATTTTCCGACGCTGGTACATATTGGTGGTCATTCTTACAGTATGTACTATGTAAATCACTCGCAATCAGTTACGCTGCGTCTGCCAATGACTGCTTTTCGATTTTACATAGCCAGTTTTACCGAGGGCATCATTACATCAGCATTAGGAACAAGATTCACCCATACTGCAGCAAAATGAGTGCTTGTTTCAGCAGAAAGAAACCAGCAAATAACATGGTGCGTTACTTTAAAACAGACTTAAATACTTAAAAAGCCTTTATCCACACAGCGAAGCACCTTCGTATCAACAATCTTAAAGCCAGAAATCCAGCTGTATCCTTACACACAAATTTTGACCAGCTGGTCGCGCGGCCGGTCTATCTTTCGTACTGCATTATCCAAATCGAAGGTGTAGGTTATCCGGTCTGCCATGCCGGCCGCCACCACGACCATCTTCCAGCTCGGCCGCTGTCTTTGCCGGCACTCGGGCCGGCTCATCACTGGCCGCGGGCTGCTCCAGTGCCTCGGCGCTCTGCTGCAGCTGCATGGATAACAACATTTTCAGCAGATTGTTCTTGAAAAGATGATTAGCCGTTGGGACTGGCTGGACGCCCACTGTCGCGCTAGGAAAGGCAAATAACACTGTCAGCTGAATGGCACCGAAAAGTAGACATATCACTAATTTCTCCATTTCGGACTTTGACTTTGTAAAAGATAACAACACGCGCACTGGCAACGACAATTAATAAAGCGGGCTATAGAAAAAAATTATCAGGTTTAGGTGATCAAAGTAAATTGACGAACACGTTGAAGTCTGCTATACGCTGTTGCAGATTCATAAAGGAAATATGGTTAATCGGCTGCACAAGGAAATTTTACGAGAATGTTGTGTGGATCTTTTACAAGGATGCTGTGGGATCATTGTAATAACACGATCTTTCTGCGCAGAACTAAAAGCAGAAAATGCCGCTGCCAACGTAATCCGGACATCTGGGGCTTCACACAATGCACCTTTCCGTGTAAGTGATCCTTCTGTATAGGTGCGAGGGGATTATAAAGGACTGCGAAATGGGCTATACGGGACAGCGGCAATTGTTTTATTCGCGCCGGATACCAGCCCCATCGTGGCGTGTAATTAGCTCATCTTTTCAACGTGTGTCATATGACATTTTGAAAATAGCCGCCGCCGGCATCATCGTTGCATCTTGACGGTACACTGAATGGCAGCCTCCCGCTGCTGTTTCAACGATCCACAGTTGGGTAAGGAAAACTTAAAGGGATATCGGTGCAATTATACCGGGATGTCACTGCCAGACTTACTGCGGCTGCAACCCGCCTAATCTTTTATCCTGCCGACGGACCGTAGTAGAGTTTTACAAACCTGACGGTACTGCAACGGCTATCCGTTGACCGAATTTTGCAGTCGGCGCACCATTAACCAGTCTAAGCTTTGCCACCGGGCCTAATCGAATGGCGGAGACGCAAACTGTACGACAATTTTTCGAGGGTCATATCATAAAACTTATACGTATCGTTTTCTGCGCGTGTACGACCTTCTTGCGCACTATATGCAGCCGGTAGATACTCGTATATATGCTCGTAAGTCGTACTATGTAATTACTAATGCTAATTGTCAGAATTTTCGCCTTCTTACTTCTGATCACTCCTCATTGGCTTATTTCCACAGCAGTATGTGTTTTTTTAAAATTCAATTTATCTTTCTAACTGCATGTAGCCTGTACCACAAATTGGCCAAGTATGATTTGTTTCTTGTGAACCGCTCGTCATACCGGAAACGGCTTAGACTCTTTCAAAAGACAATTGTATTTACTATTTAAAGCAACAAACTTTGTTTTTGAATTAAAAGGGAAAGTTGTTGTGGAACGTGCTTCACCCCAGACAGTTCCAGAAGCACTAATAAGCAGTTTATTTTTGAAGGGCATGCTTGTAAGATTTTACGAAAATTTAATACACCCAGTTTCAATTCTTTCGTTTTTTTGGCCAAACACGATCAAGAAAAAGTCGCAAAGAAAGCAAACAGGGAATAACTTCTCTACCAGAAATGATAATGTGGGCTATTATGTGACATACAGTAATCTACTTGGCTGAATAATAGCAATTTTTAATTTAAATATAGGGTAGTTCAAAATTGTTTGTGTATCTAGTGCTTACGTGTGGTACTCAGTTAAAGGTCCGTGTACAGAGTCACACATTGTATCTCGGCACGCGTCGTCTCACCCTATCGGCAACCCGTGAAACCATTTCCACCGTGTAGCCCCATCCGGGCGCTTACCGCCGTAACGGTCGGAACCAACTGGCTCTGGATACGAATCAATGCGAAGCCAGATGATAAACAAGCTAGATGATGATGATAATTTTTTTCTGGCAAGTCTTCTAAACTTTTCTGTTATTTTAGTAAGTATTTTGTGTATATGTACTACGAATACGTACAGGTACTTAATAAAAAGGCCTTTTTGGCAATGCGTTACATAGTGGTAGTTAAAATTGCCTCATTTGCATGGTACTGACTGGAAATAATAATTGGTGGCGCACCATAAAATTTTAAATTTTTTTATTTATACCAGATGATGCTCCGTTTCGATAAGTATCTTTCTAACTGCATGTACGTACAAATGTTGCATGGATACAGATAATGTGTACAGGGAACTGCAAAAGATTACTGCACCAATTAACGACTCATATTAATTTTTAATAAGAAAATAGATTTCTTTTTGCGCGTTTCTGAGTTAAAAGTTCTACAACCGGTTGCAGCTAATAACCAAGACGCAAAAGCCTACTAAACTGAGCGTCAGGGACTCGTGGATGTAGCCACGGTGAGCAAATTAGAAACTTACAATGGAAAGTGCGAGATATAATCAAAATAAATAGAACAAACTATAGATAAAATGCTATTATAGGAAACGCGGCAAAAATTTTGACCAAAAGAGCATACCTAGCAGAGCAGCATACTGCCGGCTGCCAAAAGAAAATAAAGATTACTGAAAAAAGAACATACTCGTAAAAACCACATCGAGCAGTTCTCGTGCTCTTCGGTAAGCGTCACATTTCAGTACGGCTTCTCCGCTTCAACTCACATCAACTGGCTGTGCTGTATCTCCGACTGCGGGGGTTTTTGACTTCCGGTTTCTTATGCACCATCCGCAAATCGGCGAAGTCGAGCACGAGGTCTTGCCGAACGGGTCCAACATAGTGCTTTCCATCGACGGGTTCGCAGTATGCAACCTCGTAAGAGACACCGTCAACTGTAGCCATCAGTTTTTGACCCCGTTTTAGGACATCGGACGCTCGCATAATTCGGGCACTCCCCGCGCTGCCCTCCTCCGCTGGCTGAGTAAAACTGCGCCAGATGAACTCCGTCCCCCGGATGCCGATGATCTCCACGGGGTTCCAAGTTGTGGCGCGCGCAGTGGTCTTCACAAATGCTTCCTCTTCATGCTGGAAAACCATGTCCCCGATACGATGGCGGCCGGTGCGCGGCTCGTTACTGAAGGGTAGCGATGGTTTCGCATTGGAGAACTTATGCTGCCAAATGGTGTGCATCTCCGACTGGAGCAGCAGACCACTCTACAAGCAAATCAGCAGGTGGAATAAACCTTACTGTTAAACATCCATGTTTTTCGCATTAAATACGTACGTATGTAAAACCTTTCGCTATGCATACGAAGCTTTCAGCTGCGTTTCCCGCCGCTGAAGCGCGCGCTTACGTGAACAAAGATAACTGGCGCAGATGAGCGAATGCATTGTCTCGAAATTTCGAAAATTTCGAAATTTCGAAAATTGTCTCGAAATTCATTAGGACGACAGACTTGATTTTATTGCTAGTACAAATTCTGCTATCTTTCTTGGTTGTAAGTCGCATAAAAAGAATAAATAGACACTTCGACTAATATACTGACCTTTCCGGGTCCATCAGTCAGTTGCGCGGGGGTCAGCAGGGGAAACCGCACCAGAAACAATGCTTCACCAAGCATCCCACGCCGGTTGGCGGCCGTCGGTTCCAGGTTGTCAGAACTGCATGCGCTGAGCGCCCATCTGCCGGGGAAAAAATAAGAAAGTAGCATCAATATGACGTAATCCACACACTCTACCATGCCTCTCAATCGCCAAATAAACGTCATGCTCCTCGACCGACAGGGTGCTACGTTGTAGAATCATCACAAGCATCTCCTTTCCAATGACCGCGAAAACCTCCGATGCGATGACGGTGTCAGCGGATCGGTCGATAAAACCCAGGCAGCGCTGCACAATCTTATCAGCGTGACTATCGATGCCCTGCAACAGTGCTAAATTTAATAATCATGCTAAATGCATTTGCTAAATTACAGAAGCATTTGCTAAATTCAATAATCATGCAGGTCAGTAAGAACTCAGTGGAATCAGACGGATGCGACCAACCGTTTGTAGAACTGCCAGACAATTGTCCGTGTTCAGCTGGTTGCTGAGGAACTCGCAGCACTCCTTCACCAGCAGCGGCACGTCGTACTTATCGGCGCACAGCAGCGTCGTCCACACGTTGTCCATCTTCAAGTCCATCGTGTCAGTGTACATGAAACTGCAATTCGCGATTAAACCATCTGCTCCCAGCTATCTGTATAGTGTTGTGTTGCCCCGCTTATGCGGGACAAAAGTATAAGAGAATATCGATTGTACGACCTCATCATCGGTATGAACAACAAATTCGAAGCACCCTCTAACCTGAGCACATTGGCAAACGCATCGGGATCGTCATCCGGCAGGTCGATAGGTTTCTGTCCATTCTCAGGCAGACTTCCGTAGAACATGGCAGCAAACACGGCACTACGCATACACAGGATGCACCTGCACAACAGTATACTGTAAAGCATCGCTGACCAATGTCCACCCAAGAATGCATACTCGTTAACGCGTACTTATGCACATGAAACAGTTTCTCCAGTCCGGTATGTCGTCCGACTCTCAACTGCACATCACTGAAATCTCCACTGCTGAGCAAACGCTTCATGTTGCCGGCGAGCCCCGGTCCAGATCGCGGACGACCTCCGGATCGGGAAGGAGTGGCCGACATGATTCTGAGGTGCTTGGGCTAACCTCTCCGTCCACAATGATGCCAGCAAAATGTGAGGAAGGACGGTCTACACTCTAAAGATACGAACCGGGATAACACGAAAGCAGCCAACGGAAAGGCATGCAAAATTAGAAGATCAAAAAAATGTTCCGTTAGCAAAAATTCCGAAGAACTCAAAGCACAAAAATGGTGATTTTAAATTTAGGCTGAGAAGTTGAAATTGGCATCGGAGCGAAATATTCGATTAATTGTGATACGTAATCCAGAATTGCAGTCGGATATACGGAGAAAACGCCCTCTCCGCTAAAGCGACGGATTTAAAAATAATGGTTTCGGATTTTATCGGATAAAGAGAAAACATCCGAGCTTAATGCTTGGCCGACTGCATGGTGAAATCGCAAGATGTCGAACTGCACTATGCTGCCATACCTTGGGGTTGAAATTGCTTTATGCACTGGAAGTTCCTAATTTCCATCATTCTAAGCCTTTACTTTAGACGTTCCTTGAAATATAATATGATGTTAAACAGGAAATTGAATTTTCATAGAGTAAAGGCTGGCAGAAAAAGAAGGAATCGCTGTGTGCGTTACGAGTTGTGCGCCTAAAAGCGACTTTTTGCATTTCAGCCGTTCAGCGGGAGCGAAAATTGGGCGAGTGTACTGAATCATAACATATCGATACGTTAAAAAACCGACATATCGGTTTCTCCTATCAAAAATGCATTTTCCAACCCCTAACCCATCAACTTTGTACATCCATGAAATACAGTACTTTGTAACATTTACGTATTTTTAATTGGCCTCTTCTGATTGCGGTCACGCCTATTTTATTTAGACTCGCCGTAACCATGGCAGGCAAAGATATTAAGATTTTATAACTCGCACTTGATATAATGAGTAGAAGGAAAAAAACCAACGCCTCGCGGCTCGCTGTGATCTAAGCACTTGCAGAAATACGTAATTATCAACTAGGCACTTTGAACTTTCACCTAAACATTTCACGCATGCAGCGGAAAGGGATCATCGTGTTACATCGTCTCCTTAATGATCTTGCTTCCATGCAAACTCATCTGAATTTCATCAATAGTTTTTCCTTTGGTTTCCGGTAGTTTCCATGCCACGTGTACCGTACCCAGTACAAGAAACCCAATAAAAATCAAAAACGTATACTGCTTGGCAGCGGCTTCTATGATGGGAAATAAAAAGGTCACCAGCGTCGCCGATCCCCACGACAAAAACGAGGTAAACCGCGCGGCCGAACTGTGGGCTTCCTGTGGGAACAAATCCCCCGGGAGGATCCACGGAATGGGGTCCATGCCCACGGCGAAGAATGCAATAAACAAGGGAATGCACACGGCACTGCCGTACTGCATCCCATGAACACCGGTATCCCCGACGGAAACAAAAACAACAAACATCGTCAGAGCGACAAGCATGCCGCCCTGACTGATAAGCAGCAACGTCCGGCGTCCTGCACGATCAATCAAAAACATGGAGATCACTACCGCAACGGTGTAACAGCACCATACGCCTAATGTCGCATATACCGCGTTTAGACGCTGCAAACCCACGCTCTCGAAAATTGCTGTGGAATAAAACGTTATACTATGACAGCCGCAGAACTGATGGACTAACATCGGGATCCCGGTGAGGATGGTGATCTTTCGCAGGTAGGGATCGGTGAATAGGCGCAACATTGACACCTCGTGCACACCCTGCATATGATCAATCTCCGTGTGCATCTCCTCCATCTCATCCTTCACTTGACTGGTTTGCCGGAACCACACTAAGGCTTCCGTAGCGTGCTGCTTGTCATTGCGCTCCATGTACAGAAACCTCGGGCTCTCCGGACAGAACGGTAGCGCGATGCAAGAAATCACCGCGGGAATCACCGCGATGCTGATTAACCACGGCCAGCCGGCTTCCGTACCAAGCGCCGACGGGAAGCTGATTGAGGTGATGGTCAGCAACCCAAGAATGTACATCACCGTGGGCAAAGTCCCCGCTGCGCCGCGCAGACTCACCGGGGCGATTTCGCCGGTGTATACCGGTCCCACCACCGTCGACATTCCCAGGCCAATTCCCACGATGATTCGTCCGGTGAGGAACATCTCCCAGGATGACGCCAGCGGAGAGATTGAACACATAACGCATCCCAACGCCTGCGTGATGCTGCCGCACATTAGTGACCTTTTGACGCCTAACAGCCGAATCACCGGTCCCGTTGCCAGAGATCCGATCATGGCGCCGACACAGACCATACTGGAGAACAACGCCCACAGGGTGCTCAGCTCCGTGTTCTGACTGAGCGCCTGTGAAAGGTGTTCGGGCGGAATTGCGCTGCACCATAACGCAACGGTCTCGTCCGGCACGGTGATGTTGGTGTAGTTGGAGAGAAACGCCCCGCCCAGACGTTGGCATTTAACGGAGCGGACCCAGTCTTGGACGATATACTGCGGGACGTTTAGAGCGGATAAGACAAGACCGCCGGTGAACCATGTACCCAGGGTGGCGGCTAGGAGGGCCAGCGCCAGGCGTACGGTCAACGGGTTATGGTGGTTCAGCATGTTTAATTCCGCAATAAATAAGCGTTATCTGCTGCCGCCGCGGTACTGTGCGGCCGCAGTATTTATTAAGGTTTTGGTGATGTGTGTGATATGGTATTTAAGTGATACAGTGCTGTAAGGCACATTTTTAAGAACAATAAGGATGTTCGAACTGGCTCGACGAGTTAAGATACTCGTTACATAAAACAATGGTACCGATAATCGGTGTCTCTGGTTTCTGTGATTCGTCAGTTTCTAGATCGCTGCTTTCTCGCAGTTTCGATGAAATTAATAAGCCAGGAAAACGGCTGCTTCGGTCTCTAACTACTTCAGCGTACCTGGATTGCAGTCAACAGCCTCTAACACAGCGCCTGACAGATGCATGCACCGAATGCCGGCGACGAGCAATTATGCCGGCATTACCTTGCACTTTTTAACACTCTGCGACTGAGTCTGGGTACAGGATGCACCGTATGCTGTACGCGTGATTATTTTTGCGCACCACGTGAACAGGTTAATGCACCAGCCGTAAAAATTATTATTAACGCTTTTCGGGCTCGTTTGATCAGTTGCCGCATTCTGAGGATGTCGGGGCAAGTACTCGGAAGCTGTCCATACGATCGCAACTGAACGGCGCCGCTGGTCGCCGACTTCCGTTGAGATGATCCGCGCCGACCACCCCAAAAGCGAAGCCCCAACCGGAAACGCATACAGCGTAAACTGACACGGCATGGCTATATATGTTTGATCGCCAAGCTTATTTCTTAATGTATTATTAATTTATTACAATAATAATTTAGGAATGCGCTGCGGAGACCAAGCTGACTGAAGGCAACGTCAGCGTAACATTATTCAGCAGCGGCGCCTTCGGCGACACTGCTGAGTGCTGGGTACTAACCAAACAATTTCGTTAGCTAACCAAACAAATAATTTGGTCAGCGTCAGAGCGGGACTCTCCGCCCACCGGACTTGCTATTCGCTGTTTCTCAGGATTTCCACCCCGTACATTTCTTCGCTGTTTTGAACGTATCCGCAGCAGAGCTGCGCTGGCTGCAGAATCCGTCCTCGTTAGTCTGGTGTTTGCTGCTCCACGGTGCGCATGTTAGATTCGGCATTAAAGCCTCACCCGGGTGCACCGCTGTTGGTCACATTTCATGGCGCCCATACGGCCCACCGTTATACCAGCGTACTAATTTAATATTTTTAATCAAAACTCCCGCAGTTTCCGCAGTAAAAATGTGTACTGGCGAGTTTTGGCCCAAAACAGTTTAAAATGCGACCAACAATACTAAGTAAGTTATGTCATTTATGACATAATAATTATGTGATTATGTCCTTTATGACATAATGACGGGCGGGGCCACACTTAGTGGCAACTAGGTACTTGTTATAAAGGAATAAAAGAAGCAAGCTGCCGTATCTGGTGTCACTGTGTCATAAATGACATAAACTGACTGGGTACTATCCGAGGCCACCCGGGTAAGTGCCGCACTGATCCCAGGAACAACTTGCCGTAAAGGGTGTTATTAGTGACATAACACAAATGCACAAGTACCGCCACTCTAGTGGTCAAACCGGTATTTGCAGCACACCAGCTTTGCCATAGCTGAAACTATTCTACAAAGTCTGAAGACCGCGAAACGTTAATATACATAAGAATCACAGCTGGTAATACTAGGAAAATGCACTGTTGCATGCATCGGTGGACCGGAGCGCAGCGTGAATTGTTACAAATATTCAATAAATATTGGCATTTTGCCGCTTATTTGATAAACCGTTACATTTGTACGAGTATCAGCGCTTAAGATCATAACGCTTACGATTATAACATTAACAAAACGTAAGTGTCCCCGTCCAACATATTCAAAAGTTTATATTAAGTGGTTGAACGATCTTCTCCCTTGATTCTCTAAAGCATTGTATTTTTGTCTTTATTCGGGGAGAAGGGAAAACGGAAATGTAAAGAACAGCTAGGTTGCATTGTGATATGGCAAGCTTTGGAAACAGTAAGTTGACAGTACCCAGGGCCACTGGTAGAGTTTCTCTGTTCGCACCCGCGGCTCCGCAAGGAAGTTGCCACAACTTTATCTAAATACTTTTAATTTGTAGCTTATTTACAGTTGGGACGAGCGCGATTCACGCGCGATCAATTGTTCGAAAGATAGAGTTTTTTATATGTTATTTATTCTACATCATTTATATTAATATTTATTTATGTTTATTTATAAATAGAGAGATAGATTCCGATCTTGTTCTCGTAATTTAAGTCACGTATCTTGAACATGATTACGAAAATGGAAGCTGATGATTGGCTGACACTTTTGTTGAATGGTTGTTGTGCTTTAGTTTCCAGTCAGCAGTTTATTTTTTAGAGTTATTTAGAGTTGTTGTTATTTAGAGTTCGATGCGAGATAACTGCCAATGACACGGTTACCCTTTGTTTCTGGATGGCTTGAGAGATAGTTTGACGATCTTTGAGCTTGAGAGATTTGAATACCCAGGGATGCGCTATTTTTTGCTTCATTTCATGCAGATTCACATTTCATGCAGAAAAGGCTTAGGGTTTGTTGAGAACACAAAATGGAAATGTTTACCGCCAAGTGATTCCATTGACAAATTACAGTACTTCGTAATAAATCATAGCCGTCTTTAACTCTTAATGGCCTGACATATTCCTAGCCGTTAATGCCTGACTGCATCAAACTGATTCAAGTTACAGCCACTGGTCTGTTTTGCGCAACTGACAAATGAAAGGGTACACCCGACTTTCCGTTCATCAAATTCTGTGTACCTGTTTTGGTGCTAGGTTCAGAATAAGATTTCCAAGTGATCCCACCGCGAGATATATATTCCTCATCGTCGTTCAAAGTATACAAAAAATCTTCATCATCAGATTGCTCGTCACTTTCGCACTCATTCAGTTCATAATCACCATCCGGTTCATCCAGCAACTCTTTATCGATAGCAGAAATATTGCTACCCGAAAAACTGCGCGATTTGTCTGCCCCTTTCGAGCTTACGAGTTGCTGACACTGCTCGTGGCTTATTTTAACATTTCCTGCCTGCATGACCTTTCTCGATTTGTTTCTCTATACCGTTACTGTGCTCTTGGAGCGCGCTCCTCTCGACATTTTCTAGATAGTCGGGAATCTGTCTTTTGATTTTTGTCTGTTCCTGCGCCGCAATAAAGGAGTTAACGGATAAGGAAGTTCGGAAAAATAATGAAGTTACGGGATGAGGAAATAATGACGTAATAAGTAGTTATCTTCCACTTCCGTAAAGTTATCTTCCGTTTTTCGGAATAGTTTCCAAATTTTCATTTGTTCAAAAAATTTCTGAAAGCTATACGTACAGTATTTGCGTTACTGTATCTGTATACGTTTGCATTTTCTGTAGAGCCGAACGAAAATCATTAAATCTGGGTCCAGTTACATAATATTATCATGGGAGTGCACAGTGCACCTTTCGTTGTTTTCAAAGATATTACCAAATAAAAATATCCATTACAACAAACTGGTGGCCACTGGCCAGTTCATTACTTCCATACACCGCATGTTGCTGATTCTCTGCCTAACACGCACCGCGGCACCACTTATGCTTCTGCTGCAAGTCTACCAAGCTACCACCGGTACTGTGCCGTTTTCCTTTGTAATCAAATTTCGGAACGTTATTCAGTGAAGTTCCTTAACAATAAACCATCCATTTCCAAAGTGCCTTAAAAGAAAAGCGGAGTAGTGTACTGTATGTGTGTTACAGTGTGTAGGATAATAATTGTAACAAAAATCAGACTAACGTCCACTACCGTACGGTAAGTAAATCTGCACAGATACAGTACTTATAACACACCCAAATCTAATTAATTGTGATTAACACTTTTAGAAATTACAAGAACCAAAAGTTTGCGGAATTGTACCTTGAAACATTAGATCATGATTTGTTCTAAATTTTGCAATAGAAGGCTTACAGAAAAAGTCAATGTCAATAGCAAAAACTCAAACAGAAAAGAACTGGAGTTTCCAAAAACTTTCAAGATATTAAGCTGCATTATGCTGTCACAACAGGTAGTTAGTTGTAACTGTTTGAAACACCGGAAGTTCCTCAAAAAGATGCTGCGGAGCAGTGTATGTTTGTATTACAAGAAAAGCAAAGAAATCTAGGATGGAAGATTGCAGATCACGCCGGTCACCGGCTTGACGCCATTGATTTGGTCGCATTTTTCCCGATTTTCCAGCGAAGCGATGCTGAAGTGTCGCGGTCTGCCTCTGTCGTTCTGACCGTATAAAGCACTAATCCACGTCCTTCTATGGAGGTTCATGGCAAAAACTTTTTTTCTCTTTTTCCCCACTATGGGGTATGGAGTCTGCAATGCCGTATGACCGCCCGCATCGTTGTGTCGATTCTTACGCACTTTAGCGCGTTAGAATCTGCACAGGCGTTCGCTCGATCATCGCTCTCACCATGCATTGACCATCAATCATGAATACGAAATTACGGATGTAGATAACAATAAACCAGAAACTCTAAACTGTCACGCAAACATATCACGCATTAAGCGGCAGCGGATTGCTGTTTTCCTTCGTCTCTTTAACGACCCTGCTTCCCCGTAAAATCATCTGAATTTCATCAATGGTTTTTCCTTTGGTTTCCGGTAGCTTCCAGGCAACATGGACCGTACCCAAAACAAGAAAACCAATGAAAATCAGGAACGTATACTGTTTGGCAGCGACTTCTATGATGGGAAACAAAAAGGTCACCAGCATCGCTGATCCCCACGACAAAAGCGAGGAAAACCGAGCGGCTGCACTGTGCGCTTCCTGAGGAAAAAGGTCGCCCGGGAGGATCCACGGAATGGGGTCCATGCCCACGGCGAAAAACGCAATGAATAAGGGGATACACACGGCACTGCCGTACTGCATACCGTAGACACCGGTCTCCCCGACGGAAACAAAAATAACAAAAAGGGACAAAGCCACAATCATACCGCCTTGGCTGATAAGCATCAGCGTCCGGCGTCCTGCACGATCAATTAGGAACATGGAGATAAGTGCGGCCACAAGGTAGCAACACCATACGCCCAATGTCGCGTAAACCGCGTTCAGACGGTGAAGACCAACGCTCTCAAAAATCGCTGTAGAATAGAACGTAATACTGTAGCAGCCGCAAAGCTGATGGACCAGCATTGGGATCGCTGTGAGGATGGTGATCTTTCGCAGGTAGGGATCGGTAAAAAGGCGTAACATGGACACCTCATGTACACCGTGCATGTGATCGATCTCCATGTGCAGCTCCTCTATTTCTTCCTTCACCTGACTGGTTTGCCGGAACCATACTAAAGCTTCCGTGGCGTGCTGCTTGTCATTGCGCTCCATGTACAGAAACCTCGGGCTCTCCGGACAGAACGGTAGCGCGATGCAGGAAATCACCGCGGGAATTACCGCGATACTGATTAACCACGGCCAGCCGGCTTCCGTACCCAGCGCCGACGGGAAGCTGATGGAGGTGATGGTCAGCAATCCGAGAATGGACATCACCGTGGGCAGGGTTCCCGCTGCGCCGCGCAGACTCACTGGGGCAATTTCACCAGTGTACACCGGTCCCACGACCGTCGAGACCCCCAACCCGATGCCCACGATGATTCGTCCGGTGAGGAATACCTCCCAGGATGACGCCAGAGGCGAGAGTGAACACATAACGCACCCCAAAGTCAGTATGATGCTGCCGCAGATAAGTGACCTTTTCACACCCAGCAGCCGAATCACCGGCCCCGTGACCAAGGAGCCGATCATGGCGCCGACGCACACCATACTGGAACACAGCGCCCAGATGGTGCTTAATTCTGTATTCTGCCTGAGCGTCTGGGAAAGATCTTCAGGAGGGATGAAGCCACACCATAATGCCACGGTCTCGTCGGACCCGGTGGTGTTGGTATAGTTGGACAAGAACGCCCCACCCAGGCGCTGGCATTTCACTGAACGCACCCAGTCTTGTATAATGTACTGCGGGACATTTACAGCGAATACGACGAGACCGGCGGTGAACCATGTTCCCAAGGTGGCGGCTAGGAGGGCCAGCGCCAGACGAACGGTCAACGGGTTGTGATGACTCAGCATGCTTAACATCCGCAGTAATCAACGCTATGTGCTGCCCGTCGCAGTACTGTGCGGCCGTAATATTTTTGAAGATTTCGATAATGTGTATGGTTTACCATTTATGTGATTCCTTGCTGTAACGGCATTTGTAGAAGGAAGTGGAACTACAAAGATGTTAGACTTGCTCGACAAGTTTAGATACTCGTTCACAAAACAATGGTACCGATAGTCGGTGTCTCTCTAGGTTATTGTGATTCGTCAGTTTCTAGATCGATACTTCCTCGAGGCTTCAGTGATTAAAATGCCGAGAAAACGCCTGCTGACCCGTTTGTTTCTGTAACGATTTCAACGTAACTGGATTCCGATCACCTTACACTTTAACATTGGGTATAGGACGCGCCGTGTGCTACCTGCGTGATTTGTTTTGCTCAACACGTGGACTGGTTAATGCACCAGCGGTAAAAAGCATTACAGATATTATTTTTAATACGACGCGTACCCGTTATTTATCTTACTTATGCCTCAAAAGTCGGTTTTGTTGTTTATTAAAGCGTCCGGTTTGCTGTTCGTATTGAAAAACTCGATGCAACACAAGGCCAATTCCTTGCCAAACCGATTTTCATTCGCAGATAGAGTGAAATAACGTAAAAATTACTGCAGGGTGCTGTCGCATCAGCAAAATTTTTAAATTAATGTATTATGCGGTTGGTTTTGCAGTTTTGCTTTTTGGATAAGCACGACCCAACGAGCGATATACAGATATTGCTAATTGCTAAACAAGGTATCAAATTTTATGACAGTTGACACGACTCACATAATAAGGGGAAAACAAGTAATGGGCACTGGGCAGCACAAAATCTACGGGAACTGTTTCAACATCGCGTTTATCAGTTATCAGGCAGTTTTGAACATTATGGTTACCGTGAGCAAAAAAGCAGTTACCGCTGTACTGTACGTTAGATTAATAATCCGTTTTATTTATCCTTATTTTAATGTGATTAGTCTTAGTATTAAAACTGCTTACTTTTGGCTTATTTGCATTCTAAACTGATGACGAAACTTCCGTGGATGAATTGGCGGGTGTTGCTTACCGTTCTTATTCCTGTTTACTTATCGTATTTTGATTTGGGTTATACAGTTTCTCGCTATTTTTCAATTATTTATAATTTGAAACTAACATTTTTTCATAAGTAATTAGGTCCCAAGTAATTCATGAAGATTAACTAGTCACGAGTTACTATATCACTGAACAAAATTATCAGATATATAAATTTTTTGGTGAAGAAATATTAAAATTTATTAAAGAATCAAAACCGAAACCGGGAAACAAATTCTTAAACATATGCAGAATAAGTTGAACAGAAAAATTTACAGTATGTGAGAAGTTTTTTTAAATTTATATCACATGTAAACAGACGTCCAGGGTTTCGGTCCGCACCGAATGTAAACAGACGTCCGGACCGAATCCCTGGACGTCTCTTGCACCTTCGGCGGCGGGGACACATTTATTAAGTCCATTGCACATTCGGTAGTTTAATGTGTATAGCATCTGGCCATAATGTTGGCAACGTGACAACATGATTCCGTTTCGTGGTTTACCGCTGTCGGTTACTTCAGTTATCGGCTGAGGCTGTGTAATCAGTGAAAATCTACTTGTAAGCTCGTAGAAAACGTGTGAATGTTTTTTACCGCCAACCCGAATAAAATGTAGACTACTTGTACAGCGTAAACAACCGGGCCCTCAATCGACGACCGCTACATATGTACAGATCTGTGGGTTATATGTAACTTATAACCAAATTAACGTCTATCGGTATACGAATCAGATGACAGTCACAATTTGAACAGTACTGTAACGGGTTACCTGGGTCATACATAGTCACTCGTAGGTATTCCACAGCGAGACTTTGTACCATCAACCGTCAAGCACTTACACCGGCCAGCTACTGGAGTGCTCCAGGCACACCACACTGCAGCCATGATTATTCAACCAACAACGCGCGACAGCAAAATGTTACTGTTCATTTTGCTAAAGCGTATGCGTTCTATTTATTCGTATTGTGGACGGCATTGTACTGCACGGCTCTGTACTTTACCTTGCCCGAGGTCCTTCGGATTTGTATTCGGTATATAAAGCGTATAAGCAACAGGTAACACCACAACCCCAGTTTTCGTTTTGCAGCTGGAACCTAAATTTCCGGACACCGCTGACACGTGAGTAATTCGTTCGTTACCGCACTGGTTTCTTCTCAGTATGGATATGCCGTTATTGGCAAAACCAAATGGCATTCTTCGACGTTTTTCGCATTCCGAACGTTTCGCCATAGACTGGCTTCCCAGACACAAATGGCAGAGATATTCTTTGCATTTCTCCACAAAAGAAAACTTGATAATTTTTCAATAATCTCGTGTACAAGCTTGTAAAGAGACAACGCTACTAATTTTTACTAATTTTTCGAAAAGTTGTACTTACTACTTTTTCGAAAAGTGGTTTTCATATGGAACAGCGCTGAGAATAGTCAGAATACCGTGTCTGTGATGTCCGGTACGCAAAACCATATTGTGCAAATGTATAAATGGGTAACATGTCTAAGTACTAACGATAAATAGTTACAAGTACAACTGCATGTTTCGATTGCAAATCTTCTTAGCAATATAGATATATAGTACACCCTGTCAGGAGTACAGCTGATTTCGTCCTGAATAGTATCGCAACGGATTATTTCTCGCTTTTGTAGCGCCCGCTAAAGACATGGCCACTTCCGGTCGGAAGCACATCTTGGTGGTCACCGGCCCCGCCTACGGCCACCTGCTGCCCCTCTTCTTGTTATCCCGCAAACTTGCCGCCCACCACCACCACTCCATCACCTTCGCAGTGTCCCGCCACAAAGCCGAACAACTGGCCGAGGCCGAATTCCGCGCTATCCCGGCGGACGAGGACCTCCGCCTTCTCCCCATCGAGGACCGCCTCCTGGAGGACCTCGGCTACCACGACGACCTGGTCGGCGCCTTCCACGCTCTGATCCACGTGATCAACCCGGCCGTCGATGACTTTATGCGGGAAGTGGCCGCCGACGCTGAAGGCAGCGGTGACGCGCCGATCCGACTGTCCAACGGGGAGACCCTCCGGCGTCCAGAGGTCATCCTCTTCGACATGTTCCTTACCGGGTCGGTGATGCGGCACCGCCTCCCCGGAGTGCGCTACTACTTCTTCCAATCGTCGCCCATCACTCTGGTGCGCTGGTTCCTCCTCCTCACCCCGGACACCCCGGTGGTCAGCCCGGCGGAGCACCCGCAGTTCCACGAGCTTCCGCCGGCCGGTCAGCCGTTGGCCGGGCAGATGGCCGGCGTCAAGGAGCTATTCCTGCCGATTTCCGAGCATCTCCCGGAAGTCGACGGGATCATCTGCAACTCCTTCCGGACGATGGAACGGGAGGAAATCGGGAAGATGAACCGGGAGCGACCGGATATGGTCCGAGTGCCGGTGTACTGTCTGGGGCCGTTTATCCCCGAGGACTTGTCGGAGGCCGATTCCAAGGCGGAGAAGTGGTTAAAGACCAAGGAGGCGCAGTCGGTGGTGTACGTGTCCTTCGGGTCCATCGATTTTTTGGTGCCGGCAGCCGAGCAGTTAGCGGAGATCGGTAAACTTTAATATTTAATGCTGTTCCTCTGCCTTTCTGTACATTTTGTTAATACATATGGATATTTTTATTTTCTTATTCAAGGAAATTGTGATTTTGCACTTTTTTATTTAATTACCTAAGTTATCTTAAATTTTTTTTCCATTTAAGTTCATATAGGCTATATATCAACTCAAATGGAAAAACGGTTTGAGATAAGTGAATAAAAAAGTGCAAAATCATATTTTCTTCGAATAAGAGAACAAAAAATCCATATATAATATTCGAATAAAAAAATGTGCCGAAAGGCACAGGAACAGAATCGAATATTAAATAGACTGAGCCCGTGTTATTTCTGCGCGTCTTTGCAAAATTTCCGCTTCTGCATTCATATAATCCCCTTAGGGAAAGCCCTCGTCTCTCTGAAGAAGCCGGTCTTGTGGTCCCTGCGCGCCGGCCACGAAGCGCAACTCCCACCGGAAGTCGCCAGTCACCCGGACTTCCTCATCCTTCCCTGGGTGCCGCAGAAACGCGTACTCGCCGCTCCCCAGGTGGCGGTAATCCTCAGCCACTCCGGCTGGAACGGGACGTTGGAGGCACTCGACAACGGCGTTCCCATCGTCTCCTTCCCCATGATGGCCGACCAGTTAATGGTCGCCACGGCCATCGAGAAACAAGGGGTCGGCGTCCGCCTGCGGGGAACGGGCTACAAACCGGAACGCCTACTTCCGGCCGAGGAGATCGCCCGCGCGCTGCGGGAAGTCGGGGAGTTTGAGGAAAAAGGGCAGGGGAAGTTCCATCAAAGGGCACGGGAGGTCCAGGAGCAGATTAGGGAAGCCATGACGGAGACCGGGACGTCCAGTGTGGAACTGGCCGAGCTTGTCAAATCTTTCGATAAATAACGGTTTCGATATGTTATTCATTATTTTTACATTTCCTTGGCGCTCATCTCTCAGTTTTCTTTGAAATATTTACCAATCACCACCAGTTGAAATGTTTTGGAATTTTTCCTATGATACGTTTATTTTTATTTCTACTAAATTATTTTCAGAAATTTTAAAAAGTTTTAGAATATTTCACAATTGTCCAGATTATTTCTTTAATGCTCCAATCTTTTTTGAATAAGTATTGCTAGAATACGAGTATTTCTTGTTTTTTGCAAGAGTTTCACAAATGATCAAGAATTTCTCAATTTTTGAGGAGTATTTTGGAATCTTCTGGATTATTTTTGGAAAAATTTCGAATTTTTCGGAATATTTCTATCATATATTTCGAACATTTCAGAATTATACCTTTATTAACTGCGGGTATGTATTTACTCTTATCTAAAAATTTAAAAATGTTAATCACTCTGATTGGTAAAATATTAATTTTCAAGATCCTGATAAGCATATACAGTATTTTGCTGCATCAAGGTGCGTGTATGAATTCGACAGATATTGATTCGACAGATAGACAGAGACAGATACCGTTTCGACAGATATTGTTTCTGAATATTTTTTTATTTCGTTCCGGAAATAAATTAATCAAAATCGTCACTGATTATTTTTTCTGATGTACGGATAAGTCATTATTTTATTCGTATCAGTACATTATTCTATTCGTATCGAGCATTTAAAATATTCGTTAAAAAATGCTACATATATCACAACACCGGCAGAAGACAACAAAATTCAAATCGAAATCGGTTCCAACAAGAAAAAAAGACGATTATTGGAATGCATTGCAGCATGTGGGAAAACAGACAACACATAAACTCCAGCCAACCAAATTTACAAATACTGCGTAAAACAATTACTGATGAGTTTTCAGTTTGTTGTCATTTGTCCTTTGTACACTAATACATTTGTAAATTAAATTTTCTTGTTAGCTCTAATTAGTGTTTATTTCTCAAATATAGAAAAATAATTTTAAAAAATAATTGAAGAATCATTTCTTTCGATAAACTACAGCAACGCGGTTCTTCTCTAGGGCATCTTTTGCTGTATGAAATCCAACGAAGCCCTTTGAGTTAGGGCGATGAGAACACAAAACTGCGTATACTACCGTCTATAACAACCGACATGAAGGCGTTGACCGAGATGTCCACGCGGACGTCCACCAGGAACAACCGCCGGCCATCGCCCGGCTCAAGGGGCTTTATTGTATTTCATACCGTAAAGATATATACAGGCCGGGCCCCTAAGCCCCACATACAGGCCGGTAAGCCTAGAGAAGCTTTGACCTTTGATTTCGGAAAAGATTACTCCGAAATGGAAATGCGATAGCTCATGGATGTGTAACATCAGCAATGCACGTTTTCGTAGAGGTCAAGAGGAAAAATATATTTATTTCTTTGTACAAAGTAGTTCAACCGGCTTTGTTTAATTATGCACGGTACTGCTTTGGTAATCAGTAACCAACATGTAAAATATCTCCAGTTAAAAGGGACAGGGTGATAGAAACATTCCACCTTGTATCGTGAATTAGATCGCAAGGAACGTTGCAAAGTGCATGCCGTAATAGCAGTGTAATGTGACAAAATACGTGTAATATGGTAACAACATAAAATACAGAATTGCATCGATGCTGGTGCAGAAAGATCAAATATAAACCGCATAACAGATGACAGCTTCGTTACTCCAACGCATCCGCTTCCGGCAAGAGCAAAGCTAAGATATCACTGGTAGACCTTTTCAAAAAGTGACCTTTCAAGTGACCTTAAAGTGACCTTTTCTGCCGTATCTGTATGACGAATGTGGAACAGAAAAAGGTCATAATAATATCCTACTTCGTAATTCAGTTGGTTATTTTATTTTACATCAGTCAGTTCACAGATCAGATGGGCCAGCGCAGCTTTACACTATTTGGTTTGTTATGTAAACCGTAGTGTAGGTGTATTTGATTGGTTGTAGCTACAGAGGGTTATTCAGCCAAGTGTGGTCAGCGCATTAAAAAAATTCCTATAATTCAGCCGTTGCGCAGAGTCAGATTCTAATAATTGTTTTATTATGGCAAATTAGTTTTGATGCTTTTTGCAAGTTTTTGTGACAATCGGGTTTAAACAGCCCGCAATATTGGCTACTGACCTAAAGACTCCGACTCTAAACCTTTGACCAGGCAAAATTTGGCTTTCGATGATCTGGCCTTAAAAGGATCGTCTGCTTTTCAAATCTGGATGGTTTTAATTGTGAAAAACGACGATCCGAATATTTTTTATAGCAAAACGATTCCATATTCTTGCGCGTTCTTGCGGTAGGACGGCTGGAAAAAACGCGAAAACAGGAAGACACTCGCAAGAGCCATGCTCAATGTGCGAATTGTTACTCACGGAGCTATGGCTATCCTTTTCGTTCCTCCACAAACTAAAGTTGTAACGCAGGTCTTCCTTCACAATTTACAATGTTCATTGGTCGAAAAAGACGCTCCACGGATTAAGCCTGGCAGAGAGGAAGAAGTCATCCAGAACCAGAGATGTGCTCCCGGGAGCACTGCTGAGAAAACAAGGATGTTGCTTCCTGATCGAAAAAAACTGGTAATTCCTTCTGAAAAAGGTTTGTTCGAAACCCATGACAGGTTTCCAGTCGATTATGGCGAAAACCCAAATTTTAAATTAATTTTGAGTAAAGGGAATCCATTTCCTATAGCTGAACTGGTCAACTGTTGCCAACATGGTGGGGATAAACTGAATTTTTTCCTGGGCTACAGGATAACGAAATCTTGGCTCGGTTGAATTCAAAATGTGATTGAATGTTGTGGCTATTTGATAAAATTTTTAAAAAAGTAAAATGAGCCTGCAGCGGCTAAGCAGAAATTTTCCAAAAAGTGACCACACTTGGCTGAATAACCCTCTGTAGAACTTTCCCCACTGTTCGCGCAACATGAGCATTTATTGCTGTTGACTTGTGTGTACAGAGTACTGGCACAAAATCCTCCGAAAACTACTAAGTATTGAATGCCTTGCATCAACATTTATACCGGCTTGTGTAGGTAGGTATGCGCACTTGAAATGTATTACAAAGTGTTTGCGCAGAACACCTGGCACAGAGTTTCGAGCGAGTGAATTCCTTAATATGACTGTTATTATGCCTTGCAGATTCTTTTATATTTTGTAAGTACAGTACTTATACAAGCACATGTAACATTGATAAGACCTGTGTGCGGCCGGTCGAAATTTTAAATTAGTAAAATAATAACAAGAAAATAGGATGTACTGTCATGCAATCAACGATTACAAGCTATGTTTATTTTTTATCGTCAGTCTTTTGATACAATGCGGAAAGATATGATTGCGACAGATAACAGAAAATATAAAAAACAATTCAACTACTAAATATAGCATCTACAGTGAGCTGGAATTCACAAAAGGTGCTGCTGAGCTTTGCCGGCGATGTGTAATGTCTGCTCTAAGTAATGTAAGCGATAATAATAATAACGACGTCGTCGTCAGCTTTTGAATTATTATTAATTAATAATACTTCACGTTTACTTTACGCAGTGTCGCTGGTTATTGGTATTTTGTATGCATCGCTTACACGTGCACGATTACTGCACTTAATTAAGAAACATCAGTGGTAGCATCGCGGACACATTAATCTACATCCGCTGCGTTTTCCTTCCGCATGCCGATGCCGATAAGAGTCGATTGTCATTACCCTTTTAGCGGTCATGCATAAATGCGGGTTTCCACTCATCAGGATGTCTCCTTTAATTACAGAGCTATTTACGTTAGCAGCTATCAATCTCAGCATGTCCTTCTTAGCGGTAACCCATTCCCAACCCATCTTTGGCGGGACATGAGGAGTAATCACCAGGGATGCACTGCTGCCTGGGTGTGGGTACGCCGGTAACCAACAATTACACAGGACGAGGTACTATCTGTACACTTACACAATTACACAGGAATTACTCGTAGTACAATCTTTTATTACTTCCAGCCGAAAAAACAGGTTGCAGCGAACAGGTTGCAGGTTGCAGGTTGCAGCGATCAGCGAAAACAGAATGTCGCAGCGACAATAGTTTATTTTCGCTATACTGACATCAACAAGATTTGCGAATGGCGGTAACGGAAAGCGGCGTTTTTTATACTAAGAGAACAGAATTGACCGGAACAGATTATTACCAGAATATTATAAATTCAGTGACAACATATAATTTTTAATTTATAAAAGATTTTTGTGCCGTGTTAAGAAAATAACGATAATTGACTATTCAACACAGTAACAGATATTTGATAGCAAAATGGCTTAATACGGAGCAGCAAGGGTCTATCGATTCAGTTGACAAATATTATTGTTCTTTGTAGAAAATCCAACCAAGTTATGTGCACGTGTGCCAGGTTGTTACTGGATGCGGTTGAAGTCCAACCATCTCTGCAGATGGCTACGGCTGGGCGGTATGTAGGCCTTGGCTTTTGTGCTGCGAACAGGAACCGGTTGGGGCGACGCCACCGCTACCGCTGCCGCCGCCTGGGCCGCTGCCAACTCCTTGCTCTCACGCAGGCTGTTTCGTAGTTTGTGGCCAAAGGTCACGGATGTGGGGTTCAACATGCGCAGCGTCTAAAAATATAGGAAATCCGATAACAACCACTTGTTTATACGGCAACAGGGTACGTTCGTATTGATGACTTTGCATTATTACGTAATTTTCGAATATAACCTTTGCGATAGATACGTGTGCCATGCTGCTTTTATCTCACGGATAAATCAAAATACCGCGCATTTCGAGCCTACGATAGTTCACAGACGTTGGCTCAAAGAACACTGGAAATTTACATAAAATTTTCTGTGACCTTTAAGCATCGACCATGAACCATTGATCTCACTACAACATAATTATTAAATGCGTGACCTTTAGCATATTTTACCGCGCTACTTTTTCCCTTAAAAGAAATCGTCACTAGCGTATCAAGGTAAATCGATTATTTCTTGGGTAGCAATGACCTTTGATAAACGATTAGAAATGTAAAATTTTCCATTAAGTACCAGCAGTAATACCCGTTTGTTGATCACCGTCCAGGCCGGACTGCCTTCACCTTCCGCATAGGCCGCTACCTCATCCGGATAGTACCATCCACCACCGGTAACCGGCACACTGCCCACGCTGCCATTATCCACCTCCGTCTCGCTGGCCGCATCCGTCAGCGGTTGGACATCCTGTCCAGCGACCACAGCCACACTTATCGCCAACAACCCGATAATCAGGAGATCCATGCTGGCAACAGCCATCCCCATGCAAATTCCGGCGATTGTGAGTCCCCAAATAAATATCAAGAAAAATCGCCGACTGTTACTGACATAAACCGGAATGCAGCGGTTGATATACCGGCTAATTTACTTGGCCAGCTCTGACGTAAACAACGCACGGCCCAGGTGGGATGTACACGCGGGGATTAAGGACGAAGGAGTCGGAGGGGGAGATAATTAGAATGATTATGATCACACGCTGCCGCGGCGGCCCGCGGGCTACACGCAGCATGAAATGACCTTTTCATGGCGAGATTGTCAACAGCAACGGGCCGCTTTTGTTGGCCAACACCGTAGCGGGAAGATGACGCGGATGGAAAGAAAAAGCGGGCGCTAAGGTACCGGGATGAAAGGGATATTTAGAGGAAATGTTAGAGGCGCATGCTAAACAGTATCCCGGATGGACGTAAGCGAGCGGGTTTCTTAAAGGCTAAGCTGGTAATTATCTAAAGGTGTTAACAATACCGAGATTCTCGGTGGATGGTGTTTGTTGTTGGATTCTCGGTGGATGGATGGATTTTAGACAGAGCCGGCATGTGCCGGTGTTTGTTGTCTTGTAATCACTTATGATGCCGGCGATATGTGCAAACGGCTAATTTTACAATTTTGCGTGGTGATCCGGGTGGGATCACGTTACCTGTACTTGGTACAACTGATCTAGTTTTTCAAAAGCGAAGAGGAAGATGCTGGAATAAAAATTGCGTGACTGTGATGCATGCGTTACAAGAGACGCTTTCTTAAATTGTTTGCTGTAGATTTTATGGATGTTTACAGTCAGTAATCCGGCTTATTTCTAGCATTGCTAGTGCATTGCTAGTGCATCGGTAAAAAGGACACACCGTGTATTTCTTAGAAAATTGTAAAGTTAGAATAACAATGAGAAAGATTACTTTTTATAAAATAACAATTTTTGCGCTGGGACAATCCACTGAATCGCAAAAGGTCCAGACTTGCAGTTAGTCTAACAGTCGTACCTCGTAACGCAAATGTGCGATGTACTTGAGATTTCCTTGTAAGTTTCCGGAAATATCTCGTATCTGTCATTTTTAACTGAAATTGCATTTGGCGAAAAGCTCGCTAAACATCATACATAAGCGCACTCCAAGCTAAACATTATACATATGCTTCCGGTGCGCGCATCAATAACAAGCGCCCACCGCGGTAGCGTAATACGGCTTTTAATATCTTTCCTCTGTTTCAGAACACTCCAGTTTCTAAATTTTTTTTGTCAGAAAGTACCTTCCTAAGCAAAGAATTCTATTCAAAAATCAAGAACGTTATGATAGCCATTTTAAAATTAGTTTGTATGAACTTGTTTTACCCAAGTTAACCGATGCAAAAGCACTCGCTCCTGCTTGCACGACGCACCAACGCAAATTGTGCGTGTAATTGCGCCAGAACACTATATTCGCTTCCGGTTAAGACTTTGCCTCAAAATTATTGTTACGGAATTTTTGTTAATGGTGTGCATCTAGAAAAATTACTGCTTTTAGAACAGATCCTATTGTAACGCTTATTACATTGCCGGTGGCGATATGTACTGACTCAATTTTGTACGATATGCAGTATAAACACTTCAACAGGACAACAGTTAATTCTATATACATATTACCGGTACATGGTATAGAATAGTTACCGGTATTACATAATTATTCATACTTGTATAACAATTACATATTAATTGTTGTTATTATTATGAATAATGCTTGTACCAGCTAATGCTGGTACATTGCATGATTTTTATCCACCATTTTCCATGGACGTGATACAAGTATTTTATTAAACTTCCGTTATTAACTGGGCTACTGTATAACTATTACCTCCAGGAAAATTTTCCCTCTGTTTTTTTGGTGGTTTTTTATACAATAAAGAACGATACTATACACGTATAATCAAATCCAGACTGTATAAAACACTCCTCATCACAAAAATTCTCTCCACACACCCCAATCAACAATCAACCGACAGAATCATCTACAGTATCGTCGTCTGACTCTCGGCCTTAATTTCGGTGATCTGCACATCATGCCCGGGCCGGTAGTCGATATTATCCAACCCGTAATCCGACGGATACGAATGCCGGTATTTGCGGAAACGCGGATGCAACGCACAAGAGCAGGCCACGCCCAGTCCGATAAACAGCACCGCGCCGCACAGGACGGCGGCGGCCAGCAGGAGACCCTCCAGATTGGTGGAGAAAGGCGCGCGGTTACCGCGGTCCGGAGCGCAGTTGGTGGCGTTGAGTGTGGACAGCGCATGCAGCTGGTAGGTGCGCGGATCTACGCAATAAAGGTCGCTGGAGGTCAGGGTGTGGTTGGCGGTCAGGTAGTCGGCCATGTGCAGGTTACTGCACGAACAGGTCAGGGTGTTCCCTGTTTTAACCCGTAAAAATAGTATAGCAGTTTTAAATAAACAGCATCCAATCAATAATTTTCTGAAGATTGTACAACAATCGTACTCGTACATTATTTGAATATTTCTTATATTAGTATTTTAAAATATTAGTATATTATTCAGTAAATACTTCAGTACAAATATTAAAATATTTTTACGTTATTTAAATAATCATTTAAATAATACCAATATGCCTAAACTGCCAGTTTAACGATTTTCAAGTAGTATCGTAGTACAGTGTATATATTGTCAAAACTCTCCAGGCTATAGAAGTATGCAAAGTACTCGTATAACACGATTACACAACACTTTTCACAGCAAATTAAATTAATTAGTTATGCGAAATGCTGCCGAGTTTTTTTTGCTGTTTCAAGCAAAATTCAGTCTGTTAAATATTTTAGGTTACAACTCTGTATTAACTTTCAAACAACTGAAATAATATGTTTTGTATAATGATTGGTATTACTAATGCAACTGCCTGTTAACGTTTTTGAGAATAAGGAATACAATTAGTTGATCAAGTAAATGCGTTTGTTGACGTAATTTGCCGCGACTCACCGGTAAACAGAAATTCCGTTAAATTCCCCATTGATCCGAACGCCTCATCCTCCACAATCAGCACCCGGTTTTCCCGTAAATCCAACACCTGCAGACTCCGCATATCCCGGAACACCCCGTTCCCGATCCGTTCAATCTGGTTATAACTGACATTCAACCTCCGGACGCCGCCTAGTCCCCCAAACACCTCCCCTTCGAGATGCTCCAGCTGGTTCTCCTGCAGCTCCACCTCGATGACACTCCCTAATCCGCTGAAGACCCCCGCCGCGATGTTCGTTAAGCGATTCCCGGAGAAATTGAGGGAATTTAGACGGGATGCGTTGCGGGAAAGCGGAACCGGAAGTGTCCCCAACTGGTTGTCTGTGACGTCCACCCGCCGGACGTCCGTATTAGCGATCCATCCCGCCGGGAGGGTGGAGATCTCGTTGTGGTTAGCCGCCACAAAGCGGAGGTGTGGCGAGGAGAAAAGGTCATCGGGAGTGCGTGTGAGGTCGTTGTGGGAGAGGTCCAGGACGACGAGGTTGGGCAGGTCGGTGAGGACACCGTTCCCCAGGTCCGTCATCCCGTTCCAGGTGAGGTTTAATTCCTTCACGTTGTGTAACCCGAATAAACTATTCTGACCCAGTTTCGCCAGCCCGCCGTTGATTTTTAGCACCTCCAGCTGGTTTAATTGATTAAACGCCCGTCCGATGACCTCGAGACGCGCGTGTCCGATTAACTCCAAGGTGGTTAGATTCCGCAGGGTTAGCATTTCCTCGGTGAGCCGTGTAATTCTGGTGGACACAATTCTTAGTACAGTTATTCCCGCGGGAAACAGACTCCCCCGGAAGTCCACATTGGACAACGCCGGGAGACCCTCCAGATGGCATTCCCGGAGCGCGCTAGCGCTCGACCAGTCCGGCAGCACCCGGATCTGGTTGGCGTTGATAATCGATAAACTCTGCAGCTGAGTGCGAATGACGTTGGAATTCTCCGGCCAGCGCGCCGTCATCCCGTCCTGGAAGTCCCGGAGGGTCAGGGCGATGGGCCCGACATTCTGGAGGTTGACGTTAAGTAAAATCCGATCATTGAGATAGGTTTGGTTAATCCCCCGGCACGTTAAGGTAAACACCCGGTCGACGACGGTACACTGACAAAGGTCAAGATTGACCGGACATGTTGTCGGTTGGGATAACAACGGGAGGATCTGGAATAGGAGGAGCGCGAGTATCGGGAGCATTGTGAGGAGGGGCGCGTACTGCAGTTTTCACCACTGACTGTTCGGTAATTTCGTGGATTGTGTGTGTGCCGTGATTTGAGAGGTTTTTGATGGGTTGAGTGATAAAGATAAGGCGCTCGTAAAACGACTGGTCAGTGATCGTTTCACCATTCGGCGCTTGCCGGCGTCTTGATAAACGCTGCGTGTGTGGAATGTGTGGGGCTTTTATGATTTAAAAGAAAGTTGCCGTTAAATGCCGGTGCATTATCGGCCGCCGAGGTTTGGCCCGTTGAATCTTATCGGGATGATTTATATTATATTTTTGCTGCGAACAATGCCGGCTAACGCCAGCGGAGTCGGTCAAATGCGGCTGTGATTCACGGGGAAAAATGCAGTGGATTGTTATAGGGTGTAATGCATGAATGACATAATCGCGCGGTGATACCAATGTCACGCTACTTGTCAATTGTTAGCATGCAGATTAAGATTTCGCCGCATTATGACAGAATCAAAATTATTATCAATAACGTTAATGACATAAAAATATGTACATTGCCTTTAACTGCATTTGCAAACGTGATGTACGGACAGCTGCATAATTATGGTTAATTTTAATGTTTCAAAGCCTTTTTCGGATCCTCAACATCAAAAAGATGGTTTATTAAAATTTTTACTAATAGCGATTAGTCGATTACATAATAACAACAGATTTTATTTAAAAAATGTTCGTATTAACAATCTTTCAAATTTATTTTAATGCAGAAACTATACATAATGATTTTATATGCAAAATTATTACAAAATTTATAATTTAATTCAATGTTTTTGTATAAGCAGTTTTTCTTTAAATTTTACATTAATTCAAAAGAGAAATCAATTTTACATCCAAAAAATTATTACATATTTTATATAAACGGGAAGTTTATTTTAAATCTTAGAAAATCGTCCAAACTGGACTTTAAATTTGCACCTGCCTTTTTCAAAGCGATCTTTGAACCTTGTTTTAATTTTTTTATCCATACTTTCCGACCGGAAGTTACTGAACAACCATTTTCGTAGCACTGTGCACAGATTATCTGACTATAGAACATAAGAATTAAAGTGCTGTTTTAAATGCATCAGTTGTAAATGGATAGAATGGCATATGCATAATATGGAAGCCCCATCAGATCGATTTCCTTAATACCTGCACGTAAAGTTAAAAACTGATTTGCCTTCAATTTAAAACCGTCAGTGCAATTTCTCTCTGCATATATGTCTCGGTAGACGTCTTATAGCGAATTATAATATCGACTGGGAATACATTTTATTTGTCTAATGATTTAAAAATCCATTTGTCAATATCCGCTACATATTAGGCCGGATTATCAGTTCTACTGCAACGGTATACACGGACAGGCTGGCTGCAGCAGGCGTACGGAATGTGTGTGAGTGTTTGCCCTGGATGGACATGTATATTCATCATCCCGGCAACGGCTGCATTGTTCAGCGGATCATCATCGTCATCAGCCGGCTACCGAGTCAACACATAACACTGGCCTCCATTGTCCCTGATAAGACTGTAACGCTCCGGCGTTGACACAAGGGATTAACTCCTTACCTTCCTGAACCGTTCGTCTGATGGTGAAAATTTTACATTTCTAGTCCAGTAGAAAATTTCTCACAATTCTCACACAAGACGCGTTATAAAATCGCGTTCGCGGATATATATGCGCAAAAATATTTGGATTTTTAAAAATTTCTCACAATTTTTAAAGAATTTATCATGGGTTGTAATGTACTGCATTTGCTAAAACGGTTATTCCAGCGTAAAGATCCAACAACCCCGCCCGTTGATGATTCCGATTACGGGTTTATTCCCTATGCTTGTAGTTCCCCCACGCAGGAAGGGGAGCAGACGCATTTCTACGAGGAGATCGCGTATGCCGATGCGTCATCTCCCGACGACCTTTCGATGACGAAACGCCGTATCGTTATTGTGCAGCCGTATGAAGTGGTGACCCTGATTCAGAAGAGCGACCCGCCGTATGATCCCTGGCGCCGTCGGGAAGAGCCGGCGCGGTCATTTATACAAAGTCGTTTACACGCTGTACAGGATAACGATCCAGGGAAATTAGGACCACCCGGGCGACCGGTAGATGCCCGCCTGCTGTATAAGACGGCCACGCCCACACGTTTATCACATTATCCCAGTAATTTATCGCCCTATTACGCCACGATTGAAGTGTAACGCGCGTCTGTTAATTCTTCTTATTTATTTTAGTTAAATATGTTTTATTATTTAATAATTATTAATTTTATTCTGCATCCGGTTTTCTGTAAAAGTTATTCATGCACGCTCTTTGATTTTTATTTTTAATTATTATCAAATTCCCGCTCGCGCTTTCACTTGGCAACGATGATGTCCAGCATGTCAACGATAATGTCATTCTTTTAAAAAAATATTAATTCATTTAAAAAACGATTATTGTAATAATTTCTCTCTCGTTGCAATTCAACATTTAATGCGAACTAATTGGATCAAAGTGTGCTACAATGATAGATGTCTGTACTATGTATAACGCGGAAAGTAGAAAAAATAGAATGCCCACGCGAGTGATGTACAGTCGGGAAGCGGATGCTGGGAGCAGCCGGAGAACGCCAGTAAATAATGCCATGGCACTGAGCTTCATTACTCTGCTCAGTCATCTAAGTACGCGATAAACTGCCGCAGCCTTGTAAGTTGTTTAAATGCGCCAGTAATCTACTTGCATATCCTGCTATATCTATAAATTTGATAAAACAGTACTGATCAGTTTGTATTATAATTCTTTTTTATTTGTTTATAGTATTTTTATATGTATATACAATATAAATAAAATCAATTTTGATTAAACATTAGAAAAGACATTTACTGGAAATAAATTATATTAAATAATAATAACTTAACCCAGCCATGTAAATATGTAGCTGATTAACGTATTTCTGCTTGTCCTCTTGTCCCATGTGCCGACTGAAAACTACGGATTTTATCCTTAACAGATTGTGTGCAAAGTCTACGCTGCAATATATGCCAAGGGGATATCATCAATTCAATAGCCCCGGAAATGAGAAAATGTACGCATTCTATATTTTGATAGGTAGCGGTATATAGAGGGCAAAACTAAGCGTGTTCCACGGTTCCCCTGTATTGCTGCCGTCACCCGCCTGGAGTGTGACGTTACGGCAGTACATATGATTAAATCTGGCGCGGTACATAAGCGCCATGTTCAGCCACAACGTAAAACTCCAGCCGCCCTGAGCCGGGTGACGGCAGCAGTAGCCGGAAACGGTGGAACACGTTTAGTTTTGCCCCTTATATAACCGGTACCGGTACAGACGGGACTCTATGCATGCTTTTTGGCGGCACGAGTGTACTTTGTACTAAGTCAGCATGCCGCTTCACATTGACTGCACACATCGCTTTTTTATCGTTTTTTTATTAATTTCATTAATACTAGATTTTTTAAAATAATATTATTGTTCGATGTCTTTTTTTACACGTCGATGCACTGTTTGCACAATTAAACATGTGTTTAAGGCAGGATAGTAATAGCACAATAACCGTGACAAACGTGGACATTTCCCTGTACATGGTAATTAACGTGAACATTTTAATTTCACAATTTTACAAAGCGTTTTTCTTAAAAGTAAAATGTCAAACGTAATAAAAAGCCATATTTTTTGTTGCTATCGAATACGCATACCATCTAATAATACGTAACTGTTATGCTTTTCTGGATGCTTTCAGGCGACGGATCCAACTACCAGCTGCAGTTGACCGAATGCCCCACCAATGCCAAATATCTGTGCCATCAATATGTGTTCCCCGACACACAAAGCGGTCCGCACAGCCGTATGTGAACTCCAGTACATTGATCCTTTATTTTATGTACTATTTCTAACAATAAATAACATGCACGCAAACGAATTGCCATGTTATATACGTATGTATGGCTTGCTGTTAGGTTATCGCCGGCTGAAGTTTTACCCAAACATTGTGAATAGGATAGAAATATATATAATTACTTACTATTATTTGTTATTTATCTACTGTATCTGTTATCAAACTAAGTGTAGTAAACGTAAACTACGTAAGTAAAGGCTAAAATTCATCTCTTTCTTCAGCGAAATATGGCGTTGCTACAGGTATATTTACGTACTTATTTCGCCAGAGTTATTTCATTTACAGTGGATACGTACTCCGTATTTGTATTGCTGTACTTAAACTTCATAAACTGAAATTCTTAAACCTCAAACTAATTACTACTACTAAATTAACAATCCAAATATCAATATAATGTAGATAACAATTAAATGTGAATGTAGTGAAAATTATAATTAAATAGTAATTTTATTTGTTAGAAAGGTAATATCAGTATTGCTTAACTTAAATAACTTAAATAAATCCAAACCAAAAACTTAAATACGAAAAACTTAAATAAATCTGGTAACAAAAACAGTATCTCTGCTGCAGCGTACTACCACTTCAAAGGGTGTCGCGAGGCCACCGGCCGGGTGGCGGTGACCATCTCCCCGCCGAAATTACCGGTGGTGGGTCAGCAGTGCCACTGGGACGGGACGCATTCCTGCTGGTGTGACACGGACGGATGTAATAGTCACACGCCGGAGCAGATCAACCGGCTGCCCATGCAGTACATGCTGGGCCGCGTCAACGGGCCGGAAGTGCTGCAGCTGGAGATGCAGGATGCCGCGGATTACCTGCCCTTCCGTTCTCTGGCCATGCCCGCCATGGACATGTCCCGTATAGGTAGGCCACTGCACGCAGTACAGTTCAGTTAATTTACTTAATTCCAATTTTTTATTTTCCTAAATTCAGTTGTAATATACGAATATCATTAATATTTTTATGATATTATGTGAAATACCATGATAGTATGTGAAATACCATACCAATGTGAAATACCATACTCAGCAGTGAGATTCGCGACCACGTAACCAGCGGGATTGCGAGGGTAAAAGTTCATCAAAACGATTAACGATTTAAATAGTTTAATAGCACATACTCGTACTTGTATTGGGTGACTGATGGAAATAATTCACATTTTTTAGAGCTGTCTATAAAATGCACGCTTTCATATTTTTGTTGCAGTAAATGTTTCACTTTATACGTCTTTATCCGTAAATAAATAGATTCATCCATAAATAAATTTTTCCAGGAAACTTCACCGTATCGTCTGCCTCCATGGATTCGGCACTGGCGACCGGAAGTTACATTTTCTCCTTTGCTTTTCTGCTAATCATGTGACTGATGTGAGACCGGATTTTGTCATAACAGACCTTTAACAGTCTTCCACAGATTTTGTATTAATTTACCGAATAAAAATCTTCCTGAAAGTCGGGAATAAATACAAAAAATCAACAGAAAAAATGTCGCAGTATAATGAGTATACAAATTTCTAAAAAAATCCAACACAAGCAGTATCAAGTTATCAACAGCGTTTACAACGTTTCCAGCGTCTCTTCATCGAATTCATCATAAAAAATATGCGTAAAAATAATTAACGAAATAATTTGCACTTTATTGCCATTAATTTTGTCCTTTGTAACACATTCGTAAATTAAATTTCTTGTTCACTCTAATCTATAATTTTCAAATATAGAAAAATAATTTTTTTTTAAAAAAATTGACGAATCATATGCCTGAATAGACTACACAGCACTATATGTAGTGACTAGTCTATAACTCCCGATATGAAGGCGCTGACATTGAAACACGCCGATTACTCTTAAATGCTGGTAACTTTTTTGCTGGATTAAATTGAATGATTCTATGCTAATCGCAGCACTGCATGCCGATAATCTTTTTTTTCTTGTTGGAGGCGATTTTGGTTTGAATTGATTTGCCTCCTGCAGTTGTTGTGATATAATCATTTTTCAAACTAATATTATATGCTTTATACGAATAGAATAATGTGATAGAGTCAGTGCCAATTTTATCAGTTTATTCCCGGAACGAATAGGAATACAAGTATACTTAATCAGAAATGATATCTGTATCTGCCGAGTTTATACACGCACTTTGATGCAGCATAATATCAGATAATTATCAGGATTTTTTTAAATTATTATTTCACCAGAAGGAATGATTAGTATTTTCAAAAAAGTAAATTTACACTTGATAATGGGATATTTTTGAAATATCTGAATATATTATAGAAATATTCCGAAAACTTCGAAATTATTCTAAAAATAATCCAAAAATGTCTAAAACAGTCATAAAGCATTAAGAAATTCTTGATTATTCTAAAACTCTTGCAAAATAAGCAAAACTTTTCTGGAATACTCCAAAAATATTTATTTACTCAAAAAATACTCTGGACAATTCGAAAAAACGTAAAACGTTTTTATGTAAAACGTGTTTAGAGAATTTAAAAATGGTATACTGTAATATGTAGATATCTAAAAAAAGCCTGTCGAAGGAAAAATTACAAAACCTTTAAAACGGTAGTAAATATTTCAAAGAAACTGCAAGATGTAAAGATGCTCCAAGGGAATGTAAAAATAATAAATGACATATCGAGACCGTTATTTATCGAAAGATTTGACAAGCTCGGCTAATTCCACAGTGGACGTCCCGGTCTCCGTCATGGCTTCCTCAATCTGCTCCCTGACCTCCCGTGCCCTTTGATGGAACTTTCCCTCCCCTTTTTCCTCAAACTCCCCGACTTCCCGCAGCGCGCGGGCGATCTCCTCGGCCGGAAGTAGGCGTTCTGGTTTGTAGCCCGTTCCCCGGAGGCGGACGCCGACCCCTTGGTTCTCGATGGCTGTCCCGATCATCAACTGGTCGGCCAACATGGGGAAGGAAACGATGGGGACGCCGTTGCTGAGGGCCTCCAACGTCCCGTTCCAGCCGGAGTGGCTGAGGATGACCGCCACCTGGGGCGTGGCTAGCACGCGCTTCTGTGGCACCCAGGGGAGGATGAGGAAGTCCGGGTGACTGGCGACTTCCGGTGGGAGCTGCGCTTCGTGGCCGGCGCGCAGGGACCACAAAACCGGCTTTTTCACAGAGACGAGGGCTTTCCCTAAGGGGGTGATCCATTTTAAAAAATTTGTATAACCATTTAAAATTGGGAGCCACTCCGTACACACCCTTGCGCTAGCTTTTACAAAAGGTTGTGTACGCAGTAAAAAAAATAAAGGGTGGTGTACGGAGTGGGCACCTTAAAAATTTGATAGAGTGGATAATGCAGAAGGGGATATTTTACAAACACGCGCAGAATATCACAGGCTCAGTTGTCGTTGCAGTGGTGCACAACCGTAGAATAAATGTTGCAATACAAGAACACTATCTACAGTAAATTCGCGAGTATATAAAAAAAGTAAGTTAGCTAGAGAATGATAAACGTGACGGTACTCACTAGTAAAAATATAACAAAATAAATGCAAACATTTTTTTAAATATTATGTGCTTGCCATAAAAATCTCTGTACAATGAAATACAAACATATCTGTCCATAGAAGTATACATAAAATGGAAATAATAAAAACACTTGAAAGTAAAAAAAATACACCCGTAAATATGTACAAGCAAATTAAAATCTTTTTGTAAAATAAAATATTACTGTACTTGAAAACTTATGCAGTATCAGAAATGCATTCATAAGAAAAAATGCTGCTAGTGCTTAAAAAATAATCAATAAGAAAAACTAAAAAAGAACTGGAATTTACTGAGTGATGATAACACGTACGAGTACTGTACAGATGTATTTGTGCCAACCTGTCTACGGTACTCTATTAAAGGATATGGCATATTCCCATTTCCCAATACATATTCGTACTGTAAATAATTATTGTCGATGACTGACTTAACATTTGTAATTTTTAAAAGAACAAAGGAAAGGATCTGACTACTGGTTACAAGTATTTGTGGCAGCCGCTGACATTGTACGGTACCCTAATAAAGTATATTTCCAGTAAATAGTGCCGCTTGTGTTGCCAATGGATTTTTAAGTAAAGCCACACCCACTCAACCGTGGCCGATGCATACCGTGGCCGATGGCCGAAAATAGTTTTTAAGTATACCAAGGGTTACTTTGTTTTCCTGCAAACATGAACTTTTTCGGAGGCGGAAGCCCCTAGGCCCCATGGAAAATAAAAGTGGCATGAAACTATTCCGTGTTTGAAACTATTACATACATGTCTATATCCATTTAAATGGTAAAAAAGGCTACTGAAACTATTACATACATGTCTATATCAATTTAAATGGTAAGTAAATAAAAATGTGCAAAATAATATTTCTTTGAATAAAAAAAATATCCATACTTCTATATAATATTGGAATTAAAAAATATACCGAAAGACAGAAAAACAGAATAAAATAATAAAGGTTACCGATCTCCGCTAATTGCTCGGCTGCCGGCACCATAAAATCGATCGAACCGAATGACACATATACCACCGACTGCGCCTCCTTGGTCTTCAACCACTTCTCCGGCTTGGAATCGGCCTCCGACGAGTCCTCGGGGATAAACGGCCCCAGACAGTACACCGGCACTCGGGCCATATCCGGTCGCTCCCGGTTCATCTTCCCGATTTCCTCCCGTTCCATCGCCCGGAAGGAGTTGCAGATGATCCCGTCAACTTCCGGGAGAAGCTCCGAAATTGGCAGCAACAGCTCCTTAACGCCGGCCATTTGCCCGGCCAACGGCTGCCCGGCCGGCGGAAGCTCGTGGAAATGCTGGTGCTCCGCCGGGCTGACCACACGGGTGTCCGGGGTGAAGAGAAGGAACCAGCGCACCAGACTGATGGGCGACGACTGAAAGAAGTAGTAGCGCACCCCGGAAAGGCGGTGCCGCATCACCGGCCCGGTGAGGGACACGTCGAAGAGGAGGACGCCGGATGGTCTCCCCGTTGGACAGTCGGATCGGGGCGTCACCGGCGGCTTCGACACTGGCGGCCACTTCCCGCATAAAGTCCTCGACAGCCGGGTTGATCACGTGGTTCAGGGCGTGGAAGGCGCCGACCAGGTCGTCGTGGCCGAGGTCCTCCTGGAGGCGGTCCTCGATGGGGAGGAGGTGGAGGTCTTCGTCCGCGGGGACAGCTCGGAATTCGGCCTCGGCCAGTTCTTCAGCTTTGTGGCGGGATACTGCAAAGGTGATGGAATGGCGGTGGTGGGCGGCGAGTTTGCGGGATAACAAGAGGAGGGGCATCAAGTGGCCGTAGGCGGGGCCGGTGACCACCAGGATCTGCTTACGACCGGAAGTGGCCATGTCTGCTGCGGGTGCCACAAAAGCGTGAAACAATCCGTTGCGATGCTATTCAGAACGAAATCAGCTGTACTTCTGACAGGGTGTACAGAGTACTATAAGTATATTCTAAAAAGATCTGCAATCGAAACATGCAGTTGTAATTATGTAGTACTTCGACATTTCTACCCAATTTGCACATTTGCACAATATTTTTATGGGTTCCGGACACCACAGACACGGTATTCTTCGAGCTGTTCCATGTAAAAACAACTTTTCGAATAATTAGTGAGTACTGATAATTATTGTTTCTATACAAGCTTGTACAAGAGATTAATAAAAAAATTATCAAGTTTTTCTTTTGTGGAACAACGTGAAGAATACCTTGTCTCTGCCATATGGTTTCCGGGACCCCAGTCTACTGCGAAACGTCCGGAATGCGAAAAATGTCGAAGTGTGCCATTTGGTTTTTGGCTTTTGCCTATACCATTAAAGCTACACTGAGAAGAAACCGATGCGGTAACGGTAACGCACGAATTACTCACGTGTCAGCGGTGTCCGGAAATTGAGGTTCCAGCTGCAAAACGAAAACTGAGGATGTGGTGGTACCTATAAGTGGTATAAGATGTGGTGCTTATACGCTTTTTACCGAGTATAAATCCGAAGGACCTCGTGCCAGGTGAAATATTACAGTACAATGCCCTCAACAATACGAATACAACGGACACGCTTTAGCAAAGTGAATACTACATGTTGTAATTTTATTTCTCAATATGTATAAGGCGAGCATCCCTCAACAAAACTGATCAAATGAAGAATTTGTCCCAATTAACTACATGTTGTCGCGCGTTGTTGGTTAAATAATCGTGGCTGCCGTGTGGTGTGCCTGGAGCACTTCAGTAGCGAAATCAAAACAACTAGCCGAATAAAGCAATCGCAAAGTACGGCTGTGTTTTTTTGCCGGCGTACAGTAACTGCTTGACGGTTGATGGTACAAACTCTCGCTGTGGAATACGGCCCAGGTAATCTGTTACTGTTCATATTGTAACTGTCATTCGATAAGTGATATATGGTAACCTACAACACAAAACAAACGTAGTACAGAGCTGTAGGTGCGCTGTACACGTTGGCAACATTTTATTCAGATTGGCGGTAAAAAACATTCACTTCTATACCAGTAGATTTTCACTGATTACACAGCCTCAGCCGACAACAGAAATATCAATAAAAGACAACGGAGATTATGTTGTCAACATTATGGCCAGGTGCTACCGAACATTAAACTACCCAATGTGCAAGGGACTTCGTAAATGTGGTTACACTGAAAGCCGAGAGCGCCATGCGTACGGATAGGTACTTATGTGAAACCACTTTCGTGAAGTGCACTGTAGCTGTACAGTTCTGTAACTTCTGTTTATGTACGTATACGCCTTCTTGTCGCTATGCTCGATAGTTATTATGAGCCTTTTTTCCATTACAGGCACCAATAAAGGAATCATCAAAGTGCGCCTGTAATTATATATACGAGTATTCATTAAAAAAGCAATGGCCAATCGGCTGTGATTTGGCCGTGTATTGGGATTTCGTTTACTTTTTTTGACTAGTCTTGTAAAGTGTGTGAGCCTGTGTTGTTGATGCTGTTGCAAGTTTCAAGCCTGATATAACTAACAATTACCTGACACAACACAACTCCTAGCGGAGGGTTCGAACTTCCTACAGTATATGAATTTTGTTTTCAAGATAGTGATGCTCGAAACAGTTTTTACAAAAACAGCAATTTTCAGAAATTTTTTACGAAATCTTGTACGAAGAGTTCAATCGCCACGCACCGGCTTCCGCGTGTATAGAAGGATGTTGTGGATGGCCACGAAGCTGATGGGTTGTGTGAAGAGACTGGTCAGCTGCAGTTGTCGGCGCGGAGCATTGGGATCGATGCGGATGTTGACCAGCGCCAGATTCCACAGTCCGAACGGTGCCGGACCGAAATGCGCGCATTCCGAGGTCGGCTCCACATCGGAGGTGACTGTGTACAGCGAGACGCCGGTGCAACCGCGATCACTGGCGCGGTAATAAAACTGCAACACAACCAGTTAATTACCGACACTGAAAAAGGAAATTTTTTTCCAATCATTATCTCGGGCCCAAGTTGCACATAAACCAGGACTGGATTTTAACTACAATAAACTAGGAAATAAATTAGTTATTTGCAACAAGCAAAGGTCAACGTGATACTTGCCACTGTGACAGATCTGATAGTATTCTACACACCGGCACTTGCATAAATGAAGATGAAACTTAACAAGAATGCCATAACGGCACTACGAGACCATACAAAACCGTAGAAAAAAGGCTAATTTGTGTCTCGTGTCCGTTATTTGGGCTCAACCAGTTATTTTCAACAATAAAGAATGCGAATACAAAATAACTAACTTTTTTGTAATAAATCAAGTATTTTCCACAGTAAGTATTACGTAGTAATTATTGTATTACTAAATAAGTAAAATGGATATTTAATAATGGATGTTTTGCTAATGTTTTTATATACTCAAAGGAAATTGCAGTAGGAAGAGCGTCGCGTTGATGATGGGACTGATGAGGCTGGCCCGGTGGCCGGTGTAGCCGCGGGGCGTGGCCATGTAGTTGCCGGCGTGGGCGGAGACGTTGTTGTGCGAGGTGGACACCGTCCACGGGATGGAGTCCAGGTTGCGCCAGGCGCACAGGATGTTGGCCTCGAAAATGCAGGAAATCTCTCCTCGATTGCCAGATCGCAAAAACGTGTAAATTCTAAAAGAAACACTAGCGATGGCGTACTTCAATATGGAATGGTCGGCGACTCATTTAAAATGGTGGTCGTGGCCAGATTAGCGCTGACCAAATCGCGTTGAGCGGACGGTTTTGTTACTCATCGCGCGCCGACAAAGAAATTGCCCGCTTTCGCCTGGAACACCGTGCTGTCGTTGGGGTTTCCGATGCGCAGACGGAGTGTCCGTTGCGGCTGCAGACTGTCGCGCCGGCATTCTGTAAACCCCCGCATGTCGGGATTGTTACCCTCGCTAACGCATCACAGCTGATCGTGCCCGGGATATGGGTTCTGCTGACACGACTCGACCGGTTAAAACGAACCTTTGCCGGTAATTTTCGTCCAAACATTCGCCAAAAATGGGGATGTCTTATAAAAAAGTTCCAGAAAATCATGCTACAGTTGCTAGCACTTCTTTTCTAATCGTGCAAAAAATTGTACCCAAGTTGGATACTCGATGTGCATAGGTTAACAAAGTTAAAGCTAATGCATCTGTGATATGGCAAAACAGAACATCAGCTCGCCACCTGCCAGCCACAATATGCGCCACAATACTACGTTCGAATGCATTTGCAGCGTATGATGACGTATCTGGTAGACCATAATTAGCCACGATGAGCAATTCACAATTCTAGAAAATTTGGGTAATCCGTAATCACTAATTACTCAACATTTCGCTGGCCACAACCTGTGGTTTACGTAGAGCGATATCAAGATCAGAAACAATTTAAACAATTATAGGGTAGCCTAGATCTCAGCCACACTCTGTCAAGTTGTGCAGAAAAATAATTCACAATAATAATGAATTCAGCATATTTGCCATTAGCAGATTTTTTACTACATGGAAGCGCCTGTGTATTTCAACTTTTTGACACAACACTACATTTATAGCAGACTAACAAATAACTACAGTATATACCGGGTTATTAAGAACAATGGGCCATGTATAACGCCTCTGCCTGCGTCCTGAAAACCACGGGGTAGTGGACGCCCTTGGGAATGACGGCGCTCTGGTGGACATAATTCCAGCGGGCGGGAATGACCTGGATGAAGAGCGGGGTCTCGATGGCTACTTCCACGTTGTGCGCGGCGGCTTCCATGACGACCATCGATCGATCCCCAGATTGTTGGTGGCCGGGAACTGGACGTGGCTGTAGTACCACAAGGAGATGCGGCCCTGGCTGCGCCCAGCCGCAAAGGTCACGTTCGGAAAGCGGACGGCCAAGACGTGACCCGGTCCGCCCATGTAAGCCGGTCGCGGGCTAAGGAGCAGCGGTTCACCAGGATTCAGGAAGTTTTTCGCCTGATGGAGGAATCGCGGTAGCGGGTAATTTACTGTTCGTTTCAACATGTGAAAAATCATAGAAGAAGGGCAATTTTGTGAAATTATCAAATACCGCCACTAACCACCAGTCTGTCTAAATATCGTCACTTTATCAATTGCCTGTTGGCACTAACCACAACAAACTGAAACATATGGTAAGACATATTATCAGTAGAAATTATCAGTCTAGCTGTAGTGAAAGGAAATGCTGCTGCTGTTTTGGGCACCTTGACTATGCGTCCTAGGATTTTTGATACTTGTAGCAATAACGATTTTGGCTGTTTTTTTAACGTTTAAATTTGAATCATTTTAAGTAGTATTACGCGAATGCACTTTTTGTAACATTGATGGCCTTTGCCCAATAAAAGAGTAATTATCAGTATAATTTACAATAACATCGTAGAGAAATGCCACGATGTAAACCGTCATCGACAAGCAAAACGTACCTAATAAGAGAAACTGTGTCTGCTGTAACTTTTTTTAAAAAGAAAACTACGAATATTCATTTGTGAAATCCGAAAACTTTGGTCACTTTCACCGCTCCCGAATTTTATTTCGATAAAATCGCAAACAAATTCTGACCGTTTCGGTATGCAATTACGGTGACTGCGCTTGAAGAGGCTACCGTTCTCAACAGATCATAGTCATACGTAGACTGGCTGATCAGAAGAATTTATATTCTATAAAAAGACTGCATTATCTTATTAAGCAAAGCTTATTGTCACTGTGCATGTCACAACGCTGAATCAACACTGTCCCAGATTTCTGCCACTACTCTACGATATCAGTGAGCAAACACGATCTGTTGTCAGGAATTGTAAATTTCCTGTTATATCGGCAAAACCTAACGACTGACTTATCGATCATCTCTGCACAGCCGGGGGTAACAAAACTCTCCACATCCACCATACTACAAACGAAATTTCCGGCAGCAAATGCGTGGCATTTAAATGCGATACAATTTCCTGTTCTTACCGGTGTCATTATGAGTCGGCGCTGGTAAATGCTGTAATTGGCCACAACAAAACACTTCCGTCGACGTCTCCTGTCTGTTAACCGTGAGAGTCAATCCCTGCTCCCATCAATCGCCCAAACCATCCTCAAAATTACTTTCCACAGCTGCTTCCCATTTGAAAGGCATCCGGACAGTTATGTGCATTTAACCTCACAAACGGTTTTTTTTGTATGAAAAATATTCTTTTATTATGAAAATGTGACAAATACTCCATTTAATATTCTATTATATAATGATTCTAATCCAGGAATAGTTCTACTGATTATTCTCGATTTTCTTAAAAACATCCTCGACAAAAGTGACCTTAAAAGTAATTTTTTCCTTATCGAAAAATATTCTATTGTCTATTATCCTATTTTATTTCCAAAAATACCCATTTTCCTTTTATTTATTCCGAAAAAGATGTGTTTTCGAATTCGCTATGTTTTTAATATTTTACCGATACAGCTAGTAACCTTAATGGTCAAAGCCTCGCCCAGTGCCAGTTAGGTCAAACCATCATCCAGCGCGCCCTGGAAGACGACCACCTGTTGACTGGTGCTGCAGAAGGTGACAGTGTCCGGCATCCATTCCTCGTGGACGAAGGGGTTGAAGGAGAAGACCGAGCTCTCGGCGTCCAGGCAGCCGGCGGCGGTCTCCAGCAGCAGCACCTCCAGCCTCCAGGGTGGCGA